TTTTTTTTTTTTTTTTTTTTTTTTTTTTTTTTTTTTTTTTTTTTTTTTTTTTTTTTTTTTTTTTTTTTTTTTTTTTTTATGTTTATTTGGATCCCATACGTGTATTTGTGTATATATACAAATATCATGCATACATTTTTTTTTATCAAAGGCGTAATTAAAAAAATACAATTTTTTTTTTTTTATTAATAGCGAACATATATAACGCAATATATAAAACATTGAAATTTAAAAAATAAAATACAAATTTATTATAAAATGGTGTTATATGAGGAATTTTCATTATGTTAGGAATTCATTTATTAGTAGTATTTTATTACAACCTATCTACGTTGAAGCATATATATTTTCAAGGTTAAGAAACCGAATGTGAAGAAAAGTATAAAATGTTACTTAACTCTATGTGTATGAATATTTAAATGTAAAAAAAAAAAAAAAAAAAGGATTTTAAAAAATACGTATGATTTATCTAACCAACATGTCTATCTTTGCTTGAGCACTTTTGTTATTTGTCTACCAAAACTATTTTTTTTCATCATATTTTTGCTTCTAAAAATGGCATGAATAACTCTGCACGTTTAAGGCAATATGAAAACACTAGATAAAAGCGTGTAAATAAAGGCAACTCCTCTAAACTTGCTATTAAAATGTAAAGGAAATTTTGTTTCACTACCATGGCTTTTCTACCATATGTATACTACATTAGTGGTAAAATTGAACAGGTAGTTTTTTTTTTTTTTTTTGTCCTCTTTTTTTTCCCATGTCCATGTGTTTATGAAAATACGAGTGCGTATATCCGCCAGTTAGCTTTTCAAAAATATAGAACTTTAAAAATTTGTTAACTTTGTGAAGGCAATTTTAAAAACCTATTTCATTCTTAAGGAAAAAAATTTCGAGCATTTATTATAAAGCATAAAATGTTATGTTTTATGCCTCTGTATTTTTCCGTGACACAATGTGATGTGTATAAAAATGGGTAGAAAGGGGGTGGAATGAGGGTATTATTTTTCACCCTTTTCCTCTATCCAGTTGAATGAGGATTAACATATAAACAAAAAATAGTATGAGCACTTAACAGTATGTACAATAAAACACATAACGTGCGGATAAAAAAAAAAAAAAAAAGAAAAAGACGTGGAAGGAACTTCATATAAAGAATCTTCGTATAAATAGGAACATGGGATATATATAAAACCTTACTATATTACTATACAACTATTCAAAGGTGGTAGGTTGGAATTTTTTTTTTTTTTTCACTTGCATTTTTGTAAATTCATACATAGAAAAAAAGCTTTTCCTCCCTGCATTATGTGGGAATGTGTTATGTATCTTTATATATGGATATATATATTTACCTAAACAAGGTTATTAAAAAAAAAAGTTTGACTCTAAAAACTATTTTGTGTATCACAGTAGTAGTAACTTATGTGTTCGTTCTATTAAAATAAAATGTCAAATTCCTGTTTATTTGTACTTGCTATGATGTATGCAAAATGGGTAGCACGAAGAAGGAAGTGTAAAATATGAAACATTATTATATAACATTAAAAATATAAAACGCAAAACAAAATACATAAAGTCCCATGCATAAGAAAGAAAAATTTCTTCATAAAGATATACCTATGTGTTTTAACAGTAAGCTATGGGATATCTCAAAGTTACCACACACTTAAGATGATTAAGAAAACTGAACGGTTATTTATGTTGCGTTTATGTTTGTGTTATCCCCAAGTAAAATATTTTATGCTTTTTTTTTTTTTTCTTTCTTTTTTTAAAATAGTCAAATCGTCATTTTACCTTTTGGTTAACCTTTTTTTCACTTGAACGAAAAAAAAAAAAAAAAATCCTATTAATAAGAAAAGCATGTGAAAAAAAAAAAAATTATACAATTTTTATTTCCTTCATAAGATTTTCGTTCATAATAAGAAGAATTAAAAAGAAAAGAAATGCATCTCTTTTCTTAATTCCCTCTTAAAAGATAAAAAAAAAAATAATAAAAAATAAATATATAAAAATAAGTCACCATCGTGGCATTTGCTCGTAACAACATGGTGTATGACGAGTAAATTATTTACCCCCCCCCTCCTCCACATTTTTTTTTTTTCCATAATTTAAAGTTCAACCAAAAAAAAAAAAAAAAAAAAAAAAATTTGACCGAAGTAATCAATTAAACAATATTGTGTATTCAGTGAAATTTGTTAAATTTTATAAGAATTTTTTAGGGAATATATATGAAAAATACAAACCCAAAAATTGAGATCACAGGAAATGAGTCCACGGGCTAAAACACGTTTGAGGCAGAAAAATACATATATTTTGTGGAACATCATATATTTATACGTATACATATGATGTGCTTTCCCGTTTATCCGTTTCATGTATTCATTACCCCCAGACATTTCCCAATTTGGAACGAATTACACAGTTATTAAAGGTGTAAAGAATCATTGCTCATTACTGTGTTAGAGCACTAATAACTCCAAGGAGATCTAATTGCTTACGTACATATATACCACAGTAGACTGCATACTCTTTTACATGGGATACAGTGTGAAGCCTTAATAGCACTTTTTTATCAGAGTACAGGAACAGTACATGTTTGCAGTACCATATATATATATATTTTTTTTATGCACAATTGCATGAGTAAACTTGTTTTGCGTGACTCGCTAAACATAGCATAACAAAGCAGCTCCCCATAGATGAACCTATTTGCTGACAGCCAAGGACACCTTCATTTAACAAGTAATTTTTCAAATGAAATACTTAAATTTTGTGTACACACAATTTTTAAATCCGCGTTATATATTAGTGACGTCTAGGGTTATTGTTCCCACAAAATTTTGTGTTTGTGCTTATTTTCGATACCTACGCATATATACATTTACAGTATATGCACACATATAAAGTATCCATATGTGGAACATCCATACATGGCATAAGCATACAGGGTACATGAATATATGACACATCCATACATGGCATATGCTTACATGACACCTCCTTATATAATATTTGCATATGCGTATTAAATATGCTCCTACACTTGTGTATAACCCTCATATACACCACTTTTGCACTGGAAACACATTATGTACACATTGTAGCATGAATGAAAATGAAAGATTGAAACAAATTTTAGATGAAAAAGAGGAAGTATTAGATTCCAAAGAGGAAGAGGATTCACTTGTTGAGAACAACGCAAAGGAACTAGAAAACATTTCTAAAAAAAATTTAGAAGTATTAAAATTTCTGAACAAGCAAGAATTAATTTTATTAATTGGTAAATTGGATAATGAAGATAGACTCAGCAAAATAATAGAGAAAGAAATTAAACAAGATAATTTGGAAATTCTAAAAAATGTAAGGCAAAAAGAAAAAAAAAAATTCTTGAAACACTTGAGACTACATATTACTTCAGAATTCACAACTTTCATTGTGCATGTATATATATATATATATATATATGCATTGGTGTGTGTGAGAACATCTTCAATGTATTCACGAATATCCATAGACATGTATTATAACACATTCCAGTATGATATGTTAAACTAGCGAGTAAGCAGTGTGCTAGTTTTATCAGTTTGAATGAATTGTTTTTCTCTTCCATGAATATATGCACGGATGTGTCTGATGTATTCACATATGTACACATATATATATGCACATATATATATGCACATATATATATCTATACCCTGCGTGCCTACAAATTAACGAATACGTTGAAAGAACAACGGGCTTGGCCTAAACATGGATACTCCACATTTCTGTCTATCCTCTCCCCCCTCTTTTCCTAACACACACGTGGACATATACATAGTATGAAAATGAACAGTATGATACGATTAATCTTGAAGAAAAAGATCGAAATGAAGAAGAAAATGAGAAAGACGAAGAACAAGAAGAAAACGAGTATCTGAAATTGTGTAAATTCATTCCTTTAAGGCTGACATATGAAGAGAGACTATACCTAAGATTACTTGAAAGTGCACTAGAAGTTAGTGAATATACAGATAAAATAGATGTATTTCATAGTGGAAGTAAGAGCAAGAAAATAATAAAGGAAATAAAAACACTATGTTCCATATTGTCCGGTTTAGTTATAGCTAACAATTATGAAAATGGGCAAAAATTGATTAAAGATAGAGATTTTTTACGGAATAGTAATTTTTTTAGTTTTGTTTTTGAAATAGGAAGAAGATATAAAATTTTGAATCCAGACAGGATGAGGAGTAGTTATGGGAAATTGATGTACTTTTTAATGGATACTAGAAGAGAAGATATTTATGATTTGTTATCATTTGATTGTGTGGCTCCCATAAAAACTGTATATGATTTATTAAAAGGGAAAAAAAATGGATTAGAAATATTAAATGATAATTTAATTAAAATTGCCACTATGCAAATAGATGCAAAAGGCAGTAGAAGTGAAATACAAAAACAGATTAAACAAAAGGAAGAAGCAATAAAATATCTGTCAAGAAAATATGCAAGTAATAGTAGCAAAAATAATAAAAAAAATTTATTTAGAATAAATATTCCTATTTTAAATAACCAAAATAACGAAGATATCGAATCAGGTACTTCAGAAGAGTTACAATTCTTGTCTTCAGAAGAAATAGAAAGATGTTTATACAGTCTATGTGATTATAATACACATATACAAATGTTTTGTCAGCCATGTGAAGTTATGATTGATTATTTGAAAACGTTTTATGACCCCTATGAAAAAAATTCTCCATACTCTTTATCCATCGAATCAGGAAAACAAGGAAGTAGATTAACACATTCACATAATAGGCAATATATGTATGTATTGCAAACATTATATTTATGGAAAGAAATAGGTGAACATATGTTTTTTTTATGGGCTTGTGCAGAAAGTGATATGTTAGATTTTAAAAATCCATATCGATTAATGGACACAGGACAGGGATTAAATAGAATGCAAAGTGGTCATAAAGTTCTAAATGTCATGAAAAAAATATTGCATAATGTTCAGAAAAAAGTGGGAGGATGGGTTGGTTCTAGCATGATTCACATGGGTGATACCAACATCCCAAACACATTCATGTTTATTGACAAATACACACAGGTAAATCATTCTCTACGTTGATTTAAACATCTTCACGCGCGTTTGTTCAACCGAAGCATAAATGGTGCATACACACACGAGTTTGTAAAAAAAAAAAAAAAAAAAAAAAAAAAAAACATTCCTATTTCAGCATATCCCCATTTTACATTTCTACAATTCGTTCTGTGGTGAATAGGGGGGGGGAAAAAAACGAAATTATAAAGCAGAACAAGAAAAACACGAGATTTTTCCCCTGCTCTATGCCTTACAAAACATAACTATTTATGAATAACGAAACTTACCCATTTTCACTTTTTCTCCATTTCAAGGTTCCAAGGATTTTAACGCCAATTGTCCTTTGCTTGCAGAAAATCGATGAGCTTTATGATTCTACGCCCTCAATGAAAAATTACATCAAGACGGAATTCAATGGTGCCCAAAATTTAAAGTAAGAAAAAACGAAAAAAAAAATAAAAAAATAAATAAACATAAATAAAATGTATATATATATATATATATATATATATATATATATATATATATATATATATATATATATATATATATATATATATATATATATATATATATATATATCAGCAAATGAACAATAAACTGAACGAACATTTTAGAAAAATGTGCCACGTTGATGATCCAATAATGTTGCGTAGTATAAATCGTACAAGAGTGTTATTCATGCTGTTCTCCCCCTTAGAACAACATATTTACCACTGCCTCATATGACCTTTTAACCCCATATTACCATTTTATCGTATTCCTTTCATTTCCTGTTTTCTCCAGAATGATGATAACTTGTGATTTTTTTCGACATGGTTTCGACGGCAGTGGTGGTGACAATTTTAACGAAGCAGGAAGTTGCATCGATGGAAGATTAACCTCTGCCTGGAATTGGTGTTCGAAAATTGAAAAGAAAAGCTTTTTCCCTATATTTTTATTAACCGGATTTGTTGGCTTTGATGGATCCTTTTAGGAAGAGCCAAGAAAAGAAAACCAACAAACCAATAACCACCTTGTCATTCTTTATTTATTAAAAAAAATTATTTTGTATACCTTACATTTCTTATCTGTTTACATTTTGTGTTGCCACCTAATGGCATTTTTAATATTTTTTTTTTCTGACATATATCGTAGATCACATTTCAAAGCAACCAATTATACATACCCCCTGCTTTTCCAAAACTTTTGTCCAAATTTTGATCATCCTATGATCGTCCGTTAACCACATATTGATCATCCGTTAACCACTTTTTGATCATCCGTTAACCACTTTTTGATCATACTTTTACTACCTTTTGATCATAGTTTGATATGCTTTTTACTGTATATTCCATATTTTATTTCCCACATATTTATCACATTCATAGTTTTCACTGAAAGAAAAAGATTATGCATACCATTTCCCCTCTTGTCACATATATCCAATTATTAGTACCCTTTTTGAACTTCATTTCATTTGTGCTTGCAGAACGTCGGATCCTAATTATGTGCGAAGGGCATTTACATGCATATACATATATATATATATATATACAAAATATGTACTTACGTAAGCATGTATATGTTTACCTAGTTAAGCCTTCCCAATGTGTTTAGTTGTAACAAATCCTAAGCTTGTGTGTACTACAATAAAAAAAAAAAAAAAATTGTTTTACCGTTGTATAATTTCCTTTTTTCCTAAATTCAGCATTTTCTATTTTTTTTAATTTAAAAAGTACTTCTAAGTAGTAATGGAAAAAAAAAAAAAAAAAAAAAAATCCAAAAAAGAAAATATTACGAGAAGCAATATAAAAAAAGAAAAAAGTTTGTGAAATTTTTTAAAAAAACTAAATAAAAATAAATAAATAACAAATAAATACATACACCTTTAGGTCACCCAGGAACAACGACATGAACTTGATATATTTTTTTGCATATTGGGAGTGAGTGAACCACTATGCTCGTTTTTCCACAAAAAATATGAAACATGTGACAGCCATTTTATAGAATTAAAAATAAAATAATAATTATAATAAAATACATATTTTTTTTTTTTTAAAATATAATATTTCTGCAAAATAAAATTATACATTTTATGGATGCCATTTTTCATCAACTTTTTGGCCAAAAAAAGAAACGGTTTGTTGTGAATGGAAAACACGTTTTGTAAAAAATCTACAAAAAATGCTATGTACAATTTTTATAGGTTAACTTTTTTTTTTTTTTTTTTGTCATTTTGTGCCACATTGGAAATTTTAAAGGGACATAATGTTTCTGCTACTCAGAAATTATCTAATTTGATCATACCTTTTAATCGAAAGTACATCAGCAGAAGAATATATAAATCCCTCAATTTTGAAAATGCATATTATAACAACATTTTTTCCCCTTTAACCCAATTTGTAGTAATTTTTTGTGGATAATGTGTAAAAGGCACTTTGAAATATAACCCAAGTATTTTTTATTTTATTATTTATTTTTTATTTTTTTTGATAAAAAAAGTGAAATACATAATTGTTAAATTATCTCACGAAATCTAAAGAATTATCATAAACAAATTTTTATTTTTATATGAGTCCATACCCAAAAAAACTTACATAAGAAGGAAAAAATAACATAGATAAGAGCACATTCGGATATATGTTGATATAGAACAGGTAGAAAAAAAAAAAAAGAAAAAGAAAAAAAACCTCGATTGACAGAAAATGGACACGAAGGTGCCCAAGTTGTTAGATCTGCACTTGCAAGAACATGTGAAAAACATAATTGAAGGGTTCACAGATGAATCAACGAGCACAACTAAGGACACATTTTTTGATGATAAGTATGCTTATAGTTTAATTGACAATTACAAAAGTAGGAGAACAAAAAATGTCGTTATTCATATGTTAAGAAAAGATATTAATATACTACACTATAATGAAGAATACAAAAATATAATTTTTATTAACTTTTTAAGATTATGTCAATTAAATAATTTAAACGTGAAAAAATATCACGATATATTTTTAGAATATGATATTTTTTCTTTTATTGTAAATTCGGAAAAATACGTAAACTTTTTTTTAAAACCAATTATAAATAATGATAAATTATTATGGGATGTGAACAAGGATCATTTTGAAATATTTAATTTTACCACGTTAGATATTACAGACAATGAGAATCGCACTATGAATACTACGGATATGCATTATCAAAATAGTTGTTATGTCTTGGAAGAGAATCTAAAGTTAAAACTGAATGATCTTGTAGAAGATTCTTCAGATTGTGATTCTTCCTTATTTAGTGAAGATGATATTTCTGTTGCATCCGAATTTTCAGAAAAATTATTACCCACAAGTAATTACAAAATGAATAGCGATAATTTATCAGACCATTGTAAAAACTCGAAGTCAAACCAGAGCTTATTGGAAGAATACTCAAATGCAACCAACATCGATGTCGTGAATAATGAGCACATCTCTATCGAAAATAAAATAAGCAATAAACATGAAACATTAATTGAGGATTTAAACAACATACCCAACATTGAACAGGATGAAAAGAAGAAGGAAAGTGGTGGCATGAAATGGAGCGAGCATTTTGGAAACAGACTAGAAACAGTTGACACTTCCACTCTCAATAATATTAATTTAAATCATTTAATCGATATTATAGTAGAGACAGGGAAAGTGAATCATGAAGACACCTTGAGGGAAGGTAATAATTATTTAAAGAAAAATAGCCTACATGAATCAATTATAGAAAAATTTGTGAAAAAATCTGAAAATGAGAACATTGAGTTGTACAATTTGCACAAAAAAATTAATAGCATGGAGAAAATTATTAAACATTTAATGAGTGAAATAATGAAGAGAGATATTATAAAAAAGGGGGTTACTGAAAATGCACAAATTGGGGAAATACAAAAACCAGATGGAATTCAAAAGAGAAAGGAAATTTTCTTATCTACATTCAGAGAAATAGAATGTACACATGGTAGTGTTGTAAACAGCACGGATAAGGAGAGTGGAGATTCTGAAGAAGGTTGTGACAATAAATATTTCGAAAGTTATAACGACACAAGTATACATAGAACTATGATTTTAGATAAGAGTAGAACAAATTGCTACTATGAATTCATAAAAGAAAATAAAGAAATATTTCAAAATAAAGTGGTTTTAGATATAGGATGCGGATCTTCCATAATTTCCCTGTTTTGTTCGGATCACGCGAAAATCGTTGTTGGAATTGATAATGCACATAGGATATTAAAGAAAGCAAGAAAAATAACAGAAATGAATGAAGCAAAGAATATATACTTATTTGAAGGGAAATTAGAAGAAAATGATATTTATACTGATGAAAAGGGGGAAATATATTATATTAGCAAAAAAGATGATATTGAAAAATTTAAAAAAAATCATAATATCAAGGAGCTTAAAATACTAAAGTTTGACATTATTATATCCGAATGGATGGGATATTTTTTATTTTACGAATGTATGATAAATACTATTTTATATGCTAGAGATCTTTATTTAAAGGAAGGTGGTTTTTTATTTCCTAATAAAATTTATTTATATCTCGCAGGTTATAACGATTTAGATTATGTAAATGAAAATATCTTAATATGGGATAGTCCACTATATGATAAAGATTTATCTGAATTAAAACCAGACTGTAAGTCTTTTATGGAAAATGCTAAAGTTATTAGTCTAGACAAAAACAAAGTTTCAACTGAAGTAGTTAATTATGCTATAATTGACATGTATACGTATAGTAAAAATGAAAATTTGTATATCCATTCCAATTTTAAAGTTGCACTTAATTATGGAAAAGTTGTAACAAGTTTGTGTTTTTATTTTGATTGTCATTTTGAACCACTTCCATTCAGTGCAAGTGTATCAATTCACAATTCTGAGAACATATCCTCAAATTTGAAAACTTGTACAAATACCGTTTTAACAACTAGTATGTTCAAGCAAGAAACACACTGGAAACAGGTACTTTTACATATACACTGTCCAAATTACAACATTGCTAATATTTCGCCCCTCGTGGATGCTGATAAGACAAATGAATTATGTGGAAACATATACATAACATCGTCGAGTGAGCACTCAAGAAGTATTAATGTGCTTTTACAGATTAAAAAAAATAAGTCTATAAATGTGGACAAGGAGTGGACGTGCTGCTATTCTCTGAACTGAGACTTATCACGCTGCCGTAAAACGGGGGCTTGAAGGCATGGCAAGAAAAGGATAAACACCTGAAAAAAACGTTTGAAAAGGTTTGAAAACGTTTGAGAACATTTGAATACATTTGAAAACATTTAAAAATATTCGAAAACATTTGAAAACATTTAAAAATATTCGAAAACATTTGAAAACATTTAAAAATATTCGAAAACATTTGAAAACATTTGAAAAAAACATTGCAAAATGTAGCGAAAATGACGGAATATAAAACGAAAAAAAGGAAGGTGCAAGGTGTTCCACAAAAAAATAAAGAAACTCAAATGATAATCCCCACAATTTTTTTTCATACGCAAGCATACCACAACTCACCCAAGGGGGGAAGGTGGGGAATACATGAAATTTATAGCCTGTACTCCATTCGCAATTTCTCTATGTAGAGAATTAATTTGTCCTTACTTTTTTTTTTTTTGAATATATGCATGTTTCCATTTTTGTAAACATAATACCGAAAATGAAATAAATACCACTTAATTTTTTGGCCACTTTGGATAGCCCATTTTGCCACTTTTATTCCATAAGTCTCTGTTTATTACATTAATAACAACATTTAATTTATTATTTCTCAAAATTTTTAAATGCTATTTTTTTTATAATTCTAATATACCACGTCTGAATAACTTAAACAGAACATGTTTTCTAAGATTTTTTCCTCTTTATGAAAAATGTTCATATAATATTAAATATAAACTCCAAAGAAAAAAAAAAAAAAAAAAAAAATTATTCAAATTGGTGTGTTCTTAAAAGCACCAAAAATAACAATGGTTTATTATTTATGTATATCAAAAAAAAAAAAAAAAAAAAAAAAAAAAAAAAATAAAAAAAAAAAAAAAAAAAAAAAAAAAAAAAAAAAAAAAAAAAAAAAAAAAAAAAAAAAAAAAAAATTAAAAATTGGTGTTTTTAAAAAAAACAAAAAAAAAAAAGGTTTATTATTTATTTATATAAAAAAAAAAAAAAAAAAAAAAAAAAAAAAAGATTATCATAGACAAATAAAAATTATCATTTTCATTTTAAATGAAAAACAAAACATATTTTAAAATTTAAGTTAAAAAATAAAACACTATATGATATAAGCAAAAATGAAAAAAAAAAAAAAAAAAAGGAAGGGGGAAATAAAAAAAAAAAAAAAAAAAAACATTTTAATTTTAAATAAAAAAAAAAAAATATTTTAAAATTTAAATTAAAAAAAAAAAACACTATATGATAAAGAAAAAAGAAAAAAAAAAAAAAAAAAGGGGGGGGGGGAATTATTAAAAAAAAAATAAATAACGAATAAATAATGAATAAATAACGAATAAATAATGAATAAAAAACTATAAATAAAAACTTAAAAAAAAACCTAGTTACTTGGTGTGCGCTCGTTTTGGGGCCCTTGGGGGAAAAATAATTTTGTGTAAAATATATATAATCTCCAGGGTCCCATTCTTGATAAGCACACAAACACACACACATATATATATATATATATATGCAGCTAACACAGTTAGTCCATCTTGAAGAGATAAAGGAATATAGTAAAATGAGTTAGAAACTCCTTTAAAACATTATCCTTTTGTGGTTTCACCAAATGTGATTCTTTTCCGTAAAAGAACTTTTTCAGAAAGCTCTCATTGTTGTAATTCGTTCTCGAATCATGTTTTAACAAATAATAGAAATAATTCCATTTAATATTTTGTGGTGTATTAAACGTTTTTATATCACCTGCACGTTCATAATTATTCCTTTTATCATAAACATATGCGAATTTGTCAAAGAAGTAAATGAAAGATTCGTACCATTCTTCCCCATCCCTTAAATTGAAGGCCTTTCTAAATTTACTATTTTTCATGATATTTCGAATGGCTCTAATGTAAATATCATGGATGCTTTTCATGATGCTGCTTCTCAGTAAAACTGGTAATGTCACTTGAGTGCAGAACACGGAATCACCAGTGTTATTGTTTTTTCCTAACCTTGTATAGCTTCCCATTTTCATTCCACTGCCTAAACTTGTATTGCTTCTCGTTTTCTTCTCACTGCCTAAACTTGTATTACTTCCCGTTTTCTTCTCACTGCCTAAACTTGTATTACTTCCCGTTTTCTTCTCACTACCTAAACTTGTATTGCTTCCCGTTTTCTTCTCACTGCCTAAACTTTTATTGCTTCCCATTCCCATGTAGTTATTCATATCAAATCCAAAATCGATTCTGTCAGCATTTCTTTCGCCAAAACTGTCAATACTTTCAAGACTGTGGACACTTCCCATGCTACTCCGTCTATCATTATCTCCACTGATACTACTGGCCAATGTGGTAGTACTTCCACTATTGTTGCTAGTGTTATCACGATTGCTGAAAGTAATGTTACTTTCTGTTTGACTCCTTAAAGATGATGATCCCCCCCCCAATCCTGTTTCTTTTTGAGATGATTTCTTATCAGTATAGGTGGAAAATAAATTTTGTATACGTGCTCTTTGAGGGATAATAAAACATACGTTTATTTTAAAATTGGTTATGTCTTCATTTTTGTTATGAAATACAGCTGCTAAGGAGTCATTACTGATGGAGAGAATATCCGATTGGCTAATATTTTTTTCTATTGCATTCCTCATTTCAACCATTCTTGTTTTTTCTCGATCGTGTAATTTGGAAAGAGTTACATTTATATCATTATCGAAGAATGTTTTGAGAAGAATAGTATTTTCACATAATTTTAAATGTCTGTATTTTGGATGATTACAGTTTTTTAAAGATTTCAAAACGTATATTCTTCGAGAAGTATACAATTTTTTTATATGAAAATATGCCTGTTGGTCATAATTACAAAATTTTGATATATAGCTAAGTTCGATATCTTCATTTTTGTTAAATAGGCATGTATTTACTTCGTCCAAATTACTTAAATGTTCTTCTATATCATTATATGCTGAACTTTTCATTACAAATTCTATATATTGTACATTTTCACACATATCATTATAGGAAGCCATAAAACGAAAAGCTTCCCTAAGTGTTTTAGATCTTTTAATATGTAAATAAATTCCATCATACGTAATATACTCACTGCCCATATTATGAAGACTAGTGTAACTTCCACTACTTGAAGAATTTCCTTCAAATGTATTCGTAGCCCCAAATGTTGAAAGATCGCCTAATTCCTCATTAGTTTCATTTTCTCTTTCATTACTGTTAGGTGTATTTTCAATATTATACATATCACTTAGTTTATGCTTCATATCAGTAAAGGTTTGATTTTCTTGAATAAATTTATGGGCTTTTTTTATTTCATTTTTTAAATTATCAACATGTCCCTTGTGATACTGTTTAAATGTCTTATGGTTAAGAATAAAATGTTCATTTGTAATATATTCAAAAGAATTATGGTAGGAAAAGTTTTTTAAAAAATTCGTATATCTACTTATATACTCATATATAACATTTTCTTCATGATGAAATTCAGTATTTTTTAGTAAGGGAAAATTAATTTTATTTTCTTGTTGTCTTCTCAAAACAATTTTATTCGTGGGTAAAGAAAAGGACTTAAGAGTTTTGTTCAAGTTTCTATATATATTCGCAGTATTATTTTTGCTAAATATAAAAAATTTAACATAATGAGTTGACGCAAAAACATTTATAAGATTATTCACAAGGTTCATATTTATATTGTCTGAATACACATATACATCTTGAGTAAATTTGTTACTATCTATATTATTTTGATTTCCAATATATGTCAACCAGTTGTAATAAATAAAAGGATCTGCATCATATAAATAATCTAAATCATTTTTAATAACATTTTTATCACTAAATCCTGTCATTGCAATGTGCTTATATATGTCATAGGAAAAAAGTAAAAGACAAGTTCTACCTGTTCCTAATATGGAATGTGGAGTGTATATATTATTTTCTTGCATGTAAGGTATAACATAGTGTTCTAAAAATGGATTTTTATAAACATGTCTATGCGGAATATATGGCGTTGGTTTCTGATCATAATTTATAACTTCATTCAAATAAGAAACGAATTTTTCTATATTACTTTGTTTAATTTGAGAACATACATTATTTTTTTTTATATATTCAAAAAATGCATAATTATTTGATACATTAATGTTTGACAAATGTACAGGGATGCTATATGTACGATGATAATATTCATTTCTAAAATTCAAAATATAATAACTTAATGATCTCATATGTAATGTAGAATGTAATCCTAAACTTGTGTGCATACTCATAAGTTCATCATTATCTAAATCAGAATAATAGTTTACATTTTGAAAATAAGAAATTAAGGATCCTTCATCTTTATCATAATTATAATTTATTTTCTCATTTACAGCCATAGTGCATAATAATCCAGGGTTTACCACATGTAATAATTCTTGACCATCTCTTGTTTTCATCAGTTTACCTCTTAAAAAGGATGGCATATTCTTAAATAAAAATTTATATTTCATTAATTTCTGATGACCAACTCGTATATCTTCCATATTCGATACTATACCACACAATGGTGGTCCTGTTGAAGTTATACTTAACAAATTAAACTTCTTATTTAGCAAGTATTTATGTAATCTTTTCATGGATCTATTAACTTGTTTTTCGATGGGCTTATGAAATAGATTTTTCGTTTTTTGTACAAAAAAAAAATCATCATCACTATCCGATTCCTCTTTATCCTCTTGATCTTCTTCTACATTTTCTTCACTATAACCACCTGATTGATCTACAATATTGGCAATGGAATCTATATTTTCTTTCAATGACTTTGTGACATTATTTGTATCTTTTAAAACATCATACTTCACATTATAATCATCAAATATATCATCAAAATATTCAGTTAATTTTTTTTTATTTAATTTTGGTTGAAAAGATTTATATAAATAATATTTATTTGTTTTAAAGTAAGGATCTTTTCTATACTGTATATTACTTTTATCTGTAACTATATTGATATCTTTTAATGTTAATTTAAAATTGTCATCTAATATGGATAATACTTCCCTTTCATATGTTAAGTTAACGAAAGATGTGTTTAATAACTCCCATATATTTTTATCTAAGGTAAACATTAATCGAACTATATTAGCACCATAACAATGCGAATGAATAAAAATGTCATAATCAGCACACGTGTCGTCTTCTAACATATTTTTAAGGGTTAAGGAAAATCTATTTGACAACAGAAAAGCATAATTAAGATGTGTATATAAACCTTCTGCGCCTAGAAAATTTGAAAGACTAATAAATGGAGTATAGATAATGTATTTACTATACTTTTTTTTTAACATTGCTTCATGTTTTATTATGTTTGCTGAAGCACTCCATATTTTATAATCATTTGAATTTCTTGAATTTGGTCTTCCATGGACGAATAAATTTAATGCACAATTGAACTGTTTCTTTTCAAATGATTTATAATTTTTTATATTCTTAAATCTTTCCTTTTTATAAGCATTATATTCCTTTGTCTCATAAATGTAATATTCATCGATACATCTAATAAAATCGCCATTAAAATTCGGGTGCTTTAAATCAATAAATGGGTTCGTTTCTAATTGGTAAAGTCTCCATTTTTCCTCAATTTCGTTTTCTTCATTTTCGTTCTAATGGAAAAAAGGACAAAAGGGGCCATATACCATATATGTGTATTTGAGAACTCAAGAGTGTGCATAAATATATGGCCATGAACATGAACAGAAAAAAATAAAATAAAAAAAAAAAATAAATAAATAAAATAAAATTTAATCAATGCTTACTTTATTATTTATGTTTATTCCATGAGTTTCTGTGCCTATTGCTTTTTTACCATAATTAATGAGCAAAAAGAAAAATATAATGACATGATTCATTATCTTTTTTTTTTTTTTTGTCATCACAAATATAATTATATAAGGTATGTAATCACTTAATTGTTATTTCATTAATAAAAAAAAAAAAAAAAAAAAAAAAAAAAAAAAAACACAAATGGAGATGTCCACATCATATGTATGAAAAAATTTGTGGATGAGTGTGTAGGTTTTGTATACTATTAAGATTGAACGTGTCAGGAGTTCATTATATAGATGTTATCCTATATATACACATACATATATATGCACATCTGCTTCTGCAAACAATGCTTACGTATATATATACAAATATATATAACAAAAAAGCATTTGCAGAGAAAGTGCGAAGCCTTTTTTTTTTTTCTGTGCTTTTTATGTGAATGGCTTCTCAACAAATCAGAATGGTGTTCTTACATAAAATATAGGACAGAACAAAATTTTAATAAACGTGCACACGGATGAAATATTTGGGCACTTGTAAATCAACAAGAGAGTTGCATGTGATAACCAAAATGTGAACAAAATTGTGTACAACAAAAAGCTAAATAATAATTTTCGGTACGTTAAAATAATAAAGTACAAAAGACATACACCTAAAAATGTGTTAATAATTAAGTAGGTCAAAGCAGATACACAAAAATACCTACAAGGAGGGAATCTACAAAAAATGTATATGTGACAATTTACACTTTAACAACTAAAACACAATGACATTTTACCACCACTATCTAAAATGTTGGTGTTATAAATGTGGTGCTATAAAAAATTATTACAACAACATAAATTTTCTGATTATCTAGTAGATTCAAACAAAAAAAAAAAAATAATAATAAAATAAATAAAAAATAAAATAAAAAAAAAAAAAATAAATAATAAAATCTAAATATTACAATTCTGAGGTTTACACACTACTATAAGTAAATGTGCAAAATATTTAATAAAAAAAAAAAAAAAATAGTATAAATTCTTAGTATATAAACATAATGCCTTGTAGAGACTACTTAAAATAACAATAGAATAAAAAAGTAGGATGGATGCATTGTTTTATTTTTTTTAAAGAACAGTTATGTGTATGTAATTTTTATAAAAAAAGAAAAAAAAAAAGTGTAAACGCACAATGATAAATTATTCAAATAACTAATAACCTAACTAATACTACTAAACAATGAAACTAAACAAAGCGCTAACAATACTAAATAGTAACAATGTACGATAAATACAAAATTTGAAAATATGCTCGTTTTCCTACACAAATGTTCCTTTAATGTAACTCAGAAAACATAGGAATTATATTTTCTTTTCTCACCTCCCAATTTCTAGTTTCTTATCTATTTAAGGAATCAATATACTCACAATCATCGCAATAATAATGCACAAAATAATTATAATAAATCATAGAAATATTATATCTCAAATTATTATAGTGATAAGCATGTATATATATATATATATATATATGTGTTAATCGATATATGAAAAACATATGGTAAAATTTTTCTTTTATGATGTATTTATATTTTGTAAGCAAATTTATAGATAATATCTTACAAATGCATATAAATATGTATCCTTCCAGAGAGTGTTATACCCACGTGAAACAAAACAAATTTTTAACTAAATGAACATTTTTCTTTGGCCTAACATTTACAGCATACATAAAATTTTTGCGCCTTTTAAAATAAATGTCGGGTAAAAAAAAAATACCTTCACTTTTTTTTTTTCTTTCTCTCTCTCTCTTTGAAATATATTTTTAAAAAAATAAACAAAAAAAAAAAAAACTCAACTTTTTTAAAGAAAAAAAGGGTATAACTAAATAATAATGTACTTTATTTTTATGTGAAAATTCACAATTTTGTATTTTTTTTTTTCTGTAAATATTTTAACATTTCTTGTGGAAAGTATTATTAACAATAATACATATATGAAAACATAGATATATATGTAAATAAATAACAGCGCACAAAAAAAAGAAAAAATTCAAAAACGTCAAAATTTCATAGAAAAAGAATATGGGTGTAATAAACACGAAGTTGTATGTATATTGAAAACATAGTATTTAAAAATGCATAACACAATAAAGTAAGCATATTTTAGGGGTTTATATTTAAACTCAATAGACGAATTTTTTCATTTTTTAACAAAATATAGTGCACAATAAAGATGATGAAAAAAAGAAAAAGAAACTCATGGAAAATTATAAAAATAATTATATGAAGATGGTAGAAGAGCATGGTATATAATGCATTACATGTGTTATATTCAACTAAAGCAGACTATTCATGTTCTTTTTTTTCACTTCAATAATTATGCGATAAACAGTAAATAAAAATAAAAGTATATACGTCATGAATTATTATTGTACATAATTGCTTTTCTACTCTTTAATTTGTATTAAAATAAGAAAATGTGACATCAGTAATGATATTGTGCATCTATGTGCCCTTATTCCTACAGCATATTATAAATGGTACTTCTACGTATAAGTTAGGAAAGTGAAATATGCACATGTACACAATGTGTATATAATTTTACGTGTGCACGGTTAACGTATGTATACGAATATGATTATAAAGGCGTCAAAGCATTTTCCTAGTTACGAATACAGATAATACAAAAATAAAATAAGCAAAACTGCTTGTTTTTGCAATTCGTGTGTGCACTTAGTACATATAACAAATGCGTGGAATGCTTTGGTGTGTGCGAAATGTTTGAAATATGCAAACAGAAAACTTCAGGACTAAAATTTCGAAATGACTGTTAAATTTTTTTTTTTTTTTCAGTGCCTTTTTAAATACAACATTTTTTAAAAATAAAAATTTGCACAAACACAAAGATATATCTGTTTTGTCTTGAAAAGCTTCCTCAGTCCAAACGTTAAAATTCTTCTCATATTTATCACGTGATTGTTCGTGGCGTGGAATCGTTATAATATTTTTTTTTAATGAACAGTAGACTTCGTGTATTTATCCTTTTATTAATTTATCTTTAAAAAAAGGATGTGAAAAAAAAGTATTTTTGTTTTTTTCGTGGATGACTAAATGGGATTTAATAAAAAATTTAAACTCATTGACAAACTTTGTAAAAAAAAAAAAAAAAAAAAAAAAAAAATACACATACAGATATACATACATATGCATATACCTGTATGTCACAATGTTGCTATGCTTGTCCTACTGAAAAAGAAGAATGCAAAGGGAAAACCCGTGAGTAAAATAAAAAAAAAAAAAAAAAAAGTAGTTAAGGGGGTGCATATTTATGTATGAAATATTTTTTAAATGGGGTAATTTAAAAAATGAAAAAAAAACAATTTTTCCAAATTGTCGAAAATAATGATTTATCTGAAGTTTCCGAAAATTCGCTACTTGATTTGTCTGCTAATTCTATTGTAGAATTTAATAACATCGAAAAAACAAAAAAAAAAAATTTTAATGAAATTCAGTTATCACATAATGTTTCTAAGAATGTTACGAAAAGAAATGCGTTAAATTTCTTAGGTTTGTGTAGTTATAAAAAAACAATTTTTAATAATCTGCAAGGTAAAAATGATGAATACGAAAAAAGCACTCTTGATGCACATGAGAAATGTTCTAACCCTGTGGTAAAGAATGGTCTGGGAGAAAATCCCAAGTGTTTAAAATATACAAATGAAAATTGCTTGCCAAATTATATGTCATCATGTACAAGGGAGTTCTGTTCTCCAACACAGTTCCACTGTAATAAGAATAACGGGAATGATGATAATAATGTCGATGATAGTAATACACCCCTTAGCAAAGGGAGCAATGAAAAAGATAAAAATGTTCACCCAACGGTATCAGGAAATGAGAACATGAGCCGCTTATATTGCTTGGAACAAATTATTCACAATAATTTAAATAATAACTATGACAAAAATGAAGTAAAACTTTTTCACATTTATCATGATAATAGAGCAGAGTGTTTATTTAGTGATATAAGCGTCATAAAATTTTATGGACATGAAAATATGTGTGTGTATGAAAATAAAAGCTACATATATAATGAAATAAATGCGAATTTATTCCATGAGAAGGATACAAAAGAAAATGGAGAACATATTAACATAGATAACGATATTTATGAATATTTATATAGGGAGAAAATGAAATTAAACAACCCAAATAATAAAGACAAGGCCTATTATGCTCAATATGGAGTAAATGAAAAAAGTGGTAATTGCCACGAACAGCCGTATCAATGCTTTCAATTTTATATGCATAAATATCCCCCGTTCTTAAGGGAAAAAATAAAAATATTCATACACTTATATAACATGTTTAGTATATATCCTTACATTAATCACAATTTTGTTGAAGAAGAAATGTACTCGAAAAACTTAAAAATCACCTCTTCTTTTGAAAAAGTTGTGCATATAAAATGGCGCTTTTATGATGAAAAAGAATTAAAAAACATGCTACATTGTATTTTATCAAAGAAAAAACGGGAAAATTATTCCCAAGAAAATTTTCTTCAACTGGATGATTACGTTTCAGTAAATTTCTTAACACAAGAAGTTAAAGTGAGAGATATAAGTAACATGAGCTATGATACTGACACTTCTATCAGTAACAGTAATGCTGGTATCGTTCATAACAATGTTATATCTGACAGTGTTCATAATAGTAGCAACACTGACGCGAGTTTTAACTGCAGCAATCACATGAACTATATACTGCTGAACGGAAACGGGTTGTGCTTTTCTGCCCATTATCATATAATCGTTCCATATCATAGACGTATCAATAAAAGCATAGACAAGACAGACATAAAAAATAATAATAACTATAATTTAACTTATGAATATATTTATCTATCCCAACTATTTAATATTTACGATAATTTTCATGTATGCTTTTTATACCCATTGTTTATATCTTATTTTTTTTATTATCATTTATTTGTCAAAGAACGAATTCGAGGTATCTGCGAATCCGCAAAATTATCAACAACAATATCAGGAATTACAAAAGCGTCTCCAGGAATCTTTGAAAAAAATTGTGCCCAAAATGGAGATTACACTAGTACTCTTGAAGAAGCTTACACAAACCAGTTAAATGACACATATATTAAACTGACAAATTGTGTTAAGGGAACCATTTCGAATATACAAAATGGGAACTTTAAGATAAAAAATGATGTTATTGAATTTTTAATTCCACAAAGTTGCTACAAAAATTGCGAAGAATTGCAATACCTCGATCACAAATCGCACTATTTACCTTTGCTATATGTTGTATGCATAAGTAAACACAGCGTTGGTGTTAAAATAGATGATATAAATTCTGATCACAGTTATAATGGTAACCGTGATGTATATCATCCTACTAATCATAGGAATATCTGCAGCAGCGGTATAGACAACCTTACTTGTTCAGCATTGAACTCTTTAAACACAAACAATTGTTACCTCTATGGAAATAGTAACTTTGACAAATGTAGGGGTTCTTATTCCAGTGAGGGTGATATAAACAAAAGAAGGACAAAATGTGAAATGTATGAATCGGAGCGTTATGATAATTCATTATGCTGCAACGAAGTTAAAGAATTTAATAACTTGCGAACTATTTTCCCGATAGATATGAAACCATATTTTAATACATGTAATAAAATTGACAATATCATAAAGGTTAGTATAAGAAATGATGGTGTGTGTTTTATTTATGTGAAAAATATATTCAGTGAATATATATTTTCTTCGTACTTTATACTATTTAACTCTTTTGAAAATCTTGTTCATTTAATGAATACGGGGAAAAAAGGTAGTTCCCATATTTGTGGGAATAATTTGGGATACCTGCATCAGAATGATGAAATTGGAAAAGGTGCATCTTACATATCGCATTTGGATTGTAATAAAAATGATTCCATAGATGCTGCTTTTACAAGGACTGATTTAGAAACTTGTGGCTTGCTAACAGGAAATCTATACACTACTAATAATATTCAATATTATAACGACTTTTATAATAATATGCTGGAACCATATAAGCTTTCGCATAATGTGAACTTTAGGTGCAGCCAAAGAGGAGAAGCACCTATCTTTGCAAATATCGATAAAATATTCGAAATAAGGAATATTAATAATATATATAACGATTTTTACATTTGTGAAAATAAAAATATGAATTCTTTTAAACTTATTAATTTAATGAATAAGGAGAAAAAAAAAATATTAACCCCATATTATTTTGAGAAAAGTGAGTTAACTCCTCTTTTCTTCGTAAGATTATCCAATATACACATTTATGACATAAATAGACAACTAAATTCCGTTTTTGAATATATAAACTACAATAATAAAACCTTTACACCTTTTTTAAAAAACTTTGAACAGTACGAAATGAATGTTCAATTAGATTTATTAGAAAATATGTATAATATTAACAACGAATTATATTTATTATATACTAAAAAAATTAACTATTCTCATGATATTTATAAATATAACTATTTATACGTACAAGATTATTTATTGAAAAATTACATACTCTATAATAATATTTATTTTCATATAAAAGAGGATATGAAAAAGAATGAATATTACAAGTTAAAATATACCAATAAAAATAAACAAACCATATCTGTTCACTTTACCATTTCTTTTAATTATGTCTATGACAAAATCAATTCCTATTTTCTTTTGAAGCCTCGTCATTATATAACACACCTTGAACATAATTCTCCCACACAACAAATTGATACAGAAAATTTTATTTCCTTTATTAATAAATACGTAAATAGTAAAAAAGTAAAATAAAGAGTATCCTCCTTATAGGAACTTGTGTGTATTTTTTTTTAAGCATTTTCGCCAATGGGATCTTTAGAGAAATATTCTCGTGGGGGCTTACGCGATGATCTATTCTGGTGTGAAGGGAACCCGGGCGCGTTTTAATTTTTTTTATTTCCCTTCATTTAATTTCCTTTCATTTAATTTCCTTTCATTTAATTTCCTTTCATTTAATTTCATCTTATTTAATTTCCCTTCATTTAATTTCAACTTATTTAATTTCACTTCATTTAATTTTCTTTCATTTAATTTGATTTCGTTTTTTTTATATCTTTCCTATTTTTTTTATTATCGTTATGGGAGATATATAATTCTTTTTTCTAGTAAAATTTTTATTTATATGATAAGACAAAAAATATTGATAAAATGTTTTAATATGCTTATTACTCTTTTGTTCCCTTTTTATAAACTGCAGAAAGTACTGTTTAATCCAGAAATACATTTTTTTATCATTTTTCATTTTCTGCTTTTTGATAAATTTGTTCCGTAGGTCTAGGCATAATTGAAATTTTTTGTTTTTTGATTTTTCTTTTTTCATAGCATTTGTCCTCATATCTCTACATTCTACCGACAGGGGGGTTCTTCTCCTACCCAGTGTCTTTTTTGTGTCAATTTTTGCATACCTGTTACTTTGATTTTTATTCCCGTATGAGTTATAACATCTGTATACCTTTCCCTGCTTATGACTCTTCCATCGTATGATACTAATCAAAAAAAGGTTCATATTTTTTGGCTGGAACAGCTCATTTGGCCTCAAACAAATAATGTTATATATATATGAATAAGCATTTCCCGTAAATTCATTTTGATCATTTTTGGAACAAGCTAGAAGATACAAAATTAAACATAAATTTTTCATATCACTTGATGTTGTGAAGTATTTATGTATGTCTTTACATATGGTTGACTTTATTTTGTGATATTGTTTAAATTCATTTAGGAAGTCCATAATATTACAAATGTCCATTTGGTTTAGATAATTGTAATGCTCTATTTTATTAAAAATTTGTAGAATTATTGGCATACAGTTCTGTATAATTTGTTTTTTTTTTTGCACTAGGAATATTTTCTTACCCAATGAGGTATGTTCTTCTGTTATGACTTCATTTATGGTGTTAAAATATATTTCCTTTTTTAATTCCCTCTTATATAAAGAAATACAGGAAAGTAAAAATGTAAAATGTTTTATAAAATAATTTATATTTTCTTCGGTATGCATCATTTTTATTGTATCCAAGAAAAATGTTCTTTCGCAAGATTCATTGAAAGCTTTGCTATTTTTTAAAAGGGTTGATATAATTTTTATCACATGCTCATAAAAAAATGTCTTGTTCATTACTTCTTTATCATGTGAGCATCTATTTATTTCGAAAAGTATTTGTTCATAAAATTCGTAATGGTATGTGATTTTTTTATATAATACAGGACATTTTAACAATTCCAGTGTTAGTTTTAAAAATAAATTTCTCTCTATATTTTTATAAATAGAAGTATAGCACATAAATATTTTTTCCATTTGATAATCTATCCAGTTTGTTCCTCTACTTCTTTGGTTATCTATGTTTTCATTATACTCCTGCTGCAATTTGTGTATATTTTTTAGTAGTCTGAAAATAGTTGCATTTATGTCATATTCATAAAAATTGTCGTCCATTCGTTCATGACATACATTTGCAGTTTTATTGAATGGTGTGCATAAATTTAGGTCTCTCTCGTTGTAATGTCTTTTAGTTTTCGCACTATTAGACACTTTGTTTATATGGGAACATTTAAAATGCCTTCTTCTGCTCATGTCTATGTTCGGGATTCTTCTCATCATTTTGCATTTTCTACATTTCGCTGATACATCCAATGGGAGTATCACAAACCTGGAATGCATAACATACGTGTACATATTTCTCCAGAAAATTTCTTATCGTCTTGTTCAGGTACTTTTGTATGAACTGATTATATGCGTTCATCTAGTAGGGGGCATATTGGGGCTCCTGTTCTAGCAGGAAATTTGTGTATTTTTACTTGTTTATTTATTTGGCTTGTAAATCTCATATCGGAGAAGCGTTCACTTTTTTTTTTTTTTTTTTTTTTTTTTTCCCACCAACCCCCCAACTCTCCCTTTGTACGTTGTGAAATTGCAAGAAAAGAAAGAAGAAAAAAAAAAAAAAAAAAAACTTCCTAAGCTTACATTTTGTGTACACCTGTCATATGCTTCTTTAAATTTAAAATTGGAGTAAAATTTATGTCATGAAACATGGCAGCATATGATGGAAGCAAAATAGTTCGAAATGAGGTTTTTTTTAATCTCTTTCAATTTTTTCTAATCTCTTTCAATTTTTTCTAATCTCTTTCAATTTTTTCTAATCTCTTTCAATTTTTTCTAATCTCTTTCAATTTTTTCTAATCTCTTTCAATTTTTTCTAATTTCTTCTAATTTTTTCTAATTTCTTCTAATTTTTCTCAATTTTTTTAAGTTTTTCGTCTGCCGCGCCACTTCAAAATAAAAAAGCGTAATGCTCGTTGCACATCCCTTGAAGTTTTTAAAGGCACTAGGGCAAAAATTTTAGCTTTTTCACAAAGTTCTGTGTCATAAAAAAGTATGTATATATATATATATGTACACTTTTACATGACAACTAGAGACCGTATTTAACTGAGAGCTTAGATTGGAACCCTTTTCTTTTGTGCTCTCATTCAAATTCGAGACTCAAGTTTTGTGCTCTTCCAAGATGAATACATTATTTTAATACATTTTCGCTTAAAATGTTATTTTTACATGAATTCCAAAACTTGTGAAGGAAGTAATAATTTGCACATTTCTTTTCCCATTTTTGACCTCGTAAAAATGCTACAATGATTTTTACAAAAATATGTTTCCTGTTAGCATTTCTAGAATTCATTGTATATGCATTTGTGAAACACACGCTGACCTTTGATAACTATGTAAGAACCAACAATATTTAAAAAGGACATCAATAAAAATGTTGTCCATGTCAGGGGGAGCAATGATGGGTATATCCTCATTGATAAACATGTCACCTGGAAAGAAATAGATAATCGGCTATTTATCGTGCTAATATACACTAATGCGTTAATAAATGGAACACATACATACCTCTACTTATGCTTGTATCTGTATCTACACCTCTACCTATACGTATACCTATATATATGCATGTTCCCCTATCCCCCTTATTAGATATATCATAAAACAGGCAGATTCAGAAAAAAAAAAAAAAAAATCAACTACAGATTGCGTAAGAGCAAGGATGAAGATACTGAGAGTTACATTCCTTACATTTACAAAGACATCGCATCTTCCTTAAAAGATTTAGCGGACGAGGTATTCATGTACATGAATACATATATGTATATATATTAATATATATACATATATAAACATATATGTATATATTCCCATGTTATCGAATCTTCTTGTTCTATTCTGCCATAATGCGAGTAATAGAAATGTATAAGGATATACGTTTTCCAAGTTATGATTCATGTCTAGCGAATTGGTTCTCATTGAAGGGGGGAGGGATATGAAAATATTTGCATAGGTATGTATGCACCCTCATGAATCACGTACACACTGGATTTATTATTTTTTATTTTATATTTATATATATTTTTTTTTTTTTTTTGTCACTTAGGAACATTCTTACAAACAACTATTGAATACATATTTTCCAGAAACGATCGAAAGGGAAATAAAAAAAAAAAAGGAAAAAGAATTAAGGAAAAGGAATGAGAAGAACAATTTTAAGAGCAGTGAGGAGAAGGAAAATAAAAAGGATATCGATAAAATTATGGAAGAAAAACTAGCAGAAAATAACATTACAAATTTTGAACATATAAGCAAAATAAATGATCATAAAAAGAAAAATAAGATTTTAGATATAGCATATGATACTATTGAAGATTCATTAAAAGATATATATTTCAATATGAAATCAAGTGTAGATTATAAGGAAGATGATAAAACAAATTTCTTAGAAATTGCCAAAAGGGAAAAAGATATGTTATACGAAGAACTTATAAATAGACCAGCCCCAATAAATAATAACACAACACTTGATTTATTTGGAGTTTTTTATGATGATAAAGATTATGCAGACGAAAAAAAACTGTTAGCAGTAATGAACAAAATGTTAAATTTAGAACCGTTTAAAAGCAACAAAGGTAATGTACTGCAAACGGTAGATACACTTTTAAAGAAGAACAAACTTCCCATCCATATTCGTAATTTTTTGCTTAAATATAGACGTGTAGCAGAAAAGTTTACTGATATAAAGGAAGAGATAACTCCAGAAGGTATAATTCCTAAAAGTGTTAAAGAATTATCTGGGGTAAATGACGACACTCATGCTGAGCACATCGAAAGGGGCAGTTTAGAGGGGCACGGGAAGGATGCCCCAAATGATATAAACATTGGTAAAACAAAAAAAGATCAATCAGTTGACCATGATCAAAATGTAAAAAAAGAGGAACTAAATGAAACGGAACAGGGGATAAAAAGTGAAGATTTTTTTAGGGATGTTAATAAAGTTATTATGACTTTACATAACAATTTAAATAAGGAAAAATTAATAAGGAAAGACCAACATTTTGTAGATGAATTGTACGAAGCTTATAAAAAGCACCTGAGGTGTATGCACATTAAACGAAACAAATTAGAACCGCAGAAAAACAATTATGATTTCTTAGCATTTGTCCATGAACATTTTGAAGAGTATTTTTTTTTCAAATATGGAAATTTCGATTACAATTTTAATGAAAGAGTACAAAGTATTAATAGCAAAATGAAAAGTGACAAGAGCTTTATTGGGTCAGAACAAGCATCGGACATTGACGGCAGTGGCCACGGTAAAAAGGGTTTAGACAAAAAGAAAAAGGGAAAGGTATCATCTGGCAATTTTCATTGCGCATCCGAATTTGCTCCGAATCCCACATCTGATCAGACATTTGAGCCCACATATGATTCCACATCTAATCCCACATATGATTCCACATCCAATCCCACATATGATTCGACACCTAATCCCATAGATGACTCCACGTGTGCACCCAAATTTGAAATAATTCCGAGCACTTACAACAACGAGCTACAGGGGATAAATTGGAGAAGTAAGAGAAACCCAAACAAAGAGTGTGGCATCTTAAAAGGAATAAAGGAACATAAAAACATGAGAAAACATGTACTTGTGGATATAATACAGAATTATGAAAAAAGAATGTACGACATATATAAACCAAATGATGCAATAACGAACATGTATGGGTTTAACAATTATATAGATAATGAACAATATGATAAAGAAATTAATATATCATTCAATAAATATAGCATATTAAATTACGATAGTAAGGAAGAATTAAATAAAAAGGAGAAATTATATGTTGGTAAATTAATATTTGGAAAGATTTTTAAAATAGAAAAAACTTTTGCATATGTTGATATAAATTATGCATTTTATGCAGAATTGCATGAAGATCAAATGCCCTACAACATTAAGAAGATAAAAAATGTATTTCAAGTGAATGATAAATTAATATTTGAAATATATAAAATGTATCCTAATAAAATTTTATTAACTTTAAAAAATATCCAAAAAGTTAATGACCTTAATAGGATTTTACATTTCAAGACACAAGACATACCCTTTGAGGTTCAAGTTATAACAGTTTTAAAAAATGGAATAAGTGTTTCATACAATGACATTTATACATTTATTCATATATCTTCCATATCAAGTAAATACAAGACAAAAATAGATGATAATGAAAAAATTGACGAATCTTTAGTTAAAAAAAAAATTAAGGTAATCTGCACAGATATTAACAAATTAAATTTTTCGAATTTAATATATGAACAAAATGAACAATTAAAAAAAATGAACATATACGATATTATTAATGTTGAAATTATACACATATCTAAATATGGACTGATGGTAAAATGTGATGATATAGTTGGTTTGATTCATATATCAGAAATTTCCAAAAAAAAAATTGATGATTTAAATGGTATATTCAAAATTGGTGATCAGTTAAAAGGTATTTTAATAAATATAGATTATGACAATAAGAGATTTTCCTTATCAACCAAAATTTTAGAAATAAATGGAAAAAATTTTATTGACCATAGAACCTACATATATGATAATATGCAATTTATTGCAAATGATATTAAGAAGAGGAATACATCTTTACGAATTAATGATTCCAATATTAAAAACCAATTACTTTCTCTCATCGATATTTACAAAACGGAGGAAAACGACACAAAAAATGATAAGAAAGCGAATACTTCTAATCTTTTGAATCCCGAAAATCCTACGGGTGCAGAACAGACCATGAAAACGGAAAACTCAGAGGTTACAAAAATGCCTAGAAAGGAATTTCTTGTTGAGGACGCTATCCAAGGAGATACTAATCTAAAAGAGATTCAACTGGTTGATGTAGTTCATGAACAAAATAATAATGTAAATAAATCGGATACTGGTGATAAACACAACACAAACAAAACTGAGACAAATCCAAAAAATCAAACTGGTACCACAGATTTGTGCACAAAAAATGATCATTTAGAGCATAGTGCTAGGAAAAAGGGAGAAACAGAAGAAGACAGTATTAATATGGACAATGATGAATCCAATAAGGAAAAAAAGGAACTTACCATTGATGTTCACAATCAGTTAATTCCATACTTGATGATGAAACAGGACGAAATTACCAAGGCAGAGAAAAGTGCCATAGAGCAAAGCAGGTGCAATTTGTATACATAAAACACTTTTTTTATGTACCACGGGTCATGTGTGTTCGCAATTGTGTTTACCAATTCAATTGAGTCTATCTAACATTTACAGGGCCTTGGTCATCGCTCAAAAGAGTCATTCTCGCTCTACGCACATAAATACACACTACACAAATGATATGCTTATGCATACACTTTCTATGATTCGCAGAGAAATTGTTTGGAACCTGGACGATGATGAATTTCTTCACTCCAATTCCCCAACGAATAATACACAATGTATGAGAAAAAAAATGGAATAATATAAAATATGAGCCCACATGGCAGCAAGCATGACATATACACTTATGAACATTCGCGTTTACATAATTTTTGTATGAACGCTCGTTTCATTTAACAGGCATCAAATGGCATAGATGCAAGCTCAAAACTATTCTACTTTTACCCTTTTTGCAGTTTTCGAATATCAGTGGTCCTATTTAAAGGATAAGAAATGGGTAAACTTTTCCTATTATGTGAACAGAATTATGAATTATTATTTCAACATAAACGATGATTATTTTACGTACAAGGAGAAGAAGTAAGTTAACATACGAAAAAAAAAAAAAAAAAAAAAAAGTTGTCTCACCATGAGTACTATGGCGAAAACAAAGGTATATTCAGGTTTATACTCATTAAAAAGATTTTTTTTTTTTTATTATCTTTATCATTTTTCCTTTTTTTCTTCTTTCCCGTAGCATGGTGTATGAAATAGATTTTGTAAAAAATATAAGAATTGATTTGAGCACGGGACTTTACAATAAGATTAGAAAAATTACAAAGTAGAGAAGCAACCAATTGGGAATTTTACAAAAAAAAATTATGCATGGGATGTATATACATATATGTATATAACATAAATGTTCTTTTTATGTGGATCGCCCTTTTTAAAAAAATGTGCAGCACTAGAATTTTCCACCATTTATGCAATTTTTTTTTTTTTTTTTTGCTAATATTCTATTTCTTCATCTAAATCTGAGTCTTCGTATTCATTTTCATCGTCGTAATCTTCGTCATCGTTGAAGTGGATGTCAGGCTAAAAAAAAAAAAAAAAAAAACTTTATGCTTTTTTTGTTTGAACATTTGTTACAATTTTTTTTAAGTGTATTCATGTATATGCCTGCTGACATATATCAGATTGCAGACACGCACAAGTGTGCATATATTTAGTGTAATTTTTCATTTTTGCATTATCAAAATTTCCCATTTTTTCGTAACATTTGCGTTTGAAAACGTAGCAAGAATGTTTCTTCTTTTGTTTAGTTTAACTTAGCTTTGCCTTGCCTTTTTTTTTTTTTTTTTTCTTTCTCGTACCACTTTTGGGTATGCATAGAAGTTCTTAGATGTGGATATTTTCCATTTCTTTTTTAGTCTCTCTAATTTTGTAAAAACCTTTTTAGTCATTCTCATGTTTTCGAAAAATAAAATAAACGAAGACGTGTTGGTATCGCTCGCATTTTCCCTATCAGTCATGTCATCTGTGCTGTTTGCGCTGCTGGTGGTGTTCGTTGTTTCATCAGTTTCCATGGAGGAAGGATTCATTTCGTATATATTTATTAAAATATGATTGGAATCGACCGTACTGAGTTCATGTTTTGGGTCTGATTCACCGATGGACTGTTTTTGTGACCCATCCCCTTGACCTTGTATACATACAGATGTGTTATCGGACCCTATGATCTTTCTGTTATAATTAATTTTTATAATTTTTTTTGGGAATATTTTAAGAGTAATCAAAAAGCTCTCAAATTCCTTTATTGTAATATCTTTGTGCCATCCACAAGTGAATATTTTATACTTTGAAAAAATGGTAATATAATCGAGTTTTTCTGAACTAAGAAAAAGGTTATTTTTGGACGCATATAAAAAAGCAGTTCCATAAAATTCTCGTAGATGATATTTCTTAGCAACAGGATATTCTTGCATTTTATTAATTAAAATATTTGCATCATTTACACTATTGCATAAGACATAAGCACAATCACTTTGTATTCCATTTTTTTTAAATCTGAAAATTATATTTTTTAATTTTACTTTAATTTTAGCACAATCGTATATAATTTGTGCTAATTCTTTTCTTCCATAACAGCTGGGGATATTTATGATGGTAACTATTTTTTCTATGTTTTCAAACCTAGCTATTCTTTTAATATCTTCAGTAAATCTGATAAATCTTTCACATTCTTCCACAAACTTTTCGATTTCATAATCATCACATAGATGAATTTTACATTCCTTGAATAAATTTTTTAAATTTCTATTCCACATGTTCGTACAAATATGTTCTTCCTTCCTTTCCCTATTATTCGTCTTGTCATTGCTCAGTTCATCATGCTCCTTTTTACTACTGAAACTAGACTTTGTGTTTCTATCATCGATTGAAGTACCACCTTTTTCATCAAGCATTTTGCTGTTCTTAGAATCACCAACTTCGTCATCCATTTTATTTTCCTCACGTGTTATATTTGATTCTCCTCCCGAAAGTGTACCAAAATCAAAGTTAAAATTTTGCTTTTTCATATTATCAATTAAAATCATTATCCTACCTGTAGGTCTACACAAAATGTTTGTCATAATATGAATATCATTTCCCCTCAATTTTACTCCTTTTAGATCAAAATAACTTAAAATTAACTCTTTTTTGCAATTATCCCTTTTCACATTTTCAAATAATATTCCTTTTTTTCTTAGTAAGTTGGATATGTTAACATCGCTGCTGAAGCACACTTTTTTCATTCTGTGCAGTATCATCCTCGTGTTGTGAGGCGTCAATGACCAATATTCATGCGTGCATATATATATGCATATTTATGCTTCATCAAAAATGAAATGATGCTGAAAATTGTTTATGCAACTGGAGTTGTAAGAGATTGGTCGGAGTGACGAATGAACAAAAAGGGATGTTTCTTTTTTTCTAAAAGCACATAAACCGCAATGTTAAGGTAAAAATTAAAAGGTTCCCATACTTATGCTAAAAAACATATCGTTTTTTTAGTGTTAATTAAGAAAAAAAAAAAAAAAAAATAATAAAAATGAAAAAATATATATACATATATATGTATATTATTTTTTAACTGTCGAATAAAAATAAAAAAGTAAATATAAAAAAAGCGACGTCAAATGTTGCAGCTTATCATGTATTGAATTATCAAAGGGGCAACTTAAAATAATGTGCAAGATGAAAAAGCACCCTTAATCATGCATACCCTTTTGATGGGAGTAGTGAAACTTTCAATAGGATTTTTCTCAAATGATTATGTAACAAAGGAGAAAGCTGTTCTATTATTACATAAAAACACCTTGTTAAATGTGTTATAATTATGTGTACTTTAACAAGGATAGTGTTTGTGTATGTATGTGTGTGTGTGTGTTTTTTTTTTTTTTTTTTTTTTTTTATTTGTAAAACTGCATTCTATAAAAACGCACACAACTGAATATATTCGTATAATTTTTCCTAGTTAATTCTATTATTTTATTTATTTTCCTTTGAATCTGTGTTCTAAATGGGAGAAAGAAAAATTACCAACGGTGTTAAAGCCTCATCCCACAAAAGAGGTGCATATTATTTTCGGAAATTTCAGGTAATGCAAATACTACATAACAGAGTGCCATATTTTGGGGCGCTCTTAATGTGTGTGTAGATATGAACAGTTGTTAATACTATCACTTTTCATTTGAATTAGCACATAAATATTTCTTTTATGTGTGTTTTTTATGTTCTACGAACTATATCTTATAAATTTTCAAATTTTCATCACCCTATCCTTCTTTTTATTTGAATGTTTCTTTCTTTTCAACAAAATGGTATGGAAGAATATAGTAATTCGATTCTTAACAAAATTAACTGTTCATAACACAGTTTAGTAAGGATACAGGTGTTTTTTTTTTTTTTTTTTTTTTATTTCCCTTTTTCTCTCAATCTTTTTAGAAAAAAAAATGTGCATAAATATTAACAAGACCTTCCTACCTACTACTACTTGAATTACATATATTTCATTTTTCTTGGACGAAAAAAAAAAAAATTTAATTAACATATAGAACGGTGGAGGGTAGCGACTTTAAGAATAGGAAATAAAAAAACAAAATAAAACCACCACTAAAATGTAAATAAATTGATGATACAAAAAATAATACACAATGTTAAAATATTTATTGTTTGAGCAAAAATAAGTACAGCATTTGAGGGTGGAAGGACTTTTTGACACGCAAAATAGTTTATAAAAATAAAACATATTTTTTCAAAGAAATATATAAACCATTAAGGGAAAAACCAACTAACAAATAAATTAGTTAAAAAGGAATATAACAGGAGCACAATAATGCTACATAACGAAGGAAGGAGAATTAAGTAGAACTTACTAAACTTTAAGCTCAAAAAAAGTACTGAAAAAAACAAATAAAAAAAAATAAAACAAAAACCAACAATACCCCATTTACGACCTTAGCACGTTGTACAATTGCATATATTTATATATATATATATATATATGTATATATATATGAATACATAAATATGCATTATATATATATGCAAACATATAAATGTTGTTGCGCAATGGAATGAATATATAAAATTGTATACACACTTAAGTGATATGCATAATATATTTGTGCTTGTTTACATACCAGAATTAATTCGTTTTATCAAATGAAAACTCAAGCACAAAATAGCAGATATAGGGAGAAGTTTTTCTGCAGGTAAAAGTTTTTCACATAAAAAAAATATTAAGAAGTATAATATTTATGTAGCTTAAGCAAAAGAAATGATACAAAAGAGCAGAGAAAATTTTTATTTTTTTTTTTTCTTAAAAATTACCTCATGGAAGAACCCTATATTTTGCTCAGGCTTAATGGATTATTATTTTCTCTATACATATTAAACAGGTTTAACACATACTTCAAAACCTCCATAAAAGAGCAATAAAACAACAAACATATTTCTACTACCGCTTGTTTCAACCCACAGGTGCAAAAAAAAAATAAAATAAAATAATTTGTAACTTATGAAATAAGGGAAAATAGTTACACCAAAGCATGAAAATTTTTGCACACCCCCCGGCTAAGGGTATAGGATTATTTTTGAATTAAGAATATATACACATATGCACAACATTTCGCATCCGTTTATGTGTGTGTGTGTGTGTTATTTTTTTAATAAATTAAAAATAGTTCCCAAACACTTAAAACGGTACGCACTGATATTTATGTGTACATGAACACACATATCGACACATAGCGAGAGTGAAGGAAAGGAACATATACATACAGCAGCAGAAGGATTTCCCACATAACCTGTTGCAAATATCAATTGTAAGCAGGGAAAATAAGAAGAAATAAAAACAGTAATAGCGTAAAATAAAAATAGTAGTAGCATACAAGATAGTAGTTGCATAGAAAATAAAATCAGTAGTTGCATAAAATAAGGATAGTAATAGCAACACAAAATGCTGGACACGTTCAGGGAATTAAACGATTATAGCAACTTTTTGCCGAAAAAAATTAAGGAAAATGTGAATAAAGAAAAATACCAAATTTTGCACGAAATTAAAAAGATCGTTACTGTTAAAAAAAACAATTCGTACAACATTACCCTAGTAATAAAGTTGTGCAACACATATGAAACTATCAATACAACGAAGCACAAATCCTTTCATTTCTACATTTTTATGATAAAATATTTATGGTATTCTTTGCAAAATAAGAACATCAGTCCAAACTTAAAATCGTACATTTGCCAAAACATATCAAATATCCTAGATAATATCAAAAGTCACATTTTGGACGATTACTTTTTTGAATATGATAGAGAACTGATATTGAAAAATGAAGAGGTCAGTAGTATTAGCAATGTTGATATACTAAGCGATGTTCCATATGATGATGGAAATAGTAGTGATATAACGAATAACTCCTATGCAGATATTAGTGATCATTATTATGATGAATATAAATGTACAAATGAGGAACGAAGTGATGTTGATAGTACTACTATAAATGAAAATAAATTACACATATCTGGAGATCAATACTATATATCAGTTAATGGAATATACGATAAGGTGGAAGAGAACAATGATCCATTTCTTAATGAAGAAATTATAATTAATGGAAAGAATGAAAGTTTTCGATTATACATTCAAAAGCGTATATTTAATATTATTGATTATAAATATTTGTTTAATTTATTTTATGATTATGTTAGTAATAATACGAGAAAACAAGGTGAATATAGTCATAATGCATACAAAAATTTCATTACATCAGTTATCAATTTGTTAGCAATGCTTAGGCCCTTTTGTTATTACAACATTGATGTACATAATTTATTATTCGATTTCTCTTTAAATAATATGTTTTCCATAAAATATGAAGAATATATAGACAAGAGGGAGGATTATTTTATAAAGCCATTCAGTCTTTTGTATAGCAATAAAGATAATGGTGAAAACAACAATAATGGCAATGATAAGGATAATGAATCTTCTCCTTTTTGCATAAATAAAGAACTAAACAAGAGGGCCCCACCTGGAATGACAACAGAAGGTGGTAGTTGCGAAAAGAGTAAATCAGATGATGGTACAGACACACGCATGGGAAATATGAGAAATTTTGACGAAAGTGTTATGCAACATATAGACTTATCCATATATCCTATTGAGAAGCTAGAATTGTGCACAAGATATAATACTGTATTTTTAAATTTTTTAATGTTAAGTCAGCTAGGTTCAGATGATTTATGCTTTAAGTTAATAAAATATGAAAAAGTTCTTTACTTGTATAAAAAGTTAAAAAGGTACAATTGGCATAGTATCAACTATGCATTTGTTAGAATTGTGTATAAAGGATTAAAATATGCATATATGTATAATATAAATTTGCAGAAACAGATGAAAGAGATACTAAGTCTTCTCTTTTTTTTGTTCATATATTATATAAAATTACCTTGTAATGCTCAACTGAATTCTGCCAAAAAATACATCCCTGAGGATTACAATTTATTAATTAACGACGATGACAGTGTTGTGAAAACGATTTCGAAAACGTTCGTTTTTTTACTGAATAAAATGTATCGAAAGGAGAGCGAATATCCAACGGAAGAAAAAAGTAGGGAAAAGGAAAAACAAAAAAAAGAGGAATTATTGCAACAGTTTCTTGCCATTTTAAATGACAAAAATTTTAATTTAAGCAACTTTGATGAAGTAGAAATTGAAGAAAACCAAGTCGATTCTGAAGGAGGAGAGAAAAAAATATATATATCATCCCTCTTTCAAAACCTAGACACACACGAATTTTTTAACATTATTACTTGTCTCTTTATGCCACACATACATCCGTCCAGCGTGGGGAAGCATTTAGGGAATATTAGTTTGTTTATAAACACTTTTCTCTTTTGTTTTATTAGAAAGTTTAAGAGAGAATGCATGTACATGAAACGGATGAACGGGAGGAAGCAGTGGGGAAACGGATGCAGTGGAGGAGGTATAAGTAGTGAAAATCTCAGTGGAGGAGATATAAGTAGTGAAAATCTCAGTGGAGGAGATATAAGTAGTGAAAATCTCAGTGGAGGAGATATAAGTAGTGAAAATCTCAGTGGAGGAGATATAAGTAGTGAAAATCTCAGTGGAGGAGGTATAAGTAGAGAAAATCTCAGTGGAGGAAACATAAGCACAGGAAGAAAATGTAATCACCATGAACAGCAAGGAGTGAATACAAAAATGAATGACTACATAACGAATTACTTTATCTCAGAGGAAGACAAAAAATTCGTTATCGAAAAGTTTACGCAATTAGCGATGCAAGGAATGTTCCCCAAAAGCAGCAAAGGCGTTAGCCTCTTCGAAAATATTTTAAAGCACATATGCGTGGTTGATATAAATTGCTTAGATATTTTTGTTAAGAAAATTATGGAATGCCTTATTAATGTGAATATATCGACGCAAATTTGTAACTGCCTTTTGTCTCTATGTCTAATATTACCATTGTTGATCAGATACAAGGCAAATCACTTAAAAGATTTACTACCCGTTATGAACATGGGTATTGATATATGTGATGTGTATAAAAGTTTCACGATATTTTCTTTTTTAAGTATCCTATTTTCATACATTTGTATTGTAAAAATTGATAGCGTGATAAGCGAATCCGATATGCAAATGACCATAAGAGAATATAAACAATTTATGAACATAGAAGGAAACCAATTATACACATTGAATTCACTGAATGATGAACAAATCGAAGAAGTTATGAAAGAGCGGAAGGAACTAGTTGACTATCTTTGCTATTGGATTCATGAATTTTTTGATAAAATCCTTTATTTTATGAAATTTACAAAAAATGAAAAAAGTAAAGACACAAAAAAATTAAATGGGGAAAAGAAAGAAAACAAAGTAGGAAATGATGTCTATTCTGGATTGAAGACGACAATCATATCTTTGTTTATTCATTTAGACCACGAAATTGTGTATGAACTTTGTCATAAATTTTTAAATAACATAGAACAGGAAAACGCAAAATCCTTATCCATAATTCCGTATGCTTTTGGTCTAGTGAATAATAAAAAAATTTACGACACACTTTTTAACTCGTTTTACAGAAAGTTAATCACAAAAAAGAAGAAAAAAAGATTAGTTTCGGAAAGAACAAATGCTGCAGATGCTGGATCTTCATCGAGTGCTACTACTACCCCACACGAGGAAGAGGAATATTTCGTTTACACCAAAAATGAGTATGCAAATGAAGATACGGTGAAATGCTATTTACAGTTTTTATCCAGCCTAATTAGAAAAGCAAACGATGATTTTTTAAATTTGGAAGATTTATATAAATTAATTGAAATATACATCATTGAAGATAACACTAGTACTTTTAAATATATATGCAAAATTATGTACAGATTTTTAGAAATGAACTTTAGCTTATCTGTGAAGGAATATTCTTGTTTTAAGATACAAGAAAATATGAATACACGAGAAAAAATTCGTACTCTTGCGGGATGGGGTATTCCATGGTATATCTTGAATAACACCAAAAAGGAGGGAAATGAAACCAACCAGCAGAAATTAGATAAACATAAGACAAGCAGTAATAGTGGAAATGTTGTTAAAGAGGATACAAATTGTGTTTTTATGGAGAAGGAATGTATGGAAAAACGTTACATAAGACAAGTATTAAATGCTGAAGAATTAGTAAAATGGAAAACTCCATCACAAGAAAATGTAAAAATAGGGAAGAATTTTACGTACTTTCTTTTAGATTATTTAATAGATCTACTAATTCAGTGTGATATCCCAATTTATACTTCTAATTTGTTAAAATATATAGAAAAGAGAAAATTAAGAGAAAAAAAAATAAATTGGAAATTCCCGTTAAATCATTCTAATATGATGTCTAGAACTTATAAATTAATTAAATGTATTATTAAACCACTTAGCTGTATATATCCTGATGAAAGATATAATTATAATAATCTTCTAACCAAATGCCATGTGGTGAATACAAAAATCTCCTTTTATTTATATGTTTACATGAGTGAAATTATTGTAACATTATCATTACATGTGCTAAAGATACCAAAGCACATTTTGAACATGTATGCATATACTCACTATAACAGAAACGATGAAAAAAATGAACATAGGGAAACCATGAATTCTGTAAATAGTGAAAATAGTGTTAATGATATGCACACAAAACAGGTGATAATTGATATGAATGAAGAGAAAAAATTAAAAGATGATTTCTTCACAAATGTCATTAATAAGAGAGAAAAGACCATCAAAGCAGATGCAAAGATTCAAAGGAAAATTGTTAAATGTATACACTTTTTACTTTTAAAATGTAATGAAAATGCCAATATGACCATATATAATGAATATATTAATAGCGTACTTTCATTTACATACAATATGTATCCATATAGCTATAACTATGATATTGTTAAAAGTCAATACATTAATAATATATTCTATTTGTATAATGAAAGATTAAAACATAGGAAAAAAAATTATTCCTTCAAAGGTTATCGTGAACAGTTGTGTAACATTCTATTTTTCATAAACTTGTCCATTTATTCCCAAGTCCGATCTTATGCACAGAGCACATTAAAACTTATTCTTCCCACCTTTAAAATTATTAAAATTCCATATCTCAAAATTTGCTCATTTTATCTGAAGAATTACATTAAGCTGTATATATCCATACGAAAAGAGAAAAATAAAGATAAAAATAATAATGCACAAATGATAGAAAATTCCCAGGTTGGAGGAATTACAAACAACTCAGAATCTAAGAATGGTAATGATATGATTCAAACTAGCCATGAAAGCATAAGCGAAGTGATTAACGAAGGAAACAACGAGAAAAATGATATCCTAAGTGAGAATGGAAGTATAAGTAAGATGAGTAGTCTGAAAAATTTCGGAGAACTTAACAATCATGACTATTTCGAGAACAAATGTTTAAGTTGCTTCAATGGAATACTCATAAATATAACAAACAATTCTGGGCTGGTAAAGAAAATAAGTGGGGATATATACCTATTGAAAAAGTACATCAAAATTATCATAAATATTTTAAGATTGGAAATTCAGAAAGATGAAATAACTTTAAAGTGCATGAAGTTAGTGTATGCCATTATTAATAATAGATTTGTAAAAAATAGTGAAGTAGGAGTATCATCATCTGGTGAAGATAAAAGGAAAAAAAAAAGTATGAATGAATTCTTTTTGTTTTTGAAAGGGGAAAGTGAAAAAAAAAATAACGTCTACATACAAGTCATCATCTTATCATTTCTGATATGTTATGATAATTTTGTAATATTGAATCATAATGAGTTTTACTTTAACTACTTGCTAGAAAATTTAAGTATAAAAAAAAACGTACATGTGTATAACTTAGCTTTTTATGGATTTATCAAATTTTTAAAATATTTCAGTATGAATAAAGACAAGGGTATCATACCAGCACATATAACAAATGTATTCAAATGTATAAATGTGTATAACAAATTTGCAGAAGTTTGTATATACAAAAATATGAAGAGCAAGAAAAAAAGTAATAGCATAAATGCCATTATCGTGAACTTGTCCAAAATTCAAAAATCCTTTAATGGGTTTTCCCACATTAGTGAAACACACGTGAAGGATTTTTTCTACTACTATGAGTTTTTCAAATTTTTGGTTAATATGCAGAATGAATTTAACGAGAACCAAGGAGAAGTAGATGCAACGGGAGTTGTAAGTTCAGATGTGAATCCAGTGGTGAATACACTAGAATCAGCGCAGAAGTCAGACAGGGAGAAGAACCCCGATGAAGGGAAAGATGTAGAACCTGTAAGTAGTGAACTGAGCGATAAATGCGACCAAGAGAATAACAACAATTTTAAATTTATTGGAAAAGTAATTCATATATTGAAGAACCTACAAAAAGACGTACATGCCGATAATGAATATAAATCTACTTTCATATCTCTAATTTGCCCTTTGCTTTTTGCTTTGAGAAAATTAAAAAAAAAGGGAGAAGCAGATGCAATTTTCGAAAAGGTCATATCATTATTAGTAAAAGAAATAGCAGTTGTAAATATGGAAGTATTCAACATATGGATATATTATTTTCATTTGCTTTTTATCAATATAAAAAAAAAGTACATTCATATATATGACAAATTATTTAAATTTTGTTTATGTTTTAATTTTCAAGATACGTCGAATTTAATTTTTAAGAAAAAAACACAGTTATTAAATATTATGCTTATATACAGTATTCATAAAAATATTAACCTCTTGGACAATAATATAATGGAGTTTTTAAAATTAATAGATAATGATAATATAACAGTTAGGCAAGTTGTTGGAGACCTTATAGCTTACTTATTATATGTACTACATGATAATAGATATTATTTTCATTTGAAATGTATGTACATGAAAATATTATTATATTTATACAAAACTTCATGTGATGTTATTGAATATTTACAAGGCCAGGAAATGTTGTCAAAACAGTCAAAATTTATATACGCACTGGAAACCTTAGCATATATCACCATAACAATTTTTTCAATTAGAAGTATGTATGTGCTAAATAATATAGGTATTTTATTTTTGAAGATGTTTATTTTGTCCTTTCAATTGATAGATAATTTTATCAATGGAATGATCAATAAGGCCATCAATTGTTTCATGTGTCCTTCATTATATTTATTTAAGTTTGAAAAAATATGTTATGAGAATTGGGAACAGGGAATATGTGAAAAAACTGGATCAAGTGAACAAATTGGGAAAGGGAAGACAATCATAAGTAGTGATATGAACCACAATATTGGAACGCCTGAATTGATCAGAAACTTTGATTTACTATTGAAGGAAAATATGGGAAACTTATTTATACGAAAAATAAGTGATTTATTAAATAAAAATAATTGGAAAATTCGGAATTGTGCGTTGCAATTTTGTTTTTATTTTCATGCATATTACTGCGTATTTTTTTACGATCGAAAGGAAAATACCTTCCTTCTAAATGTATTCATATCATTACTAGTTGATAATTATATTGAGATTCAAAATTTATCACGTGGTATTTTATCATCTGTTCTCTGCTTTTATGATAGTCAAACAGTACAGCAAATATCTCGTTATTTTTTAACCGTGGCAAATCAAAAAAATACTGTCCCATTAGTATCCCATCCAAATGCGAATGAAGAAATTAATAATGGCAACAAAATTATGGAAAGAAAAAAAACAGCTGCTATATATGCCCTTATCAGTGTTGTTAATTCATATCCCAATCATGTACCTGAATGGCTCCCAGACATTTTGATAAGTGTAGCTAAAATGTCCAATAACAAGGTGCATATCATAAAAAAGGAAATAGAAAAATGTATTCAGAACTTTTTGAGAACACATAAAGACGAATGGGAATACAAATATAAGTTGGTTTTCACTGAAGATCAGTTGAACACTTTGGACATGTACAAGGGTGGATTGAATTATTTCACGTGAATCGATGTGAAACCATGTATTATGACTAGTTTAATGCTCGATAAATTATTGCAAGAAATAAGATCCACATAGTAAAAATGCTACTTGATATATATAACATGCAAAAGCATTGCAACATTTAGCATGCAAAAACTTGGACACACTAGAGGAAGGAGAGTACATAAATGGGCTCTCTTGAAAAGATGGATACAGCAAGTTGATCACGAAGATATGCACAACATGTTTATATATATGTAACACACATATATATATACATTCGTATGTTTTGAGTTTTTTTTTTTTTTTTTTTTTTTTTTTTTTTTTTTTTTTTTTTTTTTTTTTTTTTTTTTTTTTCTTCTGCAATATTTTTCTCATTCTTTTTCGCCCTTCTTATGCCCCTCTTACGCCGATCTTACACAAACCTTCCTTTTTTTACCCATTATGAATTTATGTTAACCCATTTTTTCAAAATCAGTAAAATAATCTGAGCAGACATTAAAAATTGCCTTTACGAGTTCCCCAAATTACAGTGATGCTGTATTTCCTTGAAAATATTTATACTGAAAAAAAAGAGAAAAAAAAATGCATTAATGCACATGTAGGAGTGTAAAGATTAATGTACATGCGTGCAAGTATTAAAAACTATCGAGGTGGGTTGTAATTACAAAACATCAGTAAAACGAGTATGTACACATATATATTGTCCTATATATAAATGCACATTTCATGACTTACTAATTGTGATTCGAAAATTTCGAAATGTGTATAGGAATTGTCTCAAGCTCATAAAAATTTTTTATAGCTTGAAGTCTATCTTCAACATTAGAACTAAACTTGTCACTCTTTGTGCAAATGATTCTAAAAGGTATATTTGTTTTTCTGTAATCAAAAAAAAAAAAAAAAAAAAAAAAAAAAAGTAATTGGGAGGGGGTAAATAGCTAGAATAATCAAGCACATCGCATGCATATTATACAGTTATCTTCTCTATCTTCATAACTTATTTTTTAAAAGTGAAAAATTATATATTAAAAGTTTGTTCACACGAACTTTGCACGTATTATATATATGTGTATTATTTACTTTATGGCATTTACTATGGATATGTCAATTTTCTGTATATCAACGCTCATATCAATTAGAATAAAAAATAAGCATAATTGATTTCTCAAAAATATATAGTCCTCTATATTTTTTTTTAAAAATTCCATTTTTTTTTTGCCTATTCCTACTGCATAACCAAAACCAGGCATGTCTGTTAAAATGAATAACTTTTTTTTTTTTGCATTTTCAAATGAATATAAATTGATTGACCTTGTGCAACCACTGTTCTTTGAAACTTTGATATTTATGTGTTCCTTGACATTTATAAGATATTTAATAAAATTTCTTAGAAATGTTGATTTTCCTACATTGCTTCGTCCCACTATGCATATTTCGTTAACCCCATAATTCTCAATTTTTTCAAAAATGTGGAATTTTCCTAAAAGGGTAAGAATGGTAAGCAAATGGAAAATAAACTCGAATCAAGAGAAAAGTATATGTCCAAATGGAGATAAATCCGAAGTAAACAAGAATCTACATCAACAATGTGTGGCATCAATTAATCATAATCTAGTTGCAAGGCTGAAAATGGGAATACACAAATAGACACACTAAAAAGGTACAGGTTTATTACTGTTTTTGTATACAAAACATAAAAAAATGTATTTCTCTTATTTAATGAGCAATTTATTGGTAATTTAGGAAGAGGCATATAAAAAAAATATATATAAATATATAAATAAATAATAAAAAAAAAGTGTCTTCAAGACAATATGTGTGGAAACATGTATTTTCACTTTTATGTATGTATACATGCGTGCACACAAAGTTGCTCATATGTACGCTTCCCGTTTATGCAATTTTTTTGCTCTTTTTTTTTTTTTTTTTTTTTTTTTTGGAACCTAAAAACGAAACGTTCTTAACATCGGATATGTTAAATTTTTTATTTATCACTAGAAAATTTTTCAAGTTTGTTTTTAGCTTGTTAAAACTAATATTTTTAAAAGGTTTGTATTCTAGGTCTTCTTTTTTTTTAATATCTAAAATGGGGGTGCGAGTGGAGGAAAAAATTGTGACACTCATTTATCTTATGGGTTTTAAAAAAAGAGATATATATATATATATATATATATATATATATATATATATATTTATTTATTTATTTGCTTTTTAACATATATATGTGTACAACATATTTTAGATTTACTTTCAAAAATGAGAAATTTAGTGTTTTTCACATGTTTCTTGACGCCCCCCCCTCCCTTGGGAATGAAGCAGCACACAAGGGTCACATTAATACAGAACAAAAAAAAAAATGAGGCGAACAATTTTCCTATATTTCGCATTTATCATAACGTAACACTATTTTTACAGCAAAATTGGGTGTAAAAAACAAAAAACATAAAAAAAAAAAAAAAAAAAAAAAAAAAAAAAAGAAAGGAATGAACTAACGAATGAAAGAAAAATAAAACATTTTGTTACCACATTACAACAAAAACATTTGGTAAAGTGGGGTATACTACTTAAAAGACGCCTAGAAGGCATACACCCGATCCATTTATGTTTTACGTATCCGGTGTTAAACAAAAATAAAAATAAAACACTTAAGTATATATATACTGTGTATGGTTAAAAATGGTGCTATGGTTCTAATGCCACTACAATAGATAGGATCTTGCTGCTTTTATTTTATGTAAACATTTGTATACAAGCGTACATAAATATATACATGCGTGCAAATACGTTCACCAAATTGAAAACTGCCAAAGAAAAGGACAAGCTCTGAAAATAAAAATGAACACACAATATCTTAATTGGGTAAGATAAAAACTCGTTTTTCTAATGTGTGCGAAACGGACATTTCTCACGTTCTTATATATATATGTGTATGAATTCCTCTTTTGTTCCATTTTTGTTTCATTTTCACCAATTTTACTACATTTTTATTCCATCCCTTTTCACTTTTATTTTTATTTTTTTTCCATGGCGAAGAATGTCAACTGTAATGTAACAATCCGATATGCTGTTCAGAATTTCATGTACCTAAAAAAGGCAATTCACGATAAGAGGTAAATTAGAAAAAAAAAAAGAAAAAAAATCCGTCACTTTTCTGCTTGTTTGTACAAATTTTCAACTTGGGGCGAAACACTTTTTAGCAAATGCAGTGGCTTAATCGGTGATTTAAGCACATTTATTTTGTTTCTTTTTTTTTTTTATTTCATATTAATTTATATTATTTTATTTCACATTTTTTCACATTATTTTATATTATTTTTATCCTTTTGCTTATCTAATTAACCTCGCAAATATTCTTTATCTCCTTATTGTTAATCCCTAAAATAATATCTCCTCTAGTTATGCCTGCAACATCCGCTGGTGAGTTAGCCAAAACATTCTGTATTTTTTGTCCTTTAAAAAAGGAAAAACGTCGGGCGAAGGGGAGGTTCAGTGAAATATTGCACATTAATGAGATACATAGAAAATGAAATTTTCTCTTGTAATCTACATGAAACAAAACAAGACGCAAATACATGAAGTGACTTGATAAACATGTTTTTTTTTTTTTTGAAAAGGTAAGACTTTTCCAGGTCTCCTATTTAGTTACCGTTTTCAGAATTTTTGTAAACAGGTGTGATACCTTGTTCATTTTCTTTTAACACTATCCCTGATGAGAGTTATAGTTGTAATTTAGAGATTCCATGATCATCCGATGTGTTTTAATGTGTATATGTACGAATATATGCATTTGTTCATGCATGGGTACACACATTCACAAAGTATATGTCGTTTGTATTTATGTGTTTTATTTTATTTTTTTAAATGGATACCCAAGAATGGCTCCTTGTATGTTCCTTCGTGTTGCAAATGGGTTGCTACATTTTTTAGAATGTTCACAGGTAAGGCCAATCTGTTTATTAAACAGGAAATAAAATATAGAGGAATCTTATTATATTTTTTTTTTTTTTTTTTTTTCACAAAATTGAATTGTTGCTTGGAAAGTATTTTTATAGATTATTTTTAGTATATAATTTTATCACATACCCATAATTATCTATTTTCTTTTGTATCATTCCTACTAGATTTCCATCCTTATCAATTAATGGTGAACCAGACATGCCTTAAAATTAGCATGATGGATATATATTTTTGTATATGTAAAAATAAGTTATTCGCATAAGTGTATATATGTATGTATATACATACATATATGTACATGCCAGCGCAAGTAGGTCTATGTGAGACTGTAGTATAGAAAATGTGATCAGTTTATCGGAAAATTCAAACCTTTATTAATCGGATTACTTATTTGAATGAAGGGATACAGACAGGTTTTCTCCTGTTCATTAAAATTTTTAAATTTGGAAAATGTTTGTCTAGGTTGATTCACAATACCCACACTGTATGTCCCTTTATCGAAATTCTGAAAAATTTAGTACGTAAAATAAAGTGATTTTTTACAAAAGAAATGGAAACAGTGAGTCAAGCAGTAAAATTTCCATTGAGAAATTAATTTAAAAAAAAAAAAAAAAAAAAGGAAGAAACATAATATAAACCTGTATTTGTCCATATGTAATTACTGTATCTCCTAGCTTCAGACGTTCTTTCATGGAATCTGAGTTAAAATTGAAAAAAAAAAAAAAGTGTATGATTGAGTAAAAGCTCTTTAATGTTCCTCTATCGTGAATTCATTGCTTATTCATTTTGTATATCTACTACCTAGAGGTATGTAAGAAAACTGTTCCTCAGAGTTTATTTTCATAACGCACACGTCCGATTCTGACATTGAGGATTGGGAATGACACATGAAGAAGTATATGAGAAGTGTGCGCATATAAATGTATGCAAGTACAGGTATTATCATGATATGAGCTCATGTCACTTCTATTAAATATATTTTTTTAAAAAAATGAACGCTCTTTTTCCATTCAATTCTGATGTTTTGTCTATAAAAGATTTTACCCCTGTGCAAACCCAATACGGATGCTACATAAAAATTGTCTTCATTTTTGATAACAAAGGTGCCATCTGTATTCTTCAAACAGTTTATTTGAAGGGTAGAAAAAGGGCCATGGGCCATATCTATGTATATTTTTCTAAGTTACTATTTTGTCATGTAGCTATTTTGTCATATTGCTGTTCCGTTACCGTTATGTTGTGTGCAGCGGTTAACACGTATCCTTTATGTGGAGAAGAAAAAAGCGAGCGAAAGTAAATTGAAGAGGTAGGAGGAAAAAAAAAAAAAAAGAAAAGAAAAATTTTATCTGATTTATGTTGTGGGCACCATATGTGTCTAAATAAAAGATGCGTAAAGATCTTATATTTTTGACGCCATTATTTTTACCTCATTTTGTGTAAATGTTAAGTATTGTTTTGTGCCATATGTTAAAGATGAATGGACAGAACTCATGCATAGTTGTATTATAACTTTTTTTTTTTTTTTTTTATGCTATATGTTTTTACCCCTTTTGTCGAAAATGAATCCTGAACCCAAGAATGAGAGTTCATCTAGCGTAAAAGGAAAATCTAAAGAATTAATTTGTTTATAAATTTTATAAATTGTCACAAAGCTGTTTAGTAGATTGTCTGAAATAAAAGCAGAGTATTCATATGCCTCTTTGGAAAATTCTAAATATTCCTTAGATAATATACAAAAGGTGCGATAAAATGTCTCGTATAAAAAAAAAAAAAAGTAAAGTAAAGAATTTACAACATATTTCACATATGTTTTAACGTAATGAAAAATTAGCTGCGTTCCTAATTTTGAGCAGCATTTTTCCTCGTGTTCTATATTTTTATTTAGATAGGAACTAGATTCTGTAAAGTTATCCCTCGGGTTGATGCAGCGGTCATCACTTCTGATATCACTCGCAACACCACTTTTGACACTATTGCGATCGTTGCTCTTGTTCACATTTTCACAAAAGGATAAGGGCACCACTTTCAAGAACACATTACACAAACCATACTTAAATTTTAACTTGTTTTTTATACCATTAATCATATCATCATAATTGCGTTCGAAATTGTGTACACAATTTTCAACATGTAGCTTAGTGGAAAGGAATGAATCATGCTTCCACAAATATTTTGTTCTACAATAAATTAAGCATAGGTATGTTATTGTCATTTGTGTTTTTTTAAATTTTGAGATGGTAACAGGGATGGACTGAAAGAAAATTGTCATGCGTTCTTTGGTGTGTATGCATATCGCATGTAGGCTTAACTTTTATTAAACTTAAATGTGGTAAAAAGAAAAAAAAAAATAAATAAATAAAATAATAAATAAAATAAATAGTAAAAAAAATATATCATACTCAAAATGTTTAACTGATAAAACATTTCGTCCGTTTGGCACCACGCATATATATTTTTACGTACACATATTTTTACATATGAATAATCATACCTACTACTATTTTCTTATTGTCGTGTTTATGCACGCCTTGCCGTTGCTACTGGGTGATGTTAAACAAAAGAAAGTAAAAAGAAGTCTTTCCTTGCGAATAAATCACAATACCAACAATCGGCTTGGTGATAGATCAACATATATGTATACATCTATAAATACATAATCTAAAGAAAAGTGGGTTCTACATGACTGTTTGGGTCGCACACACGAACCCTTTTGCTGCATACACGAACCTGTTTGCCACACAGACGAAACTTTTTGCTGCTTAGAACAACATATCCCGTCGAATGGGATGCGTACAGATTTTTGCCCCACGTGTAGTGACATGTACCACTTGTACCCTTGCAAACGTGTTATTGGATATACATGTTTTTTTTTTTTTTTTTTTTTTTTTGATTTTTTTTTATTTTAATGTATTTAGTTTTTTAAATTGTTTCGAAAGTGAGATAAAAAAAGAGAGAAAGAAAGAGAAGTTAAAAATATAACAGATAAATTGTTGGATACTAAGGAGAGGCACTAGCATAATATATATAAAACCTATAAAATATGTACAAAGTTTTTTTTTTTTTTTTTTTTTTTTCATGTGTAAAAAAATAATCTAAAAAATGATAAAGATTGTAAGTTTTTTTCATTTTCTTAATTTATTCACCCATATGAGATTTTGGAATGATGATTTGGTGTTCATCTTGGTGGCGCTTTTAATACCTCTCTCTTTCTCCCTCCTCCTACACACTGTCTCCACACACACACTTGGTCTTGATTCATCCTGTTTTATCTATTCTAGTTTCTCCTATTCCGTGCGTCCCTTGATTGTAGATTACTTGGTCGATTCACAAATTGCCTGAACTTTTTATGTTAGAGTCATAGTTATAGAATGGATCAGGAACTATCTTTTTATTTTCCTGTATAATGGAATAAATAGTAATGATCAAAATTGTGACGATGATGCAGAAAAAAACAATGGAAGCCCAAGCAAATATGAAAAAAGGTTCAGCTGAATCTTCAGGAGTACAGTTCCCATTGTTACATGGAATGACAGATTGAATATCATAACTTATGTTATATCCATCTAGGACTCTGTAACCACTATCACAAATAGATGAGCATCTTGAATTTTCGAACAGTTCTACACATCCATCATTATTACAATATTCTTTATCAAGGTTCAATGATTGTAAATTAGATGTCTGAGATTCATTTAACTGGATGCCCTGTTCCATATATCTTTGATTATCGTTATCCATGTTGCCCATATCATTATCTGTGCCGTTTAAAAGAATATTCAATTTTTTTTCTATATTAAATTTAATATATTTTTTTAAAATTTCTTTATTGATTAAATTTATACTAGGGAATTTGGGTTCAAATGTTACAACCAAATTTCCAATAGAAATTGTTGTTTCATTTTCATCATAATACATTGGACAATCATATACTACCTCTTTTTCATTAATGATTGGAAATATGTGCTTATAAATATCGCCTATATATTCAAAAATAATCGGACAGTCATTAGCAAAATATATATACTTTCCGTTGGGAAGTTTGCCTCCTAATATATATAAAATATGACCAGGTTCCACCTTAACTTGGTATTTATTATTTGAGTTGTCTTTACTAACATCAACTTTGTTATATAAATCAATAATGTGCTTGTTTGATAAATTATCATTATGAACTGGGTAATTTTTAACTGAAATTTTTGCTACTCCTTTATGTATTTCCATATTTTTAGCATTTCTACTTTCGAATACACAGTGGATATAACTATTTTTCAGAGCATTTTTAATTTGTAGAATTGATGATAAATATTCAGTATTGTACAACGAATTCGAAGAAGATACTTCAATTTCATCTTTGTTAAATATCTTATATATGGACACTGTTTTATTTCCAGATTTGCTTAATGAAACTTCGTCAAAACATTTTGTTAATATCTCGATATTTTCATGTCCATCTCTGTACTTGGGTATAATAACTCCAATGGTATCCCCTTCCCCAATTTCATGATAGCATATAACGTCTGTATAATAATCGTCAAAATCTATATTGTATTTCTCCGATGAAAAGTCACACACATAACCTCTGTTCTCAACAGGGGTGATCAACAGGAGCAAAAAGACGCATATGTAACACACAAGGTTCGACATTATTTGGATCTGGTGTAATAAATGATATTACGTGTTAAGATATGGGTGCAGGAGATAGTGGTGTAACGGAATGGCACAATGAATGGTTTCACGAATGACACAATGAATAGCTTAATGAATGTAGCAATAAAATAATGCGTGGATTTATGGGAAATATCTCTTTATATATGAAGGAGAAAAGTCAGAAGGGGGTGGGTAAGCTTTAAGAAAATTAAACACACCCTTACAAACATATTTATATGTACCCCTTGTATATTTAGCCCCCGTTCACTTAAAATGTGTGCAACATGAACTTTAAAAAATAAGAATCTTAAAACATTAATATGTTATAACAAACAAACAAAAAAAAAAAAAAAAAAAATTAACAAATCATAAAAGTGAGAGAATCATATTGTTGTCTATTTTTTTCATTTTTTCATTTTTTTTTACACAAATAAATAGAAAAATATCGAATTATTTTGAGGAGAGAAAATTTGTTTACAATAGTTGGTACAATTTGGGATTTGTTTATTGTGTAAAAAGAAAAAAAAAAAAAAAAAAAAAAAAGGGAAAAAAAACGAACAAGCAAACAAATAGATATGTAAATAACTCCTCTTTTGGATAGCTTGTGAGTTCAAATAGCCCTGTTTTTTTTTTTTTTTTTTTTTTTCTTTTGCATGCAGTTGATTCGTAATGGAGAGGGCTTAATAACACAAGGGGGAAAGAGTTCTTTATTTGACTTTTTTTTTTTTTTTTTTTTTTTTTTTTTTTTTGTTCATTCTGAGGAAAAATAAAAAAAAAGATCAATATTTTCTTTGTCAGTTAATTAATTTATGTCTTACTAAAGGATTAGTAACAATATGCTTCATGAAAAAAGTGATGTTGTTTCTCTTTTCAAAAATTATGGGAACAGATCGTTGCACAAAAATTAAAATGAAAAATGAAAATTAAAATGAAAATTAAAATGAAAATTAAAATGAAAATTAAAATGAAAACTAAAATGCATATTTGTGAGAATCAAGAAGAAATGAAAAGAACGTGCTCAGCACTCTCTCTTAGAAGGAAAACTCTCTCGATATTCATACAATATTAATAAATAAATAATGTCCTCTTTATTTTATTTTATTTTATTTTTTTTTGCCTTTTTATGGTCTCTTCCTTTAATGATCCATATTGCACCTTTTTTGCTGCACAACTGGCTGAATTTTTGAAGTAGAGATGCCAAATAGTCGTAAAAAAAAAAAAAAAAATACCTTTGAATGTATAAAAATTATCCTGTTTTGTTTGCATAAAGGGAGAGAAAATAAAAAAGCTAAAATAAAAATCATGTAGAACAGAAAAGGTTTAACCATTAAACAAAATCCTACATTCCGCTGTCCACTTGCGTAAATTATTATATATACACACTGCTTAATGTTGAATACGGGTTGTGTCTTGTGCAATTCCACCTTTTTCAAAAGATAAAGTTTCTTGTCCGTGCGTATTTTTATTTGTTGCTCATACATATTTGTAAAATGATGAGTAATTTTTTATAAAATTTATATGTGATTTTTTGTGTTGTTTAAATTTTTAAATTGTAATGGGGAAATTTTTTTAAACCATAAAAAAAAAAAAATATATATATATATATATATATTTAATGTTGCGAATGCTTATATTCAAAAGGATTTCAAAAAAGAAGGGAAATAGTGGGGTCATGGGTAGGGAGTGAATGAGTACGAAAAGGATAAGTGAACAGATGCATGTGTTACATGCGTGCACGTGAAAATGTATGTATGAATGACTTAGATGCACCGGGGGTAGTTGGTGATGGTAGATAAATTGATAGGGGGTATGTATGGATATGGGGGGGGGGGGGGAAGTCCACACAACTTGTATACATATACATACGTACATATATGTGTATGTTACATGAACTTTGTAACTTTTCTTCCTTTTAAAAAATACATTATATAAATTTCTTTCCACATGTTTTCATCTCTATGTGTATATATAAATAAGACCATGCCGATATATGCACACAAATATGTTAACTTCCGCAGGGGCTTTTTTTTTTTTTTTTTTTTTTTATGTATATATACATGTACATACGAATAATATATTTCAACACAATTTTAATTCACGCATATGTATATGCGTATGTGCGAATGTTTGTTTAAGTTTATGCATGTGTATATGTAAGGTATGAGCAATATATAGTTGTGGAGATGTGGTGATGGTGTGGACGTTTGCATGTGCATGTACATGTGTATGTATCTTTCGCCGGTTAATATTCTACTTGTTATTTTATCAATCAAATGTAAAATCCTTATTTAACGCAGCGTCATCATTATTTGCGAAGACGTTATTGAGAGTAATTTGTGTATTGTTTATTTCATTGTTAATAATAAAAGGGAAATACTTATATAATATTTTCCATGCCTTGTTACAAATATTGTCCACTTTCCTATCTTGTAATGCATCTATTTTATGAATACTATCACATTCTTCAAAAAAGTGTACATACGGATTTGCAGGCAGTTCATCCCTTACCTTTTTATTTTCTCCCATTTCTAGGATATTTTCTAATCCTTCTAATGTTACTGAAATTATATTTGCGTCTTCTACATCTAACAAATTGGATAATGAATGTATAGCTCCACATTCTACTAAGTATTCAATTTGTGATTCAGACCCCCCTGAAGATGCATTGGATATTGCCCATGCAGCTTCTTTTCGAACTTCAAAATCTTCTTTCATTAAAATGTTAATAAGTTGTGGTATAACATTATTGTCTATTACTGCTTGTATTTGCGGGATATTTCCAGCAGTAATATTGGACAAAGCCCAACATGCTTCTTTTTTTATACTTTTTTTTGATGAATTCAGTAAACATGACAATTTTTGAACTGCACCCAGCTTAACAACAACATCTGTTTGTTGATCATCTCCTGTGACAATATTTCCAACAGTTCTTAGTGCAGGTGTTTGAACTAAAAATGAGCAATGACTTAGTAATTCAACTACTCGTTCTGCCACTCCTGCATCTAAAACAGCATTAATGTTATCATTAGAACCATCAGAAAGGTAGGACAATGTCCAACAAGCATCTGTTAATATTTCTTCATCGTCATTATAAATTAATGCAGCTAGGGTTGGTAATGCCTTGGAAACAATTTCAAATTTAGGTGCAGGTTTACCTCTACATAAATTGGATAATGTCCAAGCAGCATTTCGTATTAATGTTCTCTTGTGGCTAGTTCTTAAAATTTTTAAAAGTAAAGGTAACGAGTTTTGATTTAATACAAATTCTCTGCATTCAGCTGAATCTCCTGCAATATTCCCCAATGCCCAAACAGCTTGTTCACATACATCCTCTTTTTCGCTATTTAATAACCTAACAAGATGTGGTACAGCATTATTTTCAATTACAACTTTTGTTTGTTCTTGAGAACCTGAAGCAATATTTGTTAATACCCAAGCAGCTTCAAATTGTAAATCAGTTTTATCATCGTATTTTAGAAATTCTACTATATATGGAACAACTCCTGAATTTATTACTTCTTGTATGGGTGGCCCTTTTTCAATAGACAATAATTTTCTTAACTCTCTTGTACTGTTTAATTGGGTTACATATTCAGATGACCTTACTCCTATAGATAAGGATGGAATTTTCTTTAGCATTTCTAATGTATTTGAGCTATTATTTGATGACGTATTATATAATGAATCATTGACTGAATCATTTTGATTTGATTTTAAATAGTTAGTATTATATGTGGAATTTTCTTCAAAGCCTATACTTTCCATTATCATGGCTCTTTTACTTTCTAACTGACATTCTCTTTGTTGTTTTCTTATTTGAACTACCAAATCTTCTCTTTTCCTTCTTGTGTCATCGCAGTTTTTTTTAAATTCTTTTCTCCTAGCCTCAATTCTTCTATCCATTTTTTCTGTTTCTTCTTTTTGTTCTTTGTTTTTTCTTTACTTTATTGTAATCTTACTCAAAAGCTGAAAGGAGGGGAGTAATAGAATAGCAAAAAAAAAAAAAAAAAAAAAAAAAAAAATGGATATGAGGTTGTACAATAAAAATGTTCTTCAAGATTGAAACGTAACCACAGAATGAGTTATGCTTCGATTTTTTACATTGTGCAGGATGGATTACAAGTACTTTAGTAGCATACGTTTCTATGCATATTTATGTATGTTTGCTCATGTATATATATATATATGTATACATATTATGTATATATATGCATTTGCACTCTTGGATGAGCCCTTTTGCAATGTATAACACGAATGGAGCACGTTGTACGAAATGTTTGTGTGTAATGTTTCTGCATAACACTACATAAACAGGATAATTGGATATGCATTATAAAAGTGGATATAAATACATTCATATGTGGTGTAAATGAGCCATACGAAAGGTCATGAATACTTAAATGAACTCACAAAACTGGTGTACACGCACAAGTAATTCAGGTGCATGCAAATGTTTCACGAGTACGTCAGTAATGTGCTTTTTCCACTTTATGGTGAAAACGTGTGCAGGTTTGTGTATATGTGGGCATATGCACGCATTAGCGTTTATAAACGTGGGCAAACATACACAAATTACATAAATGTAAAAAATGTTTCTCCTTAATAATGTGACAAAACATATTCTTACTTAAAAGAAGTTCCTTAATTTTGCGAATGTTTTTTTTTTTTTTTTTTTCCTTTAAAATGTAAGAACACCTCTTCCTGCAGCTTTTTTCCCTTTTTTATACATACTCACGTAAGTACTAATATATGTATACTTACATAGTACATACATATACATATAGATATATGCATATGATATATATTTAAATAAACATAAAAAACATAAAAAAAAAAAAAAAAAAAAAAAAAAAAAGGAAAAATTCTCTTTTAAAGTATAATATGGTTCATGTCCTCTTCTTCTTTGTTGCTACAATACGCATATTTTTTTTTAAAAATAGCGTCCCCCCGATTAACATGCTTTAATGTAAAAAATTTTCTTCGCACAGATCACATACATGGTTGATCCATATGTATACTATAGCTTAAAAATGTCAAAACGAAATTCATTCGACGCGAAATTTTTGTTTCAGATTTACTTGCACCGCAGGAGGAGGGTTCACCATCCAACCTTTTATGTAAGCACATTTTGAAACACAAATATGTATATGCTACATATATATATATATATATATATATATATATATATACATACCCCCACTTATGTACTTATGCAAAATAAATACACCTGTATAGCAGACCTTTCAGCAATCGTTTTTCGCACATACAGAAAAACATGTATATATTCACATGTGTGCTTGTGTATTATACATATATATAAAACACGAGTACATTATAACCTTTTTTTTTCTCTTTTTTTTTTTTTTTTTTTTTTTTTTTTTTTTTGGGGGGACCTTTTTTGGCTTTTTCGACAACTTGCCTTTCCTTCAAAAATAGTTGCTTTTTCACATTTTTTTATTTCACTTAATTTTGCTCCTTTTTTTTATTTCCCTTAATTTTGCTCCTCTTTCTTTTATTTCGTTTAATTTTTCTTCACTTTATTCCGTTTAACTTTGTTTTTGCTCTATTTTTTTTTCTCCCATTAATTCTACACGAAAAAGTTACAAGAGAGTAAATAAAGAGCAATTAAAATTATATAGAAAATAAGCACAAAAATTTCCCCTTTTATTGTGTAAGTATATGATAATTACAAAATATTTACACAACTTTAAAAAAATGAGGAAAACAGTTTTTTATTTTTTAGAATTGTATTTACAACAAAGATATTTAAAAAATAAAGTTCTGTTAAGGAAAATTACCATAGTTTTTTATTTTTTTGTGTTGATAATTATGTAATATTATTTATACATCATTCAGTTTTGCTTTATCCCGCTCGAACACACAACAGACAATTCTCTACAGTGTATGTATATGCACTTTTGTTGATGATAACTTTCTAATGATATACTACTTGATCCCTTATATAATTAGGATAAAACAATTGTTTATAAAATAAAAGAAAGCTGTTATGAGATTGTAGCACATGGTATTTGGATATTTCTGTTATAGTTTTGTGCAGAAAAAGATTAGACAAAATTGTACATTATTTTCCCCATCCCCTGCTCTCCTCGTAAGCGTATAGAAGAACACATGTTTTGCAAATGTGTATATATAAATATCGAATTTATGTTATTATGTATAATGCATTTAAAAAATGCAGAAAAAGAAAAAAAAAAAAAAAAAAACGAACAAAATTTCAGCCATAGTATTAAAAATTCTTCTTTTATTTTTCACTTTCCTTTTACATTGTAAACGTGCAAAACTTGTATTAATTGTAAAATAATTTCGTTGTCGTTAAGGTCAATTTTAAAATTCCGCAATTTTGCTTCAATGGCAATGTGTGATTTAAAAAGTTGCACATCAATTTTGACATATGGTGTTTATGTTATCATTGGGAAAAATCGAAGAGCCAAAAAAAAAAAAATAAAAAACATTGCGGCAGTATTTGTCGTTGAGATCAGATCAAAACAGGCCAATATGCATACTCATTGCACGGGGTGGAGGGTTCCCAAAAAGGGCCATAAAATGTATGTATAAATATGCATAAATGTATGAAATGCTATGGGTAGGTGGGGGAATATATGTGTGTATATTTGCAAAATCATATGCTATAATATACGTATATAACTTTGCGTATACATTTAATCACACCATGTATTAATTTAAAAAAAAAAAAAATTTCATTAGCAACATCAGATTTATGAAACATTTCTTCTGTGTTGCATTGTATTGCGAACGTGAGGTTGTGAGATTCATTATTTTTTTCTTTATACAATTTATTTATTTTTTTTTTTTTTAAATATGTAAATTGTTAGCTGATAAATCGTGTATTACATAATTAAATATCTTAATTAAACAAACATACACGAGACATGCGTGTACTGGCATAATTATTTTGAGAAATTTACATAAGATGGTGACATGCATACACTTTTTTGACAAGCACAGCATATCTACACGGTATATTTTCACGACATATTTTCACAGCACATATTCACAGGAACAAATTTTTTTGCTCGGAAAAGTTCGAGGAAAAATATTTTCTATTTCCCTCTTGCCAAATCGTTTTCATTAATAAGATGAATTAGCCGATTGTGATTTAGAATCGTAGGAATTGTTTTTATCATCCTTTTTATTTGAATAGGAATTTTTTGAATTTCTAGCGGCGTTATCATATTTTTCGTAATCTTCATCATAATTTTTCTTTTTCTTGTCCTTTTTTTTATCTTTAGATGAATACTTTTCCTTTTTTTGCTTTTTGCTTTTGGAAACATATTTACTTGAGCTGTTATTACTTACATCAGAAAAAGATTTTGACTTACGTTTTTTGGTATCTTTGTTTTTTTTATCTCTTCGAGTACTGGGAGGTGTGTCATAATCATCGTCTTTTTTTCCATCCGAATGTTTTCCCTTTTTACTTTTTGAGTAGTTACTGCTTTTTTTGTCATTTACCCGATCCCTACTATCATATGCTTTATTTTTTCGATCATGCAATTTATCACGCTTACTTTTGTCTAGGTCATCATATTTGTAATCATCTTTTTGTCGTGACTTGGTATCTTTATAATAATTTCTATCATCACGTTTGTCATCTCGTTTATCGTTCCACTTTTTATCTTCCTTCTTATTATAATATTTGGACGATTTTAAAGTATTTTCTTCGTCATCCTCACGATCGTAAGTTTTTTCTTTATATTTTCCAGAATTCTTTTCCTCTTTGTAGGTGCTACTGTATGCTTTATGATCCTTATTATACTTCTTATTATCATCCCTTTCATGAGAATCATATTTGCTATATTTTGTTTTATTATAATAATCCCCGTTTTTATCACTGTATTTTTTCTTATCTCCCTTGTAATCGTATGACCCGCTTCTCTTTGTGTATGTTTTTTTTTTCTCATCGTACTTATCATATGAATTTTCTCTATTGTGCGTTTTGTATTCATCATTTTTATATTTATATGATTTCTTATCAGTGTCGTAATATTTCTTATCCGTTTCGTAATATTTCTTATCAGTGTCGTAATATTTCTTATCCGTTTCGTAATATTTCTTATCAGTGTCGTAATATTTCTTATCCGTTTCGTAATATTTCTTATCCGTTTCGTAATATTTCTTATCAGTGTCGTAATATTTCTTATCGGTGTCGTAATATTTCTTATCAGTGTCGTAATATTTCTTATCAGTGTCGTAATATTTCTTATCGGTGTCGTAATATTTCTTATCGGTGTCGTAATATTTCTTATCGGTGTCGTAATATTTCTTATCAGTGTCGTAATATTTCTTATCGGTGTCGTAATATTTCTTATCGGTGTCGTAATATTTCTTATTCACATCGTAGAAATTATTACGATCATGCTTTGGATAATATTGTTTATCATATCTGTCATAATACTTTAGATAACCCCTATCGTACCTTCCAATGTCTTCACTACTGGGATATCTTTTCAGTCTTTTATTGTAAGATCCTTTGTAATACCCATAATCATTAGCACCTCTCTGTTCATAATCGTCCACACCACTATAATCTCCATATTTGCGTTTTTTATCATAATAATAATTTTTATTATATCCATCATGTTTCATGTATTCCCTGTTTTCTTCTTTATCATCACTTCGTACAGAATACGAAGGTGATCTATTTGATTTTTTCTGTGTTTTATAGTTATAATTAGAATAACGTTCTACATTTCCATCTCCTTTTTCATTTTCACATTTGTTATTATCATTATGTCTGTCATGTCCAGAAGCACCATCATCACCTTCCCCTTTTTCTTTCCCCTTTTTCTCATTTGCATTATTATCATTTGAATATCCTTCTTCTTCATGGCTACCACGAGCATGATGCTCATCATTTTTGCCTTCTCCTGGGGACTTTTCAATTGATTTGCTACTATATTCTCTATTTTCATTTTTTCCTTGATCTCCCGTATCTAATCCTTTTTTGGGTGAATTTGCACGAGAATAACTACGTTCTCTTTTGTATTTACTGTATCGATTAATGTAATCATCATTTCTGCGTTCTGCATCCCTTGGTGAATAATTTCGTTTATTAAAGACACCATTTTTTCTTACTTTATCATAATAATTATATTTATCAAAATAATTATTGTTATAATATTTTCGATAATAAAAATTTTTTTCATAGGGAGTATTGTAATTATTATTATATCTGTATTTATAGGGATATTTTCTATACGGTTGTTGACTTGAGTAATTATTATAACTCTCTTTATAATATTTTGTGGGGTTATATCTTCTGTTATTATTATCATAATCATTCTTGTTACTACCATTATCATTGTTGTTGGGGCTATCATAATGGTTATCTTTTTTTCCTTCTTTATTTGAATTGGTTTCATATTCTTTTGCACTATTATCACTTTCATATTTAAACACGCGAATACCATCTCCCTCATCATTTGGATCACCATTCTCTTCGTCACTTTTCTCCTTCTTTTTCGTGCTTTCTTGATCCAAATTTCTTTTTTTTATATTTTCCAGGACAGCTTCATTTTCAATTTTCCAATTTTTAATTTCTCCTTTATATTTTGATAACGACTGACAAAAATCCACATGTATTCTTCTATCATCAATAATAACATTATCCATTTCGAAATAAGCATTTAAACAGTCTTCTTTTTTTTCAAATTCGATAAAAGCATACTGAAGCGAATTGTTCGTAATCTTATCTTTAACAATGTTACAGGATATTATAGGCCCGAATCTTGCAAAAATTGTTTTTAAATCTTCTTCTTCTGTTACTGGATTTAATTTACAAACGAAGAGAATATTTTCAGGGGGTTTTAAATCAGCATCTGGGATATCTCCTAAAATTTCTAGTGTCAGTGCGCTTGCCTTGGCATCCTTATCCTTTAATTCTTCTTCCTCTTTTAATTCTTTGTTCATTTCATAGTTTTCATTTCCCTTGTCTGCTTGGTCATTCTCCACATTAGCATCATCACCTTCGTCCTTCTTATCATTTTCTTCTTTTTCATCACTCGCCATCTTTTTACCCCTCTTAACAACCTTTTTACCCTTCGGCTCTTTCTTTCCTTTCTTACCTTTCTTATCTTCGTCTTCCTTCTTTTCTTTCTCCTCTTCCCCTTCCTTTTCGTTCTTCTCATCCTTCTCATCCTTTTCGTCCTTTTCGTCCTTTTCTTCCTTTTCTTCCTTTTCTTCCTTCTCATCCTTTTCATCCTTCTCATCCTTTTCTTCCTTTTCTTCCTTTTCTTCCTTTTCTTCCTTTTCTTCCTTTTCTTCCTTCTCATCCTTTTCTTCCTTTTCTTCCTTTTCATCCTTTACTTCCTTTTCCTCTTCCTCTTCCTTTTTACCCTTCTTCGTTTTCCTAACCGTTGCTTTTCTCGTTCGCTTATTTTTGGTTTTGTTATCTACAACCTTTTCCTCATTATTGGCCTCATCTTTTCCTTTATCATCGTCAGTAGGTCCTTTGTTTTCATTCTTCTCCTCTTCACCGTTTTTGTTTTCTTCATCTGGTTTTTTCTCAACTGATTGATCCTCCTCCTTTTCTTTTTTTTTAAAGGCAAATGAAAACATGTCTGTTTATCTAGAGGAACCACTGAAATATATCCTCGTTTGTTTGGTATCCCCTGTATGTATGTATGGTTTTTTTTTTTTTTTTTTTTTTTTTTTTTTTTTTCTGTTTTATGCTTTTTCCACGATTCGATATTTGCTCTTTTTGTTTAATTTTTTGCCCTGTTTAATGTTACTTTTCTTTGTTATTTTCTTCTTTTTGCTTTTTCTCCTGTATTTTCTTGTTTTCTCTTGTATCTTTTATTTTATTTATTTATATATTTATTTATTTTTAATTTCTACTTTTCAAAATGTTCACATAAATGTTTATGTATAAAAATTTACATGAAACATTTTTATTTTTAAGAAATGCAACTATCTCTAATGGTTAAACACGTTGCCCCTTCTTCTCAAGGAATTCGAAATAAAGTGAAAAAAAAAAAAAAAAGAAGCCCTAAATAAAAAATAAGCGTAGATTTTTTTTTTTTTTAACACGTACTGAAGATCTGTATAAGATATATGTATTATATATGTATTTATGTATATATACAGATGCTATAAGAGAAAAAGTTAATATATATATATATATATGAATTCATTATTTTTTTTTATTATTTTTTTAAAATAATAGTATAACAATAAAAAAACAAATGGGGATAAACGTTCAACATTAGTGCTTCCGTATGTGGATGGCGAGGGCAAATGATATAATATATATGTAAATTTTTTTTTTTTCTTTTTTCCTTACAATCTTATTATGTATAGTTGTGGGGAGGAGGCTGTGTTATCACAGTATTATTCATTTGCTATACATGTGACAATGCTAAACTTTTTCGTGAGTACAATACTGATATATTCCATGCTATAGTTATGATATCGAACGTTTCAATATTATCATTTTCTTATATGGAATACAAACACATTATTATTATTTTATCTTTTTTTATCTTTTTTTATCTTTTTTTATCTTTTTATTTTTTTTTTATCTTTTTTTTTTTTTTTTTGTTTTTAATTTATAGCTATATCATCAACCTTTTCTAAAATCTTTTTGGGTATTATTTTTTTTTTTTTTTATACCTAAGTAGCTCTTTGTTAAAAGGAGTAGTGACACAGCTTGTTCTTGTAACCATTGGGAATTATGTCACTAAAATAGTGAATATATACATACATAAGCACACGTATGCATTACATGTGTGCTACTTTTTTATTTGTCAAAAAAAAATATGGATGATTATATATATATATATATATATATATATATATATATATTTTTCAGGTTTACATTTCAACGTTTCTTTTTTGGGTCTCACGTGCACGTTAAACATTTTAATATTCTTATATTACCCTCCTTAAGGGGTATATGAAAAGGCACCACTAAATATATATATTCTGTATAAAAAAAATATCATTAATTATGCATATATCATCCATACTATTGGCTTTTAACATTTTTTGTTGCCCATTCGACTCATTTACGGTTACCCACATAAAGGGGGGGGGGGGTAATATACATATGCAGTATGTATATATATAAACATAAATGCATACATACATTTGTTACGTGTTGTATAGAAAAATCTGCTAATCATAACGCTTATAGAGTGAACTTTTTTTTTTTTTTTTTTCTTGGAATATACATATGAAAAAGTGTCACACTTTTATACTTTACTTTTTCATGTTATATATTTGAACAAAATATGCTTTTATGACTTGTAATACACAATTTATTTTTTTCATTTTCATCTTTTCCAATCCTTAAAAAGCAGCCCTTAAGATGATTTTAAATTGTTTTGTTATGCAGTAAAATGTATACGTGCATGCAACTGTAATTTTTTGGATTGAACAAAATAGGCCTATGGTATGAAGCTGAAAAGGAGCTTGTTTTGGAAAAAGGGACAATGATATACATGTATATGCATATACATATATATAAGTAAACACAAATGCATACTTTCTGACTTTGCTTCAACTCCTTCCCGAACTGCATACGAATTCGAGTATAAGCATTTTCTGCCACTTGGTAACATTTGCGAACATTACATTTTCATTTCAATATCTAAGTAGCAGTGTTCATGAAAGAAAGGTACCACGTGTGCCTTCCCCGCTTTGTGGAAAAAAATGATAAATTGGCTGCGTACAATATATGTATATATATTTTTTATGTACAAAATTTTACTGGGCAAAATTTATAGTAATAAATTTCAAAAAGTTTACAAATTGTGTACATATAAAAATACACGTTTATATTTTTACATATAACGTTTTTTACGTACATTTTTATTTTAAAACTTCGAACATTTTTTCACCTGATTTTAAAAATAGGCACAAAAAAATGGAAAAACACACTTTATGCTGCATGTTTTCTATGCACAAATTTATACATATGAGTAAACAGTACACGTAAAACAAAAACATTACAATTTCCAAAAAAAAAAAAAAAAAAAAAAAAAGAGATAAAATGGGGTAAAAATGTGATGCCATTTTTCATTTAATAATACAAAATTTTCCTTTTTATCCAGTATTTGCATTATCTTCACTCGTAGTTACGTCTTAATTATCTTTTCATCATCTAGGTTATACCTTCCTCATCCAGACATATTAGATTATCGTCTTTTTTGTTGGAAATATGTCTAACGAACAAGCCTCTAAAATACGTCAATCACATAAATGTAGTTTGAGCACTATCTACATTTATAATATACATGCAATTTAAAAAAAAAAAATTTTCTTCTAATTACATGCTTAGAAAAAAAATGAAAAAAAAGAAATTATGCTAAATTGGGGAATGAAGAGCTCAAAGCACAAGGTGTAAACTCCAATTTGAAAAGTGAAACGTTCAAAAATGACACCAATAAATCATGGTCTTCATTAAAACGGTAACAAACAAGTAACGTGTGAATATGGGCTATTCCTGCGGAAGCGCACAATATATATATATATATATGTACACATACGTGCGCATGGATACATATTTACGTTGCTAGTATGCTGCAATAACATATATCATTGATAAGCTAAGAATTAAAGGAGATGAACTTCTGTTATAGTCTCATGCTGTAAGTGCAAATGCACGCATGTAAAGTTGCACATGCACAAAAAGCAACAGGTGAGTATGCATCTACAGTTTAAACACAGGTGTGTCTTCTAATTCTGCGAACAATTCGAGTTTATGGAATTTCAGCAATGTTGGATGGTGACAAAATAAACATTGCTTAAAATCCTTTTTCTGCGTTTTTCCGTTTTACTCTTAATGAATGGTTCAATACTTGAAAATAGGTATATGCGTGCATACATATATGTATATATATATATATATATATATATATATACACTGAGTTGTGCATTTTTTTTTAAGCCTTGCTCTCTTCCTCTTCCTGAACTTTATGATCAATAAAATTGATGGACTCTTTGACACAATTTTTAATTCTCCTGTTATATTCAATTCTGTTTTCAACAAACAAAAGTGCAGCTTCTTGGTTAGCTGGACTGTTGGGATTTGGATCACTTAACAGAGACTGAATAGATGTCAATATTGCAGAAATGTCGTAAATCGGGCTCCATTGCTTCTGAAGTATATCAATACATATATTTCCGTCCATATATATATTTGGATGAAACATTTTCGTTAAAAATTTGACCTTGGGTGGTCTGTTTGGGTATTCATTTCCAAATAAAAGTTCTAACTGAAACGTGCCTGAACAAAGGGGGATAAAATAGAGGCCATATTTTATGCTTACATGCTCGAATTGTAGATTTTATTATTATTTTATTTTTTGTTTAGGCCACCGATGGAGCAACCCTTGTAATTGTATCACTAATAATGGCGACATTTTCCTTCTAGTTAATTAACATATCCGCTTGTGGAATGCACCTTAATTTTTGTATTTAATATTTTTCATGCCAATCAAGTTGGTATACGAGTATACACCAACATGTAACTACACGTATGGAGTTCACAAACTAATGAAACTTTTATCCAATTCTATATATACAACCCTCTTCATCCTCCCACTTATTTTTTTTATGGTATCTATAGGATTGAGAGCATAATTGATGTTTATCTTTTATTACCTCCTTCCCAAGGCGTGTCCGTTGGACCGAAAATAACAGCCCTCCATTTCATAATATCATTTCCTATTGGGGAACCACTAACTCCGTAAGGTGAATCAACTTGTAATTTTTTGAAGTCTCTAATTAATCTCTTTTTCGCTAAATTTGACATTTTTTCCTAATATTTATACAACTTGAGCTAGATCTAAATATGTGCTATTGTTAACGTACGTACTTTGACAATAGTCTAGGCATATGTTTTTTTTTTTGTTTTTTTTTTTTATGTACTCATACTTGTTTTTTCGAATATCTAAAGGTAGCTCCACTTTTTATTACAAAAACATGTCTCTAATGATGGCTGGTATAAGGACTGTTGACATGAAGAAAATACATTAACATATATATATATATATATATATAAACATTCCGTTGTATGATTAAAACGTGGATGGGAGACTTCTCATCAATGATGTTATGTTAAACAACAAAACGATGGGGCAGAAGGTACATATCTGTATTACTACGTGGCACAATTCATGAATGTGATATTCAAATGTTTTACATTTGAGGTGCTGAAGGAGTTGATATTACCTGAACAAGCGGATCCCATAAATGTGTGTACATGCGTATGGGGGATGACAGTTTGTGTATGTCTTGATACGATAGGGAGAAAAAGGAACACATAAGCTATCAACTATTTATAATCAAAAGTATAGCTAAAAGGACGTGTAGTATTATTTTATTAATTTATTTATAAAATGAGTACGTTTCTTTCATGTATTGAGAAGGAGAGGAAGAATCACGTAAAAAAAAAAAAAAAAAAAAAAAAAAAAACAGCGTATTTAATTGAATATATGGATATAAGGCTCTATATATATTATTTGTAGCTTTCCTTTTCATATAAATAATGCGTAAGCGCTATACGTGCATTTGTATATAATTTTATGGAGAAATTACCAATGAAAAAAACAGGACATTTTTGATAATTGATTCTCAACTAATGAAATGATAACAAAGATGATGAATTGTTTGCATTTTTTCCGAATTTCACAAGTGAAAAATACGCATTAAATATGTCCTACTTTGGGTTTACCTAATTATAAATAAAATAAACTTATAATACTGTCATCTATTTAATATATACTATTATGTATACATATGTAAAAACATGTGCCTGCAATTTTTTTAATGCATATGTATACATATCTTACTTGAAATAAAGTGAACGTTGTTATATATGTATATATATGCATGTATATATACACATGTGAATTTTTACTAATTTTTTTATTTTTACTGGGATTCTTAGTTCTTTTTATTTTCGCAAAATCTTAATTTTTTTTATTTTCGCAAAATCTTAATTTTTTTTATTTTTGCAAATTCTTAATTTTTTTTATTTTCACAAATTCTTAATTTTTTTTTATTTTCGTAAGTTCTTAATTTTTGTGGTGCGCCCCTATTGTTCCTTTTGTGTAATATGAATATGAAAGCGTGGCAAATAAAAGAGAAAGCATTCCATTTCTAACGCATTTTGATTTGCCATGCTTCAATTATTTTTGCTCAAGTATATATATATTTTTATTGTTTTTTTGATTGCAATTCTTCATTTAAAACTTAGCACTTCTCGTTACATTTCCCTGCCCTTCTTTAAATCCATCATTTTTTTTCAACGTTCCCTACCTTTTTTAACTTCTTTTTTGTTTTATTTTATTTTTTTTTAGTTTATACATTGAGTATTTATTTATGAGAATTTTATGGAAAAGATAACAAGGTGAACATTATAGCCAAAAAAAAAAAAAAAAAAAAAAAAAGGCAAATATACCACTTTTTAACTTTGCATATTTCATATAACATAAACAATTAAATCGTTATGTTACATACGGAATTATGTATATTTTTTTAGATTCTTACACCTATATGATGATGCTTAAATTTTTGCTTACATGAAGGTTATATACGTACAAGTACAACAAATTATATATTAACATTTCTGTACATTCATAACATTACATGAACAAATTTTACTCTTCAAGTATAACGTGATAATGCTTTCAACCAAGGCCACTTTTCACCAGTCAAAGTTAAGCATTACAAGAGGTTTTAAAAAATAAAATAATGCAGTCAGTCAAAAATTCCAGTTTTTTATTTAAATGTATACAAATAAAGGGGCTATATGGATGTTGTCACAAATATATTGACGAATATACGGGACTTTAAAGAAAGAAAAAAAAAAAAAAATAATAAAATAAAAAAACGTGAACACATATTTTAAGAAAGAAAAAGAACCATTTAACAGCTCAAAAAGAGATAGTAATATATTACATATAAATAAACTAATTAGAAGAGTTAGTTACTCATGTTCCACTGGACAGACATAAATTTTGATTTTTAGACGTGTTTGGAATAGTAGACAAACAAAACTGTAAATAGTTTATGATTTTGATTGTCTTTTATGTAAGAAAGGATGCCGAAGTATTACTGTGAATATTGTGACATTTACCTAACACACAGTTCCCCAGTGGGTAGAAGACAGCACGTTCAAGGAAGAAAACATATAAGTGCAAAAATCGAGTATTTCCAAAATTTGTTAAGGGAAGAAGGTATAACCCCACAGAATTTCTTAGGGTTTCTAGGTAACAGGCCATTTAACAATATGTTAGGAAATCATATGATGAATAATATGATGCCTGGAAATTATCATATGTATATGAAATATAATAATATGAAACACTTTCCACATTCTATGCGTAATTCACACCGTTTTCATATGCCAAACAATAAATATTCAAGGTCTGGATATAACCATCATAATTCATCGAACAAATATCATTCACATCATATGCATGGCAATAGTAACAACATTGGGAACATGCCAGGATTTCCAAATAATAAATATTCAAGTAATTATTTACCCCCACCTAATTCTATGAATGTTAATAATAAAATACATAATAATGCAATTGCAAACATGGGAAATAACATGACAAATTCGAATGAAGCAAATAAGAATCATCATAAGCATGAGGTAAAAAATAATGGGGTTAACTATAGTGACAACCCTGGTAGTAATATATACAATAAGAAAGAAAACGGAGACTATTCCAACAATAAGGGTGGTGGAAATGGTGATTCGCTGAATATCAATTTTGGGACTTCCAATGAGGATGATAAGATTAGTAAGGATTCCTAAAAAGATGAACTTTTTTATAATGTAAATCTTTGGTACAAAGAAGTAGATAGTACGCAATTAGGTAACAACTTAAAGGAGTCAGCTGTTTTCAGAACTACATTTTTAAAACGAAAAATTGTTAAATTGAAACAGCTAGTCAGACGCGTACATTTCTGACAAAATAAGACATGTACTATATGAATCATAAATAAGAACGATTATTTGTATAGTGATTTAATCGTTCAAAGGTGAATTGAAAGGGCAGAGGATAAAATTTGTTAAATATTGCAACTTTGCATTTTTATAATTTCCTACAAAATTTGTTTGTTCCTCCTACGATGCTTTCTTTCTTCTTTTCTTTTTTTTTTTTTTTTTTTGTTATATAATTATGTATCATTTTCCGATATATTTTTCGCATTCACCTTTTCTATTTTTCCTTTTTTCCATTTTTTTTTTTTTTTTTTTTGTTCCTTTTTACAAACAAACAAAAAAACAAAACATATATGAATTCATACATTTAAAAAAAAAAGAGTCATAATATGGGATAAACCACTATACACCGTATTTGTACAAATTTATCCAAAGTGAGATATATATTATATTATGTATCCACCAAAGGTAACATAATTTTTTAAAGTGACCTCCTCCTCCTACAGTTTCTTTTTAAAACATCCCTTTTGGTAATTTCCATCTAGTACAAATTCCAAGGAGGGAACCGTTAAATTTTTTTTGTTCTTAGGAGTAATTGAATTCATGTGTCTTTTGTTATTGGGAGGTATTTCGAATAGATTCATTGTTATTCCATTTCGGTGCAACTCAGTGGAATATACAATGTATTCCTTACAATTATATTTCATTGTTACTTTCTTATATGTATATATTATGCACTAACATATATACATATTTGCTACCTTTAGAACGATGCACAGGTCCCTCTAAATTGTACCCTGCATGAAGCATATACATATATATATATATATATATATATATATATATATATATATATATGAACATGTACTGCGATGAATTCGAGCGGAAAAGGAATCCTATATAGGGTATTTAAAAACGGTTGAAGTGTTACTAAGAAAACATGTCCATATAAAAGCATAATTAAAATCAACAGGACTGGATGCATGTAACATTTTACATATATATTTGCATGCATATATACAAAGGAATAAAAGTATGTGTGAAATACTTAACGCTTTATAAAGTTGCCATTAGTTTAAAAAAAAAAAATATATATGTAACAGATTGTTTATCAGGGGATAGGAAACTAAAAAAAAAAAAATAAAATAAAAAAAAAAAGGGGAGCCAAAAGAAAAAAGAAAAAACGAAAATTCTTGAAAGGAAAAAAAAATTAATAAACTTCAAAAACAATCCTCATACGCATGTTTCGCATGCTTCTTCTCATGATGTTCCTTTAGTATGGACTGATTAACTGTGCACATAAAAGTGTGTCTACATAATTTGCAAACAACATTCAAATTCTTTGAAGTATCTTTAACGGTGCTATTCTGTTTTGCTTTGTCATTTCTTTTTGATGATCTGATTCTATCTACTTCGCGTTGATTTCCTCTTGTCATTTTGTACTTTGATCGTCTTGGTGAATTCTGACCTGTTAGGGATTGGTGGTTAGCGTTGCTCAACTCGTATGTCTCTTCCTATGTTTCTTTCTCTGCGTGCAGCATGTGTGTTAACAGTTGCATAAAAATCGCACATAAACAGGTGCATATATTCATATATGTACATGTGCACTGACATATGTAAATACATATACATGTAAATGAGCTGTAGGAGATTCAAAATGTTCTGAGGAACTCACCTAGTAATATGATATATGTCACCAAGGGAAGAAGAATTATCTAATATAGCTTTTTTTTAAAAGAGTGAAAATGTAAGCGTGGGAAGTCAATTTATAAAACACAGAAAATTTGACATTTATGTGTGGCCCGTTAACGGATAAAAAAATATTACACTGAAGAGTAATGATGAAAAATTAAATAAAAAAAAAAAAAAAACCAAAAAGATGAAGCAGAAGCAGAAATATTATATAACTAATTTAAAAAAAAAAAAAATCTTTTAAATCCATTTATCATTCAATAAGGCGTAGTGCATACACTTTAATAACACAAATAACGTTTTTTTTTTTTTTTTTGCTATTTTAATTTTTGCGCAAATTTCGACAAGCTAAATTTTAAAATACAACTAACAGTCTGCGTTTCTTAAAGTTGGGAAAGTAAAACATATAAAATCTGTAAAATATAAGAATGAACTATTTTCACTAAATATTTTCCTTGTTTTTTTGTTTGTTCGTTCGTTTTTTTTTTTTTTTCTCTTTTTTAAAATGCGAATCTGATTCCTTTCAGGAAGTTCGCAGATACACTCCATATTAAGGCAAATTCTAACAAAAAAAAAGGAGTGAATGAGAAAAGGATAAAAGCAGTGGTACAAGCAACGGTTTAAGTGAAGCACACTTAAAGGTATAAATAAAAATAAACCTAATGGGCATAGATGATAACAAAAAGGACAACTTTTTGTTATATGAAAAATTAATTACGGGACTTTTCTTCCAAAATGAAAATGCTAAAAGGGTCGTAAAAATGAAGAAGAAATTTAAAAGGAGACCGAGGCGAAAAATAGAAATGACAAAAAAAAAAAAAAATACATCGTTAAAATGGTACATACGGGATTTTGCCAATAATTTGTGAAAAACTAAATGAATTAAAAAAAAAAGGAAAAAGAAAAAAAGTGCAACATCTTGGCTTGATGAGAGGAACTTTAAAATGATAATAAAAGAGTTGACTTAAGTAGGTAATCGAATAAGAGAAAAAAAAATATGAGTTGACAAAAAACGCAACTTGGTTCATTTAGTCCTTTTTGTGAATAGTCCATTTTTTAATTTTATCTCTACTTGAACATAACGGAAAACTGTAAATTCTGTATACCTTCGTTAATAGAGTATAAAAGTAACGATAAATATAATTCGGTATATATTCTACAAATAGAACTGGATAAATTATTTTTTGTCCATTGGCACAAAACATGGGCTATGAAATTTTTTTTTTTTTTTTTTTTTTCATATGTTCTCTACTTCTCTCTCATAGCAGGGTAAATATCTGACGATTTTTTATAATAATCTTGGAAATTACATTTTTGTACATTTAATTGTTATTTAAATCTGTGTGCTTTGTTACCAGATTTTTACTATATTTTCCAGTGCGAAAAATCAGGCTTTTTGATTTTTTTTTGGCATTTTTTTTTTTTTTTTTTTTATCATTTGCTCGCTTATTCAAATTGTCGCATTATAAAATTTTTCTCATATAAGAACAATCCTTCAAAAGTTCATGGCCAAGTCATCACGTGTCTTTTCTAGAGTCTTCATATAAATATCCCAAATTGCAATATCCTTTTTCACAATATACGAAATAGGGTTTCTTTTTCATTGCAATATGTTTTTATGGTTCCTTTTTCCTCCCCTCAAGTGTTACCTATCATTACGTTATCATGGATATAAATTTTTATTTCCCAGGAAATAACTTGCACAACTATGCGACTTTTGAAGAATAGCTATTCATATTGTAAACAATTTTCTTTTAAATTAGTTTCCTGGTTATGTATAAAATAAAATATATGTATTTAACATCTTTACAGATTTTCTGTGAATAATAAATTGGTCTTATAAATTTGTTTTAATTTTGCGTATGTAATGAATCCTGCATATACCTGTTGGTCATTTTTGCAGTGGTTACATTCATTAGTGTTATATACACTATGGTTGAAAAAGTACACTGATAATTATAGGAAAAAAAAAAGTAAAAAAAAAAAAAAAAAAAAAAAAAAAAAAAAAAATAATAATAATATTAAATCGAAAATACAAAGTTATGACATTAGTTGTAATATTACCCGAAATAATCTATCTCTTGTCAATGACGTATCATTACTATGTTAAATGGTGGATTTTAAATTTTACTATTTTCTTAGGCAGTTTGGCTTAGTTTTCCTATGGGACAATAACAAATTGGCTAAAACAATGCACGCAAAATTAGAGAATAAAAAATACTCATATGGGATAATTCCACTCGAAAAATTACATTTTTTTTTAAAAAATATTGCAAGTGCAATATAGCATCTATTCGATTGTGCTGCTCGTGTGTGGAAAACGTGTTCAATCTTTTTACTTTTTATAAGACCTCCTTTTTTCAGCTTTACACTGGGGACAATTTGTACTATGGGGGATCCTATTTTAGCATTATTTAAATGTAAGTTGCAATTCACTGAGGAGTGGCAAATATTTCCTTAACATGCCCTATATGTATGGATATGTACATATATATATATATATATATATATATCCCCAAACACTTAAACCCATTTTCCATCCTTTCAATGCAGCACGATTAAAAATACCATAGTGAATGTGCGCCCCTGCCCCTATAGGTATATACTAGTACTCTTGAAACTTCTCAACATATATAACACAATATTGTAGTGCATATGTCGATTACAAAAGGAAATAATCAACAAGTAAAATTTACAAATTGTAAAATTATGATATTATTAATTAGGTTTACATGAAAAAACGGGGGTGGGCTGGAATAAGCATATACCCACGTGAGTATTTAATAGACGTGTTTATTACACACGCATGCTATTACACATGTACGTAAACAAACAAACACACACATATATATATGCATGCATAAATATAGGCATATATATGATTCAAAACTTTTACCACGCTGAATATTTCCACATATTCTTTCATATATAAATAAAAAAAAAAAAAAAAAAAAAAAAAAAAAACAAAAAACAAAAAAAATTTCACTAATAAAAATTTTAAAAACAACAATAAAACAAAATTGAAAAAGCCAAGCGCGATAAAAGTTGATATATATATGAACACACATATATGTATAGTGTATGCATAAATACATACATATATATACGCATGCATAAATCAGTTGTTACATACAAAGAAATCAGGAGCTGCAGATGTGCAATGCATAGTATACAAAAAAAAAAATAAAATAAAATAATAAAAATAATAAGCTTAAAAGTGGGATTAAAATATATCCCAAAATATGGAGTCGTAAAAAGAAAGAGTAGAAGAGATGGTACATAGAAGAGAAGGAAAATGAGAAGAGAAAGTATATCATATCTTTTAGGGTTACACATTACATGTAAAATACAATTATTGCATAATCCTGTAGAAAATTGATACATTATGCATTACTTAAAAATAAAATATGTTTGAATAAAATACTAATATATTGGTTGTTTGGTAAAACAGGGAAGTTATGCGGGAACCATTTCAACGTTTGACGCTAAAAACAAAAAAAATAAATAACCGCTTAACTTGGCAAATGGGAAAAAAAAAAAAAAAAAGAATAAGTCTTCCCTCCCTAAACAGTATGCCAACTATACTCACTTATACGTGTACCTATTTATATCATCAGTCGTGGTGTTCATATAATTTGGAGATTTCTTATTTTTCGTGTTTGAAATAATATTTTGAAGAGAAAAGGGATTTTTATCGGATACATTAACAGGAGAAAAATCTAAATTAGGTACACCACCACTATTAATATTACTACTAAGATTATTATTAGCGTTATTAATAGAATTATTTTTACTTCCATTATCATGCCAGTTTGTTCTATCATTTGAATTATTTGGATTGCAATATGCTAGTGCATTATTCATATTACTGCTGTGAGAACCCACAGCACAATTATTATTATTTAGATTATTATTCATATTACTGTTTAACATAAAAGGCAAATTGGGGTTATTATTGTGAAAATTTTTATTTTTTGTATTATTCATGTTATTATCATAAAACATTTTTGCATTCATCATATTTTGATTATTTAACATATATGGATTCTGTGCTACTGTATACTGATTATACATAGAATTTGTATTACTATTTTGTTGATTGTAATTATTGTTTAAAGAACTTCTTTTGTTCATTAGAAAGTGTCTATTATTTATGTTACCATGGTGATTGTTCGGAAAGTTCGAATTGTTAAAGTAATTTAAATTGTCCATCACACCATTGTTGTATCTGTTTTTGTCTACATTGCTATTGATGTTGTTCTTAAGGTTACTGTCGAAGGGGTCATAAGAGTTCATGTTAATACTATTGCTGTTTCCATTGTTGCTATTGTTATTACTGTTGTTATTGTTACTATTGTTATTATTGCTAGTTTGGTTGTTACCTTTGCTATTGTGGCTATTATTGCCTAGACCGCTGTTACCACATTTCATTTTACTGAACTCACATTCTTCGTTCATTTTCATATTATAATTGTTTGCATAATTCATTTTGTTATTAAAATGAGGGTTTGAATCATCCAAGCACATGTGGTTGTTTGGGGTATGTATAATTTCCGAATTTTGCGCGTTCATAAATTTGGAATTATAACTGTCTTTTGTAAAATGTGGAGGATCAAAAGTCATGTTACTGTGGTTCATTCCGTTCGAATTCATATTACCATGATACATATTATTTTGTGCGTTAAAATCGTTGAAATTACTTTCAGCCATTGGATTATAGCTTAAATGATTTCCATCAAAATCCTGGAAATTATTATCTACATTGTTCATATTATTTGAATTCATAATTCCTATCATACCTGGTGTTGTGTGATCATAATCATTTAGACAAAAATCGTCATCAAAATCATCATCCGAATCATCATATTTTTTTTTCTTTTTATATTTATCTTTGTTATGTTTATCTCTTCTTCTATCTCTATCTCTATCTCTATCCCCTCCACTTTTATCTTTTTCCTTATCTTTTTTTTTTTTTTTTCTTAATTTATCTTCATATTCGTATGAAGAACTGTTATCATCTGACAATACATCAATATGTTTTTTTCCTGACCTATGTCTACTTTTAGATTTGGACTTTTTATCATTATGGTGATGGTGATGATGACTGTTACTTGATTTACGATGATGTCTACTATTATTATAACTTGTAGAAGTGGCTACCCCATATTTCTTTTCTAATTTTTGGACATCATAATAACTTATAGAATCTTCTCCGATTTTTTTTTTGTGTTTACTTCTATATGAACATTTGTCACATAAAAATTCATAATTATATGTATCAACAAATGTCGGTCTCCCACTGTTACAATAATTGCATCTTTCTTTCGAAGATAAGAAAAATAACTTTTCAACGGCTAAGGCTTCTTCATACTCTCTTTCTGAGATCCCTAATTGTGTAGCTGATGACATTTTTTCTCTTGCGTATTTTCGTGACGAGGGATTTTAAGTTGCATTAATGGATAATATGCGTGTGTACGCATATAGGCGGGGGTATATACATATATATGTATATATACATGAAAATGCGTACACATGTATACATATGCATACATGCATACACGATTTAAAAGATCATAATATTTAAAGCAAAAATGGAAGAAGCGGGGAGAGGGAGCAGGGATTAAATAAAATAAAAAGGATTAAATATAATGAAAAGGATTTAATATAATAAAAAGAATTAAATATAAAAGAAATGATTAAGTAAAATAAAAAGGATTATGTAAAATAAAAAAGATTTAGCATAATAAATGAGATTTAGTAAAATAAAAAGGCTCAATTTCTTTATTTATGCTGTGCTTTATATACAGAAAGCAAATAAATCGTATGCAAAAAAAAAAAAAAAAATAAAATAAAAATAAAAATACTTATTATTTTTATTTTATTTTTTTTTTTTTTGGGAGGTACGTTAAAACCTTAGAAAGGGGAAATGCGCCACAAAAATGAGCTGTTTTTTAAAACTATGAATGCGGTAGATTACTTTGTAAAAATACACACATAACGATATATATATATATATATATATATATATATATATATATATATATACGTATTCACGTTAATATGGAACATAGGTATAATGCTTCACATAATCGTGGTTAGGAACATGTAGGACTTCTCAAACAGACCTATACCATTATGTATAGATACACGCATTTGTCATTCATTATATCATTTTATTTATGCCCATATGTACCTTGATTTTCTGTAATTCACCCTGTACGTAAAAACATAATATGAGAGAACGTTAACATATAGACGCGCGACGTGTTAAAAAAAATTAATTAGGATGCTTGTCATGTGATTACTCCTTATGTCTGCATGCTGCTAATACATGTATAAATGTAAATGCAAATATGTACAATTCGTATATACCCCTTCAAATGAAAGGAAACTTTTTACTCTTTTTTTATGTAAAAATGTAAAATTAATTAACTTTGTATATCTGTTTTGAAAAAAAAAAAAAAAAAATCGTGAAAATGGGCATGATAAATAAGCATAAGTGCTTGTGGGATATTTTCACATATATATATATGCGTACATATATCGCATGAACAAGTTAAATCATAATAGTAAACGTTAAAATGAAAGCGGCGGAGAGATTATCATAGCAATTTCACTTCTTTTCGTTTTTTACACTTTTTTGCTTCATTTTTGGGTAAAATGTCGAAATGATCGCAATCAGCTTTCAGTCAATAATAATGTATATATATGTCAAAAAAAAAAAAAAAAAAAAAAAAAAAAAACCTTTAATTTTCATAAAAAGGAGAAGAGGAAAATACACAGGAACTTTAAAGCAATCATATGCAATTAAATATTAAAGAACATGAAGAAATAATTAAAAAATGTTCAAATATATGGACATTATCATTACATATATATGCGTATAAGTATGCAAGTACATAAAATGAAATATATATAATTATTACGCGTTGTGTCAAAACAACGGGTTAAAAAAGAGGATGGTGTAGGGGAAGATAAAATATAATTCATTTTATGGCGTAACATTTATCGCATATACACATGTATATATACATGTAAACATGGACACATGTGATGAACATGCATGAAAAATATGTGAAACACAATTTTAAAGAGCACTTTGCACATATGTACATATATACAAGCGTTATTATGTGCATTACATACGTATGAACACGTACATAAGCATACATACAAACATGCTTATTTGTACATCCATAAATTCATATATACATGTTGAACAAATGACATAACACATATATATGTAACATATACTTATGTCCTTTTATGTACTCAACCAGAACTTAAAAAACGCCTACATTATTTGGGCTTCGTTTGAATATACAAGACGGTTAAGGGAAAGTTACATTTTCAATTATTTTACTTAAAACGTAAAACGAAAAATCTATATAACAATATATTTGTTCACGATTTTTGTGTTTACAGTAAAAACTTGGCACGTTTCTTTTTTTGTTTTTGTTTCTGTTTTCTTTTTTGTTTTCTTTTTTGTTTTTGTTTTTATTTTTTTGAGATTAAAAAAGAAATAAATTTACGTTTTAAAGAGTTACAACTGAATATATTTAGCAACGAAAATTTATATAATTGCTAATAATATAAGTACATATTTATATATATATTAATTTTGCATATATATATATATATATACGTGTTCATTATATACGCATGAAATGAATATGCATAAAAATAGTTCTTTATGTTTAACAAATACCACATCAGAAGAGAAAATTTATTTAAAGAAAAATATATAAGAAAGTTATTTTTTGGTACGAAAAAAATAATGCTACCAAAAATATGTACTCCCTTGTACGCTATTCGAAAATATACATAAAGGGAGAAAAAAAAAAAAAAAGTACCCTCCAAAAAATTTCTATACATATAATTATGTAAATAATATATGTATATTTTATGTTTACATTATATATATAACGTGCACGAATAGCATTCGCGCATATATACATGTACAAATTGCACTTGTGTTTTTTCGCCCTTTTTTCCTTTCATCCACGCCAAGCAGGTTTCTTCATGTATATTATTGTATATATATATATATATATATATATATTTAAAAATTTCTATTCGTTATATATGGCTGTAGCCACTTTTTTTTTTTTTTTTTTTTTTTTTTTTTAAAATAAATAAGGTAATTTCGATTAAATCTTTAAAACCATTTGAAGAATTCCTGTACACTTTATTATGGGTTATTCGAAAAAGGTAAACAATATAATATACATACAGTTGTCACAGCTGGCGTATTGTATAAGCAATAAGTTATAGTTTATCGTTATGCTAACAATTAATCATAAGAAAAATACTTTCTTGTGGCAAGAGTGAATTTTTTTTTTTTTTTTTTTAGCTTCATATAAGCTATGCAACAAAACAATACTTACAGCAAACAATATATTTCAAAAAAAAAGGAACAACCCAACAAAATTTTAATTTTGAAATAAATTATATGAATGAAAGCCAAAAAAAAAAAAAAAAAAAAAGAGGGAAAAAAAATATTAAGTCCACCCCGTTTCATAAAAGTGCAATTTTTCTCATACCATTCAAGAACAGATGGTAAATGTTGCTCCTCTTACGGTTGTAAGAAAAAAATAAAATAAATTATATGCAACTTGATGTTGTTTATTCATATATACCTTATGTATTACTTTGAGGGATGAAGAAGATTATGATAAAACAACAAACATAAATATGTGGAATATAAGATTTGACGCCATTGTGAAAAATCCGAGTTTTTTCTTTTTTTATCCAGCAGCAGTAGTAGCATGTGATGGCGATTGATGAACATGTAAAAAAAAAAAAGTTTTGGTTGTAGGAGATTAAGATTAAAAAAAATGACCATTGTTCCTTGTGACATGCATACATTATTCGATGTTTACAATTACACATTTGCACAGTTCCACTTTGATCAGCAAACGACACTTAATCGAAATGTTATTTAAAAATATATATATATATATATATATATATATGCGCACATAGATCATACCTGAAAGACCCGAAGCACTGAAATATAAAGTCCGCTAATCCCAATTTGTCGCATACGGATCATCCCAATGTGCTTTGCAGTTCTTGGAAAAACATATACCTAGCTTCAAATATGGACATCGAATAAAACATCAATATGAACTTTATTTAAACAATTGGAAATGAACACGTGCAGCAAGGATGCAGGCCGAGTATGTAAAAAGTGCATTCGTGTTTAGGTTTTCTTTTCTACATATATACTTATCTCATTCTTACTTTTCTGTTCATCAAACAATTCCCATTTATAAAGAAGTATTTTCTCCCACTACTGCCCATAAGTGTACTCCGTCACTTTAAACATCCGACATATACATATTAAAACCCCAAATTAAAAATACACATGTTTTTCTTCGAATGCTTTATAAAAAGCAATTTTTTTTAAGACACGTTTCGAACTTGTTTGTGCAAAGGGAGAGAAAAACATACTTGTGTGTAAAAATTATCAAAATCAATGGGGGAAAAAAAAAAAAAAGAAAAAAAAAAAGTCAAAAAAATAAATCATGACATAAGCGTGGCTATGAATGCCAAAGTAGGCGCACAATCCACTGGGATGCAATAAGAAGTATGAACTTGTGAATTTTCTTTTTTTTTTGCAGTTTCGTTCTTGCATACTTGCAAAATTCCATTGTTCAGAAGCTATGAAGAAGTAAAATTATAAACTTATAAAACAAAAAAAAATTAAAAAATGTTTATGCTTTATGAAAGTGATACATATTGAAAGAAAAACAAAAAAACAGAAAACAAATGTTCGCCTTCGAAATAAAACAAATGGTGGGGTGAATTGTCAAAAGTATACATAGATTTTTATGAACAAACAAGGGAGGAGTGATCTAAACATACACCACGTCAAACATATTATATGTACACACATTTACAACTTGTGCAATTGTGATAAAATTTTTACATATTAAATGAAAACCATTAACATACGTATGAATGGAATTGAACTGTAATTTTAAATATTCTACGAAAGTGGATATTGTTTGGATCTGATTTGTTCATCACTACCAAAAGTTCAATAATAACTACAGATGCTAAAATGGAATATTTTTTTATAGAAATCATTTTTTTCGTAAAGATGAGAAGAACGTTGTACTGTAATGGAAATTGATATTAAAGATTCCCATTAATGCACATATAAATGTATACCCACACGGATTATGTAAGTTACAATTTAATGCATTATTTGTGCATTTTTTTTTTTTTTTCTTTATGCTCATTTCTCTTATCAATAGGTTGGTATTTACTTATAATAAGAAAAGTTGTTAATGCTGAAGGATTGGAAAAATCATTTAGTAATTTTTTATTTTTCTGTGGGCTCCTTTTTTTGCTTGTGTGCAAGAAAAATCAATTCTTCGAATTTTGCTTTTATTTGATCGCTTTTTTGTTGATCTTCTTTATGTTGATTTTTTGATCTATATCGTTGTGCTAATTCTCTAGCCCTTCTTTTAAGGTTTGCAATTTTAATTTCTACATCGTTTACATTATTTGTTGTAGATGCCATTAGTTCTTTTTTCTTTTCTTGAAAAACCTTCAGACATCCGGCTAATCCCCCTTGGTTTTTAAATGTAAGTGTTCGGGTTGCCCTTCTCACAAAGGGCACATAACTTGTTTCGCTATCGCCATGATCTTCGTTACTTGCTAACCTATTACTTGTTGCGCTATCATTACCCGCTTGTTCTTTACTACTATCATTTTCAATTTTATAATTTTCAAAAAAATTTACCTTCGTTTTTTTCTTATCCTTTTTATTCGTTGATCTATTTTCACCTGTTCCATCATCACTTCCCTTTTCAATTGTATTAATTGAGTTCAAATGGTCAGATTTAGTGAAACTACGACTTAATAAGTTTTCTAGTATGATAGAACTATCTTTTTTACAAAGAATAGACAAATTGCTATTACTGTGATTTAATAAACTGTTAATTCGTTCACTTAGCTTATTACACTCTTCTGATTCACCTGAACTCTTTGAGCTAAATGAATTTTTTTTTTTTTTTTTTTTTTTTTTTTTTTCCTCCATGTTTTTCAGTAGCTCATCATAACTAGAGTTTTCCTTATCTGAAGAGTTCCTGCTTTCTTCTACTTTATTTTCATTTTTATATTCATTATGGCTATCATTTTTATTTATCCCATCTCTATCTGTGTTGCTTCTCTCGCCTTTATCTAATTTATTGTCATCCCCGACACCACTTCTAGTACTATTTTCACTACGTACCACTTCTCTTTCTTCCTCCTCTTCAGTGAAATAGGATTCCAATTTTGATGAATTTGGTCCCATGTTCTCTGTTTTACCCTTTATTCTTTCATTTGATTTTATCAGAATATTGGTTTGATTATTACTGAGATTCTGTGAACAATTTATTCTTGACGAGAAGTCTTTGTTAATCCTGTTGTGATGGTAAATATCAACATACCTTTTTGAACATTTTCCAAGCCGTTCCTCTTCGTGAGTAATTTCATGTGTTTTTATGCTATTGTCTTCACAGTAATGTTTATCATTATCATCTAAATGACAACCTTTGTCATCATAATGTGTGTTACTTTCGTTATAATTCTCTCCATTTTCATCATAGCATAACCCCTTTTCATCATAATAATATATCCCATTTGGACTGCACGGTGCTACATTCTCATCATTATATTCACCTTGTTCATTATAGTAGAACCCACTTTTATCATAGTACCCACCATATTCATCATAATATCCTCCATATTCATCATAATATACTCCATTTTCATCATAATATCCTCCATTTTCATCATAATATCCACCACTTTCATCGCAATGGTTACCATTTTCATCACAATGATCACCACATTCATCATAATGATCACCACTTTCATCATAATGATCACCACTTTCATCATAATGATCACCATATTCATCACAATGATCACCATATTCATCATAATGATCACCATATTCATCATAATGTTCATCATTTTGATCGTTATGTCCATACCTATTCAAAGAGCTGCTTTCTTGCACATAATCATTTGGAGATATATAATTCTCGTTATATTCATGAGAGTTTTCGTATGTCTCATTATACTCTTCCTTATTCCCATATTTATGTTGTTTTGTATTACTCTTAAAAGAATAATGTTTGATGTGGTTGTTTATATTGGAGGATTCTGAGTTTGTTTTGTGATCGTCTATTTGTGAATGTGTTGAATTCTTGATATTATTTACTAATTCTATGCCCTTTTTTGTTTCATTATTACAATTTATAATCGGTTCACGATGATTTTTGTTATTTAGCCTATTCCCTGTGCCCATATTATTGTAGCCACCATATTTATGACTTTTTGTTTTCTCACTATCCTTGACATTTTTTGCAGTTTCGCTTACTCTATCTACACCTCCAGTTGTATCATCTGGAGTGACTTCTTCCTCTGCTTCTGCCATATCTGCTTCGAATTCTTTCCATCCACCATAAAGGGGATCAAAATACCACCACTTGGTGTTTATCACATCATAATAATATCTCATATCATTCGGCATTTTTATAGTTACAAAATATATAGATATATATATTTTTTTTCCCCTTTTTAGATCCCTATTGTTAAATATGTATTTTGTCCATATCCTCACACACAAATTTACAGTCTAAATTTGACATTTAACACCTGATAATGTTCGAAAAACGTTATATTTCGTGTACTGATTTCCTGTTTTATTAAAAACTGTTGTGTTCGAATTTTTTCTATTTGATTCCTTCCCAATTCACATTTTTGTTAAAACGTTATCTTAGTTTTAATTATTTTGGAAATGGTAAACTTCTCACAGAAAAATGATAAAAATAAGTTCATATGGTTGTGTGAATATGAAAAAATTGGAGACTTATTGTTCTGATGTAAATGTATATGAACGCGTACATGCATATACGTATTCATATATATACAAGGTATGTGCAATATATGGGTGTATATAAAAATTAATCATTATAATAAGACATTCTATTTACCACACACTCGTTCACAAAAATGCTTATCTGAATATACATGTTTTGCCCTTTAAAACTTGCATTAAAGAAAAAGAAAAAAAAAAAAAAAATAGAGTAAAAAATAAAAAAGTAAAATTAAAATAGGTTTGCCCATGTTAACCATTACATATGTTATAAAAACAATATCAAGAATTGCAAACTGTGCAAGGAAAAACAAAAGAAGAAAAAAGGAAATGGAATGTGTAAGCAACGGTTGAATGTGGATAAACTCTCAACACGATGTTATATATGCATATGTGGGAACATATATGTATATACACATCGCTTTAGTTCCTTTCTCCCAGTTTTTCAAACGAGGGAAAAAAAAACAAGAACATTTACATTTTTACTACAGCAGACATGGATTACGAAAAAAAAGAGAAAAGGAAAATGTTCTTAGGAAATGAACACCGAACAATTTTTTTGATGTCATCCGTCAAGTGCGCTTGCTTTAACGGCGCACACAAAATAAAATCGAAAATCGAAAACATAAAAAAAAAATAAATAAGGAAAACAGGAAGCACAAAAGTGGCCCCCCGCCCCCCAGCGCCCAAAGGAAAAAGTTAATTTAACTAAAACTTTTCTGAAAATTGTATAATTTTTGTCTTTCCTGCGTATGTATAACAGATTACATATTGACAAATGCAAATGTATTTTTACTTTCTCATTTAAATGTGTATACAACATTTATTTTTTTGCGCTATTCAAAGCTTTAAAGCAGATATAATTTAGACAAACACAGGTAATTTCGTTTCATTTCTTTTCTGCTCACACAACTTTTCACGTGCCTTTATACCCACCTGTTTACATATCTTTTTGCACGCCTTTTCATACTTCTTTTTCATTTTTGTTTTTTTCTTTTCTTTTCTCTTCATTTTCTTTTTTTTTTTTTTTTTTTTTTTTTTTTTGTTGTTGTGTGTTGCAGAATAGCATCGAAGTTGTATACATTTTACAAACGCGCACACACAATTTGAGGAATTTAAGCTATACCAGTTTGGAAAAGAAAAAATAACACTTGTGCAAATATGCTAAAAAAAAAAAAAAAAAAAAATGCTCTTAAATGCACAATGTATGAGTATTCAAAATGAAATATAAAAAAAAAAAAAAAAAAACAACAACAAAAGTTTACCCAATCCCTAAAAAAAGGGAATGGGGGAAAATATCATGTACCAAATGCTATGCTTTAAATATGTCTTTTTCAATGCGTAATTAATTTTATTTTATCATTCACCTTGAATCACATAACATCTGAAATTTATTCTAAAAATATAAGCTCTTAACTCTTACGCATGAGATTGTTATTAAAGCAAAGGGGGGGAAGGGAAGTCCTTTCAAAAGAAATTCATAATGTATATATATATATATATGTATATGTACGCACCATTATATATTTGTGTGTTATATAAGTTAAATGTAAAATAACCAAATTTTGTACCCTAGCATCCTTGAAATAAGCAAATAGGGAATAACATCGTAATCCCATTTGCCTTCTTATACAAATTCATATATACACATATACTCACACATATGTATGTAAATTGATTAACACAAAAATACAACCCTAATAAATAAGACATTTGCATCGTTAAATTTGTGATATGTGAAATGACCGAACAAAGATCCCACCCCGAAACACTGTTCTTTATGTCTACTATCAGTATTAACATATGATTTTATGTACTTGACAAATATGCTAAAGTTGAAACATTTTAAAGCAGAAAAAAAAAAAATCGTGCTCATAAAACTGACAAAATGTATCTTAGTTATGTTACTTAACTCCCAAATCTGTTGTTATAGCACATGCATGTTCATCTGCAATTTTGCAGAATTGCTAAGTTGAAAATGTGATTCAATAAAGTCTTCCAGAAAGGTCAATATATGCAGTTATCCACGTTGTTGTCCACTAAAAATGAGAATAAAAAGTCACGTTTTGTTATATTCCATTTTTTTTTTACTTCATTTTGCTCTATTCCGTTTTGTTTTATTTATTTTATTTTATTTTTTTTTTTTTTGGTGTAACTTTAAAAAGTGAAAAATAGGTTTATTTCAAATTATCATAGATGTTTTGATCTTCCCAATAACATTTCACAACGAATAAAAAAAAATTTAGTTTTGAACTGATTGCTCAACTCACATTTATCATTTTAATGAAACAAGAATATGACTTTAAAAGTATTTCAATTAATTGAATTAATATAAGCATAATTCTTAAAATACTTCAAAAAAATACAAAAAAAAAAAAAAAGGGAAAGAAACAAAAAAAATAATAATATTAGCAATACATGCAGTTGAGGCATCATCATTTCAGTAGAATAATTCTTAAAAAATACCAATGGAGGATTTCTTTTTGGACTAACTATCATTTTTCATGATAATGCAATACACGAAAAATATGTATATAGTGTGTGGAGAAAAAACCCAGGTAAGAATAAATATATATATATGAATTTATATTTATGCACACGGATGTGCCACTGAAGACAGGAGGGTTCACACACAAGCATACATTTGCTTTTTTCAAATTCAGAAACTCATAATTTCAAAAAAAACAGCATAGATTTCTTCTGACAAAAATTTATTTCATAAAAGCATTTCCTTTGCTACCCATGATATTTTTCAGAATAGTCTGCTCTCTTAATACTTGAGGTGAATCAATTCCTTCATTTTTTCTATACATAATGGAAATATATATATATGTGTGTGCACGATTGTACTGACAAAATAATTAAAATAAAGAATTGTGGTGTGTATATTTTTTTTTTTTTTTTTTTTTTCCCATAACATCTTAATTGTATACGCATAAATCTTTATGAAACTATAGACATACACAAAATACAGGTAAATAAAAGTACACAAAAAATGTACTTATCCTACTTCTTATTCTTAATGTACAAATATTTATGCATAAAAAATATAAGATACTAGATTTTTGTAATATAGGATTACATTTTATGATTATGCAAAAATTTTCTTATTTCTCCTTGTGTTTTTTCGTCAAAGTCTCCTAAGTTCTTTTTTGATTCGATTTTTGATGTGTCTATTTCCGGATCACCCTTTATTACACATGGCCACCAGTTCTCTCTTTTTTTTTCCAAAAAAATTATTAACTTTTTCTTATCCTCTATGCTCCATACACATTCCTGTTTGTTCACCTCTTCATAGAATGTGCCCTCTAGTTTTAATTTATCTGAAAAAGAAAAGTGGGAAAAAATATTACAGAAAGTAATGGACATGTATATATATACATTTAAAGAAATTAAAACATTTTTTAATACTCTTGAATGAAATTGTACAATGTTTATCTTTTTTTTCTCCTTTATCTTACTTTTGTGATACACTTTAATATTTTTATTCGAAATATCAACGTTAACTTCACTGGTTTTTATTTCCGTGTGCAGGGGCATTTCTATGTTTATTTCATTTAACGCCTGATTCCAGAAGTATTTTTCTGTTTGCCCACCATTCCATGTTGATATGTGATTTTCATCTGATTTGGGAAATCATGCAAGAGTAATTAAGTCTATACGAACAAGTGTCATACACTTGCAGTTTGAGGTGGGCTGCAACGTTTTTTTTATCTTTTTATCCTTTCATAATTTTATCTGTTTATCTTTTCATAATTTTATTTTTTTATCTTTTCATCATTTTATCTGTTTATCATTTTATCTTTTTATCACTTTATCTTTTTATCATTTTATCTTTTTATCATTTTATCTTTTTATTATTTTATCTTTTTATCTTATTATCATTTTATCATTTTATCTTTCTATCTTTTCATCCTTTTCTTTTTTCGTTAAAGATATTATAAACCCACATTTTATTACCTGCAGTGTCGCTTATTGGTGGCACAGCTCTTTTTACAGTTTTCTCGACATCTTTTTGTATATTTTTTACTTCACAGAATTTTGCACTATTCAATTTTTTTAATTCATCACATGGTGGTAAATATTTATTTCTTATTTCTTCATTTTCGATTATATATGGCTGTTTCTTAATCATATAATTTAATTGGTGTTTTCTAAATAATTTCATTAAACCCTGTTCTCTGCTATGCGCATTAAATCCACACTTATTATTATTTAAAATGGCTTTCTTTATATCACCATCATATTTTTTGGACAACGTATCAATATCATCATCATTAAGCATTAAATGAAAGTAATCAGTTTTATTTTCTAAAAATGATAAAAAAACTTCTATTAAATCGTCTATCGAATGGAAATCGCGAGCAATGGCTAGTAACATATTCTCATGTTTTTCGTTTTCCATATTTATTTTTTTAACTTAAACGATAATGGAAGTAGTGATCGCTGTTGATTTAAGTGATGATTGCAATTACACGTCTGTGGGTACATGAGGGGGAGCAAATATCTCAAGACGGTGATAAGATCACGGAATAGAAAGTAAACCAACGATGTAGGAAAACAGAAAAAAAAAGGGAAAAAAAAAAAGAGCTTAATTAAAATTGGGATGCATTAACAAGTGCTTGGGTTGATAAGCACATGATTTTATAATGTGGGAAGTCTGAATATGATGGCTGCAAAAGAACAAGCTGATTAACGAACACAGAAAAATTTAATTATATGCATCGCCCGAATAAAAAAAATAATGCCAAATAAACTGTGTAAAGCATATGTGTGAAATAAGCTTAACATAAAGGGAAGTTATGTTGAAGTTACACGGAATTTTGTCAACAAGCTTTGACTGAAAAAATGAAAAAGTTATATATATATATATATGTATATGTATTTATTTTTTTTTCCCTTATCGTTTAAAATGTTTTTGGTTCGTTAAATTGTTCCTTTTCATTATTTTTTATTTTGTTCTTTCAGTTTTAAATCCCTCCAGCATTTTTCAATTTTTTTACACTTGCGCATTTTTAGCACGATTACGACTTTATTTCATTTCATTTGTTTTGTTTCGTTTTCTTTTTCTGATATCACGTGCGAAAAATATTTCATATGCTTCAATAGTCAAAACGCCAAGCTCCAAAAAATTAAATGTGTCGATTGGGATAGTGCGTGGAATGGTATTTATGTTATGTCCATAGTATCCTGCGGAACGCTTTTATCTTTGTTATTATGGTAAACGTTTAAAAATTATGGAAAAAAAATGCGTTGCATGTAAATATTTGCACAAGCTAGATATTTGTCAATGTTGTTATACGCAACCTTCCACGATTAATTCAAAGTGGTTAACTTTGTTGGTAGAAAAACGTTAATTTTTTTTTTTTTTTTTTCATGTTTCTCATATTCAAACTTTCTATTAAAGCATAATACGACTTTACATTTTCCCTATTACCCCTTTTTTCAAAAAAAAAAAAAACGAAAGAAAAAGTTTCGCTTTCCTACAAATTGCAAGCAGTTGTAATAAAGTTCTACTTTTCCTTTGTTCCAAGTGTAAAACATCATGCATTTTTTTTTTTTTTTTTTGATTTGTTTATTCGTGCAATGGGTTACAAGGTAATAATCCTGCCATGAGCATACTGTGTATAGTAACATATGTCTAATATATGATAGGTAAACCAATGATATAACCTAAACAAAACCATTATACTGCATACTTTTTACAGTTGTTGAAAGATGTTCACCGTATAACCGATTTTGCACATGTTATGTTTATATTTTATTATATATGCAATATAATTGTCATATATAATTGATATAACCATATTTTATGAATAATATAGCGGTAAAAAAAAAAAAAAAAATAATAAAATAAAAAAAAAAATAATATAATAAAATAAAAAGGCACAGAGTAGGCGGGAAAGAATACATAGATGAATCACATTTTTTATTCATCTTACTAAAATAAACTTCTTCATCACTTTGGAAAACACAGACAAAGGCGAATAGACAATATAGTGCGAGAATTTTGCAGTACAATTGTTAACGCGTATAGATATATAATACATGCGTAATCTGATACCCACATTTGCATATGAACACGTTTATGCATAAGCACCAAGGCGTGAGTAGGCAGAATATTGGGTTTTTCTCTAAAAAGATACTCTTTTTTTTTTTTTCTCCCTGTTTTAGGAAAACAATATAAAAATAATACCTTTTTTTCAACAATTTGATGTGACAAAAGGGATCTTACAAGTTATTACAGAATGAGCTTATAACACACACATTCCCTCTTTTTTGCCTACCATCGTATAATTACCTATTTGTAGTTATTACACAATATACACAAAGTGTGTGGCCTATATATATATATATATATATATGTACATATTGTATTCAGTAGTTATTCAGAAATAATAAAGCATACATTTTTTCTCTCAAACTTTTTAGCTCACAAGGTGCATTTTGCTTATCAACATGAGAATGAATGAATCACGTTCAAATTCAATTCAATCATTTTTTCAAGCAAATTTGAGACATGCAAGCTATGACTCCCACTACCATAAATTTTGTGTTGGTGGTTTTTTTTTTTTTTTTTTTTTTTTTTCTGGTTGCTAAAAAAAAAAAAAAATCATGTTATCGCAATTGAGCATTGTTATATAAAAATTTACATACTAGTTATCAAAACCTGAAATTTTATATGAAAGTAAAATGTTTTTATTTATGTGGTCATGAAAATAATAATAACATTTATAGAATATCTAATTTTTTGTATATTCTCTTACATCACTTTTGTTTTGTTGTAGGAACGGATGAAATCATTTATTATTTCTATACATGCATACGAATTAATTGCTCCTTTGAAAAAAAAAAAAAAAAAAAAAAAAAAGATTATACATATTTTTCAAAATTTTAGCTATTTTTTGACAACGTACAAAAATCGGAATACGTAAAATACATTCAATCGCGTCATTACCTGTATGCTTCCTTTTTGTTCAATCAATGCAACGGAGGAAACTAACAGAAAATAAGTGAAAATTAATAGATTAAAAAACATAATATATATAATTATTTCTTTTTTAAAACTTATTAAAAAATTCACCCCATCTTTTTAACAAGATTGGGGGCAATTTTTTTATTTTTTTAATTTCCCTCCTCTTTTGTAAATATATTAAAAGCTTTAGTCGAAATCCAACCCGAATGTATATCATTATATATAAAATATTATCCACATGAGAGGGTTTAGCCCCATTATTGCATGTTTATTTATTAAGAATATTTATATATATGTATGTTATTTACAAGCAACAGAAGACGTATAATTTTTAGCCCCACATAATAAAGCAAGGTTAAATCCACAAATGGCTGTATGCACTATGTCAGCATAAAAAAAAAAGAAAAAAAAAATTAACCGCAATACAAAACTAAAATTTTAAAAAAACAAAGCCACGAGAAAGAACCTTTCTACATCATTTACAAATAGGATGTAAGCAATAACATATGTATATATATAAATATGTATACATTGATCTTGTTTTATGAAAAACGTTCTTCAACTATGTTTATGCATGCAGTTTAAAAATTATGATTGCTCTCTTTCACCCCCCAATTTTTGTAGCCACTTTTATTTTCACATTTGAATTAATTTGAAATTATTCATGTATATATACGTTATCCTTGTAAATTAAAATAGCAGCTTTTTTCTCGAGCTATTTACATTAAAAAAAAAAAAAAAAAAAAACAGCAACGCAAAGTAAAATATATATCTGTCATTTTGAAAGGAATATATACATTTTGTTTTTAAATTTATCATTCTATAATTTGTAAAGAAATATATCCCCACCATTGCTATTTTTTTAACATAGATTTTTGAGAAGCTCATTTTTTGTACGTTGCTCCTGTTCTCAGAAGGAAGTACATTTCTTCGTAAAGTATAAAAACACAAAAAGGCACAAAAATAAACCTATCAACCAATCAGCTCAAAATGTTTTACGGTGAGTAAGAAACAACTGAACAATAACCAAATAAATGGAAATAAATAAATATGTACAATTATGTATATATATATATATATGTATGTACGTATACGACGTCGCGCTTGGCTACCGCGTGACCACATATTTATAAAATACATGCGTGTGAGTATATTATTCTACAGTTAGCCTTGTAACCGTGTACAATGAGAGAAGAATGCACCTACAGGACTATATATATAGATGTTGATTCATTTGAGTTGCTTCATTTGTTATTTTTATGATGCTTGTATATTTGCATCTTTGTTATGTTATGTTATTTTTTTTTTTGGAAATACGCATTTTATTGCGTTTCTCATCGATATGACTTTTTCTCGTTTTGCATGTGAGACAAGGGATGCATTTGTCATTTCCCGTTAGAGTGTTATGTTTTGTACATGTGCAGACTAGATGCTATACGTAGGAATATTTGTATGTTCGTACCATATGTGCATATTGTTGAGCTAGCATTTTTTTTTTTCTTTTTTTTTTTTTTTTCATATGCCACTTAAATACATCAATAAACACAACTTTTATGTATGTGTATTTTGTTTTATCATATATTGGATATATATTCTCTTACACCACAGGAAAAGTAATTAAAGAAGACGAAACCGTCATACCTGAGATTAAGGATGGATATTCCGTTATTCACTTATCAAGAGCATGTTTAAATAACCCTGAAGATGAAGGAAAGCTATATGTACAAGTAGAAGATGCTAATGGATGTTATAACATTTGCTGTTTACAAAAAAATGTATGTGAAGATACAGCATTGGATATATTTTTAATGCTAGATAACGAAGTAAAAATAAAAACTAGTGGTAGTAAGAATGAAGTTCATATTGTTGGTTATTATGAAGTGTCATTTGGACAAGATCATTTAGATGACGAGAATGAGGAAGATGAAGAAGAGTTAGAAGATGAGGATGATGAATATGAAAATGAAGAAGTTAGAATGTTAACAAGAAAAAATACACTAAAAAATTCTCTCTCTAATGGATTTGGAAAAAAAAAAAAAAAAGCTTCTGCAGATGAAGATGATGAAACAAATGTAGGAAATAATGATGATGAAGAAGATGATGAAGAAGATGATGATGAAGATGAAGAAGATGATGAAGATGACGAAGATGATGATGACGAGGATGAGGAGGAGGAGGAGGATGAGGAAGATGAGGAAGATGAGGAGGATGACGATGATAAGGAAGATGAGGAAGACGAAGATGAAGAAGACGAAGATGAAGAGGGTGAAGACGACGAGGATGACGGCGTAACTAAAAATAAAGGAGAGAAAAAAAAAAATGGACCAAAAAAAAACAAAAATAAAAGATCATTAGATAACAAAAATGATGGCCCATCAAAAAAATCCAAATTATTTGATGAAAATCAGTACGAAAAAGATCTCGTCGCGTTTTTAAAAAAAAATGGAAAATGCAAATTACCTGAATTAGGAAAAGTCAAGAAACCACAAGGACTCAAAATGAAATTAGGCTTCTTTATTAAAAAGCATTCCAATGTGTTTAAATTTGATGCCGATAGCCAGGTCGTTTCTCTGAAGAACAATTGAAAGCCATATCTAATGTGAATAGCAAAGATATATTAAAACAACAGAGGGATCCACAAAATAATATACACTTTAATCAACTACCCACATATATACGAACACCAAAACATAATCATCCATCTTTCTGCTGTATATATAATACAAAACTTTTCCTTTTGTATCGTTGTTTTTTACAGGGAAAAAAAGGACTATTAATTTATATATAAAATTCTCATCCATAAATGTATAAGAATACATTTAAGTACTTCCAAAAATAGATACTCCTTTTTACACTATATATCGTGATCACATATATCCGTTAGTACATTAATAACATTTATCTTTTTCCTCATTTTCAGACCCTATAAAAATTATTATATTATTCACAGTTTTCGTTCACCACAACACCAATATTTTAATATATTAAAATTTACCACCTCCTATTATTTGAAAGTGTGCATTTGTATGGTACTCATGTATAGAATATGTATGTATAATTATATTCACATTCTTTTATATATATATGTGTGTGTGACGTGTGAATTCGATAAAGGTACACATATATATATATATATGTATATTTTCACGTTAATGCTATATAAACGCATTAGTTGTGTTAGTTATGTACATATATTCGTATGCGTATGTATAGCCATACATTAATATGTTCACGCTTTGCTTATGGATTCCACATATGTTGCACACAAATATATGCACACAGGTGCACGAAACCACAAGAGTGGAGGTGCAACCACATACTTTGACATCGATAAAATAATATATTAGCACTACAGTTTCCACATTTTTGAAAAGCAAAATTCTTTTTAATTCATTTATATTTATACGTCAAAAGAAAATATACATATAGCATAAAAAATTTATAAAGCCATATTATACTAGTTTAAAACAACAAATAAAACTTTGTAACATGTGTGTAGACTTTTGTAGGAACGTATCAGTTTTGTAGTTCTGTTAGCTTTAGTAACCTCGTAAACTTCGAAATAGCGTACAAATTACATCTATTTCGTTAATATAAAACATGTAAAGGGAAATAGGAGAGATGAGGAAGGGTATAAGAAAAAGACAAGTTGCCATAATATTTATCGCCCATTCCACTTTATCACAAGCATATTTAAAAGCAACTTTCATTTCATCTACACGGCCAAATGAATCTCACTAATCATTTATTAAGGATTGATCTGCACGTGTTGTAATTAATTTTTGAGAAATATCCTTTTTGTTTCCATAAAAAATAGGAAAACACCTTTTTTTTCTTCACTTCATGATTTATCCTTTATGCAATAAGCATTAAAAAAAAAAAAAAAAAAAAAAAAAAATTGCTCTCGGTTTTATTTTCACAATGGGAGAAGCAACGCAATGATTCGGGGAAAATCATTTTTAAAGAGATGCTCAAATTGATACCAAAATAAAAAGAAGTGTTTGACACATGTCTGCATGCATATGCATTTATTTGTATACTTTCCTGGTATAGAAAAAGCATTTGTTCCGCAGACACAATGATTTAAAAAGGATTGGCTGTGTGATGTAAGTTTTTATATTTTACTTAATTATTTTTTTTTTTTATGTTACTCTTTCTTTCTGTGCGTTTTATTGTTGTACATTATATGCCATATATGTTACGTGGTATATACTATATGTTGTATTTTATTTATTTATTTTTTTTATTCTTTGTCATATGCTATATTTTTATTTCCATATTTTTAATTATTATTTTTTTTTTTTTTTTTTTTTTTTTCATCACCTTGAAATTGCATAAAAAAGAACACGATTTCAAAAGTTAGACATATCCTTTTCACTTGTGTACATATGGGGTGCACATAATTTATGCAGTCAACAATTTTTACGATTGAAAAAATAGTTCACAAGAATACACACACTAACGACGGTACAATTTATTCTAAAAAAAAAAAAATTACACCAATTGTAACCGCTGTAAACAAAAGCAACGATGGTAATAATGGTTAACATTAATTATAGTAATAATAAAAATAATGAATGAATAAATAAATTTACGGAAATCTTTTGAAATAATACAAATATGCACATATTGGAGCTGCATGATAAAAGAGTTAAATAATTAAAAAGTCCAAAAATTGACGAAGGGGGCGACAAAGGGGTAACAAAGGGGTTCGTAATGAAATTGTATTGCTCAATGTATTTATCCTTTACATTCTCGATGCAGGTATTCTTAGTACGTACCATAATGGTTCTGTTGTCTTGATCTCTGTTTTATGCTAAAATAAAAAAAAAAAGAAAAAAAAAAGAAAAAAAGTTTTTATAAATAATTCGTGCGGCATGAATTTTCCTTTCTTAATTTATATATATATTTTTATCATATTGGTAAAATTTCGTCAACATTTTGTGATTCTTTTTAAAGTCGCATCGTTATGCGTCTTCTCATGCATACATTTTTTTTAGCATATTGTGATGGTATTTTAATTTTATTTTATTCATTTTATATTTTTTCCAGTTTTCATTTATTACAAATAATAATCAGCATCTTCGGCATTTTTGTTATGCAAGTTCTTTACATTCGCCGAGTTGTAATCGCACGGATCCAGTTCGAAATCATCATTGCACTCATTAACATTGTTCATGTCTGAGAAGAAAAATGGTTTCTGACACACATAAACACGACGCATAAGCATATGCATGCACATGTACATGTACGTATGTATAGCATTTGCGAGGAAAATTTCCGTTTAACATACGGTTGACATCCTTTTTCGAAATTTTAATAAAACAAAAATGTTCGTATTCTTTGTATTGAGTGATAAATATTTTATTCGTTTGATTTATTTTACTCGTTTGATTTATTTTACTCGTTTGATTTATTTTATTAATTTTATTCACACAATTCATATTATTAATTTTATTCATTATATATTTTTTCCTTTTCCTTTCTTTTTGTTTCTGTTTTTTCATTCGCATTTTTACTAATTTCGCGTGTCTTTCAATGTTCATGTGATTTATTTTTTCGCACAAACATACAGGTACAAAAACAAGTGTAGGTATGTACAAATACAGAAACATACTTATCCATAAGCTCAAGAACACATATATAATATTTAAGAATAAAAAAATATTCCTGCCCATGCAGGCACAAATTTATCAATATAAATTAAAAAGGAGAAGTGTAATTATTACTGTTGTCATCATCCGATTTGTAGCTATCCTGCGAAGGGGTGGCATAAGAAAAGGGAACAAAAAAGACATACACATGATTAAGTCAGTAACAATGAGTAAATATAGATAAGAAAAATTGCAAAACTGCAAAATGCAAAATTGTAAAATTGCGAAATTGCAAAAATATAATAAATGCATGTGCAAACAAATCAAATATGATAAACTGCATTTCTCTCTAATAAAACACACACACACGTTTATATCACCATATCATCCCCCATTTAAATATTATGTTTGCCTTTATGCATTGTGATATAATCATGTGAAAATAAAACTCAAATAAAGAGCAAACACAGCATAGGCACGTTGGTAAAATAATCATGCACATTACATATATATATATATATATATATATATATACACACATATATACACATATATGTATATATAAATATATTACCTTCACATTATAGTTGTCGTAGTTCTTTTCCATATTATCGCAGTTATATAAATCATTTTTTCTCTTTATGTTCATATTAGGGCCTTGGTATATTCTAAAATTCAAATTAAAAATATATACAGAGGTGCAATTATATAATACGAAATACAGTAGGTGCTGAAGAACGAGAGAGTCTAACGTTTTTCATCCCTCTAACTAACGCTCATTTTATTTATTTCTTGTGCCAATTTAGCTAGACAAATATACAAAAACACTCCACCCCTATGAAATATTCACGTACATATATTTATCTGTATATATATATATGTATGCACGTGTAACATATGCACACACTGATTGGATCATACATACATAACAAAATTTCGATCTTTATAGGATCCGAAAAAATGCAAAAAATAAAATCTCGTCCACTTAAAAAAAAAAAAAATTCCACAAATTCTACATAAACATTTATTCTTTTTGCAAAAGATTATTAATCAGGCATATCAATTTCGCTCACGTAAAAAAAAAAAAAAAAAAAAAAGGCACAAAAAACGATCATTCATGTATATCATAATTTCTTTTATATTCTAAAATTTTACATGCACTGGGGCTGTGGTAAGGTTTGAACATAAAAGTTGTAATAAATATATATTTGTGAACTTAACATAAGCAAAAAAAAAAAAAAAAATGAGAAAAAGAAAAAAAGGTCATAAAAAATTTACACAAATATGTAACATTGGAAATTACATGCCGATCAAATGAGCAGAAACACACCTCTTTCATGAAAGTACAAAAAGTTTACACAAAAAATAGGTAAACATTTATAGTTTTAAATAATTATCCTAACTCAATCGAACGTATACATAATCAGTGGTTAGACGTGAATATATGGTAACGCTAACAGTTATGTATATATGCTCATTGCGGCTTTTTTTTTTTACTTCTTGTTAAAATTGCCCATGGGTGGTGGCATGGGGATATTTTGCTGATACATGTTATTTCTGAAATTGTTACTGTAAGAACCGTTAAGGTATGGGTTCATCATGTTGTTGGTAAGATTCGGATTAACGTTCATTGGAATGTTAGTAATACTATTTTGTACATTTGGGGATAAGTTGGTGGGAATTCCCTTAAAATTATTTACAAAAGGAAAATTATTTTGTTTATAATTGATATTTTGATTGGGCATATTGACATTATTTGGATGCATATTTATATCAGTTGGAGGTGGGGGTGGTAAATTCATATTTCCTTTTTTATTTAAAGAATAATTCATGTTATTTTGCATTAAATTACTTTTATATTGTTGTTGGAAATCATTTTTTGGCTGTTTGCTCTTGTATTTCCCTCCTTTATATTTATTCATGTTCATTAAGTTATTCATATTTTTCATCATGTTCATGTTACTCATGTTCATGTTACTCATGTTCATGTTACTCATGTTCATGTTATTCATGTTCATGTTATTCATATTCATAGACATATTAATATTCATCATGTCCTTTTTAACTTTATTATCCCCTTTCCATCCTGAAATTCTAGGATCATATTTCAAAGTCAGTCTTGATATTAATACACTTTTACTGTTTATTGAATAAAGTTTAAATAAGAAGCACTCATTTACATGCCCTAATTTTTCAATAGGATATTCAAAAACTTGGGGTGGAATTTTCAAAACATTATATTCATCTGGATCATCTGCTTTCTCTTTTGATAATTCATTTTCTGTGCTGTTCCCCATATTTTCATTATCCTGCATATTTTGGGAATTCTCATTATCATTATTTCCATCATCATCTTGTCGCTTCTCATATTCATTTTTTATTTCTCTTTTTATATTTTGGTTTTCATCATCATTATTTTCGTTATCTTCATCTCGGTTCTGTTCATTGTTCATGTTTGTGGAAACATCATTATTGTTATCACCGAATTCATTCGTTTTACTCTTTTTATTTTTATTGATTGGAAGTTCAGTCATCTTGAAACAGTAGTATTTGCACGTTTTTACCCATTCTGGCAATTTATGCACAATGGGCATATTGAACAAAACGGGCAGCCAATTTGAATGTACATCCAGGTTTAAATTAAAATCTTTACTATATTCTCTTGAAATGTTGCAAAATTTTGCTAACTTTTTTGGTTCTATTGGTAGGAAAGGTAGACAAAAATTATTTCTAGAAGAATCCTCTGCAAGACCCTCTGAAGTTGTATTATTACAGTTACTGTTAATATTATCATTACTATCGTTGTTACATTTGTTGTCGTTATTTATGTTCATATTAGCATCATTCACAGATAATGCACTTGCACTTTTTGTGGCCGTTTCTTCTGGAAATAATAAATAAACATAACCATCAGGTTTAATTATATTTTTACTACTTTTTAGAAAACTAAAACAAAATAAATTTAAACGTAACTTAAACATTTCTGTTTGTGGATCAATAAAATCTGGATGCCCATGAAATGACAACCCTGGTAAAATATAATATAATGCATCAAAAGTATTGGGTGGAAATTTGGATTTTAATTGAACTGGGTTAATACCATAATGAATTACAACATTTTTATTTAATGAATTAATATTATTTTTGCTTTCTTGCTTTAATTCATTTTCTTTTAAACAACTACAAACTTCAACAATGTCATCTTCATGATCGGCTAAAAAGCCGTTGCAAAAACTGAAGTTTTCATCTCCAAAAAGTAATATTCTCTGCATATGGTGAAGAATGAGCGTGAAACAGAGGTCAAATGAAGTCAGGCCATCATATTATTTATTATGGCACCAAATTGGGTAGTATATACATGGAACTTCACATCACAACACAAATATAAGGAATGACGGAAAAAAAAAAAAATCATGTGGTGCAAAAATGATACGTGTATAAATGTTCTGCGTGTCTATCCACTTTGATCATAGTTTATGAATAGAAAAAAAACGTAAACTAATACAATTTTCTCCTAACACCATCATCTTGAGAAAAGCAAAAAAAATGATGGACGTAGTTGGATAAAAGGATATGTGTATACACAAGCACTATAATTACACAAAGCAAACATAAAAAATATATATTTTTGATAATTCCGATTTGAACAATTGAAAACGTTAAATGGGTTATATATATATATATATATATATATATAAATGTGCACATCATTTGTATTCTGTTTTAAGCAGGGTCTGAAACTGTACTATGGGTTGTCTTTTTTTTTTTTTTTTTCTTCCTGTCTAAAATTATGTGTGGTATGCACGTACATATGGCCATATTTTGGCATATGCGTTTAAATTTTTATTCTTACCATTTTCAGCATAAAGCTATAAAAAAGGGATACCTATTTAATGGACTTGTCAAAGGTATAAATATGTGTATAGTGTGGTAATGCGTGTCCCTATTAATTACTGATTTATCAAAAACAATATGTATTAATAAGAAACAAATTCCTTAATTAAATATTATAAATAATCTTCGTATTATTTCATATGACATGAAGAATTCCTTTGGATATTTAATTTAAACTGTTACACATATGTATGTGTACATGTGCATATATATATATATATATATTATATACTTATGTGCAAATTTGCATTTAATATTATTCCTAATATTTTTCTGCCTACTTGTGTTATTTGCCCCTTAAATGTGCATATATTGACTGGTTCATTCTTCTATTATTTTTTTTACATGATATTTTTGTATAGTATTTATACTTTTAAATTAAAATCTTTTGGAGCACGAACGACACCCGTTATGTTTTTATTTCAAAATATCTTTATAATCACAATTGTGTTTTATGAAGTGGAGGATTTATTGAAAATCATGTGGATTATACTTCAAGTATGTGAACATTCGTATTCATATATACCTGTTCACACATATCCATCTATCTATATAAATGTATGCGTTACTTTTGGAGTATATTAAAGAGGAATTCGAATTGTGTGCTTTTCACGAAATGGTTAAATGTTTCCTTTACCCTTTTTTCACTCTTTATAATTGAGAATACAATTTATGAACGCGCCGGAGACAATGTATATAACCATACGTGTTTTATATGTATATGTGTATAAGCGACCCTTAAGCACAATTACACGTTTGTATACAAAAATTTACGCATACGTAGTATATGCATAGGCGTAAACAAATAATACAGGTACCATATATAATTAAAATTTATTCTACTTCTTGTTTATATACGTAAATGTGTGTATAATAATGTGCGTATAATAATGTATGCATAACAATGTGTGTGTACTAATGTATGCATAACAATGTGTGTGTACTAATGTATGCATAACAATGTGTGTGTACTAATGTATGCATAACAATGTGTGTGTACTAATGTATGCATAACAATGTGTGTGTACTAATGTATGCATAACAATGTGCACATACCAATCGATTTTCTTAATTGGGCACTGTATAAAACAAAAAGTCAAAAAAAAAAAAAAAAAAAACACCGAATAAAGCTTTATAATTACGTTGAATTTGTATGTTTTTAATTTTCACTATTTAATTCTTAATTAGTTAAATTTAATTTCTCTCCTAAATTACTCTCAGCTCTTAACACTTTGGTTCTCTAAATAAAAACATGTATTTTACACGTATATAAATATATGCGTTAGTGTGAGTAATAAATGAGGGGGGTATTACCCATTACAAAACATGTGTTTAAGCAAATATGCTCATGCAAATGTATATACTATGAATATATGTTCCACGTATATATATATATAATTCCAATTCCACATTCTTAAGTACATTTAGGTAAAAATACAACTTTTTTCATTACTTAAAATCCCCTTTCAGTAAAGCATATTACATAATATATACATATATATAAATATATATGTAAATGCGAAGCTAATATTTAAAATTACAAAAAAATTAAACATGTATATTTCTAATAAATGCTCGAAATATTTTAATAAAAAATGAATTTAACTGTTTTTGTGAAGAAAAATACTTTACCTTTGTTTTTTTCTTTTTTTTTAAAAGTTTTATATTTATTTTCAAGTTAGAATTTTTTTTTTTTTTTTCTCTTGTTTTTAAAAAATTATAATTCTACGAATGAATAATTACGTCTCAGCAAAATTATTTTAAGGTACACTAAAATACTCATATAGTTAATAATCTAAATGGGAAACTCATCAATCTCCAGAAGTAATATATGCGATTGGGGGATGTTCTGTTAAGCATATTATTTAATCAAAGGTCAATTGTTTTATATGTATGTGTATATAAATCTGGTATTTTATACACATGCGCCATATATATTTTCGACATATATAAGTTATACGTGTATGTGCATTATATGAATATATGTATATGGCATATATGGGGGCAACAATCTCGATTTGACAATTTAAATACAACAAAAAAAAAGTAAAGAAAAAAAAAAAAAAAAAGTACATTATTAAGTATATATACTGTGCTAATAATATTTGATTCCCCATGATTTGATTTTTTTTTATATACAATTTTATGTGACATCATATAAAAAAAAAATTCCTTAATGGACTACGACACCACCCATCTAATTTTTTCAGTATTTTTCTGTACTTTTCTGTATTTTTCAATTTTTTTCAGTAATTTTAAGTATTTTATTTATTTATTTTTTTTACATTTTTATTCTTATACGTGTTTTTTTCACGAATCATTTCTTCCTATTGTATTTATTTTTTTTTTCCACGAATAATCAAAAACAATTGTACAATTCGTGAAACTTTTAGAATAGAAAAATTTGTATACTGTTTTTTAACCTCGTACACTTTTTACATATTTTTGTATTTGATTTCACAAAATTGAGAAAAAAATAAATATATGTAAAATGATATCATGTGTACCACTTCCCGAGCACAATTTTTTGTATGTGGAAATAAAAATATCGGACTTTTTTTTCTTCGTTTTTTTTGGAACCATGCTAATACAAGTGTATAAATATGTGTTAAACACATACATATATATGTATATATATGAAGGATCTTTAGAAGCTTTCTCTGTTCACATAGTTCATCATTAATAAAGTTATACAAGTGCAGACGTGTGTATGTTCCCATTATGCGTATCATATCCCGTTGTTGACTCTTTCTGTCGTATGCGTGAAAACCAAATATAGGCAAGCATGTTCAAGGAATAACACTAGTACATAAATACAAATTTATACATTTTTAAGCACTTACATAAAGAGGTATATACAAGAGAAATTGTACCTTTTCTTCACTAGATAACGAAATTGTTTTCAAGTGCACGAAACGAAATTTCACATTCGTATAATGTTAGAAGTTGGTGTAAGTGTACATGCCCTTTTTTTTTTTTTCTCTTTCTCTCACTCTCTCACTCTCTCACTCTCTCTCTCTCTCTCTCTCTCTCTCTCTCTCTCTCTCTCTCTCTCTCTCTCTCTCTCTCTCTCTCTCTCTTCCCCTTTACGCTAAAATGTTAAGAACGCTTGTACCTAAATAGTTAAATGGTTTAAGCTATTTCGTTTAGACAAAATTTCAGCTGACCTCGTTCTGTATTCACGTTAACGAAAATAAAAATGCTATTTCTCAATTTGTAATATATATACTGGAAGTAGCAGGAAAAAAAAAAAAAAAAAAAAAAAAAACAATACACCTACATATATGTACATGCATATTTGTTCATGAGAAATAGACCATTTCATGCACTACCTAATTAATGCTTGTATGTATACTTTATTCTTTATGCAGTTTCATATCTACAATGTAGCTCTTTGTCTTTTTACTTCTTCGTTCTTTTATTAATCTCTTAGATAACACAAATGGTACCGTTTCTGCAGGGGTTAAAAGGTACCATGTGGAGTTATACAATTTTACACACATGACAATAATGATTATAATAGTAGAAAGTATGAGATGTACTAACAGAGGGTTACATATTTCTATTTTCAATATTTTATATTCCCTATGAGTATAGGAGACGTGTGCACATATGCTTATGTACCTATCTGAAATTGCGTATTCACCATTACGGTATTCCTCCCGTTTATTAGCCTTTTTAGTATTTCATACGTTTAAGGCAGTTTTATTTGTTTTATGTGTAATTGTCGGTATGTTTTCATAAAATGCAAGTAATGGAGAATAATAAAAAAAAGTTCTACATTATAGTGACAAGTAAGATAGCATAAATGAATGTCCAACTGTGGGGCCATTCTCCCTGATAAAATTATTTGGACAAAAACAAAAGGGAGATAAAAAAAGAAAAAAAAAAAAAAAAAAAGGAAAAGGAAAGGAAAGGAAAAGCATGATATGTACGCAATTATGCATGTCACAACTAAAAAACGAACTGCAACTTCATAAAAATATATTACCCACGTTCTTACACACATGCGTTAAATGTAAATACTTATTACACACCCCACATTCACACTGAAAAAATAAAAACATTTACACTTGTTTAGAATGTTAACTTGCAACAAAATGCTAAGTCTACCTTCCAGAGTTTGCGAATGATCTGCACATTTTTTTCACATTTCCCCACTTTACCCTTTTTTAAATAAATTTTTAAAAAAATGCTTTATCCTTTTGGTCCCCTTTTTTAGACTATTTTTTTCGCCTAATTCATTGTCATTAGCAAAAGGGCTACCGGTGGAATGGCCTTTGTTTTTTGCACTTAAATCGTATGACTTTCCATATGCATTATTTTTACGATTGGAGGTAGAGTTGGGAAGTTTTTCACTCTGAAGATTACCGTTTGCATAATTTTTGTGAACAGCATATTTCTCATTATGTAATTTTCGAATATCACTTAAAGCTTGTTTCTCTTGTTTATTTTTTTCATGGATAACGAGAATTTTATTGTTGATGGGGGAAATATTATTTGATAGTTTTTCTAGACATTTTTTGGGATCTTCAAAATATTTTTTCGAAATTTCATTTTCTGGTATTGTTTGTTGTTCTGTTTTATAATCAGATGATACCATTTTTTCATTGCTCATTCGAATTCGCGGAACTTTTTTATTTGTCATATTCATAATTATATTTACACATGACAGAACGAATTCAAACAGTATAGATTCTTTGTCACTAAATATATTTTCAAATTTCCACACCATATTTTCAATTATTTCATTAGGAATTGAATTTGTGCCTTCATATTCCATAATAACCTTGCTATCACAATAGCTTGTGTTAAAATTTAGTATCTCAAACAACAATTTTATTAAATTAAAAATTTCATAATTTGTTGAGAAAGATGTTTTTATTTGATGATTACTAAATTTTATAATTTTATATTTTTCTTCTTTTGAATTATAACTTATATTACTTAACAACTTGTACAATACTTTAAAAAAATTTTCAAAATGTTCTTCTTGATCAGTTGCATCAAATTGTTTATTCCTATAATGATTTATTAGTTCAGATATAATTCTATCCAGTATAATTGTAATATTGACTAACATATCCTCTCCTATTATGTAAAAGTTCTTAGATGAAATGTTTCTCTTTATATTATCGTTTTCTAGTAGTGATTTTCGAAAGAGTACTTCAAACATTGTTGATGTCTGCTTCTCAGTCGCATTTGCTTTTTCAGTTGAGTTATTTCCTGCTCCTATGAGTACACCTAAGTCCATTTCTATTACGCCTTCTTTCTTTTCCTCTACGTACATTTCAGTGCATTCCCTTTTATTCGTTTCTTTGGCTGAGATGTCTTCTCTCTTGTCCATCTCCTTTGGCTTATCATTTTGGATTTCGTGCGGTTTACTATTTGGGATATCATTTGCCTTATTATTTGGGATATCCTCTGCCTTATTATTTGGGATATCATTTGCCTTATTATTTGGGATGGTCTCTGCCTTATTATTTGGGATATCATTTGCCTTATTATTTGACACTTTGTTTGTTTCATTATTTCTAATTTCGCTTGTTTCATTATTTCTAATTTTGCTTGTTTCATTATTTCTAATTTTGCTTGTTTCATTATTTCCAGCTTCGACTGTCTCACCATTTTCCACCACACCTGGTTCATTTTTTACGACCTCGTTTGCCTTATCATTTTCCACCATACTAGCTCCCCTTCGCTGTTCTCGATTGTGTGTTTGTTTTTTAACCCGTACAACATTAACATCTGAACCACATTTTGATCCCATTTTTCGAGTATTCATATTAGTTCTCAAGGATTTTTTATTCTCCTTTTTTTCATCTGCCTTGCATGGAAGCTCATTGTAACTTTGATCAAAACTTTCTCCTGATTGGTGAAATTTGCTACTGCTATCTTTTTCATCAGAATCAAGAATTTTTATGTTGGAGGATATATTCGAAGGGGTGGGATCATTTGCAAAAGTTTCTTCCTTCAAAGTGGGTTCAATTTTATTGCATTTCTGAATTTTTGTTTGTGATGCGTTACTGCTATGCGATCGATCATTTGTTAAATTTGTAGAGCTATTTTTTTTCACTTCTACAGGTTCATTTAAACTTTTTACATCTTCTCTAAAAGAATGATGCTTCTGCTTTTCATCTTTTTCATAGTTATATGAAATATTTTTCTTGGGCATATTTTCTGAAAGAGATTTTAAATGATCTTTTTTTTTTCTCTCCAACTCTTTTGATAAAATATGAATTAATTCCTTTAACGTTTTTTCGTTTATTTGTAAATTTTCTTCCTGTAAGGAACATGCTTGATTCTTGTTTATTAAATACAGCTTTGTTTTTTCTTCAATCTCTTTTAAATCTAGGTGATCGAAACGCTCTTTTAAGTGTTGAACACACTCTTCAATATTCATGTTGTGTGTACGTGGGGTGGTAACTTTCTGTGTATTTATATATACATTTGCATATATATGTGTAGGAATATGTGTATACGTCCTCTTTCTTCTTCTACTTTTGCTACTGCCACTTCTTCCGCTTCTACATCTGTCACTGCCACTTCTACTGCTTCTACTTCTACTTCTGCCACTACTTCCTTTTTCTCTTTTTTTTTTTTTTATTTTTTATTTTTTACAGTGTCATAAACTGCGTCACCAAAAAAGGCAGACACATAGAAAGATTATCAACCTGTGTTACTTCACAAATATATGTGTTTCCCTCTCTATGTTATTGTTTTTTCTGTTAATGTTTGGTTATATATCCATTAAGTACTAGAAAGGGGTTGAAGCAAAGTCTACTGCTTACATGAATTGTCATACACTCATATAAGGCACCTTAGCGAAATGGTCACTTTAATTATTCAATTGTTGTATGTTTTTCACATATGATAGTATAACAAATTGAAAAAAAAATCATACAATGAGAATCCGGATATATAATTTTGTAAATTTCATAGTTGATAAAACTCTGTATGGGGGGTACGCAAAAATTTACTAATACAAGAGAAACACATGTAGTAGGTTGTTTTATCTTACAGTGTGTATCTGTTCATCTATATATATTCATATGTATATTATTTTCTATTGTGTATAAATTTTAAGCACATATGTTACAAAAAGAGGGTTTGCAAAATTGTTGTGTAGTTGGAAGTGTAAAATATGAAAAGAAGCAGATTTTCCTTTTTTTTTTTTTTTTTTGGTTCACAAAAAATTTAATCATGTAGAAACGCTTAAAAGGAATTTAAAAAAAAAAAGTAAAAAACGAAAAAAAACAAAAAAAAGGGATATTTTCATTTTTTATTATAATTGTCAAAGTGTGGTATATATTTCACATTTTTACAATCTTATACATACAATATGCATGTATTATGTGCTATGTTTGTATAGAAATTTCTCTTTTCCAGGAATTTTTTTATTCGTAAATTTTTAATTTCAGGCAGTAGTTATATTATACTATGTGTTATTATAACTGTTTACCATTTTTGTTTTTTTTTTAAATCCTTGTAGGCTCCTCCTACAAAAATAAAAACAAAGATATGATGGAATGCTCAGTCTTCTGCATTCCGTTTTTGAAGGAATGAAGGAAAAAATTTCAGGGTACATTATTATAAGGAGGCATCATCTATGGGGGAACAAATTTATCTATGAACATGATAAAGCTTTCTGTTGAAATTAGAACACACATTATGTAGAAAATAATTTAACCCGATTTGGAATCCTAGCTTGAAAAAACTAGGGTTAAAAATTTTTAAAATACAAGGGGGAGAAGGGTACCTTTTTTTAAGCTCAGTGAAAATTTTTCTACGTGTCTGTGTAAGTGTTATAGGTTAAAATAAAAAAAAAAAAAAAAAAAAAAAAAAAAAAACTAATATATTAAAAATAAAACATGTATATATAAATATATATACTATACATAATATATACGAATACGCGATAAATGAATTGTTTGTAAAAGTATGGAAACTTCGAAAAATGCACCATATTTTTGTGCGAATGAAATAAAGTACAAAGTTTTCATTGTGTTAAAATATTGATGAATTCGCATAAAATATATGCATATATATATATATATCACTACATGGAAGAATATAATTATATCCCAAAGTTGTTTGAATGCCGCTCAGTTGGTTTCGCGTCATGCTTTTGTCATCCCAGATATATACTTCAAAAAAGGTTGAATATATATCTCCTTTTACATAAAAAAAGGAAAATATATACACATATAGGTAGGTGGTAACTATTTTGCAATCGTTGTAATGAACATTTTCTCACCAACAACGATTTTTTGTAGTAAGCGCCAAAAGTGGTACAAGAAAAAAATCACTATAAGGGGAAAATCAATGAAGTAGTCAAACGAAAAAAAAAAAAAAAAACATGTGAAAGTTATTGGGGGGGAGGTGTATGTAAATGAGTAAGAAAAAAAAAAAAAAGCACCAACTGAAACCTACTGAAAGAATGAACATTTAACAAATTGCAATTATTGTTGAATCACGCAGGTGTCGATTTTATCTTTCCTAAAGATGGCTAACTTATATTATTATACCCACGTGGCACTAACAAAAGTGTAGAAAATATATACATATAAAAGTGTAACACTAAATTATATACACATATTATTACGTTCGATAATACCTTGTACAATTCAGTAAACACCTCTTTCCATAAGCAACTCACGTATATCCATGCATGAATAGGACGCATCGGTTATGATAGAAGATTCAGATTAATAGTATACATAACATTTTAACTTTTTAATTTTTTTTTTTTTTTCGCGGTGTTGGAACATCATTAACTAATTTTGCCTTTAAAAGTGTATCCCCAATTCTTACAACTTCGATTGGTGCATAAAAATAATATAATAACCCAACCACCACAAGAAAAAAAAAAAAAAAAAAAAAAAAAAAAAAAAAAAAAAAAAAAAAAAAAAAAAAAAAAAAAAAAAAAAAAAAAAAAAAAAAAAAAAAAAAAAAAAAAAAAAAAAAAAAAAAAAAAAAAAAACCAAACCACCAAAAAAAAAAAAAAAAAAAAAAAAAAAAAAAAAAAAAACCATAAGACGAACGAACCGAGGGAAGAGCCAACCAAACGAACCCTCCTGACGAACATACTTCTCCTTTAATACAGTCCAAAATGGATGAATTAGAAAATGAATTTGATAAAATGAAAATAAAATCGGATGCAGATGAAGAACATCAAGAAGGGGAAGAATCTGGTCAAGAAAAAATCTCACAAAGGAAATTGAGATATTTAAAAATGAAAGACAAGAAAGAAGAAAAAAAACGTAAAAAGCAAGGCACGAAAGCTTCAAATAATAAAAATATTATAGACAATAGTAGTCAAATTAAGAATAATGACATTAAGGATGAACATAAAAATGGTGAAAATTCACAAGATGATGAAAATACAAATGATGCTTCAAATAATTTAAAAGAAAATAATGGTGAAGTTGGAAACCCCTTGGGAGAAAGTCATTTGAAAATGAAGGGGAAAAAATATGAACCTTGCATTGTGGAATATTGTAAAGGTTCTCAACACTCACATGAATGCACTATATGGATGTATAAATATATGCACACATGTGGTTGGACATGTGTAATACTACATCATATATATATATGTAACTTTACAATGCTCCTCTAAATTATATAAGGACACACTTAATGAATTTTTTTTTTTTTTTCCCTCTTTCTTTTTCACATTCATTCTCTCCCCCTATAGTTTGTGGAATGCCCTACGAATATTGTGAATATGGAAATTCGTTCAATCAGTGTAAGGAAGAAAATAAGGAAAAGTACAACTACGACATTTTAAAGAATAATACAGAAACTACCAACAAAAGGCAGACGAAAAAACCCCTCCAAAATGTAATGAAATATCAACATAATACATATACATAAGTATACATACACATATGTACATGTATTATACAAATGAATATATGTGCTCTATTGTTTACCTTATACGTTTATTGTATATATTATAAAATATGTTTACTGACATGTAGATGCAGGTTCGTGCACCAACACCCACCCACACCCATTATGAACCGTGTAATCCTATTAATATTCATTTCTTCCGCCTTCCCCTTCGTCTATTTCTCTTCTTTTTTACCTTTACAGACAACGCAAAAAATTACAATACAGAAGACTACAAGAGCACGAAAAAAAGTTGTAACTGTTATAGTGGGATTACACACATATGTCAAACTAGACAAAATGGCAAAAATATTTTCTCGGTTTTATGCATGTGGTGCTTCTGTTATCAAGGGGTCGTCGAATAATGCCCCTGACCAGATAGACATACAGGTATAGCGCCCCTCGCTTTATATGTACAAAAATAAGCGTGTGTAAATATACACGTATATGTATATGTACTTGTATATATATGCATAAATATATACCCACACATGTATGTCTGTATGTACACACGCAACCATGAAGCTCAAATATAATCACCCCTCTCCTTTTATGTGTCCACCTTTGTAGGGAGATGTTGAACATAACATTGTCGACATCATAATGAAGAATTGCCCAGAAATTCCTGAGGACGTCTTCGTAATTCTCCCTCCCAAATAGTTGACTATGTGGGGGAGTACAGTGGAGATTTTCCCTTTTTTTTTCTTCAAGACAATTACACACACATATTGATGCATATATGTCCACGTATGTATGCACGCGTGTATTACATAAGATTAGGAGTAAGGTTCTCATTTTAACAGAATTTGCAAAAATCAGAGTATGAACATTTTTAAGTTTCGCTCCTTATATTTTCCTCGCATTACTTGGGCTTATCACAATTGTTTTAATTCATATATGACAATAAAGAAAAATAACTTATCTATTAGTGTGCATATATAGCTAATATTGTGAAGGTGTTAAAGAATGACATTTGGCTTAGCATAAAAAAAAACTTATGCGAAGGCTCTATGATATGTTCCTTTCCCTTGGGAACACACACTATTTCATATTTTACATATATATAAAAGATATAATAAAACCGAATTGCTCTTGCATGTTTATTGTTCAAGACGGTCATGAGAAATTAGGATATATGTGCTCCCCATTTGAATATGACAAAAGTTCATTTTTTCCAACGTTTCCAATTTTTTATTTTTATTTTCCCAGATGAGCCCTTTCCTCCAAAATTTTTTTTATTCACCTTTTTACTTTCGAAAATTTCATCCTCCTGCATATTATCATTTATTTGTTCATAATTTTTTCTTTCATTTCTATCTTTATCATATTGTGTTTTTAAGAATTGCAATATTTCATAATCATGATTATCGTATAGAATTTTATCATAATTCTCTAAATTTTTTTTTTTTTCCACTTCAACTGGGTTTACACTTGCTTGCCCGTTATTATTACGTTCATAAAAAAATGATGCATCTATTTTCTCATTCTTTTGAACAACATTATTTTTGTCGTTGTCGTGTTGACTCGACTTGGCTGTATTCATGTTGTGGTAATAACCATTTTTCTGCTTCTGTCCATGAGTCTGCCCCTGATTTTGCTCCTGCACCAAATCGGGACTAATCTGGTGTTTCATTCTGTCGTGCAAAATATTGTTCTGAACAATTGATTGATTAAATTCACGCCTTGTCTTATTTGCATGACCGTTGAACATATGGAACGAATTAAACGAATTCAAAATGAAGTGATAAAAGTTTTGAATAAAATCTTGCACATTGTAAAATGTAAAGACATTTTCATAATCAAAAATATAAATAATTTTATGAAGATTGTTCAAATTTTTAATAATATAAAAGTCATGAGTTGTTAATATATATCTGCCTTGATATATAAAATTTAAAAAATTTAACAAGAGATTTTTCAAATAAATATCTAAATTGTTGTTTATCTCATCTAATAATAATAAATTAGATTTTTTTAAAAATAGAGAAAGAAGTAATATACGCACTTTCTCTCCTCCGCTTTTTTCTTTCAAACGTGTTGAGCTATCAATATAAAATATTTTTAGCAGCGCTTTTATTTTCTCTTCAATGTTTTCCACATCTTGCTCATTGCAAAAAGGTTTCGTTTTATTTAGAACGTAAAATAAAAAGTGTTCTTCATTCGAATAATCATCTCGATTGTTGTAATTATAACTGTTCATGATACTGTCATTGTCTATTTCTAAACTGTCATCAAAATGAATTGGTTCATAATTCACCTTCTCAATTAAATATCTAAAATAGTCGTTAATTTCTAAGTTTAATTTTTTAATCATATTCTGCTCAAAGTATGTTAACAGCACATTGTTAAAGTTGCAATTTATGTTACCCTCAAAGTTTGCCACTTTTTCTTTACAGACTCTTGTTCCTATATTTTCTCTATTTAGCATTTGATCAGATTCCTCTTCTTCGTCCATTATTTCTTCACCATCTCCGTATGCATATATACTTCTCTGATGTCTACCTCCTTCTTTCCTCATCTGAAAGTTATACTTATTCGTCAATATTTTGAAAAGAGTGGATTTTCCAATTCCATTTTTCCCCAAGAGAAGAACATTTTCACCGCTGTTTATACTTAAATTCATATTTTTAAAAATGTATTTTTTTTTTTTTTTTTTATTTAAAAAATAAAAGGAAAAATTCTCAAACTCGTACAGGGATACGTTGTTTTTTCCATACTTTTCTCCAATTTCTATCAGCTCATTGTTTTTAATTTTTTTGCTCATATCGATTAGAACATTCTTATTCATGCTTCCTTCTACATCCTTTATTTTGTTGTAAACAAACGTTTTCACGTCTTCTTCCTCCTCATGCTCTAGCTGCATCGGTGAGTTATTCCCCATGTCATTGTTGCAGTACTTGTCCAAGTAATTATCAACGTTCTTGCCGATGCTTCCATCGAAGCTTGTCCCTGTTCTGCCCAGATGCCCATCACTACAATTTGAATCACTGTGTGTGATGTGATACTTCACATTTTTTCCGTTCCCTTTATTCGTTTGAATATCTCCTTTAGTTGTGTTTCCCTCCCTAGAACTGAACTGTTGATGTGCACTTTCCTTTGTATTAAAATTTTCTACTGCAAATTTGTTTGAATTTTTTTCATTTTTCTTGCTATATATTAAATTATAATACATATATTGATAATTCAATTGATTATCAAAAAAGAGAGAATATATATTTTGATATAATTTATAATCTTCTTCTTTTTTTTTCAAAGATTGATGCATAAATTCTTTATTTTTCTTCTTTTTCGCTTGGTTTATCGTAGTACTTAATTGGTCTATAATTCTTTTCAATTCTTCCTTTTTTTTCCTCCTATGATCAAACAAAATTTTCATATTATGTAAATATTCAGTGTAATTCCCCTTAAAAAATGTAGTATTCGAGCCGTTTTCATTTCTTCTTTGTAGTTCTTGTACATCATCAAAATGATTTATGCTATTAATATTTCTGTTCATTTTTTTTAACTGTGCTATATTACTAAAATCTATATCGTGTCCATAAATTTTATTGAAGTCTAAAATACGGTTACACAATTTGCTCACTAGAAAAAAATCGTGACTAGCTAAAATTATTCCAATTTCTTTATATTTCAAAGAATAATTAAATATGTTCATAATAAAAAAAATATTGAATATGTCTAGGTTATTATTAATTTCATCTATTAATAGTAGTTTAGATTTGCTCAGAAGGAGCAGCAACAAGTACACGCGGATGATGTACCCGTTACTCATGTCTCGTAGTTTCACATGCAAGAAATTTTTCAAATTTAAAATATTTATGTATTTATGAAAGTTCATTTTTACTTGATTTAACTCTTTGAAAACATTTTCCTTCTCGTTCATGTACAATTGGATTATTAGTTCGAAATATTTTGACTGAGCGAATGACTCCTCCGCTTGGTCATCTTCCCCTTGTGTTACTGTTTCGGTTACTCCTATTTGTCTTCCTCTCACATCGTCTTCGTTTTTTTTTTCCTTCTTTCTTGTGTTACCATTACTATCGGTGGAGATACAGCCAAACTGAGCCATTATCCCTGGACAGTTTGAATCTTCCTCTTTTGTCAAGGTACTCAATGAGGTACCACTACTACAACCATTATTATTCATTTTTCCATTTCTGTTAACCCTTTTTCGATACTGTTTATTAGTTAGTTCACTAGGGGGATAGTTAGATTTTTCTTCTGCCTCCTCTATATCAAACATTTTAAGAGTGTCAAATTTTTTGTATTTGCTTATGTTGCTTTCAATATAACATAACACTTCATATTTGTCTAAAATGGGTTCATAAAACTTTAGTACCTTTTCAAAAACTGTTAAATTGTTATTTTCTAAAAGGTGAATATTTTGTTTAAAATAAAATACATCATTTTTATAAAAGAGATTCGTATTCGTACCCATTTTTTTCTTCATTTGTTCAAAATCAGAAACTTTCTTATTTTTTATAACAAACGGAAATGCAGATAAATCGAATGAATTCCTTCTCATATATGATAATATTTTGTACAGATGATCAAATTTATTTTTCTTCACCATACTGTTTAAATTTTCCTCATTTAAGGTAAAATTTTGCACTTTTTCAGTGGAAACTTTATTATTTAGAATTATGCTTTTATTGCTATTGTTTGAATGCTCATAAATTAAATTTAAGAGCGTAGTTTTTCCACAACCATTGTTACCTATCAAACCAACACACTCTGATTTATGTAACTGCAAATTCAAATTACTTATAAGTTTTTTATTATTTATTTCGTACTGTAAACTCTTGATTGTTAAAATCACTTTGTTATCTTCTTTCTCTTCATAATTCTTTTCGAGCACATTATACATATTCATGTTATACTTGGGTGACAACATCCTATCTTCTTCATCTCCTTCGACGTTGAACAGCTTTTCGTACATCTCTCTCTCCGCTGCTGGGTATTCCTCAGTTTCGTCATCCATTTGGACATCAGTTTCGACATCAGTTTCGACATCCATTTCGTCATCCACTTGGACATCCACTTCGTCATCCACTTCGTCATCCACTTGGACATCCATTTCGTCATCCACTTGGACATCCACTTCGTCATCTATTTTGTCATCCATTTCGTCATCTACTTTGTCATCCATTTCGTCACCCACTTCGTAATCTACCTTGTCATCCCCCTGATGATTCGCCTCACCTTGCTGGTCGCACTTGGAAAGACCATACTCCCATGTGCACTTTCTCCTCCTACTTAGCAGTGTCTGACCACGTCTTTTGTCTGATATATGCAATGTGCCATTGTGTGTGTATTTTCTCTTTTTCAAATGGGAGACTTCTTTATGATGTATGACATTTTTTATATGCAGATTGTTTAAAAAGTTATTTTTATATTTACTAAATTGTAAGCCTTTACATTGTAGTATGTAACAGTATGTGATGAGGCACAAAAAGAGTTCAACGAACATGTTATATCATTGTTTATGGGTTTAGAAGGACTTACAGTAAATACTTACGAAAAAAAAAAAAAAAATTAAAAAAACGAAAAACAATATACAAAATGTAAATGTAAATATAAATATAAAAGAGGCGCGAAATGTACAAAGGATAAAAAGAAATAAAAAAGGTATGAAAGAAAAATGAATAACCAAATAAATGAGTGACACATAACTTATAGTCTACCAACTACTACCGCTGCAAAGAAAGAAAAAAGAATAAAAAAAAAAAAAAAAAAAAAAAAATTGTACACATATGTTGAATAAAAAAGGGGAGTAAAAAAATAAAAAAATACATATTAGCAAAACAAGAACATAAAAACCGGGGAAAAAAAAAAAAAAAAAAAACAATTCTGTATCTTGAAATATACAACTGAAAAGAGTATTTCCTTAAAGGAAAAATTAATTCAAATTTAAAGATCAGGAGTAAAACTATATATATGTAACGGCGCATGTTATACAGTGTGTAGAGTGCATACTCTTTTTTTTTTTCCCCGGTTTTTATGTTCTTGTTTTGCTGTTATGTATTTTTTTTTTTTTTTTTTTTTTTTTCTTTTTTCTTTGTTAGTGATAGTTATCTACTAAGCAATAAAATCTTTTACACATGTCGCATACACATGCAGTCATTTAAGCAATAGCATTTGTTTACTTATACATTAGACAAAAGTGTGGAGAGAAAAAAAAAAGGAAAAACACAAACGAATTTTAATAACTATTCTGAAAATTATTTGTTAAAACAATCACAGGTGTGCACCTCATATTTAGGGGTGTAAGACTTTGTGCGAATCACATAAATAACGAGGACTTTTTTGCGAAAATAAGAAATTAGCGAGGCTGCATGTGGTACATTACATTTGGCACGTTACATTTGACACCCAGCATATGGCAGGTAACATTTTTCAGGTAACATATAGTATTTTGCCCGTTACACTTTTGTTATTTCACCTCTCGCCGAAAATTTTTCCTAGTTAATATTCGCAAGTTCGGAGTTTGCGGGAATGCAACACAGACAAGATCAAACAGTAGATATTTTTACTCGCTCACTTTGGTCTTCCATTTTGCTTCCCTTTCCCACTATTTTGTGGCTACCCTCTTTTAACAGTTCTGTGCTGCCACATACATCAGACTCGTGAGCTCAAAGCCGGAATGAACGTCGCCATCATATTTGGAATCACGGGACAGGATGGTTCGTACCTAAGCGAGCTGTTACTGGATAAAGGGTATGTTGTGCACGGTGTTATAAGGAGATGCAGCTCTTTTAACACGAAAAGGATAGACCATATATTTGACAAGCTGATTTTGCATTATGGTGACGTACTTGACAGTAGTAATATTTGTTCATTAATAAGTAAGACAAAGCCAAATGAAATATATAATTTAGCTGCACAGAGTCATGTAAAAGTTAGCTTCGAATTGCCAGTATACACAGCTGAGACGACAGCCTTAGGCACATTACGCATATTAGAAGCAATAAAAAATTCCAAAGTTCCTAATATAAAATTTTATAACGCATCAACATCTGAATTATTTGGAAAAATAAAAAGTAACATCCAAAATGAATACACCCCATTTAACCCTGTGTCTCCATATGCAATTGCAAAATTGTATGCACATTACATAACTATAAATTATAGAGACTCATATAATATGTTCTGTGTCAATGGAATATTATTTAATCATGAAAGTCCGAGAAGAGGAGAAACTTTTGTAACTAAGAAAATTACAAAAGGAATAGCAAAAATATGTAAAGGCATACAAAAGTGCATAACATTAGGTAATATTGACACTTGGAGAGATTGGGGGCATGCAAAAGATTATGTATATGCAATGTATTTAATGTTACAACAACATGATGCAGATGATTTTGTAATATGCTCAAATGAACAACACTCTGTGAGAGAATTTTGTGAAATTTCATTTTCTTTTGTTGGCCTTTTTTTAAAATGGGAAGGAATAGGAATAAATGAAATTGGAATAGATCAAAATAATAATGTGCTCATCAAAAAAGACATCAAATATTTTAGAGAATCTGAAGTTTATACCTTACATGGAGACTCTACTAAAGCCAGGACGGTATTAAAATGGTTTCCAAACTACAACTTCTTTCAGCTCATTTATGAGATGCTCAAGTATGATTTTGAGGAGCACAACTTGCCTTTCGATGATTTCGACACATGTGTGAGGAAATACGAAAATTACAAAAGCAACAAACAAGAAATGGTACAATGAAAAGAGATTGCCATTCTGTAATCACTTTACACTTATGTTGATCTCCTATTTTCATATGTGATAATCATTCATCCCTTTTGTTACAAACCAATATGGGCCCCACCTCTCCCTCCTTCACCAAATTTGTTGTTTTTTTTTTTTTTTTTTTTTTTATTTATTGCAATGTACATATTAGCATATTTTATGATACCAGAACATTTTTTTTTTTTTACTACATCAAACCTCTTGCACATTGCAATATGTATGTTTTTTCTATCCGTTTTCTATGTTTTGCAAATGTGTCAGTTAAATGCACATGTTCCTACCCACTGATCGAACCCCTAGTGGGAGAATTTTGCAATTTCGTATTTTTTTAGTATTTACATGATTATTTATTTAATAATCTTCTTCTTTTGTCTTAATTATAATACACAATTATAATGATTATTTATAAAAGGGCAAGTTTGGGAAGTTATTATGTTGATGAATAAATAAAATATTTACACCATAACATATATAATTGTATAATAACAATACATATATCTATAAATATACGTATAAGCAATTAATACGTAATTAAAAAAAGCTCCATAAGTGAAAGAATTACTTTTGTCTAGGGGGAGCACGGAATGCTTCCTCTGCCAATTCGTTCGAGGTCTCCTTATTTTGTAAAAAAGACATTCATTGCTGGCACATACATAATATACAGATGGAGAATTTTCTATGTAAACAGATAATCCTAGGTAAATAAGATTACACAACTAAGGGAGATATACACATTCATCATCCTCACGCATGAGCAAAAATTAAAAAAAAAAAAAAAAAAAAAGAAAAAAGTGAAGCATTTATCTATATGATTTTTGATATCTTGCACGAGCACCCTTTCCTCCAAACTTCTTGGGTTCACATCTTCTTGTGTCTCCAACAAGCAACGTTCTATCGTATCTTAATAAGGTATCTTTTAATTCTTTCTTCGTAGATTCGTCTACATATTTTTGGTAATATGAAATTATTCCTTTTCCAATGGCTTGTCTAATTGCATAAATTTGAGCTGTTTGACCTCCTCCCTTAACTCTTATACGAATATCCAGATTTTTTAATTTTGATGCCCCGATTAACCATAAGGGTTCATAAACCTTCGTTCTTAAAATATATGGTTCTACTAGGTCTAAATTTTTTCCGTTCAATTTTATTAGTCCCTTTCCATTGGTCACGGTAGCTACTGCAACAGATGTTTTCTTTAAAAATGAAAGGTAAAAAAAAAAAAAAAAAAAGCAAAATAAATAATAACCTTATTAAATGGAAGATAACTTATAATTAATGTATAAATGCACCATGAATAAAACACCAAATCAGATGCTTTAAAAAAAAAATATACACGTGCTATCTGTAGATTTATGTTACACGTTGTAAGATGGATAATGTACAGGCTGGTAAAAAACTTCTCACTTTTTCATTTCTTATGTATTAAAAAAAAAATACATACATGTTTTTAACCACACATTTATTATTCATACAAAAATATAAAAATGTTACTGTACATGACAGACATTTTTAAAAATGAAAACCATAATATATAATGTCATTTTTTTTTTTTTTTTTTATCCCTTTTCGTGTGGAATATGAGTATGTTATGTACGTTGTACACATATGCATATAGCATTACATTCCTTCAGCGTTACAACAAAACACACAAGTAAACTCATCAATTCACACAATAGGGATCAGGAGGAAAAAAAAAAAAAAAAAAAAAAAAAGGTGAAACATAATCTATTTCTCCGTAAAAAGTGTGAATAAGAACATTTAATTACGTATACATGAATATAAACACTCCAATAGGACAACTTTAGAGGTGTGATAAAAAAAAAAAATGTGTGCCCCCAAAGCACTCTATTTTTTCATATATTTTTATTAGATTTACATTGCGTTTTTCTTTTCTCTTTTTTCCATTTTTCATTTTTCATTTTTCTTTTTTCTTTTCTTCTTTTCTCTTTCTCTCTTATTTTATTTATTTTTTTTTTTTTTTTGCATTCCTTGTAGTACCTTTTTTCCAAAAGTTTGAACTCTTTTCACCTTAGTTGTCATTTTTTTTCTGCAAAAGGGAACAAAAGAATATTTCAAGTGAAATAATAAACAAGTCCATATATGTATAGTATATTTGGTTAAAGAGTAAAACTGTGGTTCATGTTTCACGCATTTGGAACGAGGTATAGTAATTACGCGCAAGTAAGATCGCGGGAATATGTTGCAATATCAGTATAATGATATTTAATATGAATTGAAAAAGAATATAGTACGTTTCTGTTTAAGCTGTTTTATAAAAAAGTTGTGTGTTGAACTTCTTACTATAAAATGGCCAGAACTTTAAAGTAGGTTTTTTTGGCATATAAGTTTAAAATATGAACTTTTTTATCTCCTCGAATGAAATGTTGCGTTCTTCATAAAATAATGGTACATGAATGTATCATCACTTTTTTGTAATTTATTTATCTGCTTAACTGTTTAAGTGTTTATTTATTTAATTTATTCTTTTTTTATTTTATTTTTTTTCCCGTTTTTACATGTTCTTTTCTTTTTCACTTTTTTTAAAAAAAAAAAAAAAAAAAAAAAAAAAAAGAGCTTACAGTGAAATGAGGGATATTATAATTACAGGTCATTTACATATGGTATATTGATTGTATTATACGTACATATGGATATACATATATATAGTTTACTCCGTTTCATATTAATTCATAGGGGCGATGCAGAACACAATTGGGCTATATATATATATATATACCTCCATTAGCCCATCTTTGGAAGAAAAAAATTGTACCGACACTTCACACTCTTACTCTTGAAATGTATACTTAAACATTTGTTTAGACGACATGTTATATATAAAAAAATATATATTATATAGTGTACACTTCACATTTGTATGCACATACGGGTTTCGCTTTTTCAGTAATTTCCTTTTTTTTTTTATTATTTTTTATTCCTATCCATATATATATATAAAAATTATATACACAAAAATAAGTTAAAAAATATATGACAACAGAGAGGGTAGAAGTATATACAACAATAAAGGAAATGTAAAGTCCAACGTGACGGGGCAATTAATTCTTAAAAGAATATTTCCACCTCATGCATTTTGACACTTGCACTCTCCCCCCCTTTAATCACTCCAAAAAAAAAAAAAAAAATAATCAGAGCCCCCCATCCAAATAATACACCGCATAAATATATATATATATATATGGTATGTACCACGCAAAATATTAAAGGTTACCTAGGTAAAATTCCGTGCATTAAAAATGGGGAATTTACAGATGTATATGCTTTATATTTGTGTTTTGTATATGCGCATTTATGCTATGTAGTAAAACCTAAACCAAAAAAAAAAAAAAAACATTACATACAGAAACACGAACACTTAAAATAAGAGTGTATAAAGAGCCCACCCCCTGGGGGATGCATCCATATTTTTGCAAGCTTCACAATTAATAAGGAAAGGAAAAGAAAAATATTAAAAACTTCTTTCTTTTTTTTTTTTTTACTACTTCGTTGTTTGACAATTTAGTGGCATCATAATATTTTATTGTTTCTTATTTTATTGGATTTATATTATTACCATTAAATTTAAATACAACGATTTATTTTTCAGCTTTTTTTTGATTTATATTCCCCTCACACGTACGCATGTGCTGAGGAAGTCAACTGAACTTTAAGGTAGTTTTAAGAAAAGGTAAAATTTAAAAATTTGAGGGCGCAAAAACAGAGTAAAAATTATAGCCAGTTAAAAGGGAACATTATATGTGATGAGTAAATGAGAAGAGTTTTAATTCCCTGAATACACAATGAGAGATCCGCATGGACTGATTATCTTAATTTTTGAGAGATATATTATGTTAGAACATGCTCTTATTCTTGTTTCATTGAAAGAAAAAAGTTATAGCTTGTTAAATCATACATAGTCCAAATGATTGAGATATATCGTATATAAATCAATATGTATATTTTTTCCTTTTCTGCATTAAGAGTTTCCTAATGCGGATAACAATTACGTGAATGTACATATAGATATATATGTGAAAGCAATACAGAGACCGCTTATTACAATATTAATAAAGCAAAAAATAAAAATGATAAAATAACATAATATACTATGCCAATTTTTTACACTCTTATGTCACCATATAAAATTCTACATATTGAATATATGTAAAACCTAAATATAATTCTGTGAAAGAATAAACTTTTGTATTAACATTTTTTTTTTTTTTTTTTTTACCGCTTCTATAATTCAGCACGCTCTTATTATTTTTTTAATTTTTTTTTTTTTTTTTTCCTTGTGTTGATAATATAATATTGCAAAATGGTGGCACACAACAACGTATTGCCAAATGTTCACCTTCACAAATGGTGGCAAAGATATGTAAGGGTAAATTTCAACAAGAATATAAAAAAAAAAAAAAGAAGATTGTTAAGGGAAAAGAAAAGAAAAGCAAATGGAGGCACACCCATTGAAAAATTACATCCCATGGTTCAATGCCCAACCCAAAGATACAATTACAGATCTAGATTAGGAAGGGGTTTTACACTTGAGGAATTGAAAGTACGTATTACATATTTGGACAAATGATGATGCATTCCATATACTGACGTATGTGTAGTGTGCATTTTATTTTAATTGATTTTATTTTTGTAACAATTTTCTGTTCAACTTATCAGTCATTTTTACCACATAAATATGTATATATGTGTTTTCACCCGTATATACGCTGTCTTAAAAAAATAAATATAAAAAAAAAAACTTCCCTTTATTTTTTTTTTCCTTTTATTACGTTTTATAGGGGGCCAAACTAACCCCTAAATCTGCCCAAAGCATCGGAATATGTGTTGACAAAAGGAGAAAAAATAGATGTGAAGAAACGCTAAAAAGAAATATTGAAAGATTGGAAAAATACAAAAAATGCCTAGTAATGATTCCATTGAAAAAGAATAAAGTTAAAAAGGGTATTGCTGGTATACCAGCTGATGCAAACAAAGAACTGATTAAAGAATTAAGAAAGAAGAAACAGTTACGTAGTATATTCAAGAAGGAAAGAAATACGAAGCCATTCTATGAATCGATTGAGGTATCTAAGATAGACAAGTCCTACTTAGCCTATAAAACATTACGTAAGGCTAAATTAGCTGAAAGAAGAAAGAACAGACAACAACAAAGAAAGGATCTAAAAAGAAAATCGAAGGATAATAATTAATATATTTTTTATACATTGCGTAAAAAAATGTGTATAAATAGTTTCATAATGTAGACATAATTTTTATCTACTTCATTTAGAAATCTTTTTTTTTTTTTTTTATCAAGTAAAAATGGGGAAAAAGATGAGGGGATATGTAAATACACATATATGTATATTTATATGTTTATTTTTTGCCCGTTTTACTAGAACGTACAATACATGATAATTATTTTTTTAATACTTTTTTATTTTATAATTTTTTTCCTATATTGAAGCAAACAACTAATAGTTTAACGAAAACAAAAAAAGCACACATTGTGCATGAACATTTGCATATGTTGAAAGCTCGTTTTTTATTTAAAAAAAAAAAGGTACATTCTTGCATATATATGAATATATATATGTGCACATTTACAAATGACTAATATAACAGAAAAAAGGCACCATCCCTAAATTGCAAACAAATTTGGACTTGGGAAAAAGTTAACATTCTAAATATGAAAAAAAGTATAGCTGGGTGAGGAAGAAATGGAGCTTTCCCCTTAAATCCTCTTCCCATACATTGTATGAATAAAAAAAAAAAAAATAATATAAGAATGTATCAACGTCAGTATATCACTTGCATATAAAAAAGGGAAATATTATTTGGGATAAAATGTGAGACTCACAATTTAGCTTATTTCATACAAGATTAATAATACGTGGGAATGAGGGGGGAAAAAAAAAAGAAAAAAGGGTGAGAATTCGGCTCATCTTCGAAAGTATTCTTAAAAGTTGTTACCCGACATGTTAATGACAATTTTCCAGTTCTCTAAAAGGTATAAAAGCAGAAAGGGCCAAAAAGGACACAATGATATACTGATCATGTAATTCATGGATTAAAGGAAAATACTATATTCTATAGAATATCTTGAAAAAAAAAAAAAAAAAAATCTTACTTCAAAATGGACGGAATATTCTCCTCAATTTTTAATTTAATGAAGAGGTCCTTTAAAAAGCGCTTACATTTAAGCAGGGTTACTGAGATAAAGAAAAAAAAAAAAAAAAAAAAATTATATAGCGATAAAATAAAATAAAATAAAGAAGTAATATTTCCTAATAAATATCAGTTATGCATTTCCACAAATTGAGTCTGCTACTTCTGTCATGATTGTGTGAATATATATATTTCGTCACACAATTGTAGAAATAAAAAGTTCTCTTGGGATAGTGAAGTTTAATCGATCAACTTCTCCCCAGTTCATACCTCCAATGTATAATACTTGAACATCCAGATAATCATCGCAGAGGGTTACAAATTGTGCTAGTAGGGAAACGTCTTCTTTGTATTTCTAAAAGTGGTAAAAGGAAAACACGTTATGTGTGTGTATTCATGCTTTTTAAACATTGCAAATATAGCCTTCTAAGATATATGTATATATATATATTTTAATTTGAACATATGGAAACAGGGATATATACTCACATTACTAGTTCGGATGATAAATAATCGAAGTTTCAAACTTGCGAAAATGACTACACGGGGTACAAAAAGGAACAGGAAAATCAATAGATGTGAATGCTTTTTTTTTTTTTTTTCATGTTAGAATTTTCATAAGTTCATTACTCTTTTGTTCTATAATTTTAACATATGATATATATATATATGTTATTTTTTTTTACTTAAGAAACGAGAAAAAATTAAACTTTTATATATTTTTCCATACAGAATTCCTGCTTTTTTATCGAATTCCTACAAAAAAAATTATTATCAGTAGGGACAAGATCTGCGTGTGTGTATCAAGGTGGTGCATGCACATATATATGCATTTATGTACATATTCATGTGTGTGTTCATTCATGCATGCATGTCAATATTTGTGTGCACATATTGCTAGAATGGTTATATCGATTTGTGTAATAAAAAAGATAAAAATATAATGGTACTTCTTTAATAATTATGGATAGCGGCGTATTTGAACTTTCCAAAATTTTGTAAATTTCCTCCTCCTGCTTTTTTCCTAACACACCATTTTTACCCCCATAATAAAATCTACACAAAATCCATATGTTGTCTTTCCTTGCCATAGTTTACTATGCAATATTAGTCCTTCTGACGTTTCAATAACATTTATCTATCCGCTTCGTCAGCTGTGAGGAACTTGTGTGAAGGTTGCGGGTGTACAGATTAAACCGTGCGTGTACATGTATATCTACATATATACCCGTTTGTAACTATATCTACATATATATAAGTACCCATGCGTAAGGGGCAGTTTTGTATTCTCAATTGAATGCTCATAAAAATTCACTTGAAATGTACGCGCAATGCTCCTAGACGCTTGGAATGTTGGTATCCATAGAACAAAAAATACTCATGTATGCATGTCCATGGGTTTGCATACAAAAAGCTTATTCCAAAAAAACCTTGAGAGCAAATAATTATATGAGCAAAAGAACGAAGTAAATTTCACACTAAGTGGCTTTAATTTTGCCTATTTTTTCTTTTGCTTAATTGCTTTCGTATTGAACACGGCTTAATTTTATAATAAAGCACTTACAAAAGCATGCAAAGGGGAGCATAAGAAATGAAAAAAAAAAAAAAAAAAAAAAAATGAAATAATTCCCTGTATATCATTTAAATTTGCTAAAAAAAATTGTTCGATTTAAAAAATGAAGAAACCTCATGTAATAGTCAACTAGGGTAGGATAAATTTTTTTATTTTTTTTTTTTTGTAACCCCTTAAAAAAATAGGCTTATAATTAATATAAATATTGCTACACTCATACATTTTCACCTGGTATAGACTACTTTAAAATATCTCTAAACTAAGTGTAAAATAAATTTATATCATAGTAAAAAAAAAAAAAAAAAATCAAAATTTTGAATAAAAAAAATGCAAGTTTTTCAGTGATAAATTCATAAAATTATGTTTAAATTTTTTTTAAATGTAATTTTAAATTTAATAGCATATTAAAAATTCCATACAAATACACTTCCATTACAATTTTGTGTATTATATGAAAAACATTCGAAGTCTGGGGTTTTATTTGTCCCATATATAAAAAAAAAAAAAAAAAAAAGCGTCTGTTGGACATTTGGACATAAGATTAGAGAGAAAATATTCTGCATATAAGAATATATCTATTTTTTTTTTTTTTTCAAAATGTGAGCTGAAATATATAAATCCTTAAATTTCCAAAAGTGTGAGTACTTGGAACATGTTACATTTTATGCGGGGATAAAACGGTACATATGTGGAACATGATTTGCATACATTACATATTTTTCTTTTTCTTATGCCCAATTTTACTCTCTACAAAAGTGTGCCTTTTTTTTTTTTTTTTTTTTTTTTTTTTTGTGCGACATTTTGATTATATATGTTGGGGGGGAGGGGAAACCTCTTGCATTAAAAAAGTGAGATTTAAATTGGTAAGGTAAGTACTTATGAGTACGACTACATATGTAGGTTTACGAGTATTCTTTTGGGGGGTTCTGTAAGTGCTTATTTTTTCAGTTTCCACACATTACTAAGCCATTTTGTTGTAATAGTTCATTGGCATGTATTTTCATTCAGCAAGCCCTTTTTGGATAAATTTATTTTTTCATAGAACGCGCAACTCCCCTAATGGATTGTTTTTTTTGTTTATTGTCAATTTTCTAGTTTCTCGTAGAAAAAAAAAAAAAAAAAAACCAAAAGAGTGATGAGCCAATGTGTCAAATACCCTTTTAAATGTGGGGTAAAATATTTTTTCATTCATGTTGAACCCTTTTCAGAAAAAAAAAAAAAAAAAAAAAAAAAAAAAAAAAAAAAATACATTCAGAATGATCACTTTGCTATTTTTTCATAATCTCCGCAAGTGCTTTAAGTATCACGTTTTTATAATTTTTTTTAATTAAAAGTGCTGCACCATCAATTATATCGTCACATCTACATATATGTAATAACAGAGGGGGTATATGAGCACCACAATAAAAAAATGCCCAAGGGGTGGTGGATTTATACAATAATGGTTGGATTTGTTGACCCAAATGAGAAAGCAACGCTTTAAGAGGTTGAGGCAGGGGGGGGGGGAAAGGTGCTAATACAGGTAGTCCCCGTTAAAACTTTTATTTTCTTCTATTGTATGTACATAAAAAAAAAGAGTATGCCAATTTACGCACCATCAATTAATATATAGGTGTACTGTACGCATATTATATACATCTTTACAATGCCTAAAGTATGAATGTCAAGCGCTAATAATTAAATACGTATCTCCAATTAGGTTCCTTTACCATCTTATCCAAGCTGACTGGGTTGAGCCCTCCTAAAATGCACTTTTATACCGTTTAAATAGAGAACACATTTTATTTTGCTATAACATTTATTTTATATATATTATGTATATTATATGTATTGTATACATGAGCCTCGTATGTGCATGCTGTTCCATTATAAAGGTATGCAAAATATATATTTAATAAATAGGTGATCACTGATGGTTCCACATTTTGCCACCACAACCGGTTTGCCTCCAAAAAAAAAAAATATATATAAATATATTACATGTGCAGTTTCTTGTAAGGGGATCCAAGCTTAAAAAAAAATAAAAAAAAATAAAACAATAACTGCAGAGCTTTACGAAAAAAAAAAAAAAATAATAAAATAAATAAAGAGGGAAAAAAAAAATAAAAAAAAAAAAAAAAAAAAAAAAAATAAAAAAAAAAAAAAAAAAAAAAAAAAAAAAAAAAAAAAAAAAAAAAAAAAAAAAAAAAAAAAAAAAAAAAAAAAAAAGCTTTAAAAAAAAAAAAAAAAAAAAAAAAAAAAAAAAAAAAGGGAAAAAAAAAAAAAAAAAAAAAAAAAAAAAAAAAACATTAAAGGCCAAAGTATAAATAAATAAAAATATACCAGAAAAAAAAAGAAAAAAAGAAAAAAAGAAAAAAAGCATGAGGAAGTTTAAAACAAAATAAGAGAACCATGGTATTTGAAGAAATGTAAAAAAAAAAAAAAAAAAAAACATAACTTTGAAGTCAGAAGGTAAGAATTTATTTTAACACAAACCTGAAATAAAACATAATTTGTAATATATAATATGTATATTCATCCGTGCTTGTGATTATACTTTTTTTTTTTTTTTTTTTTTAACGTTAATGTGTTTTGTATATTTCAGCTACGAAAAAGCCTCATGAGATGTAAGTGTTCATGTATCTACGTAAAAAACATACGTGAACTGCATATTTCAAATTGCTATAATATTTACACATATACATATTTTATGTTAATCATGACTCACATGCTTATATAAATATATACACAACTTATGGGATATAATACCTATACTGTGTATCATGAAGTGACTTGTCATGGTACATGACAGATTTGTATATACTTTTCCTTTTTCTTTTACAACTGAAATTACATTGAACAGGGACAATGTTGTATATTGGTGAATATATATATATGTTTAAATAATTAAAGATGATCATTTTAAGAACACATATTCTACCATGTCACTCTCATTATACAGTGTCTCTTGTGCTATTTGGATTTTGTTTTGCATTTATTGTAATATAGATAATATCACACGTCAAATATATCGAATTTTTTCTTCATTTTCCCATTCATCTTAGTGAGATATTTCACCTTCCCCCATGTTCAGTGTGCATTAAAGTTCCTTAACCACATCACGCTGTACAACTTTTTTTACGTTGTTTTGTTACCAGCTGTACCAGATGAGCTTGTTTGTATGTACATGTACTGATTAAATGATTTTGTATGCATGCACATTATTTCATGTATCAGATCCCTTATTTGCATAGATTCGTATAATGTATAGTTTAGAAAGGCTGTTACCTAAGCACGTTAAGAAAAGCTATTTAAGCACCCTAATCCATATAAGAATGTGTGTACGACATATTACACATATTAATTTTTGTCATGTTTATTCCTTATTGTTACACACATTAGCTGAAGTTACCTATAGGAACAAATGTCTCCATCCACATTCTTGAATTATCTTCATGAATGTATATACCTACACACATTTGTTCCTATTTATGCATTTGCATTTATACAACGCAAGAAAAAAAAAAAAAAAAAACAGCAGCAGCACATGAATTTTCGTATTGTAATGTTTAAATGAATTTTTTTTCCCCACTTACACATTTAAATGGCTAATAGTATTCACAAAAATGTGAATATGCATGAGTGTAAATATATATTCACAACACCAAATAGCAAAATAGTTCAATCGACACACGATACACTCCCCACCACATTTATACCCCTTCAGCAGGAACATGAATATTGTGACAGAAAACATTAAGAGTTAATATAAAAATAATTAATTAAAAAAAAATAAATAAAAATGTAAGATGCATGGCAAGTGAGAATATGCAATGTGTTGGAGCGAATATATCTGTTTTAGAGTTTCCGTATGTTCATTATCAAATTTCGAACCCATTTGTTTATGCATAAATGTAGTCCTATCGAATGAAAACTTATATCAACGTTTCGCCCGTTTTTTTTCCTTCCTTTTTTTTTTTTTTAGAATAATTCAGTTGCTTTACTTGAAATAAGATATAAAATAGTTGTGCTCATATTAGCTGATAAAAAAAAAAAAAAAAAAAAAAAAAAAAATATACATTATATATATATTTTTAACATATAAGAAAAGTTACACACGGTATATATATCTAGGTAGTTAGGTAGAGAGACATACAGAAAAAAGAGATATTTTATATCCGTTCATAACTTGTGACACATAAAAAAATTGCAACTATCATATATATATATATTAAAAATAAATAAATAATTGAGAAAAATGAAGAAAGATAGAGAGCCAATAGACGAAGATGAAATGAGAATCACTTCCACTGGAAGAATGACAAATTATGTAAATTATGGTGCGAAAATTTTAGGAGAAGAAGATAAGAAGAGTTTGAAAATAAAAGCCACAGGAAATGCCATCGGAAAAGCAGTGACATTAGCAGAAATAATTAAAAGACGATTTAAAGGATTACATCAGATAACTAGATGTGGTAGCACGGTTATAACAGACCAGTACGTTAGTGGGCAAGATAATAATGAACATGTGGTTCAGGAGAAAACTGTATCCTTTATTGACATATTATTATCAAGAGATCAGTTAGATGTGAAAGATGCAGGATATCAACCACCATTAGATGAAAAATATGTAAAAGAAATGTCACCAGAAGAAATTGCAAATACTAGGCCTTTTAGGGGAAGAGGTTTCAGACCAAGATTCTTTCGTGGATTTAGAGGTGGAAGAGGTGGGTTCATGAGGCGAGGTGGTTATAGACCATTTGGTGATAGAATGTATGATGGAAGAAATAGCTTTAGAGGTGGTAGAGGATATGGTGGTAGTTTTGGTAGAGGAGGATTTAGATCAGGTGGAGGAATGGGTGTATCTGGAAGAGGTGGATACAGAGGAGGATTTCGAGGAGGCAAAGATGGTGGATATCGAGGAAGCAGAGGTGGTTTTCGAGGTGGCAGAGGTGGTTTTAGAGGAGGAAGAGCCTTATCTTAACTGAAGAAATTTTAAATGAATTTATTTAATTCTCCACTTGTAGGAGCAGGGCTGTATGAGCATATATACATACATATATATATAGATAGATATATAGACATTTTGATATGTTAATGTTCGTATGTGCGAATACGCAAATGTGTAATGAATGCATTATATAGTATGTTAGCCAACTGCAGACCCTGTGTGTACGAAGCACATGCACAGGATGTGCATAGCCCAAACGCATTACACAAATAATTCCCATGATAATGGAATAATGCAAGGCATATTTTTGTTATGCATATGTATATATATATTTAACCATGCCCTCTCCTTATAGTAAAATTAGACGTAATCATTCACCTTTGTATGAGTTATAAGCAATTAACAAAAAAAATATATATATATATATAGAGAGAGAGAAACTAGCAAAATCAGAATTTTTCACGCACCTAATATACAAGTATACATATACGAGCGAATACTTTTATATATATACGTTTATAATATGTTCTCCATTTAAAGAAATAGAAAAAAAAAAAAAAAAAAAAAAATTAGAAAGAAAATTTTTTTTTTTAACTTCCTCAATATATATTATTATATATATGTATATATTTATAAATTAACAAACACAATAAAAGCAATTAAGCAGTAGAAATACATACATATTATTATACACGTAACATGAATGTGAAGACACAGATGAAACAAATACTTGAGTTTTTATTATTTTATAAACTTTAAAAAAAAAAAAAAAGAAGAAGCTATATATTTAATTAAATAAAAATAAAATGAAAGAAATACACGTGTAAAAGTATATATATTATACATTTTTATAAAATTTAGAGACCCATTTATATATTACACGAGAATTTAAAAAGAAGAAAAAAAAAAAAAAATATTTAAATGTTTTTTGCGCATTTTGTATAACTAAATGGAAAGAAAATTTATACATAACTGATTATACATACATTTTTTATTCCTTTTTCACACCCTTCTTTAATATATTTTTATCTATGCTCATACATTTAGAGATATTGAACTCAGCGCATATTTCATGTTTAGTGATATATATGTAGTAGCGCAGAAATATATTACAAGAAAATCAAAGGGGTATACAATGTACGTGTTATGTATATTTAATGTCACAATATTCCATGACAAATAAAAAAAAAAAGAAAGAAAAAAAATATATAAGCATAAATAAATCATATAGATATATTTTTACTTTTCTACACATATGTTAGAACATTTACATATAAAACAAATGATACCTTCACTACCGCTGCAATAAACTTTTTTAACATATGAGAGAGAAAAAAAAAAAAAAAACGCTTTGAGATTAACATGAGATGCATCTACGAAATAAGTTTTAAAATAATTTTTTTTTTTAATACATGTGTATATATAAATGCATACCAAGGCCCCCACACCTTTGTAAACATACCTTAATTTAATGAGAAATAATTTACAAAGTTTTACAAGGCATGAAAGAAGTATGTTCTATATATTACACAATGAAAATTATTTTTAAGTTCACTGTGCCACATTTAAATTTATTTATTTTATAGACACACACGAATACACTCACATATATACATTTTATCTATTTACATATATTATATATGCTCAATTTTATTTTTTTTATTTTTACGAACATTTAAAACAAAGAAAAACTACATTTTATATCATATATAAAAAATGAATTCATTTTTTATTCCTTTATTTAAAGAAAAAACGGAAACAAATAAAAATATGAAAATGATCAATGATCACGATTGTCCAAAAAGGCCTAAAGCTAAAGCCACAGTTCGCATAATTTTTCCTTTTTTACTTTTTTACACAAATTGGTTGTGTCTACATAGTAATCTCGAAAAATGTGCAGAGATAAAATATAAGGCTTATTTTTTTATGAAAAATCCTAAGTGAACATCAGATGGTTTTCTCTCTTTTTTTTTTTTTTTTGCATAATTGTTATTAAAATATGTTGTTTTTCCCCCATTTCCCCATCCAGCGAAAGGAATGAAAACGAGTACCAAATAGTTGCGTTACAAAATGTTCGTGTTTTCATTAGGGACGTACTAAACATTTATGCTATGTTTTTCTTTGTTGGTAAAGAAGTGATAGCATATATAATTTAATAAACAAAAAGTTTTAACTAAAAAAATAGTAAAATGACTTTCATCACCTTCCTGTTAATGAAGGAGGGAAAACAAAAAAAAAAAAAAAAAAAAAAAGAGAAAAATGCTTCCCTTTACTTAAAACATTCATATTGTAAAAAAATGAAAGTATTACGTAGCTGTAGGGGAATCATTCATGTATCCATTTCAGATAAAACATATTTCATAATTATGTAATATATTTTTGGCAAATGTGTTAAAAATCATAAACTTAGCATTTACACAAATGGGACACTTGTGCGTATCCATGAAACCATTGATGGGGCTAAGGCATTTCCTTATCTTTTCAAAATAGAGGTAAAAATAATACATTTAAAAACAAACACACATTAAAAACTTAAAAATTAAATTTTTGTAACATAAAAAAAAAAAAATAAAATAAATAAAATAAAATGTCTTTGGAATGTTTGTGTCGGGTGTAGGTCCGAAAGATTGGAAAAAAATTTATTAACAAATATGAAATCTGTACCACTCACTTCAAAGAACAAATTCCCCTTGTGGCCATGAAGGAAAAGTGAAGGAATGGGTAATAATATACCTCGATGAACCGTGAAATCACATACATAAAGCTATACGTTAACTACTTGAACTTTTTACTTATTTCTTTATAGTACTTCATCTGTTTTTTATTAACGCTTCGTGGGACCATTTTGACCGCCATCATGATATGGCTTTGGTTAATTGTGAGAATATTTTTATTTTTTTGAATAAACTCATAAATTAAGTTATTTTTATCTTTCTCGTTTATAGTTTCATTTTTTAAATTATTCATTTTGTATACCCCATTATTTTCTAGCACAAAATTGTCATCACTATTTTTGTAATTTGTATTTTTTATTTTTCTTTCTTTTGTTGTGTAAGATAATAAGTAATTTTTCTTCTTTTTCTTCTCTCCCTCAGCGTTATTTAATAATTTTTTATCTCTATCCTCAGGGTTAAAATTTTGCAAAATTATATTTTCCGTTTTGGGAATTTCACCCTCTTTTTTTAAGTCTACCGTTTTGTTTATCTCTTCAGTAGTGACGAGATGGCAGGGAATATTTTTTCTTCTATCCAATGAATCAAGTATTTGTGGTAATGCGTCCGTCATAATCTCATTTGATTCACACCTTATTCCATTGTATGAATGCATATATGTAGAATTCAAAAGAGGTGAGCTCAAATGTGTGTCATTTTTACAAAGACCTTTTTGAGTATAATCCTGAGGTTGCATATGATCTGTAATTTCATTTCTACATTGGTTAGACATTTTTGCATATTCATCTGAAAAGTCTATCATACAATTACTACTATCTGTATTGATAACATTTTTGTCATTTTTTCCTTTTATGGATATAGATTCATTAGTTTTATCATTATGAACCCTATGTTCTTCATTACATGGCTGTGTTGAAACTGTGTCTACTAACATATTTGAATTTAAGAAATAAATTTTATCTCTACACTGTTGCAGGGCTATAAAAGCACTTTCTCTTAGAATTCCATATAAATCTGCACCACTATAACCTTTAGTTATACGCGCAATTTTGGAAAAATCTACATCCATATGTATTGGCATATTTTTGGATAACTTTTTTAAAATATCAATTCTTCCTTGATATTTAGGTAAAGAAATGTATATAAGTTGATCAAATCTCCCACTTCTTAATAAAGCTTTATCAATTATATCAGGTCTATTTGTCGTTGCAATGATATATATACTTTCTCTCTGAGAGAGTCCATCCATTTCTGTCAATAATTGATTTACAATTCGATCTGATGCTAAGGCTGCTTTATTGTTTGCTCTGTTAATACATATACTGTCAATTTCATCAAAAAATATTAGACATGGTTTATATGTAGAAGCATAAGAAAATATTTCTCTAACTTTTTTTTCACTTTCTCCAACATATTTATTTAAAATCTCTGGCCCTTTTATAGCTATAAAATTCGCCTTCATTTCGTTACTTATAGCTTTTGCAAGCATCGTTTTTCCACATCCGGGGGGGCCATAAAGTAATATTCCCATACTTTTATTTATTCCCAAATGTTTATATATGTTTGCATATTTTACAGGTAATATAAATTTCGTCTCTAATATTTTTTTAATCTTTTTCAAAGAACCAATATTATCTAAATTGATATTTGGCACTTCACATATATTCTGTGTAATCATTTTTTTTTTTATATTTTTTATACTTTCATAAATAACCACATTATCAATTTTTTGATAAGTCATTTTTGGTTTCTTCATATTGTACAATGTACCATCTACGGTACATTCTTTCCTCTTTAGATTTATTTCGTTTTTTTTCTCCTTATCATCTTTGTTGCTTTCATAAAATAATGTACAGGGATCATTTTTCTTAATTTCGTAGTCGTTTTTACTCTTATTTTGACACATTTCTTTTCCATTTGCGTGGAAAATATTTTTTTCATTCGAATGTGTTGAAGAAATGGGGTCATCAATCACGTCATTAATAGTCTCCTTCGAGTTGGATAATAATAGCAGCTCATATTTCTCTCTCTCATTAGATTTTCCGTCTTCGTTTTCTTCTACTATTTCTTGGCTTAAACAAGTGTTATATGTTTTTTGCACATTGTTATATATACACAGATTCATAGATTCATTAATAATATCATACAATTGTCCACGGTGAAAACCGTAGGTTAAAGCTGCAGCATATTTCACATCAAAGATAAGAGAATATTTTTGCGATATGAATTGAAGTATTTCCATTCGATCATCGTATGTAGGCATTGGTATGGATATAAAATTTTTAATTTTTGTATACAGTGTACTATCATAAGGTTTATTGATGCTTAATAAAAGTATAATAATATTTGAATTATCAAAGAGACTTAAGAGATAGGTGAAAAGATACAAATCTATGGAATCATCTTTAGATGAAAGGATAACATCTATGTCATCAATACATAGAATCGCTTTATCATATTCATTTTTTATTTGTTCAAAAATGATCTTAATTTTATTATTTTTGCTATCATGGGATATATATTTTAAGTATTCTGGTAGTTTCATATAAAAAAATGGACAATTACATTCTCCCGCTATGGCATGAGATAAAGTAGTTTTTCCAGATCCACTTATTCCATTAATATTAACAATAGTACTGAAATTGCCTTCTCTATATTTGTAAGGATAAATTATGCTATAAAAAATATCCTTTTTTATATGTTCTATTCCTTTATAATTATCTAAATTTATATCTACTTCGATGGATTTTTTAATATCCTTCAGATGATCACATGCGGTGTAATTCCCTTCTTTCAAATTGTCCCTTTCAGATTTTTCCTTCTCTTTAAATGGCCTTAATTGGGCATTTCTTTCCTCTCTTATATTTTTCTTGCTTTTACGTATTTTTATCCTATCCATCACTTTTTTACTTTCATCTTTCTTCCCTTGTACAAGGAGACTTTTTTTTTCACTTAACGCTTTGCCTTTTGTTTTCACTTTTCCCTTTTTATCTGCCTCTCCTTCTATGCATTTCGACATTGCATCTCTGTCATTTTTCTCTTCATCCTGTTTCTTGAACTCTTTTTCACGCTCTTTCTCATGTTGTTTCTCCTCTTCTTCCTTTTCTCCATTTAAATAATCCACCGTTTCTCTATCCTTGTGATTTATCTGATGCTCACGGTTTCTCATGTATCCGATTTCAGAAATCTCCTTCTTGGATGTTTTTTCATTTTCAAATGTTTTTTTTAAAACATCGATAATGATGGCATTTAATTTATTTCTGGGTATCCGTCTATATTCCATAAATTTTTTCCGTAAGGCATTTTCTATCATAGTACAGTTATTAACTACGTTTTTTAAATTCGTTCTATTATCTTCATTTTCCAGGATTAAATTATTCCCTTCTATTATTTTGTATATTCTCGTTCTTATTGTAGTCGATATCATTTTGCTATGAAACAAACAGATATATAACTTTAGGAAAATAAGCATGAAAAATATCAAGCGGGGGGAGGAAAAAAAAAAAAAAAAAAGAGCGTGGCATAAAAATGAGTCACAATTAAATGGTGTCAAGTCGCTTGGGTATCAAATCAAACAAATTTAAAAAAGCATAATTTATGGAAAATGATTTCCTTTTTTCAAAATGGCAGATCACAATGGTGATACCATAATACCCAGTTTTCTTCTTTCCCATTGGTTATTCATCATTTTTCGGGTATATGCAATATTTTTATTTTATTTTTTCCCCTGACGTGACCACTATTTTTGCTTTTATATTTTTTTTATCGTATTATAATGAGAAAATTTTAATAAAAAAAATAAAATCTTTTAAAAATCATAAAGGGCGAGTACATAGTACAACAGATAATACCTTTAAAATTGCTTAAAAAAATAAAAAAATCAAATTCGTAAGTTATATGATACTGGAATATTCTACCAAAAAGATAAATGTGCGAGTCAATTTTATCGGAAAGAAGATTAATCTATATAGGGTACAGCAATTTATAGTATTGGGAGAAAGAGAGGGGGAAAAAGAAAAAAAAAAATTCTTAAAAATTTTTAATTGTAAATAAAATTACGTAGCATTTGTAATGAATAGTCTTTCATTTGATCAATTGAATATTGAGAATATGTCCCGAAAACTCGTATGTAACAAAAAAAAAAAAAAAAAAAAAAAGTGACATCACTTCTTTTCCCCTTGGCGTTAAACTTGAATACAAATTTCATATAATTAATTGCTTATAGTTTTTTAAAGCTTAATTTTATTTTAAAATGAACAGAAGTAGTTCATGCATGGAAATATATATATATATATATACAAAGAAATACATGCGCACAGAACAAATAATGCGAAAAATATATTTTGTTATATAATGGTTTCCAGGAAGGCAATACCTCTCCTAGTATCCTTTAAGAAAGGCCAAAAGATAGACAACTTTTTTTTTTTTTTTTTTTCTGTATGTCTCGAAAAATAATGAGGTCAGAATATGACCTGCATTCGTAGGGTTTTGCATATACTTTGCAAAATACACAGATTTTTAAGTCATTGTATAATTATCCTCAGGATAATATGCATATGTGTATGTATATATGCTTCTATTTTTTGAACTCCATTATCCAGGTTTCCCAACGTATCATAATTTTTTTTTGTTCTTAAAGGATTTTCCAGTTCGATGGATTTTCTAATATAAAGTATTTCAAATTTGAGGAATTTCTAATATAAAGTATTTCAAATTTGAGGAATTTCTAATATAAAGTATTTCAAATTTGAGGAATTTCAAATTTAAAGAATTTAAAATTTAAAGAATTTCTAATTATTTGGTAAAGAAGTTATTAAAAATGGGGAGGAGGGATATATCAGTGTGTAATCGTCCACACATGCCACGAAGGGATGTACAGAACGAAAATTGACGTATAGAATAAACTTGAAAAAATGAAGATTCCCTGTACCGACACCTAATCAGGTTAAGGGATCCATTGATAAAATATCAAATGAGATTTTTAAAATTTTTCATATTAAAAGGATCAGACATGACTTGCATATTTTTTTCATATCTACGAAATTCTTCAAGAGTTTTGCTTGCGGTTAAAGATATTTTCAAGTACTTTTCCTTTTTATTATTATCTATTTCACTTAATGATTTATCGTTATATTCTCTTTCGATTTGAGTTAAGTAATCTTCATAACTTAGGGCTGTCGTTCTATCTATTAACTCCTTTAATATGAAAAATGAAATGTCCTTAATTATGAAATAATTAAAATGAGATTTTGCCACGGCCAATGGGTAAATATAATGTTCCATAATGAATTCTTGTAGTTGATAATCATATCGAATCGGGAGTTCAGCTCCTTTATCATATGTGTTGTTCATGTTTTTATTTATATCTGCATTTCCCAATTCTGATTTAGTTTGCCCTATTGCAGAATCTCTATACATATTGTTTTCCTTTTTTATGAATTCTTTTTCGTTTGCTCTATTTTGCCGTTCTAGATTTTCATGTGAATCATCACTAAGATCTTGATCAAAAAAAGAAATTTCGCTATTGGAATCTTGAGATGCACGAATGCTTTTAGTACTATCTACATAGCTTGAATTACCTGCAGATAAATAATCGTCACTTTCTTGAATATTGGAACTATTCCCTGTTTGGTCTGTTTGTTGCTCATGGTACTGGTTTTGTTCATGTGGATTGTCATAAAATAATTCGCCATTATTATTAGAGTTTTTCGATTTTGTGTTATTTCTTTCTATTTTTCTTTTTTGTATAGCTATTTTTCTTTGATTTTCTTTTACTTTTAATAAGAACATATTTATGTCTTTACTCTCGCACTTGTTGTAGCAGATGTTTTTATTAAGTGTGCCTTGATTTTCATCATTTGTTTCAGATTTACCAATAAACTTATAGAACCCATTAGTAATGGCAGATGTAAAATCATTTAAATTTTGAACAATAGCTATTTTTGCATTTTGCATATTTTTATCCCATTCAAACCAATATCTAGCACCATTATTTCTCCAATAATTTATCAAAACAGGTTCTGGAAGATTTCTTACTTTGGGATATATTAATGGTTCTATTCTAAATGCAACAGGATCAAAGCCATGAAAAATGTTGTAAACCTTTATACCTTCCATTAATTTTAAACCATCATTTATATATTCTGGCTTATACAAAGATAATAATGCACTTAAAGGACTTCCAAGCATAAATAAATAATCAATTTTGCTTTTTAAATGATATTTTATATTACTATCACTTATTCGAACCTTTACATTGTGTAATATTTCGTATGCCATAGCACTTCCAAGTGAATACCCTAAAAGGCATATCTTCGAATTTTTGAATCTACCACTGCAGTCCTATGAATTGGGGCGGAAAAAAAAGAAAAATCACATTCAGGGTGTATGATATGAACATGAGGTTTTTCCATGTGTTTGTAAGTGTGCATAAAAAAAATCCACATATGCATATTTATGAGCCCATCATTTTCTACATGCACATATATATATATATATATATATATATATACATATTGTAAATATGCACACTAGGGTGATAACACTTGTTCTGTTTCACACTTGCAACGTCTGCAGGAACATTTCAGTTTATTCATGTTATTCTATTTTTCATTTTTTAATTACACTCTTTAAAGATTCTAATGTCCTATTTATGTCATTATACAAATTTAACATTATATAATCGCCATATCTTGGATGCAAGAAACATATGATGTCTCCTGCTGAGAGGTTCACTATCTTTCGGGTCTCAGCCATGGTGTTAATGTTTATTCTGTTGAAAACGCTGAAGTAGGGGTGCGAAAAGGGGTAAATTGGGAGCAGTGAGAAAATTGGAAAGAGTAGGAAACGTAGAAACAATGTGACAGCCTCGAAATTTTGTGAGGCTGAAAACAATTTCAGACTGTATGGTAAAGTGAACAGATGCAACAGGAGTACGTGCAACGTTGTTTCTTAAATTTCATGGGAGTGCATGACATCAAAACAGTTCATGTGAATATACAAAAAAAGGTGCAGTATTAAATGTACGAAATTTTTGAGGCAAAAAAAAAAAAAAAAAAAAAAAAAAAAAAAAAATGGACACACAATAATATCATCGTTGTGAAACATTATATTAACGAAACGTGCATTCGTTAGCAGGGATCGCATGTTATTTGTGTAAATAATTACTGTATCTGTGCATCTATTATGTACTTTTTCCAGTTAAATATATGGAAATGTATATTAAAGGGGTAATCAAAAAACCACATTTTTTTTACAAGTTTAAAACTATTTTTGAGATCTTCACTTTGATTTATGATTAGTTCTTCATTAGATCCTATCCCATGAATTATTAAAATAATATAATCCACATCATTAATTTTGTCATCTAAATATGGTTCTTCTTCGTAAAAATTAATATCATCCTCATTGTTACTTTTAGGAGGTTTCTTAGTACTAGTGCTCTTTTCACTTTTGGAGAAAAAAAAAAAATTGTTCTTTTTCTTTTTCTTTACATCGTCTTCTTCATCGTCTTCTGTTTTATAAATAGGAGCTGCCATTATGACAGAGTGATATACACCTTTTATAAAATTTATCTTTTTAAATGATATTTTATTCGTTCACAAAATTGTGCCCAGATTAGTATTAATTTTTTTTTTTTTTTTTTTTTACTCAAAAATTAGTAGCACATTCAAAGTTTATATTTTCAAGACTTTCTATTTCACACCGTTGAAGAAATTTTAAAGTCCCTTTACAATATAAACATAGTACGCAGGTAAATGTATACTCATTGAATGCGAAATAATTTAATTTATTTGCACAATCATGAGGATTTAAACGTAAGGAATGATATGTGGAAGGTGAATTTATTTACTTCTTCAAACGGTAAATATGTTCTTTCACACGAATAATCATTTATGAGTACAATTGTTTATATGTGTGTATGTTATTATAAGTAAATTGTTCTTTTTTTTTTTTTTTTTTTTTTTGTGTGTATACACTCTTAAACTCATTTTTACGTATGAAAGCTAATTAAATGCCAAGTGTGGGGAATATGTTTTAGAAAATTACGGACAAGTATAAAACTACTACCTTCAAAGTTTTTGTTTTAAAATTGTTACTCTACTTCAAATTTTTATGCGACGTATTTATTTTTTTGTGAAAGCAAATTTTTTTTTTTTTTTTTTTTTTTTTTGTCATTTTGAGAAAGCGGTTAAAATGGTGTCAACATTTGTTAAAGCAAATTCCACATTTTATCAATGTATATGTACATATATATATGTAAATTTTGAACAAACATTGACAATTCATTCATCAATTTGGATATTTCCTTTTTAACATACAATTACATTTGTGTAAAAATATATAGAGCTTTTTTGTTTGTGTGTATGTGTGGATCTTGAAACGGAAATAAAAGTTTTGAACAAAAAAAAATTTAAGTAAAAAATATGGACCTTTTTTATAGTTACATATGGTTCAGCTTTGCCTTAACATTAATACAATGGTTTTTTCGCTTAACACTACATTGTTTGCTGCAATATATCCTCTTTACAAAATCAAGAATATGTACTTGTAAGCAAATTTCTGCTCAACCTCCATTTTGTTTAAGAAGATTTCAGGACAATTACACAAATTTACTTCTCACATAGAAGAAACAGCAAAATGTGAATATTAACCCAAACTACAAATGCTTCAATAATTAATGCTTGTTGTATGAAAAAGCATTAACCTCATTTCAGTTCCCTTGAAACTATTTGCATCTGCGGTTTAATTTTTGTACACACTTTTTAAAGCAACATGTTGTAAATCCCTTAAAAAAAATAACTGTACTTTTTTATTTATAACGTCTCCTGTTATTCCATTTCGCACATTCAAAAATGACGAAACGAAGAAAAAAAAAAGATATGACTAATTTAGGAAAAATCGGAGAAATTAAAACACAGAAAAAAGAAAGAAAGAAAGAGGGACTTGATAAAATGGAGGATGAGTGAAACAGAGCCAGTGAACTTATTAAAGAGAGAAAAGAAAAAAAGTAGGAAATAGAAAAAACATAAAAGCAATATATATAAGAACAAAAAAATGGTGAACGAAAAATCCCAGTAAAACGCAAAAAACAAACGGCAAAAAAAAAAAAAAAAAAAAAAAGAAAAAGAAAAAAAGAGGTAGAAAAAAATTTTCTAAAATCAGGCAATTTGTAACATATTAACTTGTAAACCATTTTTTCACTCAAAAGAGCAGGGTAAAAATCTTTTTTCTTTTTTTTTTTGTTTCTTTCTTTTTCATTTTAACGTTTCATTATAATGTAGAACAAATAGGCTGTTAAAACATATTCTTTTCTATTTTTTTTTTTTTTTTTTTTTTTTTTTTTTTTTTTTTTTTTTTTTTTTTTTTTTTTTTTTTTATTTTATGGGGAAAAAAAAAAAAAAAAAAAAAAAAAAAAAAAAAAAAAAATATATAAATATGAAAAGCTTGAAACGTCTGAATGACCGAAAGAAATTGTCAGCCTTTCCACCAAAAAAAAAAAAAAAAAAAAAAAAAAAAAATAAAAACATATTTTTTTTTTTTTTTTTTTTTTTTTTTTTTTTTTTTTTTTTTTTTTTTCTGCTTTTTTCTGTTTTCTTTACATAATGCAGGGGCAAAAAAAAAAAAAAAAAAAAAATTATAGAAAGAGAACTGTTCTGTGATAAGCCTTAAGAGAATTTCACGCGTTGTATATATTTATCTGTTCTTATATAGATCTCAAAAAAACCATAACATAATTTTAATGAAATAATTTTATGAAATAATAAAATTATTTTTAATAACACTTATTTCATGAGCATTTACATTAATGAGAAAAACATACTAAAAAAATGCACTTTATGCATCACTATTTTGAGAATTATTGTGAAAAAAAAAAAAAAAAAAAAAATGAGAGAAAACAGAAAAGAAAAGTTGATTGAAGTTCTTAAATAAATAAAAATGTATATAATATATATGCACATATGTTAGTTGCATAAAATTCATATTTTTATGAAAACTTTTGTCCCTAGGTATACTATTTCATTTCACTCTTTAATTCTAACACATATACTTAGTGTTTAACCGTGTGTACCGTTTCGAAAACAAATGCTCTAGCCGATTCATATAAACCAGGTTCAGAGCAATTCTTTAAGTGATTCTAATAAGATTTGAAATTTGATGTTCGTAGGTTTATAAATATGTAATTTTTTTTTTTTTTTTCTTTTATTTAAACTTTTCAGTTTTGTACTTTTCAAAACAGTTCCGCGATGTTATTAAAAGATGAATTCTATTTAATTACAGTTACATGGAATGTATGGGCGCATTATTAATTGCATTTCATTTGCATTTACAGATATACAATGTGTTCAAGTTTATTGCTTGTGAAAGTAGTTCTTGATGAGAATATTTAAGCATGTGTGATTTGTGTGCTTGAGGGTTCCTCTCTTTGGGATATATATACATGTGCAAATTCGTTAATGTGCAATTCATGAATGTATCTACAAATAAATAGATACACATCAACACGTAAATAATACATGCGAGGAATATCCACTTTAAGCTTCTTTTACAATACTAGTGATCAGTGGGGCTCCTCACTTTTGTATGAACCATTTTAATCGTTTATTCTTTCTGCCATTTTCACTGCTTAGTCTTTTTTCCATTTTTACCGCTTAGTCTTTTTGCCATTTTCGTCGCCTTACCCCTTTGTGTTATATGAATATTAACTCTTAAAAAAAAAAGAAAAAATCGCTTTAACAGCTTTGTGAATATGTTTAAATGTATAAAGTTCATAAAATATAGAACAGATTGGTGTTCCTGCTTGGTGAATAACACGGATGATAAATGTGATGAATGTTTAATAGAGGAATCAATACAGGGAATAGAAGCAGTGGGAGATGGAAGAGGAAAACGTTCAGATGAGAACAATGACAAATTTGAAGGAGATAAAGAAGAAGACATGAATTGCCAAAGAATGAGTAACAAACTTTTTGAAGAAGAAAATATACATGGATACCCACCAGATATAATATATTCGAATGATGAATATCGAAAAAGCTTCAGAAATGGAAACAGCAATTCATATAAGCATGGAATAAATTATAAGACCTATTCAAATGAAAAATTTCAAAATGAATATATGAAAAATTCATCGAATAATTATAATCAAATGAATTACATGAAAAAGGGGAATAATGATAATAGCTATGTGTATATGAATGAAAATAAAAATTACAGGCAAATTAATAGTAGCAATAACAACTATTCGAGGGAACATAATAGTTTTTATAATGGACAATATGATTATAATGGAAAACCAATTTATACTAATACGAATGAAGACGCTGGATTATGGAACAGAGACAGTAAAGTGTATGGAAATTATAATAATAATATTCCAATATCGGAAAAATATAATGAAAAATTAGGAACTGTCGTAGAAAATGGAAATGTAAAAAGAAAAACATTACTGTTTAGTAATATTAATGATTCTAACAGCAAAAAGGTAAATAAAAATTTTAGTTTATTGGAACTAGAAACAAAAAGGGATAGTGATGTTAAAGCATGTATAGAATATTTTAATTCATTACGCAAAGGGAAAAATGATGATATTAAAATGATACTAGAAAATCGCAATTTTAAAGAGTTGAATATTCCTAAAGAACATTTAGAAAATGGAGATTTTTTTAAATATGTTGAGTACTACAAGAAACACAATTTAAAGGATTTAATAGACAAGTTTAATGAATCTGATACGAATGATAAAAATAAAACTCAGGGTTACAATGGCAGTAATAAGAGCCCCTCAGCAGTTTCAAATATTGAAAACAAAGATAGGGATAAAGATAGCGGCAGTAGTAATGGTAATAAAAATGGTTATGATAAACATAAGAATGAAGTGGATGGTGCTTTGGATCCGAATAAAAAGTCTAATAATGAAAATATAAATGTCAGGACAAAAAAAAATAAGCGTTCAGAAAATGCTTTATGTGAAGGTAATTCTGATGAAAATGGAAAGGAATATCATAAAAAAAAAAAATCGAAATGTGATGGGGACAAAAAACCTACATTTTACACCATAAATGATCTGTTTGATTGAATCTGAGCACATTATGTATACTTGGAAAAAGGTGATTTATCATCTTTTTCCAGCTCAGCCATGATTGCCAATAGCAGCTAAAGTGCATTTTGACCTATACAAAATAATGTGTATAAAAAAAAAATATATACATATATATAACCACCCGCTAGAGATACGGGTAAAGAGCGAGATAAAAACAAAAATACAATCCTCCCCATTTAAGTACACTGTCATTAACTTTTGGTCTAAGAAAAAACAACCAACATAGTACGCCCCCTAAAATGGTACATATATATACACGTTTCTTAAATTCTCGTTTCAAAAGTTCAGCAAATATTTAAATGAAAAAAAAAAACCCTTGAGCATATATTTTTACACATTCTTTACCTAGCATTCCATATTGCAAAGTAAAAAATAAAAAAATTATATAAACATAATAGCAACGGAAGGACCTAAATGCTTCATAACATATGAGTCACAAATTTATATTTATTATTTGGTGATATATTTTTAATTAATGATTATTATAAATTTAATTTTTTTTCTACATATATGATACATTAAATTTTCATGATTTTTACAACTTTTTTTTCGTTTTTTTTTTTTTTTTTTGTTGTTGTTTCCAAACTGTTATCTCAAAAATGAAAAAATTCTTGAAGGTTGCAAGATTTATAATCTTTGCTTTAAGACACGGATTATACTTATCCAATTAAAATTTTTAAACAAAATTAATCTAGAGAATGTCAAAAGGAAAGTTCTTTTTTGGAGAATAACATAATAAATAGTTAAACAAGGAACAGAAAGCGCTCGTGTGAGGAGAGGGGGGGGGGGATTATGAAGGAGAACAGTATATCCTTACTTTTACACAAGTGTTGTAGGCACTAAATAAAAGAGTATCTGAATGCATATATATGCACATATGTGGGTGTTGTATGTATAAGCTGGTTTATATATTGCTCAGATACATATGTATTCAAATTCGCGTATGTGCAAATTCACGTACACAGAAACACCCATTGAGACAATGCGTAAAAGCAGAAAAACAAAAAAACAGCACACGTAAAGTATGAACGAAAAAAATTTAATAGGCTCCTTTTTATTCCTTGTCTACTGGATATGACAAGGTCGTAAACACGTCTGTTAATTGCAGACCTTGTGGGTGGCTTAGATACTCTCCAGTTTCTGCATCGAATACGGATATAGTTTGATTGCAGAGTAAGTGTCCCATATTATCAGTTGGACAATTGGAATCTAATAGTACTTTACAATTTGCTTTATCTTGGAAAACAAAGGAACTTACTTCCTTGCTCTTATTTGTGCATTTTAATTTTGCACAATTAATAGATCTTCCTTTTCCTACCTTATTTAATCTTGTATCAAAGGAAAATTCATATTTTAATAATTGCCCATCAAAAAGCAAATAAATATCAATATCTGACTCACTACTCTTAATTGCTGTAATGCTATAATCTTGCCCATATTCTAATTTTCTTATACATTTAGGTCCATCTAATTTTACATGTATATATATATTCGGTGGAAGAGAAATTATTGCAACTGTATCAATTTTTTTCCCAATTAACTTTAATCCTGGTGATGGTAATTTAATTTCTATATCCTTGGGTATAATAATATGTCCCCATTTAAATAAATGAACAAAAAATCCCCACTCTGCTCCTTCATGTGTAATATTTGGAACTAGTTCACAATTTTTCAGTTCATTCAAGGCGAAACCACCATATGCAACTGCTAAATTTGAGTGAGGATTAACACATAAGAATCCGCTATTGAAATTTACGCATTTAACGGTTACATTGCTTTTTTCATTTATATTTATGATTAGTGCAGTTTCTGTGTTTATTCGTATCAGTGTTATATGTTCATTTAACATGCTTACAATAATTTTCCAATTTTTTAAGAATGTAGGAAATCTTTCTCGATGATTGTAATTAATTTTTTCTTTTAGCCCAGGAAGACTAATATGTACATCCTTTTCACCTTCAATAACTATGTTACATCCGTCCTTACCCCAAGCCTTAGCATCATATTTTCCACATAAGATCGATTCAAATTCATCAGGGATTTTTTCTAGTTGTGCCAAAAATTTAATTCTGCCATCATTGAAGGAAGTAGGTCTAAGCCTTATATCATCATGATTCGTTAGTGAATACCACCCTTTTTCGTCACAAAATTGAAATGTGTTCCAAATGATGGCGTTATCTGGGGCTTTTGCAGTAACTGGGGGAATTTTAAAGGTACATTCTACAACATTCGTCATGTTTGTGTGAAAAGTATCTGTCACGTACGTATAGAAAAATTGAATGTGTGGTGGTGAACAATATTTGCATGTAAGCTTGCTTTGCAAGGTGTGTAATGATATATTTAAAAAATGTGAACAAGTGAAAATTTTTCAAAAAGATTATTTTTTTTTTGAATTCATGATATTTTTGATGAATTATGGCAGCAACCTATTGTATAATAGAGGGTGTAACAGCTAAACAACAACAAACAAACAAAAGTAAACATGTAGGGGAAAATAAAAATTTACACATTCATATATATAACGAGAGCACAAAATTTTTTCAAAAATATATATTTTTTTTATAGGCATTAAATTTTTTGAAACAAATAAACGTTTTATGAAGTAAATTTTAAATATATCAATAAAAATTAATCATCTTGCCAAAAAAAAAAAAATGTTACAACGCATGCTTTTATATCTGTCTTTTTTTGAGTGAAAATGCAAGTTACTGGAGCTGGAAATGTTTGTAATATTTTTTTTTTTTTTTTTTTTTTTTTCATCTTAATCATATGGCTTGTAAAATTAAATGTACTTTTTTTTTTACCTGAACATTATGGCTTGTAAAATCAGATTTTTTTTTTTTTTTTTTTCCCATTATTGCTTGTAAGAACAAGCACCTATATATATATTTTTTTTTTTCTGGCATGTGCATATTTTCTATGCTCGTTTTTATAATACATAAAAATAGTACACTAGCTTTTTTTATTTTATTTATTCCCATACTTTTTAAATGACAAATTTTATTCCTAACACCTTTGTCTTTTTTTGCAAAAACTTCATTTTGAGGATTGGTTTAAAGTACATGATATAATTCTTCATGTGTGCCCTTAATACATTATCAAGAGAATATAAGTTTTGTTTTATACTCTTTTGAGGACTAACATTAAAAACTGTAGCCTTATTTTTTTTTTTCTTTTTTTTTTATAGTGTGGAATGTAGCACAGCGTGCACAATTTTGTATTTATGTGTGCAAATGTATATGCGTACACATAATCAAATATGAAACAAAATCTGTGTGCATTAAAACGCTCTGTCATGCACAGGTACGTGTTGATTGGTTGTCTATACATTTCTATATACCTTAATATGTTTTCCCCTTTTATGTTCATCCTTTTTGTTCTCTGTGCCTCATGTTGTAAGAATTAATCTGAGACAAAAAGAAATCATTTTTTTGAAGATATACATATACTTTTTACATGAATGCAATGGATGTTGTAAAAATGGTCAAAACGCGTATTTACACGATTGTTATATGTTTTTAAGTAATTTCTTTAAATTTTCCTTTGGGCCCTACATGCACATTTAAAATATGAACACATTAGTACCTTGGCGACTTATTTTGTTCTTCCTGAAATTCTTGCATCCGGAGTTTTTTCGGAACATTTATTTTTATTTTTTAATTCTTTGCCCTGTTGTACATAATTTGCAAAAGCATCTCAAGCATGTCATTTTCCCTATTCATGCGAGATATGACTTGGAAGGATAATAAAGTTAAATTTATAATTCTTATTTAAAATTTAAAACATTTGTGTGCAATTGTTCAAATGAGACTTTTTATAATATTTTTTCTAAAAGTCAAATTTTAAAGCTTCTTTACACAAGTATATCACGATACGCATTATTGTATCAACGGGAAATTATTTCATTTTCTGATAGCCGTACTGGGAACAACACATATAACCTAATTTGTTATTACTCGAATTAGGTACTGTTATTTAATACTACAATTCAGCATAATATGAACTTTTTATAATTTTACTGAAATTTCACAAGTTCATTTCTTATAATTTTTTTTTTTTTTTTTAAGTCACTGTTTCATCGTTGTGAATATATATGATCCTCCCATTTTTACAACGGCGTAGTTGTGTAGAATTAACTTATATATACACAAAGTGTCTTTCTTAATAAAATATATCAAAAGAAGCGTTAAGTTTTTTTTTTTTTTTTTTTTTTTATTCTTTGGATTTATTAATGTAAAATCGATCGAGGTGATTTACACAAAGTTCTAAACATCATGATATTAAAATACTACATATAACACTGGTCAGTTTGGGTTTTGATGTGCTAGCTAATTCATACATTTTACTTTGTCTTAATATTTTAAAATTTTATTAAGAAAAAAAATATAAAAAATGAAACACTATACGATTCTATTATAACATAAAAAGCTTGGGCTTTATGACAATTTGGTTTTCATGTTTTGATAAATTTTTTTTTTTATTTTTCTAATGTTAAGTGATATTTACATATATTATTATACGTACAAAATTAGAACACAATTAACCTTTACTTTGAAATGTGAAAATAATTTTTTTTTTTTTTTTTTTTTTTTTTTGTTTCCTTGTCTTCGTGCCAATATTTGATGCATATAATTTTAATATTTTCGTTAATTTTTTAAAAGACTTAAAAGTAAATTTTTGCATACTTTTCTCTTAAAAAAAAAAAAAAAAAAAAAAAAAAAAATATGAGCAAATCTCTGAAACGAGGAGAAGTCTATTTTAAAGGGGTTTTAAAGTATTACAAAAAGAAATGTACAACAATTCGTGATGATGTTGGTTATGGAAATACCTCAACGAGTATGGGATACGTACGCAAATTAAAGGAGAAAAATGCTGCACATAAAAATCAAGAGACGAGGAAAAATATTAATCAAATAGTGGGGAGTTTGAGTGCGAATAGGAATAATAATTATGACTTGCAGGTAGATCAAGGTGATGAAATTGAGCATGAGCAAGAAAATAAAGAGGAACAAGAAGGAACACATGAACAATTACGACATAGGTTTTTAAAACCGACAGATCTACCACTAGAACTACCAATAGAACAGAGCACTAACCTCTCCAATGCTACTACTACCATAAGCGATGCTAGAGAGATATACACGAAAAGACATTTACCAGATGAAATATTTAAAAAACGCTATCCCCCAAAATTTCGAAATGAGGATAATTCGCACACTGAAGATGTTTATGTTAATAATCCTCCTAAATTCAATAACACGAATGTTTCATTAAGTGAAAAAAATGGTGATAATATCCGTGAGTATTCCAGCACTTTCAATAAGAAAGGAAGGGAAAAAAATTTAGCAAAATCAAGAAATCCTTCTAACAAAAAAAAATGTGTTTTTAAAAAAAATTACTTAAACAAGAAAAAAAAAAATATATTAAACACGACTAACAGCAATCCGTTATATTTCGATCTGTACCATAATTATGAAGATTTACAACTATGCGATAACAGGTCTTTTATAAAAAGAAATAAAAAAAAAGTAAACAAACAGAAGATTAAATATAAATATGAGATGCCTACCATAGCTTCTTTGGGAAAAGTCAAAAAATTAAATTATTTAAATTTAATAACTAATGAAAATGAAATGAGTAAACAGGAAAAGATGTTTCTAAATAATTTATCACATGTATACTTCGATAGGAACTCTTTTCATGCAGTTGCCCCATCAAGCAAAAAGTTAAAACGTAGAAAAAAACAAAGTCATCTATAATACATGTTGCAATGAATCAGAGCCTCAATGTTAAAACGCTAAAATAATGTTAAGAGAATTGAATTTAAGCATCGCCTTATTTTTCGTTTCCTTTCGTTTAGCCTAGTTCCTTTCCGTTTCTTTCCTTTTTTCGTTTTTATTTATTTATTTTTTTTTTTTTTTTCCCCCTCTCAATATAACAACTTTCTTCAATATATACTTTAAACAATTTGCTTACATTTTACAAGCATGAAGAAATTATTTTCAAGCAAAGGGAGATCAGCCTTACAAGTGTATACACATATAGTACACACATGTAAGTGCCCATGCATATATGTATATAACGCTCCATAAATGGGGGGGGGTATTATTTTCCTTATGCGACCAGCTTAACGGTTTAAAACATTTTCTGCTTTTCTGTTCATCCAGTATACATTATAAAAATATTCTTTTAATTTGAATAATTTATGGTTTTTAAAGTTTTTCTATGTTATTCTACAAATCAAATAGGATATATTTTCTTTACTCTTTAGTTATGACTGTCTATTTATGCATAAATGAATATATTTGGATACATATATGTGTAGGTGTTCACATTTGTGCAGCTCTTAATTTAAAGACACACCATGCATGTAGTGCGCGTGCAGGAATATAACAGATACCGCATGTTTATTTTTTATTTATTTTATGTTGTTAAGGTTAATATTCAATTTTTTTTTTTTTTTTTTGCCCTAATGGAACATATATACATGTTCTACCTGGAATTGTGTAAGTACTAAATTACTATCATTATTATTTTAACTTTTTTGCTCATTTTATTTTTTTTTAAATATATTTTCCCATCGTAAAATGAACCAGCAACAAATTATTTAAAAATAATGCCTTAATGATTTAATTTTAAGCTAGCAAAATGTGTTGCATTTTTAAAAAAAATAAATTATACAAATCATTCATTTAAATATCTTCACATTCAGCTCATAATAAAAAAGAAAAAAATTGAATAAAAAAATTAAAAAAAAAAGCATATATCATTAATTCGCATATTGGAGGAACTTTATGAAAACCAAAAATAACACAGTTGTGTAAGAAATCATTTCATTTTGTGAATTATGCCCTTTATGCATGTTCCATTTTGTTAAAAAAAAACAAAAACAAAAACAGTCGTGCAGCTTTTAGGGTGCATGTGGTTTATTATGTGAAGAATTTTTTCTTGTAACACAAGCTTAGGAGAAATTCATACCGCGGGTACGTGTTATTCAAGCCTATGATGATAACAAAAAAATATCTTGGGTATACCACATATACACATGTATGAATATATGCGTGCATATACATATGTACATATATATATGCATATATATACATTCGCATCCGCTCATGTGTGCATGGGCACTTCGACATGCTAATCTATTGTATATATAAATGTATAAAATTAAAAATTTCCTTTCAAAACAAATTTCTGCCCCAAATTTTTCACCCTTTTGTGGATACATATGAGCCTCAAAAATTCGTGAAACTTTTGATTGCATTTGATCCAATAAATTTCAACTGCAAAATAAAAGAGAAATAAAAATTTAGCAACTTGAGTTCTTTTAATTTTACACTTTTGAACGCTAAATTTAATTACCACTTTACCTCGAAAACTTTAATCACAGTTTCAAGCTTAACGTTAACTACTACTTTATATTTAATTTTTTCGGTTTGGTTTTTTTTTCTTTTCTCTCACTAATTTAAAATAAAATTGACACAATTGGTTTTCATTTTTAAAATTCCCCATGCCATACGTATTCCTGGTTATTTAATTGTCGAACATTTTAAGTCGCAGTTTTTGAGTTAATAAATCTGCGTACATCGAAAGGTAAGTCCTCATCATAAAAATGCAAATATGCAAATATGCCTATATATATATGAACATAAATGTAAATATGTAAATATACATACATTTATGCATAAATACATATACACATAAATACATTTATACATAAATAGATATATACATATATATATAATTACGTATGTACATAATTACATATAAAGCACATGGTTACACCTCAACACATGCTTGTATTGTACACACATTAAACGCCCCAAACGTGGCATTTTTATTGCACACTTGTAGTCGAATAAATAAGAGGAATAAAAGAACAAAAAAGAGATATACGAAGGGAAAAAAAAAAAAAAAAAAACCAAGATATCCAAAGCACAATGGCAATTATCCTACCAAAATTAAAATATGCACTTAATGCATTGTCACCACACATAAGTGAAGAAACACTAAATTTTCATTATAATAAGCACCATGCAGGATATGTAAATAAATTAAATGGCTTAATTAAAGACACACCTTATGGCACGAAATCGTTAATAGAAATTGTAAAGGAATCATCAGGGGCAATTTTTAACAATGCTGCTCAAATATGGAATCACAGTTTTTATTGGGACTCCATGGGACCTAATTGTGGAGGGGAACCTCATGGAGAAATTAAGGAAAAAATAATTGAAGATTTTGGATCATTTAACGATTTCAAAAATCAATTTTCAAATGTTTTATGTGGTCATTTTGGTTCAGGTTGGGGTTGGTTAGCTTTAAATAATAACAACAAATTAGTTATATTACAAACACATGATGCAGGTAACCCTATAAAGGATAAAACAGGTATTCCTATATTGACATGTGACATATGGGAACATGCATATTATATTGATTATCGTAATGATAGAGCATCATATGTTAAGGCATGGTGGAATTTGGTGAATTGGAATTTTGCAAATGAAAATTTAAAGAAAGCATTACAAAAATGATTTTTACCTATAAAAGGAAAAATAAAAGTTTTTAGAGACATATTATTACTGTAAATATTACTATGTTCAGTTTTGTATATTTAGCTTTTTTGTGTATATTATTTTTTTCTTACCATGTATTATTTTTTTTTTTTTTTTTTCATTTTTATCAAGTAACTTTTACTAATAAATCTTTTCACATTAAAGGAACGATTTTGAAAACAAATTTTAACGTGCTTTAAAAAAGGTTAATAAATGCATGTCCTTCCAAGGACGTGAAAAAAAGGAACATTACAATATGTCACAAATCGCCTCAAGCATGGGGGAAAAAGAAAAAAAAAAAAAGTCAGTTGTAAATTTATTTATATACGTTTGTGGATATGTCAGATCTATTCCTTCCTCTATTCAGGATTTTAGAATAGTTCTTCATTCGTCCACAGTGCTGAAGCAATAATGAAGATGATGGTATTATTGGGGAATTATTTTGTGTTCTAAATCCGGGTGCACATTTAAAGCTACTGATAAATAGGATGCGAAAATGTGCCATCCTACTTGTACTACTACTGCTACTTCTACTAGTACTACTTCTGCTTCTGCTTCTGTTACTCACTTTTTCGTGTCAATATGTATATTTCCTTTTTTCAGTAAAAATATAGCTAGTACACGGAAAGGAAAAGTGTCTTCTAACCAAGCGTTCGACTATGTGTTATGTTATATCCACATTTGCAAAAAAAAAGAAAAAAAGACCCCTTCATGGAACATTATTATTACTTATTAATCTATTTATTTATATATTTTTATTTTCACTCTAATATTTTTTTTCTTTTTTTCCAACAAGTACACATGAGACTGAAATAACGTTTTGAGGACATACGAATTACCTCCGTTTTATTTTAAAATTCTGTGGGATAAAAATGGGAGGGGCAATGTATTTCAAATTTTCATTTTTTTTCCTTTTCAAAATATCATTCGATCTTAAAAAGCTCATTTTATCACATTTTGTATTTCTTCTATACATTACATGGATGTTATTATTTATTCCTTTAAAAACATCATATGATAAATACATGGCAATATTATTGATAACATTTAAGTAAAAGGTATTTTTTTTTTTTTCATCCTTTTCTCCTGTAGACTTAATAGTGGTGACAAATTTTATGTTATTATTCTCTTTTATTAATTTCATTTCTATAATATAATTAGAATAATATTTGTACAATGGAACAAATATTAATGTGTGGATAGAACCATCCTTCGATTTTTGTATATGATATTTTAAAGGCAAATGTATCCAGTAGTGTTTTTTCAATTTTCCATGGAATATTAAAATTTGTTCTTCATGTTTTACTAGTTTGATGTAATTAAACAAAATTTCCACATTTTTAAACTCTTTGTGCTTCGAAAATTCATATATAAATGTTTTTCTTATTCTAGTAGGTATGAAATTTAAAAAATTTATTAAATTATTTACAACAGAAGTTACTACCATTTTGGTGTTCTCAGAAGTGGTGTCAAAAGTGTGTTCAAATATTTTATCTTCTTGAAATAGATACTTTTTAAATTTATAATTTTTCTTTATCTTTTTAATAATGCAATTCTTTACATAACTGTTTGATGGAACAAAAAATGAATAATGTGGATTCTTCTGAAAGGTAAGACCCGAATGGTATAGACAATTAAATGAGTACGCTGAAAGTAGTGATGTAGTTAAAATTTTCGTAATCTTCAATTTATTATTTAGTGTATATCCCCATATGTCCTTCGAGATTTTAATTAATTTCCCCAAGTAATCATCATCTTCATTAGGTAGTTTTATATGCAACTTTTTGGATCATCCTGCTTCAACACATAGGAAGGAAAAGTAAAACAGCATGCAAACAATTAAAATATAAGCCCTTTTCAAAGTCATTTTATATTTCAAAATCATTCTATACTTCCAAATTATTGAGTATTTCCAAATTATTGAGTACTTCCAAATTATTGAGTATTTCCAAATCATTCAATATTTCCAAATCATTCAATATTTCCAAATCATTCAATATTTCCAAATCATTTTATTTTTTGCCCTCCCGCTCCTGACGCGCCATATACGCAGGTAAAGAATATGTGTAGGTGTTGTGTGTAGCCACAAAAAATAAAAAAAAAAAAATATGAGCCTTCGTCCTCTAGCAACTCCTTTTTACTGTCCCTGTTTCCTTTCGTCTATATGATATGCATATGTAGGGGTATGCATATATATATGTTTGTACGTGTACATGTAAAAATGTATCACTATAATAACAAAATCGGGTGGGAAATTTTGTAGATTCGAAAGAAAAAAAAATATATATCCCTAATATATGTAAGACTACTTAGCAAGTTAAATCATTTCCTCCACTTCATTTTTGAAAATCTTTATGTTGTTCATACAAAGTTGGAAAAGTTGTTTAAAATTATTTATATTATGACTATTCATCTTATTTTTTTTTTTTTTTCCTCCATTTCGGTGCCTAATTTTTTCATTTTTTTTTTTTTTTTCTCAACTTGGGCAATGTATGAAAACGACGCTGTGTTGTGTTGTTTTACAAATTTATTCATTTCTCGCTTGGTTTTTCTTACGAGCATTTGGGTTAATGATTCTTCCATGCGTGGCTTATAAATAAGGATGTAATATCCGTGATATATGGATATGTGGTACATAGTTCCTTTTTTTTTTTCTCTTCTCTTCTGTTCTTTTTTTTTTTTTTTTTCGAAAGCATTATATACAATCAATGAGAATGTTGTAAGATTTTTGACACGACCAGTGTTACACTAGCTTACAGGGCGCAACACTATTGTGTGTGTAAATGCGCATGTATACATGTTGCACATATTTTATTTGTATATACATATATATATATATATATATTCCCCTTCTTTCTGTAATAACATTTTAAGAAATGGTACTGAACGCGCTTCTATGGTATATTCCTTTTAATTTTTTCAAGTTAAAGTGCATTCCCATTTTGATCTTATCCACCATTTCCCACATTTTATTATATGCATTTTTAATTTAGACTATGATATAAACATGTGGAATTTATGAAAAAGGATTAGATGCATATGGCTCTAATTGTATATTATCTGAATTAGCATAGCTCTGTTTATGATACTCATGCTTCTTATTCCTTTAGACTTTCCTGTTTGTGAATTTTTATTTTATATTTTATTTATTTTTTTTTTTTTTGTTGAAAATTTTTAAGGGGGTAAGGCAAAAATATATTTATGTATGTGAAAATTAAGTTCTGGTCCTCTGGTCTTCCTGTAACTGAACAAAAAGAGAGGTTTAAATTTTTATATGCAACAAGGGAAAGGAAATGGAAGAAGGTAATTTGACTAAATTTTAACTAAGAAAAAAACATGATGAAACTTTGAATAAAAAGATGAAAATATAGTATTTGTATTTGTATTTGTGTGTGTGTGTTAATGTATTTATCGACACACTGGAACACGTGTATCATACATTTAACAACTACACAATGGTCACGAAAATGAATCGTTTTCAGAGAAGCGAATTATTTACATATGGAGTTAAATACATAAGGACTGGTAAATTTAAAGAGCAAATAAATTTCAAAAAGATAAGAAGTGGAAAGAAGGAAGAATTAGAAAAAGAATTGGAAATAATTAGGAGTAACCAAATAAAATTTTTAGAATTGTTACATTTGGATAATCTAAAAACTCCTCAACCGAAGAAGTGGAATAAGAAGAAAATTGAACACGAAAATTTTTTTATCCAAAATGGTAAGAAAAAAGAAAAACAGACCTCAAATGATGCTATTAATATTGCTTCAAATTCAACACTCGATTCGAAGGAAATTTTAGGGCGTTATTCAAAATGGAAGAAACTAGAAAAGACCTCCTTAACAGAATCTTCTAATAATTGCAACAACACATTCGTGAAGAGACATCATAAGAATAATGCACTTTTTAAACAACTTAGATTGAAAAAAAACAAATTTAAAGATAATGAAACAGATAAGGCATTTCAGGAAAAGAAAACATATTGTACCAAGGGAAATAAAACCGAAATGAACTTAAATGAGTGTAGAAGTAGTGTAAACTATGAAAACTTTAAAGACAGTATTATAAGCAATATTGTTAAGAAGAAAAATGTGCCACAAAAAAAAAAAATTCATTTGAACAATTTTTCCATTACAAATAGTTACATAAATAAAAAGTATCATATATATGTGCGAAGGGATGGATTTGAAAATAATTATAAAATATCCGAAATGAAATCTATAGAATTTTTTGATGATCTGGGAAAGAAATATAACAACGGAAATGATTCCAACAAAATGCAAGCAACATCGAAGGAAAGTGAAATAGAAGACTCACATAACTTACAAACATCTTCTGTGATGTATGAAAATAAATACAAAATTATTAAAAAGATTTATAAAGCATCCATAAATCACGTCAGAGATGAAAATTTGTGGAAAAAATATGTTCAGAACACATTTATCATATCAGTGTATCTAGACGCAAGCGATATAGTAATTCTATTTTGGTGTTTTAGCAAAATTGGATACAGAGATAATAGATTAATAAATTTATTATGTTCTCTTGTGTTAAAAAAAATAAATGAGCTTAGCTGTTGTGCTTTAGCATTATTACTAAATAGTTTTAAAAAGTTAGAAATAAAAAAATATGATACTATGGAATTATTAACAAATCAGTTCTGTTTACATGTTTCTAAATGGACATCTCAAGATATAGCATTAGTTGCTAATTCATTGGCTTTTTTTTATATATATCACAAAACATTTTGGAAAAAATGTATATTAAAATTGCAGAATAATTACTATTTTTCGCATTCTTTACACTTATGTCTTATCATATCAGCATTTGCAAGATTAGATATTAGAGAAGGTAACATATTATTATCTTTATGCAAATCAACAAAAAAAATTGCAAAACATTTTAGTCCAAATAATTTAGCTCTTGTTATTCATTCATTTGCCAAGCTAAAATTTTCTCATCCAAAATTTTATAATTTCATGTATCAGTTTGTTCATAAATATTTAGATAATCAATTACTTATTGGGAAGTTAAACAAAATTACATCACAAAATAGTAATCCCAATATATGTGATAGCCAAATTGGTGAAACTAAAAAAAAGAATAGTGTATTAACTCAGCAAGAAGATATTAAAAGTTATAACTCAGAAATGGATGAAAATGGAAATTTTTACAAGAAAACTTCCCTTGATGAATATTTACACGATGAGGACAAGCTAACTTTGGACGAAATAACAAATATGTGTAATTCACACGAAGGGGTAGAAATGCAAATGGAGGAACATTCAACCGAGGCAATAAATGATGATACCTGTTATGTTAGTAAAAACAATAATAATCTTACAGATTCATCGTTAAGAGAGAATAAAAAAAATGAACACTTCGATTTGCAGTCCTTAGTATTGCTACTATTTTCATGCACGTGTCTAATTAGCTGCACAGAACAAATGATATTGAAACTTACTTATTTGATAATACCTCATAAGGACCATTTGGGAAATCACAAAGTGGAAAAATTGAAATATGTTAGTGAGTATATACAATATATCTTTCCACAAACATTTAAAAATTTCCCCAAAGAAATAAAAGATTTTTATTATCATATTGATACCTATGAAATTAAAAAAAAAAAAATTAATAAATACGGTGCACGATGGATTAATGAGTTATCAAGAATTCTAGCAAGAATAAATGTAAGTCATTTGAAGAATGTTTATATTAACCATATATGTGCTGATATAATGCTCCCAAACTCAAATGTTATTATTATGTGTTTAGGGCCATATAGCTATTATGTAAACTCTCTGGTAAGTACGTCCATTGCTGATTTGAAAAGAACAATTCTTGAAAAAAAAAATTATAAAGTTATTCCCTTAACATATCATGAATGGAACAAGCTAAATGATTACGAAGAAAAGATTCATTTTCTGTATTCTTTTGGCAGAAATGCAGCCAACTATTTGTTCGTAAATTCGAAAAAAAAATTTAGAGATACACATAAATTAGATAAAATGGAAACTCAGAATATTTCACCATCAATGGAGGAAGAGGATTCACAAAAAGGAGGGTTCGATGGAAGTGCACAACGTGATCAAAACAAAGGCGAAGAAACAATTGAGGAAGTAAAATTTTCCCAATTTGATAAGTTCCTTGATAATTACATAGAACAATGCAAAAATCCCCTAAATCACTCAAATAACATTTCGGATGAAGCTGCTGACTATGACGAAGATGATGAAGATGAAATTGCTGATTTTATAAAAAAAGGAATTAGTGGGGATGATCGAAATAAAGAAATTCGAGACAACAGCTACGACGATATAGCGGATATAAAGGAATTCCTGAAGGCTGAGAAAGCATGAAAGAGTAGCTAACGTTATAAGTTATTTACTATGCATGTGAAAATTTGCATACACACCCCTCATGTGTGTATGTAGATCCGCAAGTACCAGATTCAATCTAGCTCCAACTTGTCTTATATTAAATCGTTGGAGTTGAATATGCACACGCATTTTGCAAAAACTTTTGTGCAGTGTTCAACATTTCAGTTTTTGTACCAAAATTTTGTTACAGCATTACGTGCACTTGTGCATCTATTAGAAATGTTTTGATATATGTAAACACATGTGTAAGGTACAGTTTTAAACAAATAGGCATATTTTTATTTGTCTAATTTTTGTGGTTACACGTTATCATAATTCTCCTGGATGTAAAAAACCCCTCCTCACTTATTCTTATTAAGCATATTTTTCGGTTAATTTTAATCTTGATGTAAATTTTTATTTGTTCCACTAATTTATGTTTATGGAGAAATACTAAATATGGCAAATTTATGCGTTCAGAAGGATGCTTGAAAAAATGTAGCCTGCATCTCATTCAGAATATTACAGCCCCTATATATGTCCCCTCTCCCTCCCCCCCCTCTACATTTTTTTTTTTTTTTTTTTCCCGTAAAAACGTATTATCCATATTTAGGTTCAAATTAAATATATAAAATTAATTTGTATAATTTATATACATTGGCATATCTTCTCAAAACAAACGACCATATATATATGTATATATTTTACTTTTTTACTAAAAGAAATTTTTTTCTTTCAGTGACTCTTTTAAGTGTTCTATCATGTTGTATTACAGGTTATGTAGATCAGGAGGGTGAAAAAAAAAAAAAAAAAAAAAAAAAAAAATAAAAAAAAACGATAGTAAAACAAAAGGGGAATTCTAACCATATAGGGGTTATATATTCTACATATAAAATATCTATACCATGTAACAAAGACTACTTTTCTCTTTGCAATTATTTAATCCTTTTAGTTTGTTTTCCTAAACGTAATCGTTAAATAATCACAGGGATTTTTAATATATCTTTTTATATTTGCCTTTCCTTGTGTATATACTTGTCTGCGCATGCGTATGTATGCATATGCCGCTACGTGTGTATTTTTTTATGTGAACTTAACGGACATGTAAAATAGGTACACTATATTGCAGCATTATAAGTGCGTTAATGAAATTATTTATGGTACACATTATAATGTGGAAAAAGCAAAAAATTCTCTGTAGCAAGTAAAATTGTGCATAAATGTTTTCTTTATGAATATTTCACAAATGTTCTGTAATTCTATGGGACTTTTTTTTTTTTTTTCTTACATTGAATTTATTTAGCTCTAAAGATGTTGTTGGTAAGGAAAACAAAAAATAAGCGTGCACATTCGTGTGTTTTATATACCTACAAGCATTCTTATATATATTCAGATTCCTTGTAAAGAGTGAATAGACGAATACATGTATATTTCATGGAATAGGCTCATGTTCCTGTCACATAATTTAAAATCAAAAAATAAAAAAACAAAAACCTATGTTCCATTCACATAATTTCGTGGATATATAAGAATTCATTCAATACACTATTATATGTATTTTTGTATCCATTAAATGTTGTATATTCTTTATTTTCGCTTGTTTATAGCGCTTCCTTTTTTGTTTTCCCCTCATGGGATTGAAAATTGTTCGCGTGTGATCATTCAAAAGAGTTGCTAAAAAGATGTACTTTTAAATGCATAGGTAATATATAATGCATAAATAGGGTATGTAAATATACTCATACATGCATGCATACATACATAATGTACATTTATGTATTCACATAAACTCCGAGCTTAAAAGCATTTTGTCGATTTGAAAAGAAGAATATACATAATCTCCTTTTTTTTAATTTATTTTTACTCATGTTCCCCATGTTTTCATTTCCTTCAGTTTCCAGTATTACATATATACCTTATATATATATTACTACATTATTGTATATGCTGCCAATAAAACTTTTTTTTTTTTTTTTTTTTTTTTTTTCCCTAAGGATCTAAGATATTTAAAAAAAAAAAAAAAAATCATAAAAGGTGCATAGGAGTTTTTAAGCCATATACATTCATATGTATCCGAACGATGTGTTGATTCCCACGTTATTTATTTATAAAAAACTAAGACCTTTGGAGGAAAATGATACATGAGAAAGGACTGGAAGAATAAAGAAAAAAAGATTTAGGAAAGTACAAAAAGAAAAAAAAAAAAAAAAAAAAAAAAACTTCTGTTATTATATATACATAAATATAGTGCTAAATGTATAAAAAAAGATAAATAAGCATACGAGCATATATATGTTACATATGTTATGCACATATATATATTATACATATATTATCCATATGGTAGGTACATACATGTTTTAAATACTCACCATAGATTAACACATTTTACTTGTACATCACATATCCGTATTAAAATAAGGATTCACCAATCTCATTTGACAAGCCGGATTATATACACATATATATACAATACATATGTAATGTATATATATATGATGAGTTTTACATTACATGATAGGGGATTTTACATACTACATTTTCACACTCTAACGAGCGAATATTATATACACTTCATTTCATACATGCAAGAAAGCATGTACAATTTTTACAAAAATTTAATTGCACGAAAATTAATGTATTTATGTAAATAATATTTAAAATGGTGATATATTTCTGCATATATAAGTAAACACTTATACATATGCATATTTACATATACAACATTTATGTTTTTTTTTTTTTTTTTTTTTTTTTCATTTATGTGGAGCCTTTAAAAACTCAATTTAGTTAATAACAAAATAAAAATTCATGCACGACCATTAACACATGTATTATTCGGCTTCACTTTTATACATTACTACATTGTATGTATGTTTGTATGTTTGTATGTTTGTATGTTTGTATGTATGTATATATGTACATATGTACATATATGCATGTATATATATGCATACATGCATAGCCATTCTCCGTGCATATCAGCTATCATACTTGCATGTATGTATGGGTGAACGAAAGAATTTATTATACCTCTGTTCATCCATGATTTTACGCACGCCTATTCGTACGTGCTCCTTGGATGTGAACATTATTTCTCATTTTAAATTAAACATGGGTTACATTAAAAATAAATGAAGAAAAAAAAGAGAAAAAAGAAAAAAAAAAAAAAAAAAAAAAAAAAAAAAAAAAAAAAAAAAAAAAAAAAAAAAAAAAAAAAAAAAAAAAAAAAAAAAAAAAAAAAAAAAAAAAAAGGAAAAAAAAAAAAAAAAAAAAAAAAAAAGCAGTAAGAACAAGCATGTGAATTAGTAGAAGAGTAAGAATGTGAATAAAAACATGATTGAGAAAGGATAGTTTAGAAAGTACCAAAAAAAAAAAAAAAATAAAATAAAATAAAAGCTAATTCGAAATTTGGAATGAAACCGGGAGAAAACACAAGAAACGTGTCATATTTGTATCCATGTGTTAAGCGTTTTATGCATGTATCCATGTATTAAACGCTATATGCATGTATGTATATACAAGAAAATTTCAATCCACAAAGAATATCTATTTCATTACCGTCCGCTTTGTATTAAGGGAAACCCAAGTGAACTAATATATAGGCTTATGCTCAGGTGTATGATAATATCTACAAGGAAACATGAGCCTAAAAATACACCTTATGCGAACAGTCACATAGGATACAAAGGTAGTAGATACCTATGCACACGTATATACAATCCTATATACGTATGCATCCTTCCCCAATTGCACAAGGTACATACAGTTACACGAACAGGGGAAATTGCATATATATATATATATATATATATGTATATTTATGTGTGTGTATCCCTAATGCTTGCTTATGGTTTATTTGAAATAATTCCATTTTTTTCATTATTAAAAAATACGACATAATTCTTGTGGAGTGTGCTGCGTTGTGGTTCATAAATTACATTTTTATTTATCGTTTAAATATTCATGCATGAGGCTTTTTTCGCGACTGTGGCACCAGACCGTCCTTTTTTTTGTTTTATAAATTGTATCCTATAACAATTAGATAAAATTTATATGCAAAAAAATGGAAGGAACTAATATAGCTCAAGTTTTGTATGCAACAGTAGATCCAAATATAAATATTCGATCAGAAGCAGAAACTAAGTTGAAGCAGGCAAAAGAAACCAACTTTGTCCAATATATAAATCAATTATCTAATGAATTTTGTAAAAGTCAAAATGATCCTTACCTGAGACAAATTGCTGGGTTGCTAATTAAGAATGCTTTTGCTTCCAAGGATAATTATGAAAATGAAGAAAAAGCAAGAACTTGGATTAATTTTCCAGAAGAAATAAAAAATGAATTAAAAAATTCTTTATTACATTTATTAAGTCAACAAGGGGAAAAAGTAGTCATAGGGACAGCTTGTCAAATTATTTCCTTAATAGCAAAGATTGAATTATCACATAATAAATCATCTGAATTATTACACAAATTAGTAAATAATATCATTGAAAAAAATGCATATACGAAAAAGTCATCCACCGTATGTTTAGCATATTTAACAGAAGACATTGCTGATATTTGCAATGATAGCAAAACAAAATATGTATTTACACAACCAGATTTAGATTTAATATTAACAGCAATTATAAATTCTTTATGTGAACCGGGGGAAGAAGAATCAATACATTGCGCTAGCATGAAAGTATTATACAATTTAATGTCATTTATTGATCAGAATTTTAAAACACAAGTAGAAAGAGATATAATCATGAAAACTGTTATTGATGGGTGTAAAGATAGTGAAAGATCTACAGTACAAATAGCAGCATATGAATGTTTAATTAATATTGTTAGTTATTTTTATTCCTATTTAGATGCATATATGTATGCAATAGGTCCATTAACATGGGTAGCTATTGAATCGGATAACGAAAGAATAGCTATCAGTGCAATTGAATTTTGGAACACTGTATGTGAAGAAGAAACTTTTATAGATCAATATGAATTACAAGAAGGGAAAAAAAATCATAATATAGTTAAACAGGCAATGGTTTTTCTTTTGCCAAAAATATTTAATGCTATGATAACACAAGAAAGTGAAGATATTGATATTGATGCCTGGACTTTATCTATGGCATCAGCAACATTTTTAGCCCTAAGTGCACAATTATTGAAAAATGATATAGTAGAACCAGTTATATCATTTGTAGAAGAAAATTTTATTCATGAAGATTGGCGAAGGAGAGATGCAGCTGTATTAGCATATGGATCTATTATGGAAGGACCCGATACGGAAAAATTAAAACCGTTAGTAGAAGAATCTGTAGGTCAACTTTCTGAAGTTTTGAGAGATCCATCTGTTTCAGTACGTGATACTGCAGCATGGACAATAGGAAAGATAACAACATATCATTCCGAAATAATTTACAATGTGCTAGGGAATTACAATGATAGCAATTCATTGTATGGAATATTGTTAGAAAGACTAAATGATTACCCAAGAGTAGCAGCGAATGTTTGTTGGGTATTCAATCAATTGGCTGCTAATAAAAGAAGTTCATATAACAAAATAACAAATACTTGCACAACTGAATTAGATGATTCTTTTTGTGTATTATGTAAAAAATTAATAGATGTTACTTCTAGAGAAGATGCAGACACAAGAAATTTAAGAGAAGCTGCTTTTAATGCACTTAATGTAGTTATAGACAACGTATCAGATAACTGTCTTAAATATATGATAGAATTATTATCACACATGATGTATTTGTTAACCAACACTTATCTCAACCCACTAACAGAAGAAGTTAAGTCTTTGCAAGGTTATTATTGTGGCACTATGCAATTTATTATTAATAGACTAGGAAATCAATGTAAACCCTTTTTGAAACCAATTTATTTAAGCATATTTAGATTATTTGAAATCAGAACAGATATATGTGAAGATGCTCTACTAGCATGTAGTGCAATAATAAATGTAATGGGAGAAGATTTCAGGGAACATTTAAAAACTTTTCTAAATGTTATATTTAAAGGATTAAGAAATGTGTCAGAAACATCTACTTGTAAAATATGTATAGAAATGATATCAGATATATGTATCCCGTGGACATTTGAATTTGAAAAAGAAATGGAATTAATATTAGAATGTTTATGGGATGCGCTAAAAACCTTTGGAGTACACGATTCGATAAAAATTAGTATCCTAACAGTGTTAGGTGACATAGCTACAGCATTAAATAGAAGTTTTTCAAGATATTTAAATTTTTTCGCTAATATTTTAGCAGAAACATCGAAAATTACTATCAGTTCAGGACCACCAGAAAGTGATGATTGGGTTAATTATGTTTTTGAATTAAGAGATGCTATATTATTAACATATAGTAATATTATTTATGCATTAATTGATGGAAACGAAATTGTCAAATTAAAAGTTTATATACCAAATATACTAGACCTCATTGAAATAATTTTAATAAAAGAAATTAATCATTTTAATGCTCAAAATTTTCAAAATGCTGTATCCTTGTTGGGAGATTTAGTTCATGCTTATGGTTATGAATTAATTGAAAATTCAAAATTAACTGATTTAATTATATCAGTTTATGGAAAAATAGATATTTTATCAAGTCAAGGAGATGAGAAATGTGAATCCTGCGTTTTGAAAATTAAGTGGCTCAAGAGAATATGCAATGCAAGGCTGAGTCAGAAGTGAGACCCTTCCCCTTCCACCCAGCTCTGCAAATATATGATGGGTATATATATATATATGTATATATTTTTATGTGGTCTGTTCTGTTTATTCTAATCTCTAACGGATTTAAGTGTCAATCAAGATGTGTTCATACCATATGCAATACAAGTGTGTGTCATATGTGTATACATCACCACACTTACATCTATTCTTGGCAGGCATATAATATTTCAATCTCAATCAAGTAAGAAATAAAATCCAAGGAGAATTCAATCAAATTGAAGTCTATTCATAAACAAAGATATCCACATATATATTATGTCATTCTAAATCAAGATATCTACATGTACGACATTGTATCTTGAAATTTATTTAACCCTCCTCACCATATGTTTTCCAAATTTTTTATATATATGCCTATATTTGTTTCACATCTTCGTCTAATCTTCGCGCACGCACTTTCTCTCCCCATTTTCTCAACTTCTTTTTTTTCCCAGCTTTTTTTTTTTTTTTTTTTTTTTATTTAAACCTTATTCTATAATTTGCTTCTACTCGAGCGCGTAGCTGCACAACTTCGTAACTACGCAACTGCGTGACTGTTCATGTTCTTATCATTTAACACCACGGAGTGTCTTCTTTTTTTTTTTTTTTTTTTTTTTTTTTTTTTTTTTTTAACCTTCTTCTATAATTTTCTTCTACTCGAGCGCGTAGCTGCACAACTTCGTAACTCCGCAACTGCGTGACTGTTCATGTTCTTTTCATTTAACACCACGGAGTTTTTTTTTTTTTTTTTTTTTTTTTTTTTTTTTTTTTTTCATTTCTCCTCCTCACCCCCCTCCCATATCTCAAAACCCTCACTTTTCTCCCGTCCGCCTGATGCCCTTCTTGTATCATTTTCCTCCATTTTTTTAACTTCTTAATATTATAACCTCTAATTTTATAACTGCTTAACTTCTGAACTTCCGCCTTTTCTTTTTCCATAATTTTTCACAGCACTCTAACTTTTCCGTATTTCAAGCTTCTGAAAGCACAAACATTTACATATTTCAATCTATTCGTCTGTTCAACAAACTCATAATGTCAACCTATCTTACCATTTCGACTTATCTTGTCATTTCAACCTATCTCGCCATTTCAACCTATCTCGCCATTTCAACCTATCTCGCCATTTCAACCTATCTCGCCATTTCAACCTATCTCGCCATTTCAACCTATCTCGCCATTTCAACCTATCTCGCCATTTCAACCTATCTCGCCATTTCAACCTATCTCGCCATTTAAACCTATCTCGCCATTTCAACTCATCTTAATCATCCCAGCTTCCCGAAATTTCTCCCTTCCCTTTGCCCTGTGTGCATTGTTCTTACTTTCAGTATATGATTAATTATCCTAATTTTTTTTTACAAATATCTTGTGTATTCTATCCCCCACCAGAACTAATAATATTGTTCTCTCTCTTTTCTCTTCCGACGATGTGTTCTTCTCATTAATTCTATTAATGTGTAAAGTGTTTCATATGAAATAAAAAGTGTCAGCACACATTTTGGCTTTATCTGCATAATTAATGTATCAATTTTATTTCTCTCAGCACTCCCAATTTTATGCACTACTTGCATTTCCTTTCATGGCTCTTAATGCATTGCAACTTTTCATATTCACTCTTTCCCGCGCCCAAAGCGAAGAATTCTCATAACAGCAGTTTATGTTTTCGCACACATGCATGTATGTATATATATATATATATACACATGCTACCCCATTTTAACATAATTAAACTTTTTATTTTACAGTTTTCTTACAATTTAAAATTATATAAATATGTACGTACATATAAATATATAGATAGATATATATGTTGTGTATATATTGAGAAACTTTTTATTTCTTTTTTATCACAGACTTTTTGAAAGGTAACTGTGTTTTTACACATTTCTGCTATCGTAAATATTGACATATATATATATATATATGTATTTTTTTTCTTTATCAGCTCATTGAAGGTGTTCCTTTTATTTATAATTTCTTTCCTATTTTCAATTACCACTTGGTAGTGTGTTTTTTCTAATGTGAGTATAAGGATATACTTCAATTTATTTCTCTCTAGATATTAAGAGTGACTTGTTGAACAAGCCCAAATTATGTTCTCTCAGGAAAAGTGAACCTTATTCTCTAAAATTGTGTGAACATTGTCACCATATAATAAGTCCGTATCACGCGTAGCTTCTCGCTTCTAATTTCCACTTTTAACTTCTACCCTTTTGCTTTTTTTTTTTTTTTTTTTTTTTTTTTTCTATATTTACATAACTATTAAAATTATAGACTTGCATTTATAAAGTGAGGGATATGTGAGACCCTTCTTTCTGCCCTAATTTATACACACAATACACGAACCAAAAAAAAAAAGGAATCTCTTGCAACACGTGCTTATTATAATATACATGAATATATTTGAATGTATATAATGAGAGTTATAGAAATATAGATATCGTTGAATTCATTTTAATTGTACTTGCTTTTTATTAACTACGTCTGATAATGGGACTAATAAAAAAAAAATACAAACGAGTTGTCATGCGATGAGAAATGAAATCACTGTTCACTGACTATAAAACATACAGGTGTAAAACTAATATATTAATGCTTTTTATTTTATATTTTTTTTTTTTTTTTGCAAAAAAGATAAATTTTTGTTCTGTGCCATTATTTAAGGAGCTAATTCATTCTAGTTGTACTAAAAGCAATGAAGAAGAAGAAGAAAAAAAAAAAAAAAAAAAAAAAAAAAAAAACACACACATACGCATATATACACATGTATTATATATATACACATAATATGTATGGCACTTGATGAAGTTGCAACGGGCAACGCCATTGTAATTATGCAAATAATTGTGCCTTTTTTCTCATCATTTTATTAAATTGTAATTCGAGAAATAAAAAGGATAATAACACAAAGTTTTGTAGGAAAATATATTTTAGTAAAATTTTTTTTTTTTTTTTTTTTTTTTTTTTTAAAAAACAACAATTGTGGAAAGTCGTGTTTACTGAAAAGTGGTTTATGTAGATAATATTTTTGGGTCATCTATTTCGAAATAAATAAAATAAGGGCCAGAACAAAACGGAGCGCAGGTGTAATCACCTCAGAGGGAGAAGTAGAAAAATCAGAAAAAACTATGCGACAGAGGCATAAGTAAAATAATTATATCACAATCGAGAAAATAACTTCTTCCCCACACCCATCACCTTTGTCATAAGTTATTCTTAAACATGTAATAAGGGGGGTGGGAAGGAAATTAAGCAAAATAAAATCTACATATATGTGTATATATATATATATATATAGATGTATATCTACATGTAAGTAACCAAATAGCAAACAAATTAGATCACCAGATGACGAAGCAAATGAAAGTTAGGAAAACGTTTGTACTAATCATTGGAGGCGGTCCTACGGGTATCACAACAGGGATATATTTTCAGAAGCATAAAATACCACACATACTAATTGAGAAAGATAAACACATCGAAAAGGTGCCCAGGGCTCATTATTATAATAATCAAACTATGGAAGCATGGAGGAGTATTTTTCATTTAGATAAATGTTTTCTTAACGAAACAGAAGATGTAAATTTATGGAAATCCTTTCAATATTGTTTAAGTATCATGAAGGATAAAACAATATGTAAGTATGACAATTTTATGAACAAGTACATGTATAAAAATACATATTATGAGGACATAAGTCCATCCAAAGTTATCCACTTATCTCAGTATAAAGTTTTAGGTATTCTATATTCCTATTACTTGAATAAAATAAAACATGATCATATTAAAAAGCGGGAATTTTTAAAAAACATAAGGCTAAAGCTCTCAACCCATCGAATTTTGAAATATATTCACAGAAACAGCGAATTGCACCAAGTGCAAAATGGGGCAGAAGGCATAGATCAAGTAGCAGAAATAGAAGTAGACAGAGAAGCAGGTGCAGAAGCAGATGGAGAAGCAGATGGAGAAGAGCTTTTTAAAAAATATTTTGCATATGATCAATCTGAATTCCTAATAGGTTACGAATTTGTAGATTTCTGGAACAGCAGGGAGCTGACAAATTCCTGCTTTTTCAAGGATGAGAATGGGAAGATGGATATATGGAAATCTGAAGGGGAAAAATATTCCCCACAAGAAAAAAGTACTTATGGGGGAATCAGTTATGATAGCGTAGATTATTGTGGCCAGGAAAATATCACTAATATGACGAATGCTGTGGGAGATGAATTCACAGACTATGCAAGAAGTGCAATGGGAGAGAGGTACAGAGATGACCCCATCAATGCTGTGATAACTCAGATTAGAAACGTGCACAGTAAGGAAGAAGAAATAATTCTTAGCAATTACGTCTTTGTTTGTGAAGGGGGAAAAAGTTGCATAAAAAAGAACTTACAGATAAATGACGAAAACAAGAAAGATTACATGAAATTTATAAATATCCATTTTCAATCTACACGATTAAGCAATTTAATAAGGTACAACCCATCCATGCTATACTTCATATTTAATGAATATCTTGGAGTATTAGTGTGTCATAGTTACAAATATGGAGATTTCGTTTTACACATTCCTTACATTACAAATAAGGAAGTTGAAATATACAGTGACAAATGTAAATGCGTAGAAATTATAAACAAGTTGATTGATTTCCCATTGCCGGATATGTCTATACATAATGTTTATAAGTGGACTATGCATAGTTCTATTGCCTCTACATTTATCGACAAGAAGACAAAAAGAATTGTTTTATTGGGAGATTCAGCACATAAATTACCTCCTTCTGGAGGCTTTGGCTTAAATCTAGGGGTTGGTGATGCCATAAATATAATGTGGAAAACTATCCGAATTTATAATTTAAAGAAAAAAAAATTTCTTGAAAATATGCAAGAATTGAAAAAAATGAGCAATAGTGCTTATAACACATCTGATTATAAATCTTCCCTCATAATTGAAATAAAAAAATTAAATTATTTTTACAACATGTTGAGCATTTCTGAAAAAAAAAAAATAGAGAATTACATTGAATCTTATAACATTGAGAGAAAATTGGTAGCTAATTTCACCATATATCATGCAGTCCAAAATTATGAAAAAGGAAATAACATACCATGTCTTATAGGATATAATTACAATTTTTTTGTAAAATTTATTACTCTATTTAATCTCAGTTGTGTTCAGAATTCTCTTCTGTTTTATTATTTATCAGCAAATGTTAAATATATTTTAAAATTTTTTAATAACCTTCCTTATATTTTTGAATGCAATCAAAAGAGAGCACAAAAATTTATTCAAAATAATCGGGAAAATATTCTATCTTTGTTATACCCAGGTGTGGATTTTTGCTATTCATATATAAATACCATGTGTCATATTGGGATGGAGGAAAATCAACAATCCCATATTTTGGCCAATCAAAAGCATAAGCACCAATCTGATTATGGTGGGAAAAATGAAATCCCACACCTTGCAAATATTAAAAAGGAAGAAGAAGAAGATAATATTCATGTAGAAGGAGAAAAAACAAAAGTCGAAGATATTCAGAATATCATGAGAGAAACGAAAAAGAGGGAAACGTATAATTACAAGCTAGATAAGCATCATAAAAGTAGCAGAGAAGGAGTGGATTTATTGAATTACTGGAGTGAAAATAGACAAAATGAAGAAAAGATCGAAAATAAGAATGGTAATTATGAAGGAAACAATAATGTAGACCACATAAATGAAAAGTATTACATGCATCCAAAGTACAACATTTTTGAAAAACAGAATGAAAAAATTGCTAGATTAAAAATTTGTAAAAATATATATGAATACCAAATGAGTAACATAAATGGAGCAAAAATTCCACATTTTAATCTTTATACATTTGATGAAAAAGATATTTATAAAATATCAACTATTGATTTACCTATACTTAATAACCCATCTCTATCAATTTTAATTATTCTATTTAATAATACAATCCTAAATGATATTGTCGCTTTTATGATTGAACAAAATATTCCAAGGGATAAATTTTCCTTCTGTATATGGGACACAGATGTTATAATATACAAAAATAAGGAAAATCAATCCATTGATATTTTAAATCAAAGTGATGCTACACTAATACATCAATCTAACAACATTGATAATAGTATACGTATAAATGATTATGTCCTGTTTAAAAAGAGCAAACATTATTTTATAGGAAATGCTGCAAATATAAAACGTATACATATGGATGTAAAAAATTATAACATTACTTATGTATTTACTTCAAAAATAATACAGGATATGTTTTTAGATATTCTTTCACTAAAATCAGATAAATCATTTGTAATTTTAAGACCCGATAGGCATATTATAGCGCATGGACAAAACAACTGGAAGGACAATATAAGGGATATAAATAAAGTGTACATTTAATTTTGTGATGATCCAGTTCGATGCCATGCAGCGTACATGTCCTATTTTCCAGAAGATGCCCACTGTACTGCGCCCTCTTTGTTTATGTGTTCACGTGATTATTTTTTTTTAACTCCATATTTGTTTAGTTTTTTTCATTTGTTTGTTTTATTTGTTTGTTTCATTTGCTTGTTTCATTTGCTTGTTTCATTTGCTTGTTTCATTTATCTCTTTCATTTGTTTTATTTTTTTTTTTTTTTTCTTCTTCTGCGCTTCCACATGGCAATTTGGAGTTATTTGAAATGATTGGCCATTAAAGAATTGGCGGGTTTTTATTTCATCCATTTCCACGCGTTCATTTGGCATTATATATGTACGAATATACATTTACATGCATTTGCAAATATATGTGCACATTTAATCAAATACTGCGTCCGTAGTTCAATGAATATGCATTTTTATTTTACTCATTAGTGGAAGAGCACAACGTTTATTTATACATTCCTGTATGCAAGCTTGTAAGCATTGCTTTTATTTAACATCCATCTAGTCCACTACACACTATGCCATTTCACACCACATGGTGTTAATCATTTTGAACCTGATCAATTAATTCCCGTGGTCATGTTCAGTAGGAGCATGTAGATTTATTCTAAAGTATCAACGAATCATTCAACTTTAATCTCATATAGAAAAAAAAAAAATAATAATAATAATAATAAAATAAACACTACTTAATTTTAAAAATCCACATATATCATTTCCATCCTTCTAAATGTGTACATATAATATTTAATTTTTGGAAGCACTAAATTTATATGCACATATGTACACACTTATTCTGAATGAATCATGTTGTTTATGCGGTTAAAATTTTGTCACACGACAGAAGAAAACAGACGGAGAATATTCTCTAAACTGTTGTGCTATATTAATGATTTGTTTTGTTTCCATTTTTCTTTATTCCTTGGATAAAACAAACTAAAGAAGTACGCCTATACATAATTTTTTTTTTTTTTTTTTTGTTAAAACAATGGATTTATGTAAATAAGGGGAGAAAAGTATGACGTAAAATTTAGTTAATGTGTTAAAACTGAAAAGCGCAGAAATGTGCAGACAAAAATACATACATTAGATTTAAAATGGTGTAAAATGAAATGAAAAAAAAAAATGTCCTAAACTATAAAAAGTATGAGGTGGAAGATTTTATATATACATAAGCGGGATTAATTTTTTAATATGCCCAGAAATGTGCAAGGTGTGGATAACAGCAGTTCTTTTTTTTTTTTTTTTTTATACATATAAATAGATATATACAAACTTGAATATGTGCAAAATAAACTGATATAGTGAACATTTATTATGATTTTTTTTTTTTTTTTTTTTTTTTTGTAAATTCATCAGCTGTTTACGCATTAGACAAAAATTAAAAAGATAAATGTATATATGTACATATATATACAAGTTTGTCCCTTTTGTAGAAGTATGTAAAAACTGAAAATTTTTAAAGAGCAATTTCACAAGGTTATTTTTTCAGTGTGCATAGATATACTTGAGTATATTCAGCTGATATGAGATGTCTTATATTTTGTTAATGAAAGCTAGTATATATGCCCATGAAAGTTGCAATTAATGTATGGGCCTTCTAAAACTGGATATCTTATGAATTTTTTTTTTTTTTTTTTAAAGTACAACACGTAGAGATGCATTTGTACATGGTCCTATATACCTATTAAGCATATAAAATTGTAGCGGGGCAAATTGCACTACTTCTGAGTCTCTGTTTTCAAATTTGAGCACTTAAGATGAGCATATGTTTCGCAGTTTGATATATTCGATGGATAATCGGTCTGGACCGTTGTATGCAAAATTTTATATTTATTTTGACAAAGCAAAGTAGCGTTGTTTAAAACTGTGTGAGAGAAATTTTTGTGTGCAACTATATGACAGGCTAGGGCCGGTTTTCCAATTGACAAGGACCAAACATGTAAATCATGAACATCTATAACACCAGGTATTTTCAACAGATCGTTTTTTATATCGATTAAATTAATGCTCACAGGTGTTCCTTCCATTAATACGTTTAAAATTTCTTTAATTACAGATATGGTCGTGGAAAAAACAATGAAGCAAAAAATAATTGAACAAATGGGATCAGTAATTGAGTACTTGGGGTTATACCAGATAATAAGAGATGCAATCATTACTCCTATATTTTGCAATAGGTCACTAATGGCATGAAGGTACGCCGTTTTTAAGCTGATGCTGTTTAATACATCGGAACCGTTGTCTCTACTATGCTTTCGCCTATGGTTGTGTGAGTGGCCGTGTGAGTGATCGTGTGAGTGTCTGTGGGAGTGATCATGCTTCACGCAAGTTCTATGTTCATCTGTGAGATGATCCCCTACTTCAAGGGAAGTACCTTCTAGGGATTGATTACCATTCGAATCGTACATGGCATTTTCTTCTCTTTCCTGATTTGATAGCGTACATGAATTATTACAGTCTGTGTTTCGATCCTCGTGCAAGCTGCTATGCGAATTTTTTTTTTTTTTTTTTTTTTTACTCATATCATTTGTTCCATTGCTTTTATGTACATAATCATTAATTCCTACTTTAAAATTATCATCATCATTATCAACATCTTCTTCATTATTCGGTTGAAAATGGCTTGTTGATGAGTTCAATATTGTTTGGTGCACGTTTTGTGTGTATTTTCCTCCTGTCATTGTTCCCGTCATGTTGGGTGTTGATCCTCCACCTCCCCCTTCATCACCAGTTCCTCCTGCAGCCCTTGAATCCCCTTGATGATGATTATATTTATTAATTTTATTAACATTTTCATAATAATCAAAAGCAACATAGCTACACGAACTTGTATTGATTTTTCCAATAGAAATATTGTTATTATTATATGCCACTGCATGCGCTGAAGCACCATCCTGATCATCATCTACTAAAACAATGTCACTATTTATGTTTTTGTATTTTCCATTTTTTGAAACGTTGTTAGTATCATTTCCCCATATTCCCAAATGATTAGTATGTTCACTGGAACCATCACTGTGGCTACATTTTCGTTGTCCAATAAATTCAAACCCATGTGAATGAACTTTAAGTACGAATGCAATGAATATATTTGCTAATGTGCTTACAAAAGCAGTAACAAACATAATATATCCATCAACAGTTTGGACTTCAAATAATCTGAACACAGCACTATACAAAATATAGGCAGATAAGGCCCAAATAAAAAAGATAGAAAATAATGCTCCTATTATTTCAGCCCTGTGATATCCAAAAGACATATCCACATTTCCCTCAAAAGTGGAAACATAAATGGAAAATAAATTTAAGGCAAATGATAATAAATCGCAAAATAGATGAGATGCATCAGTCATTAATGATAACGAATTGGATATTATAGCAGCTATTATTTCGATTATCATAAATATTATACATATAATACTTGCAATAATTAATTTCTTTGTTGCCTTCTTTTGAGATCTATCATACAAATGAGACATTCTATCAATGAAGTTCATATTTATTCCATTTTCTAATAAAGAAGCATCCATTTTTATTTTATAATTTCATATAATTATTATAAATTCAAAATTTTCTGCTGATTGTGAAAATATAAGTGCAGGAGGCGAGGAAAACAAAAGAAAAGAAACAAAAAATATGTGTATTTTTCTTCCGAACCTGGGTGTTCTCTCCAATGTGTAAATGGAAAAAAGGGACAGAGTCACGTTAGAATTTCTTTCTTCCCATTCTTCCGTAAGCCCTTTACACGCGTTCACGTATTTGTACACATATATACATATATATATGCATATGCATGTTTGTATGTAGGCACATGCACATGGGTAGGTTATACATACATTTGCACAATGACGTGGGCATATAAATGAATAGCTCATATAGCTTTATCTTCGAAATATAAATAGGTGCATCGGCGTAACCATGATGAGCTTATATTCTCCATATGCATTTATCCCTCAGGAGAAATACGTATGTGTTACTTGTACCTCTTTCCCCTATTCTATTATTGAACTATATATGTATATATATGCTAGTTGCAAACATGGTAAAAGGGATCCTTTCACAAGGTACACTAAAAAGGTGTGCTTTTCAAAATGTGCTAATATGAATAGGCACTTTTATTATTCAAAATGTAAGGAGTATTCTTTCACATGTTGCAACTAGGCAAAACAGAAAGAGAGAGAAAAAAAAAAAAAAAAAAAGGAAAAAATGTATAATAAAGAATGTGAATATAGCGGATGAAGGAGAAGATCAAATTTATGCTGACAATAGAAAATTGGACTAATTGTAATAAATATGCATGTGCATAAGTGTACGAATAGCAATACGAAAAGAATAATATAGTTATTATGTGTACAATGGTATTACACTATTGTCAATATGCACAATATTAAAAATAACCTAAATATTTTCTCTTGCCCTATTTTTTTTTTTTTTTTTTTTTTTATTTCTTTTGAACTTTTTTATTGTTGAAAACATGTGTTACAAATGAGTGAAAGAAAAAAAAAAAATACCAAATTGATGAAATAGCCTTAAGGTATTTATTCATAAAAAAAAATAGAAAAAAAGAAAAGATTTTTACACCCTTGTACTATTTATAAAAGAACGGCTTAAAACTTGAGAACGAGTGATATAAATCTGTTATTAGAAGGGTAAAAAAAAAAGAAAAAAAAGAAAGGTGTATAAAAATGTTTTTCACAAAAGCAAAAATAGCCTATTTTTAAAACATAGATTTTTAAAAGGTTTCAAAGAGGGACAACTATAATATTTCTTCTTTTATGCTTCCTATATGTTTCCTATCTGCTTACCTTTTCCTTTTTTCTTTTTCCAGTATTAACATCTCAGCATACTAGAACTCATAGTGTAAACTAACACGTGGGACATGCATATAAACTACTTCCCACAGTAGTTTATATTTTTGCACGTACTTTTATGTGTTCACGTTTTTCTAGCACTTGGTACATAATGAAAATGAATTAACCTATATAAACCTTTTTTGATATGTGTATGAAAAAAAAAAAAAAAATAAATAAATAAATGACGGGAAAATTAAACCTTCTCTTACCAATACACATGCATGGATAATTACGATATTGCTGTAGGGGAGGAGTGGCTTGGAAGATTAATTAAATTTTCCACTATGTGACTGCCCATGTGTATAAATAAAATGCACGGTTTTGAAATAAATGTGATCCATTATGGACATTTTTTTCTTTAGTGTGAAGCATATGTCCATAATTGAAAAGAAAAAGGATGAAAACCAAGTATAAAAAAAAAAATAGGAAAAAAAAAAAAAAATGAAAGAATAAAAAAACATGAAGAATATCATACATTTTGCATCCACATTAAAATTTGTTAAATAGCAATTTTAAAATGTTATAACTACGCTCTAACGTTTTATAAGTGCCGTTTTAGAGAAACAACAATAATAAGAATGATAATAGTAGTAACGATAATAATAGCAAAATCAAGCATAGTAATTAAAAAAAAGTAAAAGGAAAAAGGAAAAAAAAAAAAAAAAAAAAAAAAAAAAAAACAAAATAAAAAAAAAAAAAAAAAAAAAAAAAAAAAAAAAAAAAAAAAAAAAAAAAAAAAAAAAAAAAAAAAAAAAAAAAAAAAAAAAAAAAAAAAAAAAAAAAAAAAAAACATACTCCTAATTCGATTAACATAAAAAAAAAAAAACCAGTCAAAAAAAAAAAAAAAAAAAAAAAAAAAAAAAAAAAAAAAAAAAAAAAAAAAAAAAAAAAAAAAAAAAAAAAAAAAAAAAAAAAAAAAAAAAAAAAAAACCAAAAAAAAAAAAAAAAAAAAAAAAAAAAACAAAAAAAAAAAAAAAAAAAAAAAAAAAAAAAAAATATAATTAAATAACAAAATAAACAAAAATAAAATAAGAAAAACACAAAATAAAAACATAAAGTAAAGAGAGCATAATGCAATAAGCCTTTCTAACACGCAAATCATTAATTTTATTTTATTTTCCCTTGTTTTTTGTTAAAAACTCTCAAAGCAGTTTATATGTGTATGAAAAGTTGGGAGCTCCCCCAAATTTCTCCTATTTATATGTACACACACATATATACATGTATAGTAAGAGCGGGGAATAAGAGAGCATCCATTTTTTTTCCTCCTTTTTTCCATTACCCTGCTACCTGGTACTTGATTTCCCACCTAATTAAGGTCCACCGATGTATATTCAAAATAAAACATAGGTGACATTTTTCACAGCTTTTTTAAGCCCATAAAACGATACATTTCTTCTTCACCTCGATTTTCTGGGTAAAAATAAATTCTTTTTAAATTTACAAGGATATAAATTGAAATGAATCCATATGTATGAGATGAACTTCATGTGAGAAGAAAACATACTAATGGGTGTATTTACACATTCGTACATAAACATATTCACAGGTCTGCATGCATGTGTATGAACACGCATTATCAGCTGAGAGAGACGAAACTGCAATTCAAGCAGAGAAAGGCCAAACCGGTACCCCAGTAATTGTGTAGCCCCCATTTTTCTTCTTTTTTTTTTTTTTTTTTTCTTCGTTCCCCTGAGTACTCATAAATTATGTGAAAACAAATTCAATAATGAAATTCCTAAAAGTTGAAGAATTTTTCACAAAAAAAAAACAAGATGAAGGAGGGGAAAATGTGGTATTAATAACTGTGAATTTGCTCCTGCTGTTCTCAATGTTTTTGTATGGAATAAATTACATACTAATGAAGTATTTTATTATGATAAATGGGTCTATATATATATTTATTTTTTTGAGAACAATTCTTACTATACCATTAATGATTTACATGTATATGTCCAAAAAGTCTGAACCAAAAAAAAAAAAATTATTGCATGATGTAAATGATAAAGAGGCAACAGTTGAAAAGGATAAGAACCAACTCGACCAGGAGTTATCAAAAGTTGAAGAAGAAAATGAAAATAATAAAAAAAAGAGTACCAAAAATAGTATGCTTGAGGAGAATAAAAAAAAAAATAGTAATAATAGTAATAATAATGATAAAGACAACAAGGATAGTAAAGTGGACTATATGACACAGGACAGAGATGGAAAAAACAATGATTATAATGATGATGATAATTACGATAGCAACAAACATGAAACACGTATTAATATAGAAAATAAGTGTTCCAGTTATTTTAGTACTTTAATAAAAAATGATGAAAAGTTAATACCTAAAATAGCCTATATGCCTATACTTATATTATCCATTACAGGAGCTTTGAGACAGGTTATTGTTATAATTGCTTTGCAGTATACAGATTCACATAACGTCGCCATAATACAGCCGACGATACCAATATTTACAGCACTAATGTCTTACTATTTAAAAATTGAAAAGATGAATTATATCACATGTTTTTCAATTTTCTTATCCTTTTTTGGGTTAGCTATAACAGCTGAAATATGGAACATGGGTTCTTTTGATTTTGGTTTTCTCTTATTATTAACTGTCCCTGTTACTAAAGGGTTACAAGTTATATATATAAACATTGCCACTAGATATGTAAGTAATGATGTAATTCAATTTTCTCAAATGGCTGTTTTGTTCCTAATAGCTGTGCCATTTGGGATGCTTGGAGAAATGTTTATTAATGAAAATTATAATGTCATTAGCGAAGTATATAATGTAACTACAAATCAGTTTTTATGTATCCTTTATTCAACACTTGCTATTATTTTTCTCTGCTGGAAAATACAAATTATCGCATTAAACTACCTTACACCTGTAACAGTATCTCTATATCAGTCTTTTCAGCCCTGTTTTACTTTTGTTCTGGCTAGACTATTTCTTAACGAGACTATCAATTATAATAAGTATGTCGGAACTGTTTTTATTGTTATTTCATTACTCCTTTATCAGTATGGATGTACTAAGGGACAGAAAACATAATGTGTATTTCACAGGGGGGGGGGGGGCATATGGATGGGAAATGAACAATAGGTCAATATCCAAATAGGAGGCTGTATTTGTATATATGCATGTGTTTTTGTGTATGTATATATGTATACACAGTACAAAACTCTATGATTGTTCCTACTTCGTTTCTACATATGTTTATGTACTCAACCGTTTATACTACATTTTAACTGATTTTATAACGGAAATTCAAGCTGGTTTATTGCCATTTTTTTTTTTTTTTTTTTTTTTTTTTTCCTTTTTTATTATTATTATTATTACATCATTTTGTTTTACCATGTATTTTATCGTATCACCTATTTTTTTTTTTTTTTTACTGATTAATCCTTTTAAAAATATTACACATTTTTATGAAAACTTGTTATTTTATTTTTACCCCAAGATTGTCAATATATTATTCAGCATATTTGTGCAGTGTACATTTTAATACCCTTTTATATATTAAAGATGGTTGAATTCGAATTAAAAAAAAGTTCAACTTTAAATCATTGGATCTGAATCATATAACAAGACATACACGATGCTATTATTTTCTTATTAGTGTATCACTTTTGCATATCTGCTCATTCTCTCCTTTTTATTTTATTTTTTTTTTTAATTTTTTCCTTATTTTTACAGTAAGCAATTTTCGCATAGATTTAAATAAACTCACTTTTTTGTGCATTCTAATTTGTGAAGTTCATTTTTTACAAATGTTAAAAACATTTTAAAATTTGTGTCTACGACGGTGAAAGAGGTGAGTGTAAAATACCTGAATCATCACATCTAGCCAACGTGCTGAATGGTTATTTCGGCGATCCTTATTCGTAGAATGATTTATTACTGAATTGCATTTCTATGCACGTCTCAAGACAAAGTAGCATGATGTTGGTAAAGGATTTTTTTGGCAAAGTTCCACTTCTACAAAATTGGACTTTTAAAAAACTCTACTTCTACAAAATTCCACTTTTGCAATATTCCACTTCTACAAAACTCTACTTCTCCAAGTTCCATCTCCACCTAACATGTTTTTTCATTTTGTTAAATCTGGAAGGTGGTTGACAGTGTAATTTTACTCTTCCAGCTAAGTTAATTTCACTCATTAATTTTTCTACGATTGTGTTCATATCTTTGTAACTTTTATTTTCAAACAAAGGAGAACAAAGAATTCCATAAAAATGCATATCATGAACATGATGTCCCATGGTATAGTCTTGCTTAATATGAAAACATATTGGCTTTAATTTTTCATATATCACTTTTTTAATATTAATCAGATTAGGACAATCAGGAGAAGCAAATTTATGTGCATAGTTTTTCTTAATAAAGTGAAAATTATATGTTTTTATAATCATGTTTTATTAACCTCCTTGTTAAAAATTATCTTCGTTTGGTATGTCCTGTGTACATAATATATGTTTGTACTAATGCAAAATGCAAGTTTTTTTCCTTTGTCCTTCATGTAACGGAGAACAAGTAAATAATTCCACGTATTTTATGTATGTGCATTTGTTAGTGTGTGTCATATGCCTCTCTACACAAATGGTCCTTCATATATTGCTTACGAAAGGAGAGTTCCTTGTATATTGTGAAAATTCTTTCAATTAAAAAAAAAAAAAAAAAAAAAAATTTTAATTAATTCCTTAACATTTCGCATATATGGGGGAAATATATTTTATAGATAACGCAATTACAAGATATGATAAATGCGATAGCCCAAAATTGCTCACTCGTCCGTCCGTTCGTTCATTCGTTCGTTCTCTCTCTGGTTCGTTTCGTCATTTGTTTGTTTAACCGTTTTGTATTCACTTGTACTTTTTTTATGTTCTCTTTTTTTCTCATCATTTATCAGGCACATGTTTCATTCAAAACAGATGAAGTTTGTTCTGCTTTTCGTATTTTCATAAATTGATAATTTCACTAAATCGATTTTTTGAAGCTTTTACATATGTCATATTGTGTGTATATCTGTTTTATAACATTCTTTTCTTTGAGAAAGGAACATAGACTCCACGCCACTCCAAAAAAAAAAAAAAAAAAAAAAAAAAAACTTTAAAGAAAAAAAATGTGTTGCAAATAAATCGCTCTTTTTTTTTTTTTTTTTTTTTTTTTTTTTTTTTATCCACATTTTTTATTACTGTTCAGGTGAAAATCTACATATTAGATCTCCAATTTTAAGATAACATTAATTACTATTTTTTGTTCCTTTTTTTTTTTTTTTTTTTTTTTTCCCTGTTATCTTATTACACACAAGCCACATTTTTAATAGGGTCCGTACACTATTCCTAACGCGTTTATACCCAAGACGTGAAAAAAAGAAGCAATTAATGTTGGTTGTGTACAAATTATATGTATTCTATTTGCGCATAACCACCATTCGTGTGATTGTTGTAAATGTTAATTAAAAAATATTTTATATACGGTAAAAGTCCAGTTACACATTTAAGTAAAATAAACACATAAAATGACGTGTTTGAAAAGTAGCGGTATGTGAAATGCAAAATATATATAAATAATAAAATAAAAAAAAAAATAATAATAATACAAAATTTATTACGCACTATTTATTTTATTCATGAGGTACAATGCACTTTGGTAAGTAGACCTTCTCTACATGTTATCAATGAGAAGTATCAGCTTTATCCTAAACGCATAAAAATACCTATGCGCAGATAAAATTTTGAAAAATTAAATGTGCAAGGTGTATTTTTTTTTTTTTTTGGGTTGTAAAGCCAGCGATCATAGATAACATAGATAAGGTAGAAAACATGGAGAACAGATAAATGTACGTTCAGGAGCACAGGACATAGTTCGTACTCAACTTCTCACGAATGTGATGGTGCGAATAAGGGGTGATCTCATTATGAGACATTTTTTCCTAAATCGATGAAAAAGCTATTGACATAACCCATTTATTTATTCCTTTGCATTGCCCTGTTTTCATATTTAACAAACTTTGGCCTTTCTATTTGCAGTTTTTCTTTGTTCTGTATTTAAAATTTTTTTTCGCATAACAATTCGTTTTGGAGTAACTTCTATTTCTTCGTCATCTTGAATAAATGAGAGTGCATATTCAATAGTTATATTTTTATAATTTATCCTGATGGCTTCTTCATGTCCTTTATTTCTTAAGTGTTGTACTGGTTTGACTTTGACAGCATTCATTTCAATATCATTACTTAGGAAATGTTCACCAATTATCATACCTTCGTAAGTTGGGTAATTTTCACTTACAAATAAATTTCCTTTTAACTGAATAGGATCTAAGGAAAAAGCAGTTGTAGTTCCATTGGATGAAGATATGATTACACCATTTCTATCAGATTTATACGATGTTTGTCTTTTTTTATATTCTCTTAATTCAGAATTAATTATCGATGTTCCTTTACTTACATCACGTAGATATGATCTCATGCCAAAAAAATTTCTAGATGGACATATACATTTAATAAAAGTATTGTCATTATCATCATTTATAATATCTAAAATTTCGGCCTTCCTTGTATTTAATTTTTCAATTATATTAGAACTAATTGTAGATGGTATAGTAATATGAAATTCTTCAATAGGTTCTAATAAATTTCCTTTTTCGTCTTTTCTGTATATAACATTTGGTGAAGATATAGTCATTTCATATCCTTCTCTTCTTAGCTTTTCAATTAATATACCTAATTGCAATTCACCTCTTCCTTTAACTTCATAACTATCCTTTTTTTCTGATTCGTTAATTTCAATTGCTACATTTATAGCTGCCTCTCTTTTAAGTCTGTTTCCAATAGATGACAAGGTTATGTGTTTTCCGTCCTTTCCTGTTAATGGACTTGTATTTTGAGAAATTTTTAGGCATAGAACTGGAGGATCAATTGGTCTTGCCTTCAAACTTGAAACAGTTTCTTCAGATGATAGGGTATCATTAACTGATGGCGTAACACCTTTAGAAAAAGAAATATTTACAATATCTCCTGCACTAGCAAAATTAACATTTTCTATTTTCCGTCCTTTCATATAAAATATATTCTTAATTACGGAAGTTCCTTTTATTTTATTTTCTTCATTTTTCACAATAATAGTATCTCCTTTTTTTATAACTCCTCCATATATTTTTCCTGTAACTGTAACGCCAACTCCTTCTTGGTGGTCTATAAGGCTAACAAGCATACTGAATGGTTCGCTCATAATTCTGGTTTCAGTTAGTTTGGAATCTGCACACCTATTTGTGTTTGAATTTTTTCCAATGATTTCTTTGCATTTTGAAGGCTCGTTCGAATTGTTTATGTCCGATGTAAGCATCTTTTCAGGTTCCATAGATGGATTCACATCTGATGATGTAATATCACTGGAGGAGGATAAAGTCAATGGGGCATCAAAATATTCTATAATTTTTTTAAATATGACTAGGACATTATTGTGTTCACATTTATTCTGCTTTGCATCATCGAAATTTTCAGTGCACCATCCATTTTTGGCAGATGCATAGAGAATGGGATAATTCATTAATTCGTCTGGGGCATTTAAATCAGCAAACAAGTCAAATATTTCATTTTCAATTTCTTCCTTTTTTTTCATATTACTAGGTTTATCAAACTTATTCATAATTACAATAATTTTACATTTCGGATTTAAAAGTGATTTTTTAAGAACAAATTTTGTTTGATTTTTTGGTCCTTCTACTACGTCAATAATTAAACATACTCCATCAATTAAATTAAGAACTCGTTCTACTTCTCCACCAAAATCTGAATGACCAGGTGTGTCAACAATGTTAAAAAAATAATCATCATATTTTATTCTGGTCACTTTGGACATTATAGTAATACCTCTTTCTTTTTCTAAGTCATTATGATCCATGACTCTTTCGTTATTAGTTTCTTCACCACCTTGTTTTAACAACTTATCGACGAGTGTTGTCTTCCCATGGTCAACATGTGCAATAATTGCTACATTTCTTATTTTTCCTGGATGTATAATTTTTATTTTTTTATTAGTTGAAAAAAAAAGAAAATTATTATTTTTATTTACTAATGGAGACCCTTGTTTAATGTTAATTTTTTCCCACAAAATATTTTTGTTTTCACATAATATACTCTTATTACTGCAAAAAGATAACGTAGTAAAATATTTTCTTCTTTTGCATACATCGTTTATGCATTCCTTTATACTATCCTTAGTAGCAGCACTAAAAGTGGAAAGGTTTTTCTCGTATCTTTTTATGCCTTTTGCACTCCTTCCAATATATTGGCTAACCACCCTTTTAGCTGCACAACCGTTATGATCTTTCAAAAAATAATTCATATTTTGCCTTTTCTTGATTTTGCTTCGAAAAATGTTTTTCTCTACCACTCCGCCTGACGCATTCTGCTCTCGTGTCTGCCTGTCTGTGTATTTGCGTGCTCTTATGCCTTTTATTTTATTTTATTTTTTTTTATTGTGCTTATATATGTATCTCTTATGTTGCAATATATAATCAACATCTCTACATGTCTCCGAGATATGTACACACACACATGTGTGTATGTATCTATATTCTCCTTAAAGGGGGAGTTCGATCAAATCACCAACTTCATCATACACAATGGAATCATAAATGGATGAAGAATATTCAAAGCAGGCAAAATTCATGTATCAAAAACACTTCGTCTCTCATGAGGAATGCTTTTAGCAAATATGGGTAGTTATTTTCCCCTTGTACGAAAATATGAACTATAATTGTGTTGAAAAAACATTAGGATATGTTGCTATATATAGTGATATTAAAACACATATGTAATATATGTGTTATGTGTATAACTTTTTGCTACTCTCACTTCGTTACTTAGTCTATGGATCGTGCACAAATTATTACACACTTTTCCTGCAGCTTTCTCTTTTTATGGCATAATAATAAACAAAAAATTATTCTTTTATGGGTTACTCAAATAGCCACAAAATTGATTTATGTATATTTTTCCAATACTAAATAACAAGTTGGGAGTGACAGCAGGTACTTATTGAATAATTTACATAATACAACATTGGAAATGTTGTTCCTTAAGCATTAACGTTGGAATTATCAGTATTTTTAGAATTTTTTTTTTTTTTTTTTTTTTTTTTTGAAGAGCGAAGGGAGTTGTAATTTTTTTTAAAATTCAGTGACTTTCATTGAACATATCCATAATCATTTTTTTTTTTTTTTTTTTTTTTTTTTTTTTTCTTTTTTCCCATTTCACAGCTGCATTATATACACAATCTTTACATGTTTAAGAATTTTTATGACAATGAGCATTGAAAGTTTCTAGTAACATGAACACGATTATTTAAAACTTAGTTTTGTGGAACATAACAAATTATCTTTTACTCTAGTTAAAAAATATATACATTATCTTGGTTCACTTGATGGACGATTGAGTTGTGTATATAACACAAGTTCACGACAAGTATAACAAGTTTGAAATTATGCATATCTACATGTATATATATGTACATAGGAAAATATAAAACTAGCACCTCTGAAATATATTCATCCTTGTTATATCCCAAAATGTGGAAAGCGGCAAATGTTACTTATACAAGATATGCCTCAGAGATGGCGGACATTTTAAGGAAGTATGAAGGAGTGGAAAAAAAACATAAAAAAACGAAATGAAGCAAAACAAAGTGAAGCAAGATACATTAAAGTTTCACATTGAAAAACAACTGAATGATTTCACCTTTCCATTTATATGCAAAAAATACCATAAATAATGAACATGTTGACCAACATACCATGTACACACATCTGATCACCACTTATTGTTTTTTTATTTTTATTTTTTATTTTTATTTTTTATTTTTATTTTTTATTTTTTTTTTAATTTTTTTTCCTTTTAAGGTGCTTGAAAGATCCCTATTCTGAGATAGCCTTGGAAAGAAGTAAAATGCATATTAGAGAAACAATATACAAAGACGGAAAACCAATTAGTCAAGGTAAAGTTCACTAGCGTTTAAAAGTTTTCTTAAAAATGTTCGTCAAATTTAAGTTCAGTAATAGTGAGGGAATCTTTTTTCCACAGTTCTCTCTATAAATATTAATACTGTTCGGCGTTCCTTTTTTTTGGAGCCAAGTAAATTGAACTCCCTGATTATTTCCATAATATATCATATCCGTGCATATGGATACTTATATTTACGCACGCATATATACATTCCCCTTTGAACAGATCTCCATGAAGAGTTCCAAAAAGCTTTCAAAAGTTTAAGCAATAATAAGGAATGAAACATGAGTCAAAAGTGATGAAACCGAACCACCTATAGGACATGTAGGAAAGTAAATACAAAAAATGGAAGAATATTCCAAAATGAACAACTCATACGTATCACCAAAAAAAAGGTTTATTCAGTTAAACTAAATTTATAACCCATCTTATGAAATTAACATCCAAAACTTACACTTACAACTTTATCCCTTGTTATAAACTAAAAAAAGGGGGAAATGGTGAAGTTAATAAATTTATACCCCTTTTTGAGTATTAAACTTTTAAGGAAAAAAAAAAAAAAAATAATAAAATAATAAATAAAATAATTTAACCAAAATGTAAAGAAAAATATATTTTATATATATAAACAGTTAAGAGAAGCAATCATTTTTTTTTTTTACAAACTTTATAAGAATCTAAACTTGTAGAATCTCAATTCATTATTTTTTATAACAGGAAATTTCATAATTTCAAAAAATTTCTCTTTTTTCTTTTTTCTACAACTTCATGTAAGTTAATGCATGTAGAGGTGTGTTTAGTAATATGCTCTCAAATGTGAAATCTTTTAATTATTCTCGAACATGTGCGTATATCCCTCTTTTTTTTTTTTTTTTTTTTTTTTTTAATAATATATATTTTTTAAACCCCCTTTAAAATTGTGTATATACCAAAAAAAAAAAAAAAAAAAAAAAAAAGAAATGGTAAAAATGAAAAAGATGGAAAGGTTACTAAATGGATAAAAACAAAGCAAAACAAAATTGTTTAAGAACTTCACAAAAAAGTTGCCATAATTATTTTGACATCACACAGATGTACAGTAAAAAAGAAAAATGTTTTAAAAATATAATTTCCGAATTTTGATCTGTTCACTATCGCTAAAAAAATTGATAACAACGGAAAAATAACCTACATTACAAAGCTACATGCACACACATAGACCTACACTCACGCGCCTTCAAGAAAATGTGTAAATGGGTGTTACTCGTTCTATGCTTTGCACTCCTAAATGTCCTTGGAACAGAGTGTAAAAATGTTGTTTCTTCATTTTTATCCTATTTGAATTCAAAAATAAATTCTACAAGTGAAATATCAAAACTAGTACAAATGGGGGATACATTGGCATGTCTTGTCAGTAAAGAAAATAACAATTCGAACAATGAATGTTCTTGTTCATTTAAAAAGCTGAGCGATTTTGAAAAGAAATGTTCTTCCAATTTTAAAAAAAATGAAGGAGCTAAAAATTGTTCTGAGGAACGTTGTGAAATTTGTTGCAATTTAATGAATTCAAACAACATAACAAATTCTATATTGGACTCTGAATTTTTTTGCAAAAAAAAATGTGCCAGATCTAGTATTATTTTAAATTTGAATGAAGATGATTATAAATTAGTTTTTAAAAAGTTAATTGAATTTATTCGTATTTTTTATCCTTCTAATGTATTAAATTACTATCCTATTCAAAAAAAAATTCCAACGAATTACACGAATAGGCTAATAGACACAAGTACGTAATTATAATATTCTATTTTTAAAAATTATGATATTGTATAAAATCATAATTTCAGAAGGAAAAAAACAAAAAACAAAAAAAAACTAGTTTTCACCCCTATTTGTCATTATGCATATTTTTTTGTTTTTTTTCCCATGTCTTTTTTCCTTCTTCCTTTTTGTTACAGAAAATCAAAAAATTTTAGATGATCTAAAAGAAGAGCCAAACACGGTACGTGCACAGATATAAACATATATGTAAATGCATGTAGATAAACATATTATATAACATAAAATATCTTTGTTATGAAAAATATGATTTTTTGAGAATACAAATGTTAATATTTCACATGATGCCTATGCTTAATACTTTCATTCAAGGTGTCTCGAATACATCTGTGCATACATGCACACATGTAAAGATTCACGCTGTTTATAGGATGTCTTTTTTCTTTTTTTTTTTTTTTAACTATTTAATAACTTGATATGCTCATAAAAAGTTGTTTAAATCTTTGTTCCTTATTCCTTCAGATAAATCACGAAAATGTAGAAAAACATACAACGTCGATAGGAGCAGATGATTTGGAAGAATTGTTTTCACCCTATGATGAAAGCTAGTTCTTTGTTGTTTTCGCCCAATTAGTCATGTTCTTATTTGCCTTTTTTGTTATATTTAACTGATATCCATTCACCCCATTGGCACAAATTCATATTCATTTAAATTCCTCATCTTATTTTATCATTTTTTTTTTTTTTTTTTTTTTTTGTTTCGTTCTATGTTATTTTTGGTAGCACACTTCTTTTTCCTTTCATTTTTTTACGAATGTCACTATCCTCTCGAATATCACTTAAAAGTGAAAATATTTCTTCTTCATAAAAATGGTTAGAAACCTACATGTGATATGCAGTAAAATAGGTGAGTGAACATTTTGGCTTTCATGTAACAAATATATATTTGCATTTCTTTTTTCTCTTTAGGAGTATATTTTTACAGAAATACAATAAATAATTTAAAATAAATGTATGGATTTTTAAAGAGAACAAATTTCGAATTATATATATATTTTCTTTTTTATCTTTGTTGGCTTTTTTTTTAAGGATTCTTTTTTTCATATGTTTAATACTTTTCCTAATGTTACATCAAATTTGTTAACGTTGATTTAAGTTTTTTTTTTTTTTTTTTTTTTTTTTTTTTTTTTATGTACTAAATGCAGAAGCAACAATTTTTTATGTGTGTAATGTACAACCAACAAATCGTTGAAAATCTGACAAAAAAAATAAAGCATATAAAATACAAGTATATTTTATTTTTTTTGTGATAAAATGTTTCTATCTCGGAATTTATTAGTACTACATTTAAAATAGTTATAATAAATCATCTTGTGAGATCCATTAGGAGGAATACATCAACATGAGTATTCAACCACATCCATGAAAATATACACACACATATACATATATATATATGCATACAAAACCATTTGTAAACACCTATTGTCGTAAACAATTTCCAAGTGCTACCATATGAAAGGGCAATTGCCCAGAAAGCATAACAAACTCTTTTTTGTAAATAAAATATATAACGGAACACAATTCTTATGTGAATAAGACATATTATAGGCGGTTTGCCTAGTATATGTGAAATTTTTTGTGCCCCCCTTTATTTTACATATATATATATATATACTCTTTTTTTTTTTTCTTCTTAACCCTGTGGGATGATATTATAGTTGAGAAGCCGCATTACAACAATTCTTTAATGATCTGCAAAACACGTACAAGAGATCGAATACACATATGAACATACGCATGCATGTGTATGCATCAACATTAAGATAAGCTCCATTTATTATATATATGTTTATATTTTTTTTTTTTTGACCTGATCCGCACGATACTCACCCTGTTAAAACACATTCATGGGTATTTTTTAGAGAAAAATTAAGCCAACTTTTGTGGACGAAAATTGTCATTAGCTGTGACATAAAGTTAGCAATTTGCGTATTTTGTTTCCATTGCACCAATTTATTTTATCAAAATTGTCAATTTTTTTTTTTTTTTTTTTTTTTTTTGATAAAGTATTGTATATACAAGTACAGAGTATGCCTCTGAAAAAAACTCCATTCTCTCTCATATCTGATATCATTTCGAATATAAAAAATGGAAATAAGAACAATGAATGGACAAGTATGAGCAGACAGACCTCTTATGATAGCATTAAAGAGTTATATATATCCGATTTAGGGTACTTTAAAATAGTTAAGGTGCTGTTAAGAGGGTTATCGAGTACAGTGTGTTTATGTGAATGGGTAATTGACTCTAGAAAAACTTTAGTTTTGAAAAATTATGTAAATTATATAAATAATGATATACTAGGTTGTAACATAAAAATAAATGAATCGAATGATACATACTCAGAATATAGTATTTTGGACGCGGACGAAACGACAAGCATCCGTTCATCTATCGAAAGAAGATTTGGAGATACAAATAGGTATCGACAGGTATCTGAAGGAAATCAAAAAGAGAAACAACAAAATGGGGAAGAACCTTTAAGACATGGGGAAAGTGAAAACAGGGACAAAAGAGAAGAAGAAATGGAAGCAGAAGAAATAGAAGAGGAGGAAAAGGATGAACGCAAAATAGAAGAGGGCGAAATGGATGAAGACGAAAAGGAAAAAACTTTTACCTTTGCTTATATCAATAGACAGAGAAAAAATGAATGCATCATTGATGCTAAGAAGAGACAAAATCAGAACAATAATTACTGCTACAGTGTTGCCCATGAGGAGAGTGAAAATAAAATTCTCCATATAGTTTTAAAAGTAAAACACAAAGAATTATATTATAAGGTTAGCGAAATTGAAGAATTGAGGCGCGAAATTGGAATACATAAAAATTTAAAACATTGTAACATTTTGCAAATGATATTAAGTGCAGAAGATGAAAACGATATTTGGGTATTTCTAGAATATTCTTCAGTTGGTGATTTATACACATATGTTGGTTTTAATATATTAGGTGAAATAGAAGTAAAAATAATCGTCTGTCAGATTTTATTTGCTCTTTATTACCTTCATATTAAGGGGATAATACATTGTGATATAAAACCACAGAATTTGTTGCTTTTTCATTTAGAAGAATCATTCCCTTTTAATTCTGATATGTTGCCTGATTTGAAATTACCACATGGTTCTAAGTGTAAAAAACTAAATATTACGAAATTGATAAGCTCTATTAATGAAAATGTCGCCAATCACCCAAATGACAACACTTTTAAAAATATCGTGAAAATTGGAGATTTTGGGTTGTCAGTGAGATGCGCCTTTGATGAGTTTTATCCATACAGAGGAATTCGGGGAAGTTACGGATTTATCGCCCCAGAGTTGTTTCAGGTTTGAGGAGCAAAAAAAAAAAAAAAAAGAGAAACAAAAAAAATTCAACGTTAACAGTGAGGAAATAGAAAATGAAGGAGGGAAACGAATTAGTCTTTTAATTTTTTTTTTTTTTTTTTTTTTTTGCTTATAAAAAATTTGCACCTTTAACCTTGTGCACATTTATTCTTACACCCCAACCTATTGTCATCATATGTTTACCCCATCACAGGAATCCGATTTTAACAACAAAATTGACATGTGGGCACTAGGTATAATAATCTACATCCTTTTAGGTGGTTATAAACCATTTTATCCTTGTTCTAGATTTGAGGTATATCAGAAAAAGGAAATTAATGCAATAAAAGTATTTATTTATTTTTTTTTTTTTTTGTTTAAAATTTACATTAAATGATTAGTTACACTTCTCAGAGGCGGTATTTTCCGCACGTATACCCCTCGTATAAAAATGTGAAATGTTTCAATTCTCAAAATTTGGGATTTCGATAAAGTTAGAGATTAGTGAACAAATTTAAAGTAATTGTATGAATGTCTTTACTATTCCAATTTTGTTTATAGGAAAAAGTGACATTTCATGAAAGATACTGGTTTAACATATCTTCGGAAGCTAAGAATTTTATTCAGTCCCTCCTCCAGATTAATCCATCCAAAAGGTTGAACGTGATTGAGGCTATAGATCACCCATGGTAACACAGCGCACTAAGCATCGACGTGCATCTTCTTGAGAAGCATGTTTACATAGAAACATGTATATGAAGAAGCGTGTATGCATAGAAACATGTATAAGAAGAAGCGTGTGTGCATAGAAACATGTATATGAAGAAGCGTGTATGCATAGAAACATGTATATGAAGAAGCGTGTATGCATAGAAACATGTATATGAAGAAGCGTGTATGCATAGAAACATGTATATGAAGAAGCGTGTATGCATAGAAACATGTATATGAAGAAGCGTGTATGCATAGAAACATGTATATGAAGAAGCGTGTATGCATAGAAACATGTATATGAAGAAGCGTGTATGCATAGAAACATGTATATGAAGAAGCGTGTATGCATAGAAACATGTATATGAAGAAGCGTGTATGCATAGAAACATGTATATGAAGAAGCGTGTATGCATAGAAACATGTATATGAAGAAGCGTGTATGCATAGAAACATGTATACATAGTAATATACACGTGCATACATGCTCATGTGCTTATATATGCGTACCCGTATTTTTCACAGGATAAGCAGCTACTTTATTAGCACGTAAACACTAAATGGAAGACAATCAGATGACCCATTTGCTATTTCCAGATTAATGCATTATTTCATGTCTCTTATGTACATGGGGGAAACTGAGAAACAAAATTTCCGATGTGTGCACTATAAAGGGAAAATAATGATGTTGGCAAAATTGTTTGAATGTACATTTAAATAATTAATGACAATTAAAATATTTTTCCACATTTTTTTCTAATTCTTGATTTTTTAAATACACCTATTTTACAGTAGTATATAATATGTGAAAATAAATCACTACGGGAAACAGTTCTCAAATTTGTTGTATACTCCTTAAAAAAAAAAAAAAAAAAAAAAAAAAAAAAAAAAACATTTATGCATTTTTTTGTAGCATTATGAATGATTTGTTCAAAAGAGTTCAAGAACATGTCGAATGCAATATCGTTTGTCTTCCATCTTATACTTCAAGATTGTTCTGCTAAAATTATTTTTTTTTTTTACGAGTACTATTTTTTTTTTTTTTTTCCATCTACGAGACCTTTTAAAGTGGCAATGGACAGAATGAGCAGATGAAAATTTATATGTAGCTCATTGTAACTCACTGTATATATGCTCATGTATACTTGTATACTCTTGTGTTTTCCTACGTTTTTGCATTAAAGGAAGACGATATAAAAACACAAACATTCGGAGGACTCTCATTAAGGGGTAAAACATTTAAATGGAATTACAAATGTGAAAAGTCATCTTGCATTTATGCTTATAAAACGAGAAGAAATTAAAGTATTTTTTAATAGCAAAATTAGCAACCCCCGTTAAACACAAGTTTGTGAGGTCACATGGAAAAAAGATTTAACAGCGGAAATTACCGAAAATAAAATCACGCTTACATTATTAGGAATTTTTATTAAATTATTCACAATATTTTTAATCTACATTTTTTTTTTTTTTTTTTTTTTTTTTTTATTATTTAAGTACTTAATTTAAAATACACATGCATTTTTTTTTTTTTTCATGTATTGTTTATATTTTTAAACTTTGTTATAGACGCATGTCTCTTTTCCTCTCGCCTTAAAAGTATAACTTTTTAATATTGAATTATTTTTATATAAAAAAATTTTTGTTTAAAATGTTTTGTTGTGCCTTCAAAAAGGTGAAGCATATACACTTTTTTGGGGTCATGTAACTGTTGTTGTGACATATTCAATGTATGTTGTCATTAGCTATTTGTTTGTCTTGGACATTCTGCAAACTATATTTGAGTAGTTCTTTGATAAACTTTTCGTAGTTTGGCAGTTTGGCAGTTTGGCAGTTTGGCAGTTTCTGAGTTTGTATCATTGCTACACTGCGAGCTCATTATTCCACAGCTTTTCTCATTACCACCCTTTAGATCTTGTTATAAATGTCTCACAACAACACGACAGTATTATTATTCACAGTACAAGGCATATTGGCTTTATTGACCTGTGGTCTCTGCTGCTTCATATATGCCTATCGTTGTAATAATAAAAATGAAGGAAATAGAAACAAAAGAAGCATATCGAAGGTAAATGGTGATTCCTATGGAGAAAGCACTAGTTCTACATTCAAAAAAAGTAAGATCAAAGAAGGAGAAAATCCACAAAGGGACAAATGCAAAGAAATAGGATGTACAATATTCCATGAAGAAGGAACAAATTATATAGAAAATAGCTTGCGTTGTGTAAATAATAATGTATCGGAAGGGAATGAACCAATTGTTGTCAGTAAGAATGGTAATAATAGCACTTGTAATATTAGTAGCTATAATAAAGGCAAAGAAAATGGAAAATTCGAAATGAGAAACACTAATGTAGAACAGAAGGAATTCCAAAAAAATCTTTGCAACAGAACAACCAACAAAATTGGAACTTATTCGGATTACCAAGCAAAGAGTCGAGGAGGGAATTGTAATCATGAAAAAGTAGGAAGAAGTAGAATCACGAATGATGAAGGCATACCTCTTAACATAAACAGTTTAAAGGAATCGAAGTATCCACTGTTAATGGGTATGACCCTCAGAAATAATTCTGAACCTTACATGATTCAAAATGATAAAAATTACAAATCTGAAAATAGTACAAATACAGGGAAAACAGGAACAGATATGTTTCCCAAGTGGGATAATGAAGAGAAAGCAAAATTTTCCAATAATTCTGAAAATTTCATCAAAAATAATATGCCACAAAATAGACATCCCCGAAAAAGCTTTGAAGAAAAAGATAATCACCATCCCAAGTCCAACTGTTGTAAGAAAACCTCTAATTACCAAAACATAGATTCACACATATGTGCTAATGTTTATGGTAGGGATCATAAGAACAAAGTTGTAGAAAATTTCGTAGTCAAAGAAAGCATACGAAGTAGAAGTAATAATATGAGTATTACTGCAAATAGTGTAGAAGCAAAACATAGAGGAAAATGTGGTACTATACAAAATGGTGAATGTCATTTGACTAAGGATAGGGAAGAAAATAAATCCTATAAAATGTCAGTTTGGGATAATCAAAACGTGTATTATCCAAATGAAAAATTTTGGGAAATCAAGAGAGGAATGTTAATTCGGAAGTATCAAGATGAATGTAATACGGTCAAAAGTGCCGAAAAAAACAGAGAAAGAAAATGTTTGGGAGTTCCCAACAATTTGACATACCAGAAGATGAAATATTATCACAATTTTGAAGAAGAAGAAGAAGAGGGCAGAGAGGAAGGAGATAAAGATAAAGAGACGGAAAAGGAAAAAGGAAAAGAAGTATATAAAGGGAAATACAAACAACATCCTGATTGTGTGAATAATTTTATTTCCTCGAAAAGAATGAACCATTCTAATGATGAAGTAAACACAAGTACTATATTGACAAAATGTGAAAAAAATATATTACACCATTTTGATAGTAATATATCAAATAATAGGAAACTTCTAAGTGTAGCAAGTAACAGTCATATGGTAGTAATAAAAGACAAGAAAAAAAGTAACTCAGGTTCACTAGAACGAAAAGATGATAAGCATAACAATTTATCTACGCATTATACTGTTCATAAGAAATGCCATTCAAGACATGACATTTCCCACATTAGTAATAGGAACACGATTGAGAACAACTATGACAAAGGATACATAGAAGAAGGAACTGTTTTGTCACAGGAAAACGATAGAGAAAAATATAATATGTATTCCATTAATAATAATATTGATGAACATACTTATAAAGTTCCCAATACGGATAATTACAAAGAGGAGAAATATTTCTATCCGCGTGGTCTCTATTCAGATAAACAGATGTCTAGAAATAGGATAATCTCAGGTCATGCAAAAATTGTGCACCCCCATGAATTATTTTACAATAATGATAATGGTAGTAGTAGCAAAAATGAAGAAAATGAAGAAGTACCCAAAGTGAAAGGTTCATCCAGTCTGAGGCAATTTATCAATTCACAAAATTTTTCGTCAGGGGGAAAAACGATTGGTCATTCAGCAGAAACGAAAAAAGCGAATCACATTTGCAGCAGAAGTGGGAATAACAAGAGTGATAGCAGAAGTGGGAATAACAAGAGTGATAGCAGAAGTGGAAATAACGATGTGTTCTGTAGGAACGAAAACAATTGTTGCACACGTGGGTATAGCAAGGAGAGTAGTACTAACAGGAGTGGTGAAGATACATTTTACAAAAAGACACCTACTGTGAATGTAGCAACGAATAGATCGATGAAGGGGTACAGAAATAACTTGATACATACGAATAGAAGCAAAAAAGACGTTAATAACTTCACAAAATGTTCTTCTGTAAATAAAGAAAAAAAAAAAAATGTAGACCAACCCACAGATGACTATTTTACGGACAGAACAAAATGTTTCCTTTGTAAGGAAAAAAAAAATGCACACAAAAATAATAAACCTTATTTTTTTGAAAATATTTCAAAAAAGACAGATAATAAAAAAAATATTGTATACTCCAAAAAAAATATGCCAAATGATCACATTTGTTTACCGAACCACAGTTGCAGTAATATGTGCCTGCATTACTTCGATAGAGTAAGTAATAATAATGAAAACTTTTTTCACACAAATAATTTTGAGGACAGTGGGATTCATGACGTTAGTAATTATTTCCCGTTATACAATTCGTCCAAGCCATTTAGGTATATGGAAAGGAAGGAACTTGATTGTGGAAGAGATGAAAAAATGAAAAGTAAGAACGAACCGATTGGTGATATTTACCTTTTAACTGATGACAACGCTGACTATAATGGATTAGAGGATAGCCAAAAAGATGGTATCCGAAGTGGTGGCAATGTAAGCAATACTCGAAGGAGCAGCGTGAAATCGAGAGAAGGCTTTATATATGAAGAAGAAGAAGAAGAAGGAGAAGCGAGAGAAGGAGAATCACGTTTCAACAGAAGAAATGATGAAGCATTAAAGAACCAAGTCCCGTTGAGCAATGGTGAAATAACCAATTATAGAAATAATAGAATAAAAGATGAAAAAAAAAACAGAATAAATTACAATTCAGAAAAGGATGGAAAATCTAATTCAACATTATGGATAGAAAAACACGAAATGGATTCAAGGCAGATGGAATCAAATGAATATAAAAATAGCACAGAAATTGATCAATTAATACATGCATATTTACAAAATTCGAAAAAGGTGTATAAATTTAACACATCAGATAAATCAGATAAAGACATTAACCACATGACAGATCGGTACATGCCTGAAATGACAAACTTACGTAAGGAATTAAGTCAAAGCAGTAATAGAAAAATAAAGACTTCAAATGAGAATAGGAACCTCTTTCCTCTGCTAACAAATGTAGATAACGATAAAAAAGTAAAACAGAGGAGCAAGGATGATGTATGTTCTTCTCAAGGGGAAGGGATGGTAAATAAAAGGTCTACTACATCGGGAATTAAATCTAGTGGGGTAGGAAAAGACACGATTAAGGATAATGGATATGAGAAGAATGAATATATTGACCAATATGAAGGACCAACTGAGGAAGAAAATTCTACATATCAAAACGAAATTAAAAATAAAGATATATGTTTGAAAAATAAAAAACGAGACAACATGTTAGTCATTAAAGAAGAACAAAATAGAAATGATCATATGCTATGCCAAACAGTGAGGAGAAGCGCTAGGATGAAAAGTGAGAAATATAAAAAAAAAAAAAAAAGTTGTGGTAATGATACACTTGTATGTACAGAAAGTGTTCAGGAATATATAAAAGAAGAAAGTAGTAAAAAAAAGAAAAACAATATAAATAATAAGAACGAAAAAATGATCGAAAAAAAGAAGAAAAAAAAAATATCTAAAACACAAACTATGGAATTAAAAATATTTAGAGATAAAACGGTTTTAAAAGAAAAAGAAAAGTTAAAAATGACAAATGAAAAATACAAAAGAATTGATGAACAGAGATGTGCATCAGGATTTGTTAATTTTTTAATTGAACATATTCAAAAAAAGAAAGACAAGGAAAATTTCGATGATTTATTAAAATATACTTTAAAATTAATAAATATATATAAAATTAAAACTATAGATTTTGTAGAAGCATTTTTAATACTTGAAACTATTAATGTAAATGTAATTAGAGAATATCCAATTGAGGAATGGATATTGGTAACTTTTCATTTTCTTAAAGGAAATGCAATAGAAGAAAAATTTCAATTCATAATTAATTCCTTAAAGTTAGATAACATAATAATTGGTAACGTCACAGCTTCTTTTTATATGAACAAAAAAACTATAAGAATGACAGAGAAAAATATGAACAGAATTCTTACTATTCTCTCAGATGTAATGAGAAGAAGATCTTCCAGGATTAAAACGTTTAACAGTTCTAATTATGAAAGTAAGACTAAGGAAGACAACCAAAAGGATGAGCTATTAGGGTCTTGCTGGAAGCCAGTTGACGCAACCATGGAGACAAAGATTGGCAAAGGTGGCATGGCCAAGTCAAACTGTGAGAAGAGAGATTACCAATAGGAGCTTACACATACAATATGTTGTATGCTGAAATGTAGAAAAAGTTGATGAAGCAGGTCAAATTTGGGAAACATGCCAAACTGACGAAATTGATCGAGCATATGACTAACCAGAGGACACAAAAAATCGAAACAGACAGAACAATTAAACATTGTAAACTATTCAAACTGTTTGAAGAATCTCATCCATTCTTATTTTTTTAATTACACGCATAATGTGTGCGTAATATTTGTTTGCACATATGAGACATATGTGAATGTTCTATTATAATACCCTGTACATTCACACACACACCCAAAAAAAAAAAAAAAAAAAAAAAAAAATGACAAATTCGTTTTTATTTGCTATGTAATTTTTGACTTATGCATGAAATACGGTTTGTTCCCATTTTGTTTTAAAATATAATTTTGTTATTTTATTCCTTTTGGGAAAAAAAAAAAAAAAAAAAAACTAAAAACTTGTCTAAAATGATTTTTTTTTTTTTTTTTTTTTTTTTTTTAATGTTTCTATTGTAACATCATAAGATTTTCCTTATAAGTATTTAACGCTCATTCACCAAATGAGCATATCATAAGTAATATTAATATTATCAGTAAAAAGGGGAAAAGTTTTTCATTTTTTGAAATGTAATTAATAGAAAAAATATATAACTCTATTTTCTTATTATTTGTTTTTTTAAACCAATTGTGCTTTTGTAAATAAAAAAGGAACATTTTTATGAATTATATTTCCCTAGCCCAAAAATGAGTACAGGCGAAAATATGGGAAAAGCGGAAAATAATTTTATTGCCTATTTGGAAAAACATGACGTGATAAATCACATAAGCCGTGTTCTACTGAAATTATTTGAAGAGAAGGAAAGACCTAATGACGCTATAAGATTTATATCTGATCATCTTCACGATGTAGATGCGGGTACTTGTTTGTAAATTTTTCTGCTACCTATATCCATCTATCTATCCATGTATACATATATATACATATATATATATTTTTTTTTTCTTCTTTTTCCATAATAAAAATTGTGACTTTGCTATTTGTGTAAATATATACATGTACATATACACAGAAAGAGAGAAACATTCATTGTTTACTGCATCCCACGATGAATAATTTCTCATTGTAAGAACGCACCTTATTCTACATTCAAACCGGTGTGACATTTTAACAAGATATAGTGAAATATATATGAGACATTACAATTTCCTCTCTTTTTTATTATATATATACATATTTTTTTTATTTAATTATAATATAAAGAATCAATTGTCGTAACACCATTAATGTATATTGCTCATTAGGCACTTCATATATTGAAACATTGAATTTATTTTATTTATTTTTTTTTTTTATATAGACGTACCAATTGATGAATTGAAACGAGAAAATTTGTTCCTTCGTCAGGAAAATCAAAGATTAATAAAAAAGTTTCAAGAACTGAATGAAACCTTAAATAAATTGAGTATTAATGGAAGGGGTGACGTGCACTCTTGAATTCATTAAGTCGATATGTGTGGAGGGAAGAAAAAAAAAAAAATAAAAAGTAAAAACAATTTAGAAAAAGTATAATCTCAAAGTTATCATGATTTTTGGTATATTGATTCTTTTTTCAATAAGAATAGAATTTGTTTTTTCCCTCTTTCATGCTTCTTCTACTTCGCTCATGAGGATTGTGCAATCTACGTACTTACAATGTCACAATAGATATGAAGAATTGTACATATATAGGAGCCCAGAGGCAGAACTACACAAGTACCCGCTTATTCGTGTAATTGTTTACCATTTATCATTGTGCAAAAAAAAAAAAAAAAAAAAAAAAAATAATAAAAAAAATAAAATAATATAAAAGTGAATTTATTACATAACAAAAAAAGGTGTCCTAGAATGGTGTAACCACCATTGCTGTATATATTAATGTATGTGCATGAATACGTGTATATCAAAATGTTCACACATGCATTGTGTGTTGAATGATCCTCTTGTGTGGTTAAAAAAAAAAAAAAAAAAAAAACAATTGGTACCCGGAGAGGTGTATACAAATTATGTGCAAATGTTTATAATAACTCCGATATGGATTTCATAAAATAATCTGGTTGAATATCTAAATGATTATGATTAAGATAAAAATTAGAATCAGTAACGCCTGATGAAACAAGAACTGATTTTATTTTGCAGTTTTTCGCAAAACTGATATCTGTGTCAAGTCTATCTCCTATCATGACAACTTTAGAATTTTCAATTTTCAAACTTTTTAATACATTTTCAATCATAAATAAACTTGGTTTTCCAAGAACGATTGGTTTCTTAAGTGATACAGCTTCAACAGAAGCCACAACAGAACCTGTACCCGCCCATTTTTGATTGGGAGTAAAATTTGCAGTAGCATCTTTGTTAGAAGCAATAAATTCCGCACCTAATTCATTTATACACAAATATGCATATTGTATTTTGTAATAGTTAATATTAAAATCTATAGCAACTACAACAGCTCCAACATTTTTATCTACATTTATTTCTAAATCATCTTTTATTATTACTTTCTTTTCATTATCTTTATGACCACCTAGCCAAGTAAGATTACAAGCATCTAACTCATCACATATGCCTTTTTCTCCAATAACATAAATTTTTTTTTTTCCACTATTATATTCTTCTTTTTCTACAAAATATCTAGCAATAGCATATGCTGTACAAATAATATGTTCTTTTGTAATAAATTCAAAACCTAATTTATGAAATTTTTCTAACAATGCAATTCTAGATTTAGTGGAATTATTTGTTATAAAATAAACTTTTTTATTTTTTTTTATTAACTTATCAATAGCTTCAACTGCTCCTTCTATGAGTTCATTTCCTCTCCATAGAACACCATCACAATCGAAAAAAAAAACTTGAAAATTTTCTAAAAAATCTTTTGCGTCTACCGAATTTTTTATCTTCCATTCTTTCATAAAGCTTTCATAATCCTTGTCTACTTTTATCACTCCATTACCCTTCTCACTGCTCTTCGAGTGTATTAATGACATTTTTTCCTTTTATATTTTTTCGTACTTTTCGTGCCTTGATCAGGAGAGTATACTTATTTGTTTATCCCTGTACTAATCTTGTTTCTTTGCGTACTTGGGTATTCTGTGTAATTTTTTTTTTTTTATATATTTTTTTCCTGTTTTTCAGTTTTCCTAGGTGTGTAAGTTTGGTGTAGACTTACAGTGCCACGTATGTGCATGTAAATTATGGCAACAGTTGTCTTTACATGCATAAAAAGCTAACGCATGTGTATGTTATAAGTGTGTACAGATAGGCATATGCACTTGAGGGAAATATACAAAATGATTTTTATAACTAAGGACTTGGTAAATTAAGAACTTATTTTCACATTAACGTCACCTGTATGATGTAAAATAAAAAGTTCTAAGTGTACAAGTATACCTTAGGGAGAATTTAAAACATTCTTCTTATATGTGCAAATCTATGCATATACAGATGTGCATATATAGATGTATACATATGGGATAACGCTAAAATCATTCAGTCACCTTATGGCTACTTCAAAAGTTTTGTAACATTGGCTTATATATATATATATGTATACATATGAACTTGGTCCGGTGAAGTGAATTAACAAAACAAAAATGTGAAACATGTAAATGGATACGGAAAAAAATCCCAAGTGGGTAGAAGAAAAACAAAACTGTAACAAAAACAATAAAAAAAGAACAAAAAAAAATAAATTATAAACATAAAATGTAGAGTGCACGTATATATTCTCTATGTCCGTATTTTTTTTTTTTTTTTTTTTAATCCTTAAGAAAATTCCTATATTCGATGAAAATAAATTGTTCGAAGGAGTAAATTCGCCATAACGCCTTCCAATGTTTTCATCTTAAATCAACAGAAAAAGGTTCAATAAGAACAATATGAAAAAAAAAAAAAAAATAATAATAATAATAATAATAAATAAATAAATGTGAGTAAAATAGCAAAGGCAAGAACCTGGATGAAATGTTTTTTTCGAGAATGCCAATTAATGAATCCGTCTTTATGAAAAACAGTTCTTCAACTTACAATATGTTACTATATTTTTATCGTATTGATTTTCTTAGATTGATCCCTTTTCTTGAGCTGTAGGCACATTAACTCTGCAGATGGCTATCATAAAATATTCTATAAAAATATCTAGTGATAGGAACAATTTGGCATAGAATTAAGACCCAGTGTTAAAATGCTGTTTAAAATGTTCACATTTCAAAATGATGTTTTTAGGGAATAAACGTCAAAGGAACTTGAACCTATGATAGTACAAATGTATAAACTTTCAATATATATTTATTTCCCTTCCGGTGTAGAAAAAAAAAAAATTAAAAAAAAAAAAAGAGAGAGAGAGTAAACCTGGTTCATGTTATATACAATTCATTTATTCGTAGTACAAGGAAGTTATACATGCTTGTATATATATATATATATATATATATACACATTTTTTCACTGCACGCTTAACCTATTTGAGCGCCATTACGGTTTCTTCCTATAGAGCTGCATAAAGGGGACATAGGTGAAAAAAATTATTTCAAAAAAATAATATTAATAAGGTACACACATTTTTTAGAAAAAAAAAAAAAAAAAAAAAAAAAAAAAAAACGCATTACATGGAATTTTAATTTTCGTCTTCTACTTGTTCGAAAAACGAAAAAGTTCTTTTTTTTTCTCGTTCTTTATGGTGTAAAAGTGTATATAGTTGGGTAAACATTATACATATACAAGACCCTTTTTTTTTTTATGGAGATCTTAAAATGAAAAGGTTGTACATTATAAGCATTTCAATCTAATCCCATATTAGCAGCAATGTGTGATGTCCTTTTCAGCGAGTATTTACATCATGTGTATGTCCATTTGTTCATATTAAAGACAAAGCATTGAAAAAAAATGGGGTTTGTTCATAATTTCGTATCTTTCAGGGTCTTATATTTATATATATTTCTCTAATTTCAATTTATCACTCTGTGTAAATAATAAACTATTAGAAAAAGAAATGTAACCGAATATATAAAACTGGTATCTTGTAAAGAAAATACCAAAATTGTTCGCTCTTCCCCCTTATATCCTTTTTACACTGTAGTTTCATTTCCGTATAAAGCGATGAGGAAATTTTATGTGCACACAGCCATATCATTGTGTAGTTAAAATGTTGTGCATTCATATAATTTGATTACATTTTCTTTTTAATTCGTCAACCATCGAGTTTGCGTTTTCATTATAAGAATACATGCACATATATATATATATATATATATATATATATATATATATATATATACATTTTTAAGCCCTGTTTTCAAAGGAACTGTATCGTTTTAGGCCATATCATTTAACAGAGTACATATAAATGTATTTTTTGAACATTAGGAAAATAATACATAAAAGTATAAATTAAATATTGCAAAACATTTTAAATATATGAAGGCATATATATATGTATGCGTAAGCATATGTGCTTGTATATATATACGTATAAAAAAATATACATTATTTTGCTGAATAATTAAAATAAGATAACGTGCCCGAGTGGTTAAGGGGTTGGACTGCTAATCCAATGGGTTCTGCCCGCGCAGGTTCGATTCCTGCCGTTGTCGAAAATTTTTATCTAAAAAACATAATAAAGGGAATATTTAAGGAAATATTAGGAGAGTAGTATTATTTTATTTTGATTGAAAATGACAAGATTTAAAATATTCTGATAAATTTATAATTTTCTTTTTTTTTTTTTTTATAGTAAAAAGTTTTGAATACTTTTTTATTATTTACACATTCGTAGTTACGCTGGAGTGCTCATGCGCAAAAAATTTCATCAATTAAGGAAATGAGGTTTTGTAATTATTTGCAATGAATATTTGTGTTGTCAATGCCAATTTTTACATATAAAAATATAAATGAATAGCTTTATGCCGGTCTGTATACTAGCAAAAAGCCTTCTAATTAGGGACTATGATTTTATATTTTAATGCAAAAGCCTGTAAATACATTTAAATAATAATTACGTAGGAACACATGGATTACTTATTTTCCTTTGGTGTGAACAAATAATTTGATAAAAAAAAAATTGTGTTAATTACCATTTTTGAGGCACTTTTAACAACAATAAATATATAAAATTTCATTCTTCATAATCTGACAACCCATCTGAACATGACAAATACATGATTCATTTTAATAGGAGCATAATAAAGAGTTAAAACTACCCCACTATATTGTTTTGTATTTGAAGCCTGGACAAAAAACGTAACTCTATATTGTGACTAACGTTCTAACATATATATACATTAACATACACAAACGTGCACATATACATACTACATATGACTGTTTATTTTTCATTAAGAAAAAATGCCATTATCCTTTCCACTACAAAGATTAGGTACATTGCATGAGATAGGGGTAGGTACGTAAATAACCTTTTCCCCACATTTGATATTTGTTACCCATTAATATGTATTTTTTTAAATTATATTTTATGCGTTGTGTCTCGTAATAAAAAATATTCAAACCCATGCAAGCTACAAGAAACTCCCTAAAAAATGTAAAAGATAAACTTAACATAGGAACCCATTCAATAGCATAAAAGTCACAAACATTACGTATTCTTAATTCTGAACATTTTTTAATTAATAATATAGTAAAAATTTTTATTTTGTTTTATTTTATAAAAAAATTACAAATAAATAAAACGTTGTTTTCCTCTATCCAAATAGATAGGAAAAAAAAAAAAAAAAAAAACGTATAAAAATTATAAAATCCTCATTTTCCCCATACTAACTCTCTCCTCCCTTTTATTTAAAAAATTTTACAAAAAATTGACAGAAGTGGGGTTCGAACCCACGCCCTTTCGGACAACGGCCTTAACGTTGCGCCTTAGACCACTCGGCCATTCTGTCAATAACGATTTTATTGCTCAATTATGCTATATATATCATTTAAAAAAAATATAAATAATTTATTCTAATTTCTACAAGCACCTTCATTTTAAACTTCTTCGATTTAATAAAAAATATGCTTTACACATGTTCCTTTTTACATATAATACAATTTGGTTTAATTTTCATACATTTGTAAAATTTGTTACAATTTCAAAATTTTTTTTCTCCTATAAAGTTATGCATGTGTTGCTTGAGGGTCAAAATTAACTAACATTTCAAGAAAGTTTCTTTTCGCCTCTGCCAGTACTATAATTGTATTTGTGTTTTTATTTCTACTATTGTTCCAAAATTTTGAAATATATATAAAAAAAAAAGGATTAACTTAATATTTATGACTATTTTTAAGAACAATGGATTTTTTTTTTGGAACATTATACTGAATGAATAATCCCATACACTACACTCGGTACACAACTTACCATCGTGCTTATTGAATGTATTAAAAATATGGTTTTTCATATAATTCAAATTTTAATTATTAAATGGAACCAAAAAGAAAATACATGAAACATGTAAAAAATTATTTTCCATTCCATAAATAATCTCACATTAAAAGTTGAATATTGTACGTTATGACAAATGAATCATTTATACATATACATATGAAAATAAAAATTGCTACTATGTATTCAAACGAATTGGGGAAAAAAAAAAAAAAAAAAAAAAAAAAAAAAAACTTTTCCATTTTTAGTATATAATTAGAACAACATTTTGTCCTATTTGCAATAACAATTCACTATGTGACAATCACACAGTAGAACAGTAAACCAATATAATATTCAGGTTTCGTTTCAGAATATATCATTTTAAAACTGTATATATATGCCTTTTGGCAATTAAAGAATCAAATATTTTATTATTCCTTTTCAGTATAACATTTAACATTAGATTTAATGTATTTGTTTATGTAATGGCATATAAGTGTCTTCATAACAATAAAAATGCTATATAAAAAATGCAGTGAACCTAGGTAGGCAATTTTTAACTTCGATATTAATCATATATAACATATTATAGAGTTTGTTTTTATTCAAAATGTAAACAAATAAAATCTGCTTATCTAAATTATGACCTAAAAATTAGTAAAACTGTTAATTATTAAATAGATCAATAATAATAATTCCAGATCTTTTTCAAAATTTTGGTAAAGGTTTAATTAATTAAAGAGGAATTTTATGTATACTCTGTTTATATATATATGTTTCTTGTTAAAATGTAATAGATTTATAAATTGTAGAATGCATAAAAAAAAATTATTACTAATTCTAAAAAATGATAAAAAAATAATTTTATACTATATATTTATGGATATTGGAATATAAATAAAAAAAAATTTATTCTCATTATACTCCGAGACCGGGAATTGAACCCGGGTCTTCCGCGTGACAGGCGGAAATACTTGCCACTATACTATCTCGGATTCAATATTTTTAAGTATTCTCACGAGTCATTATATAATTGAATATGCTCTAAAAAAAAAAAAAGAAATATTTTTTTATATGAGCAAATTTGTAGAACTAATCAATTCGATAATTTATTTTTGCTAATGTATTTAACTGTTGCGCAAAATCTGGCACTTTTTTATATACTTGTATAGAAAGAGGGAAAAAAAAAAAAAAAATCTTTAAGATTTCTTCAAATTCTGCTAAACACTATTGCAATAGCTAATTAAAAGAGTCCACGAATCAGAGAAAAAAAAAAAGAAGCAGCTTTTTTATTTTAGCATATTTTTGTACATCCTGGAAATGATGAAAAAAATTAAATAATTTATTTTTATTTTCTTCATTTTTTAACTATATTGTTATAATTATAGAGCAAAGTTAAAAAATATTTCAAAACATAAAAATTAGATAAAAAAAAATTTAATGAAATGTTTTCTTGCTCGTACATTGTGCAAACAATTATGTAAAAAAAACTATGTAAACATTTATATTTCAAAAATAAGTCATAGATTTTCTTCATTTTTCATACCTTTCGATTGTAAAGAAATAGTTGCATTAACCAAAATTAATTATATTTCTAAAACATCATTACACAGAACATGAAAAACAGAACAAAGATATAAAAACTGCTAAAACCCGTGAATGGATAAATTTTAAATAAAAGTTCATATATGTCACCTTTGGAAGCAACATTTGAATAAATTACACCATCGTCAATTACTTTTGAGTGTTATATTTATGTCATTGATACAAATGAAAAAATAACTCTAAGAAAGTTATTGTCCCATTCGATTATTCATATTTAACAAGATTAACAGATCTATATGTTGATCTACAAAAATAAAATAAATAAATAGATAAAGTCATAATTTGTATACTTTGTCCATTTTCAATTTTACGGAATGTGCTTTATGAAAAACCTCGTGTGCAGGATTTAATAAAAATAATACTTATTAGTTGAGAAATGTTTACATGAAACAGCAAACATGGTGAAAAAAAAAAAAAAAAAAAATTAACTGTTAAAAACTTGAAAAAGTAAAGAAAATAGCAATAAATCCAATCGAATTTGCTTATTCCAAATTGGTTAAGCAGAAAGTACAAAACGTTTACATATTTTTTCAAATGTGAAAAAAAAAAAAAAAAATTGCCCATTATAATTACCATGTTATCAAATCAAACGTATATGTTCAAATTTTGTGCACTGAGCAGTGTTCTCTTCTCAATTTCCTGCTCCCTTGTCGGTTATGAATATATGTGTACATATATATATATATGTATAATTCTTCATGGCACATGCGCTTATATATATATGGAAAAAAAGCTAGGGTCGGTGACCCGTCATGTGAAACTTATCATTCACATGCTCCCTTGTGCGCTTGATAAGCTTTTGATAATCATCTTTTTTTACAAATTTGTTTGTGACTAAATCCGTTTCCCTATCGAAGATTTTTCTTTCGTTAGCTGAATTTTTAGAATTTAACAAAAACATTTGTTCTTGCTCATTTTTTCCCCATAAATCAATTTTTTTATTTTTTTCTAAGAATTCTTTATATTCTTCTTTTGCATTTATAAAGTAACCCTCTTCATGTAACTCTCTTAAGCTTTTCATTTTTTCCTTGGTATTGGACATCAAATGAGAGTAACCTTGTTCTTTTAATTCTGCAAGAAAACTGTTATCATAGTAATTTATATTATTACCATCGTTATAAGAATCATGTGCATATTTACTACCTTTAGGTTCATTATTATATTCCTTTTGATGGTCTTTTTTTAATGCAATAGTTTTTCTTTTACTAATATTATACCTTAGTTTATTTATATCTAGTTTCGATAAAAAGTAATATATTAAATTATTAAAAATATCTAAGATACTTTCCTTAAAATTCGATGGTTTTCTGTAAAAATCTCCATTTTTTTCTAATTTCCATGCTCTGAATAAATGCCTCAATTTCTTTTTTAGCTTTAAATCCTTCATATTTTCAAGTGAAATTTTTTTTTTCTTATCTAATTTTTCATATAATATTTTTAAATTATTTAAAAAGTTAAAGTTCTGAAGAATATTTATTGTCAACCTTATCATTTCCTTACTGTCATATATATGGACATCAAAAGTTTCTTCTATCTTTGTCACTGTTTCATTACAGTCCTTTGGTCCTTCTTCCCCCTTCGAAGAGTTTTTTTTTTTTTTTTTATTGTGCTTCTTCCTTTTTTTTGTACTTTTTGTTTTTGACGTAATACTGTTTACACTGCTTAAATGAGATGAATTACTACTTTCATTGGAGGACCCAGCACTAGGGTCACTTGTATGACTTTCGTACAAAGAGATATCACTTGCATCATTTTCATCTGCTGCATTGTTTCTTGAACTTCCCTCAGAACTTCCCTCAGAACTGCCTTCAGAACTTCCCTCAGAACTTCCCTCAGAACTGTCTTCAGAACTTCCCTCAGAACTGCCTTCAGAACTGCCTTCAGAATTACCTTCAGAATTACCTTCAGAACCGCTTCTACATCCTTTCGATGCATAAGACAATGAGGCTTTTTTTTCATTATCAAGCGAAGATGACTGAAAAATCTCCCTCCTAGATTTAATGTTACTATTTTTGGTTTTTTTACATATTTTAGATTTCTCCAATAGGTTTTCTTCACTATCATTGCTACTACATTTCTTATGTCTATGAAAGCGAGTTCCTGTTCTTTTTTTCTTCTCCAACGTGCCTTCAATTTTGTCATTTTTTAACTTGCCATATACATTCTTTTCTTTTTTCCTTTTTTTCATGCTACGTTTATAATATGAAGTGCTACTACTTTCATCATCTTGTTTAATTTTCCTTTCTTTAAAATGTTTCCTATTTGATATGTTATTTCCTTCCTCTGTTTTTTTTAAGCCTTTATGTTTGTCCTTATTATGACTTTTAAAAATTTGTGAATTGGAAGAAGCACTTTTTTTTTTGCATTTTACTTCTCCGCTATTATTCCTAGATGACTTATTTTTTAGATTTTTTTTGTTTTTTATTTTATCATCTTTATGGTACGTTTTGTTTTTTTTACTTTTACACTCATCAGTATCATTGTCATCATCGTTATCTATTGGGCTATGAGAGCTACTACTCATGTTTTCCACTTCAATGTATACATATATATATATTCTCGTTAAACTATTGTATTAATATTCCTTTTGTTCATATTCATATTTTCCTCATGAATAACATAAATACAAATGTTATACTGCTATTAGTAGTGTAATCGTATACTTTTTGTTTCAAATAAATTCTTACTAAATTATATTTCACACAAAAGTATACGCCTTTTCCTTTAAGCATTGATAATGCCTTCTTTCGATAATACTTTGACTAACAGTGAAAAATTATCAAAGTATTTTCGCGAAAAGTTTAATTATGATTTGCTAATTCTCAAAGAATGGGTATACAATTACTCATTAATTCATAAGCGAATAAAATAGGACAATGATGAGATCATTTATAGCTTCGATTTGTCCCATTATAAAAGTGAGTGTATATATCCATTGCTTGCAAAATTTTTGAAGTCATAAAACATTTGTATATATGTTTATGCAGCATGATATATTTATGTATGATTGTTAGACCCTTAGAAAGGAATGCTGATATTTTTAAAAATTATAAGAAGTTAAAAAAAAAAAAAAAAATGGAAGTTATGACTTATCCTATTTTACATGAAAAAAAAAAAAAAAAAAAAAAAAAAGTGAATGAATGAATGAATGAATGAATGAATGAATGAATGAATGAATAAACAAATGAATATATAAAATAGTAAAATAAAATAATTCTCTTGAAACATATGACGAAACATAGCTTACATAAAATTAAAAATAAAAAGAACAAGGATACGAATAAAAATGTTTCCTATATTTGCTCATAAAATGTGACGATGTGAAAAAAAAAAAAAAATCAAAAAGGAAAAAAGGGATTTTATGGGGTGATTATACATACAAGTGCATATGCATATGCATATACATACATAAGCACATGTGAATACGTGTTATGCAGTTTAATAATGACAATTTAAAAAAGTTGTAGCACGCGTGAAAACAAATAAATATGGAAAAGAAAAGGTGTGATTCTGTTGAAAAGTTTACGCCAGACAAAGTTGGATGGGAGGGGCATAAGAGTGTGATTATTTTATAAGTATATTGCGCATATACATATTTATGGGCAATTTTATTGCCTTCATTAGATGATTTATATATAATAAAAAAAAAAAAAAAAAAAAGATTAGGAGGAATTATTAAGTATATTCACGTATATGACTAGAAGTATATGATGTGGATTGCCTACACTTTTGTATGTACGCAAATTAACACTATTTTTTTAAACGAAGATGAGGGGGAGAAAAAAAAAAAAAAAAAGTGGAAGAAACATTGTAAACAAATACACGGAGGTTCTGATAAACAGAGGTATGCAAAATATGTCTGAACACAAACAATATTGGTACATACAACGTATATATACCAAACGGTGGCACGTGTATATGTGTACGAAATCATGAAAATGTGTAACACGCATGTACAAATGTCATCACGGCGGTGAACTTTTCAAAAGAGAGGAATCGATTGAAAGTGCCAAATTTACAGATAAAAGCTTGCTCACAAGTGTACGTTATTGAGTATTCAATAAATTCTGGCACATATATATACATGTACATTTTTTTTTTTTCCCTTTATTTTTTTCGCTTCCCTGGAGTACATCTTCGACACATAATAATATATACACTGTTTTAAAACTTCCATCTATTGTTACATTTTAAACATGTGACGAACGTTGTCATAGGTTCGTCACTGCTCCTAGTTTGCAACTGGTGATAGACAGTTTCATAAGCTTTACATTTAAAACACTGAAATTCTCCTTTTCTTGTTTTTTTCAAAAGAATATTTTTAACATCCCAATCAGACTGACATGCTAATAAGCTTTCTTGTAGGCATTTGTTTCGCTCCTTTTTTTTTTCATCGCTCGCCATTTCTTGAGAATTCATGGTTGCTATGATTCTAGGAGGAATATATTCTCCATAAATTTTTTCATTAAAACTTGGGTTCTTTTTATCACATAAATTAAATTTTATTGATTTTAGCTGCATGTTATACTCTTTCTGTGACTGTTTTTTTTCAATAAAAAATTTGTGCAATTCATTTTCTATATTGTATATTATGTCATTTAGTTTTTTTCTATCAATTAAATATAACAAATTATCATCTGAACCGGTGAGAAAGGCTTTAAACAGAAACTGTTTTGCCTTATCTCGAAGAACATCATTATGAAACTTTCCGCTATAATTCCATTCATTCATCACTCTTAAGTCCGTATTAATGTGTTTAAGTGCACTAATTTGCTGGTTATTTTTAATATTTCCTTTTTTATGTATGTCATCGCTACTCTGCTGTTCATTTGGAAAATCATCCATATTATTATTTTCATTTTGAATTAGACTACTAGCTTTTTGAATTCCTTCCTCTGATTTGTGTTCTGCTGTATTTTTGTCATGCAATGCATTTTTCACTTTTACCTTTTTTAATTCATATTCCTCCTGACACATGTTATTATCAGTAGTTTCGACTTTTTCGGATTTTCTTTTTTTCACATTTTCTACACTTTTACTACTTGTTGATGAATGTTTTTCTTTTATTGCAATATTTTTCCACTTGTCGATAAGATTCTTTGAAATATTTTGTATTTCATCATTCTTAATTTTAGTAAACTTATTCACAGTTATGCCTATTTTGGTTTGTTTTAAAATATCTTTGTTTATTTCTACGTCTTTTAATGAATTTAAACTTTCTAGAATTTCTTTTATTGTATTATCATCAATTATTTTTTTCTCTTCTTCTTCATCTTCATCTTCCTCCTCGTTAGAACTTAGGAACCTACTTTCCTTATCTTTTAATCTTTCTTGAATGGTTATGATTTTTGTAATATTTTCTGTTTTCGACATATTATTTAAAAAGGCTAAAAAAAAAAAAAATTAAATTTTTTTTTGTGGGATGCATAAAATAACAAATGCAATGTTTTTATAAATATGCATACCTTTTTCTGGTATTTTTACTCGCATATGGAGATCTTATTTTATTATTTTATTATTTTATTATTTTTTTTTTTTTTTAATTTTTTTTAATTTTTCTTTTTTTTTTTTTTTTTTTTTTTTTTTTTTATTATACATTATTCCTTCTTAGCTATTGTGTAATGTGTCTTCACAAAGTTCCCATGGGAAGCATGTGAATATAGTATATATAGTTAATCGATCATGCATATGTATAGCTACCTACGTATTTAACTGTGTTTTTTAATGCATACTTTTCTCATGGGCACAATACTCATGTTATTTTTCCATATATAATCCTCACAATGCGGAAATTTCTTGAATGTGTCCCTTAATATTTGTGTTATATGTTATGAATGAGCCATACATATATATATATATATGCACTCGTATACCCGTATGTATGCGTTGCATATGTGGTATACATAAGCTTCACTTTTATGACAATAAAACTTTTATTTTTCCCTTAAGTACTGGGCTTAAGCTTCGTGCATTTTTTTTTTTTCCATTTAAACATTTTCTTTTATTTTTCCTATTGATTCCCCCCCCCCCCCTTACTGGGCAAAAGCATTACCTCCGTAGGAACTTAAGCACAAAACGTACATGTAATGTGAATTCAGTATATATATGTGTTTATAAATATATATATACTTGTATGTATATGCATATATATGTTCCCATTCAGTGCCATTTCCTTTAACATGTTATAACTTTTTTTTCTGCATTTCTGAAGGCAATTTGGATATTAGTACAAGGGACATACCACTTTAAGAAAAAAAAAAAATCAAATTAGGAAATATATCTTTTACAATTATATACTACTATGCATATTTAAGTAGATGAATGGTATACCACGCGTGTAGTTATATGTGAATATATACACACCACTTATATGTACATACATATATATGCTTCCCCTTAACCTCTTTCTTTCCCTTTTTTATTTGACCTTATTTAATGAATCTTATTTTAGGATATTTTTCTTTTCTTTTTTTTTTTTTTTTTATCACATGGAACATTATTTGTTTTATTATTTTTTCGCCCCTGATCTTCATAGTAATTAAATAAGAGCTTTAAAAAAAAATAAAATAAAACAGAACGTGAATTTATGGTAACATCACTATCATGCCTTTACATATTCGGTCGCACATAATTGTAAGTTCTTATTTTTTCGACATGACATTACGAGTGCCAGGAATAAAAATTTAATTGATAATGTAAGTTCAAAGTTTTTTACCCACATACACACGCATATCCCATATATTGTTCCCCATATGTTATCTTTTGTCTAAATTAATAGCAATATTAACAATAATACTAATAATAATAAAATAATAAATAAAAAGTAACTAAAGTAGTTTGAAAATAAAACAAAGCAATTATAAGGTATAAAACAACGTAACCAAAATAAACATGTGTAACAAATCTCCAAATATCCTAAGTAACTTTTAGTCCTCTCATTTTTTCCTATTTACCTGGACAATTCCATTCCGAAAGGAATAATTATTCTTAACATTTTTAAGACACAAGTAAAACTTATAGCAAAAAAAAAAAAAAAAAAAAATGACTAAATTTTTAGCTTTTATTCTTACTATAACAACATCATTTTGCTTTTTTTTTTTTTTTTTTTTTAAGTTAAAAATGAGGCACGAATATATCCTGCTTTATTGTTCCTTTACCTAAAAAATTACGTGTAAAAATAAATATTTCTAAGAATAAAAAAAAAAAAAAAGTATGAGAAATTACATATATATGTATACATCATTTTATGCTTTACGCATTTTTTACCACATTAATACTAACCTTTTATTAGTGTGTATACATCCTTTTATGCATGCATAAATGGGGTATCAGTTGCACAACTAAAAATAAGTAGCGTGTAGGGGAGAAGTAGAATATTAACATTAGTTCAGTTAATAATATAAAAAATGAGAAAAAAAAAAAAAAATAATTTGTAAATTTTTTTCTGTCTTTTAATAAAACGCAAACCATTCATAAATACAAAAACACACATATCCCCACTTATGCGAAAATGCAGACTATCCCCATTCTTCACTTATAACTTAAACGTAAAATATTATAATAAATTATTTACAGATATGTTTGTCTATATTTATAAAAAATGGAATATGAAGGTGAAACTTTTCATTTAACTGAATACCAAATTAAAAAAACAGTAAAAGCTTTCAGTTATTTAGATAAAAAAAAAAGAGGACTACTTAAGTTTGAGTATGTGTAACATACATTATTGATATACATAACTATCGAGGCAACTAATATATGCAAATGTGTATGTGATAAAGTTTCTCAAATATATACATAAATTGCATGTAGAATGTTTCATGACACATAATAAATCCACGTGCTTAATAAGAAGAGAAAATTTCTCGTATGTGTAAAACATAGAGCATACACATTTTTCCACCTTTTCACTTTATGTTCATTTACCACTATGAAAAAAAAAAAAAAAAAAAATTAAGCTTGTTAGGAAGCCTACTGCGCTGTAGTGGGTATAATGTGTCACTAAAAGAAATTGACAAGATCAAAGATAAAATTGTAGAAAATAAAATTACAGAAAAAAATGTACAAGTAAATGAAAAGAGAGAAAAAGAAATTCTGCAAAATGAAGAAAATGAAAAATTAAATGACAATAATAGTGCATCGAATAACCAAAAAGAAGGGATAAATAATGACGAAGATGATGATAATAACAATATATCAAAACTGCTAAGCAATTTAAAGAACTATGATAATTTTATTGAACTAGAAAAAAAAAAAGAAGAAAAAAAAAAAAAAGATGAAGAAAATAAAAATTTATTTAGTATAAAAGAATTTTTTAGAATCATTCAAATACCAAATGTAACCAATGAAACAAAACCATCAAACGTTTTAAATTCTTTTGAAATGTTTGATGAAAAAGGGAATGGAAGAATACCCATAAAAAAACTAAGATTTATTCTTCAATACTTGGGGGAACCACTGAGCAATGTAGAATTTGACGAATTTTACAACTGGATTAAGACAGTAAGTTTTTTTTTTTTTTTTTTTTTTTTTTGCGGGAGGAGGAAGGAGAAGATAAAATTTTGCACTCTTGCATAGAGGAATACGTAGCTCTACAATATCTTATGTTGCATATATCATATGTCTACATATATCACAATGATTTGGAATTTGTTCATTATGCTTGACACAATAAAGGTTAACAATTATTCACTTCTTATTAACAGAAAGACAAAGTATATAAAAATGATTGCATAATATATGAAGACTTGCTAAACGAATTGATAAATAAAGACACGAATATTTAGGGATGTTTATTAATGTGGCATGAATAGAAGGGTAATTTAAGATGAAACTAATTCAATCCATTTTTAGGATTTTAACTCATATTTACACAGTCGATTTTCCCCATTAGCGCGGCATAGGAATGTACATATATATATGTACATTATGAATGATAAACAACTCAATTGTTAATAGCTGATAAGATAAAGCGTTTTTCCTATTACTTCTTATATAAGCATTTTTTTAATTTTTTTCTCCTAATCACACTCGTTTCATAATAAGACCTATATTGACAACTATTATTTTTTTAAGCAACTTTTAAATAATTAAGTTTTTCTTATGATAACGTGGTGATAAAATTACCATCAAGTTAAATGTAGTCACATTTAGGGAGATGTATAACTGTGTTATATGTGCGCATATACACGCATACGTATTCACACATATATACATGTAAAAATTAAAAACAAAAGAATCCGGAAGAAAAATATAACGTGAAAAATAACAAAAAATGGAGAAGCTTGTAAAAGGTTCAAACAAAAACATGCATGGATATAATATATATATTTACATATATATATATATATATATATATAAACGGAAAAATGCATCAATGGAAGGATGGATAGACGGATAAAGCAAAAATAAAAAACTGTAGGATTATACTCAATTTTTTGCTAATACAAGAACAAAAAAAATAAAATACACATATGTATATATGTGTACATACACATTCTAAATTATTTTCGCATTTTTGCTAAAATGCTACTTCTCTACTTTCCTGCTCCATTTTTTAAGCAAAATCAGATTTTCCTTATTTTCAAAAGTTATACCTATAGGAACACTCTTCCTTTGGAAAATAACGAATAGACGGGTAATAAGGAGGAGCACAGAGCGAGGAAGGAGAAAATATGCTGGCAATCAGATTTCATTAGAACAAATTATGCGTCATTATCATTGCTAGATGGTATGTGTATACAATTAATTATAAGAGCAAAGGATGTAAAAAAATAAAAAAATTTGGATGCTTTACTTTTTTTTTTTGTGTCTGAACGATCTTTATCTTGCTTATGTTTATGAATTAAATAATTAAGCAATTTTAAATTGTCAAACTTATTCCTCTTTTTAACTTTCGTAAGGTACAGATTAGTGCCCAGATATTGTTTTAATATAACATTATTGTTATTATGAATATTTGTTGATTCACCGAAATAATAATTCTTGTTATTATCATACAAATGAATATTTTTATGTGATCTATATAACAGTTTAATTCTTTCTTTTCTTAATATTCTTTTATGCATCTTTTTATATTTCCATTTATACATTTTTGTGTATCTCATTTCGCATATCTTGCTAAAGTTTTCTAGTTCAACTTTGTCAATTCCTGGAAGGTAATATGCAGTTAATTTTAGGTCCAACTTCTTTTGACTCTCTTCTTCGTGCTTAGCTGATGCATCAACATTGAATTCGTGATCGTTTTTCTCTGAAAAATATTGTTCTTCCTCTTGGTTGTTTTTTCGTTTACCCCTTTCACACAATTGAAAATTTTCTTCTTTTTCAAAATTTTCCATTTTTCCTCCCTTTGCGTTATTTGCACCATGCTCACTTTCTCTTTCCCGTTCTTCACTCTTCTGTTTTTTTTCTTTCGGTTTGTAATTGTATATGCTTATGATAACATCCTTCTGTAATTCCATCATCTTCTTCTTCCTCTTACTCATTAAAATTTTCTCATCCTCATGCATGTTTACTGAGTAGTCATTGTTTCCGTTTTTGATACAAGCATCACATTCGTCACGATTATCATATCCCCCATGCCAATTCGAATGCTTGGCAGTGCTGAATATTTTTATTTTCCCTTTTTTGATATACCCATTATTATCGGATCGGCGCTTCCTTGAGAATAATTTCTTCAAATAATTTCTCTTCTTCATCTTGTTCATTTGTTCTACTTTATTCATTTCCTGAAAAGCAGTTGTGTGGTGACAGTATGCCGAAAAGTCCTTCTTATTTAAATTGGCATATCGGACTACATAATATGTTTCTACTTTGCTTTTAAACTTTCGCATGAATGGGAATCTCTTCTTATATTGTATCGGTTGTTCTAATTTTTTCTTTACATGAATTAAATTACTAAAACAGTTAATTTTTGTTTCATATTTGATTTGTTTTCTTCTAATTTTCTTAGAATCCTCTACTTGTATGCAGGGATCATTTGCCCCTTTAGCGTTTTTACTTAAGCTGTTCTTACTTGGGCAATTTTTACCTGGGCCGTTTTTACCTGGGCCGTTTTTACTTGGGCTGTTTTTACTTGGGCTGTTTTTACTTGGGCCATTTTTGCTTAGGCCGTTTTTGCTTAGGCCATTTTTTCCTAAGCCGATTTTGCTTATACTACTTTTGCCTTCACTGTTTTTAACTAAGCTGCTCCTACTTAAGCCGCTCCTACATAAACTATTCTTGGGTAAATTATTTTTCCAATTTTCATTTTCCTTTTTCCAATTCTTTATGACAATAATGTAATTATTATTATTAGTCATTCTTTTTGGATTCAATCCAATTATATCATCATCTTGATATTCATAAAGCTCTTCTGTATTCATTTCATCCCCTACATAACTGGCCCTGCTCTCGTTATATATGTCACTGTATACATCATTATTTGTGCTACTAGTTGAAGATAAATCATTTTTAATTAATAAAGAACCTAGAGTATTATCTAAATTAATTATTCGTTTTTGTGTGTACTGATTAATTTCCTCAAAATCGTTACTTAATTCTTCAGCATAACTATTTTTCTTTTTAATGCTTGATAATTTAATTTTACTCAATTTTGAATTTCTATTTTTATCATACTTAAAATGTGTAGCCTTTTCAATTGCTTTATTTGAAATATTATTCAATTTGGTAATATCATATTCCTCAAAACTTTTTTCTTTCCTTATGGTTTTTTTTATATTATAAGATTTATTTCGAGATTTGGCATCATTCATTAAATATGAATGATGATCATTTCCCTTTTTTGTCAATTTATTGTCTGAAAATTTAAATTCATTTATAGAACATTTCCCTTTTTCTTTTGTTTTGCTATCGTTAAATAAATCTTCATCATTTGGTATATCTATACTTATAGCTTTATCACTAAAAGTTAAAACATGGTGAGAACTGTTTTTATCCACAATTTGTAATTCTGGATCCACGAAGTTAATGTACGAAGGTCTCGTTTTTGTGAATAAAATTTCTTTTATATTATTTAAAACTCCAATATTAAATGGGTTATCATTTTGATAAAATGTTTTAATTTGTTCATATGTAGTTTGATTCGTCACAATAGTATATATATGATAACATAATAGTCCTATAACGAACCACAATGTTAAGACAGTATATATAATCAAAATGATACTGTCTGTTGCCATTCGCCAAATGTGAATAAAAATCTTCTCAGTATTGTATCCTTCGTCTGATAAACTGTTGATACATATTGTTAGTTTGTAAATACTAGCTCCAAGTGTTATACATATCAAGATGTATAAATTAAAAACGAAATATACAAAGTATTTGTAATTCCTAGTTCCAATACAATTCCCTACCCTAAACATGAAAAAAGGGAAAAAAAAACAGCACAAACATAATAAACATTTTCCAAAATATATGGCATATATACATGTTGATCCAAATCGAGTGAACACAATAGCATAGGTCTGGGGTGAATATAGTATGCATGCGATGTATGTGTGTGTGTGTGTGTGTGTGTGTGTGTGTGCGTATGTGTTAGTGTGTGGGGGTACATTTGCCATGCACAAATAAATGTGCATAATATCGAAGTCAATACTTCGTCCACCAGTGTATCTTTTATTCCTATTGTTATTCTCGTTCTCTCCTCTTGCATTACCATGGGCAGTGGTGATCAAACTTTTCAACACAATTATCACAAATCGAACAATGCACGGTTCTTATTCCCCTATATATGTTACATGTATAGCAATATTTGAGCTTATAAAAATTTCCATTTATCAAAACTTCTTTTTGTCTTGGGGGTTGCGTTTCCCGATATTGTTCAATTATCACATCGTATATATTTAACACAGATTTCTGCAAAAAAAAAAAAAAATGCATGTAAGAAATAGATGTCAATAATCTGGGATTAATACAAAACAGCACGGATGAAAATGTACAAATATAGCTATAAATCTGCAAGAATAGGAACATAAAATTTATCCATTTATTGTCCATTACCTGTCTTGGTATTATACCAGGGTCCATAAAACTTGTTTTAAAAAAGGTATAAATTGTTAGTGTAAAAAAGAATAAATTAAGAAATGTTACATAATAAATATCCTTTTCAAAAAGCCACTGAAAATGGGGAACGGGATAAAAGGAGATTTTATTATTTTAAATGAATACTTAGTAATGAGAAACCATATGTAAAAAAAAAAAAAAAAAAAAAAAAAAAAAAAGCATATATACATTTGGTTATTTCATATATGTTCTTATTAGTAACTCATTTATAAGCATGACACCATTTGGATTAACACACAGACGTTTAGTCGTGATGGTGAAAAAAAATTGCTCTAATTTTCTTTTAAATTTATTTGCATATTACTGTTGAGGTAAAAGCGTGGAAAATCGCAACCGGGATTAATATCATAAGAAAGGATGAAATAACTGTTAAAAAGGCCGGTCTATGGGGGAGGGAGGCGAAACAGAATGAAAAAATATAATAAATAAATATATGCATATATATGTATATGCGCATGTGTTTGTATAACTGCATGTCTATATGGTTTCGTTTTTTTCTCCTTGACTGGGAAATCTTTACAGTTATTTAACACAGTTCAAATATTGTCTTTTTGTGGATAGGTCCTTACCCTGATACAAAAAATCCTTTGCAATGAATTTTATTCTCTCCATATATTTGTACATTATTTATTTTGTCAAAATTCGCTCTCTCTAATGTTTTATTTCTTTTGAATATTTTCATTTGTTATATAAAAATTACATTTTTCTGAAAAAAATCGTTCACATTTATGTAGAAGCGGGAATTGCTTCAGATAATGGCGCATTTCTGATTTGCCGCAAATGTGAGGGTCTCTAATCAATTTTTTAGTTTGTAAAATAAGGGGATTAAGAATAGCAAGTAAGGTTTATAATGGGATGAGCGAAAAAGAAAGAAAAAAAAAAAAAAAAAAAAAAAAAAAAGAAAAGAAAAGAAACGAAACAAAGCGACAATGCGACAATGCGACAAAAGGGAAAGAAAAGAGACGAGCAGTGGTCAACGATATTGTATGGTAGAAACAATATTGTTGTCGGGAATGATGTGGCAAAAACACAGGTAAAAAAATAATATAACTTAAATGACCTACTATGGTATGATGACTGTGAAATGGTTACAATAAAATGGTACAATGAAGTGGTACAATAAAGATGTACAATCAAGTTATACAATAAAAAGGTACAATAAAGAGGTACAATATAATGGTGATTATAAAATGGAAAATATGAAAAGATGGCTAGTAAAATGGTATCTCGAAAAAAAGCTATGGTTGGAAAGATGCCGATTAGGAAAATAATGGTTCTCGATATTACGAAGAACTAGCAGGAATGTGTTCAGCTTATATAAAAGTGGAACAATATGAAATGTTATATATTTAACAAAAAGCTCTGGTGGATGAAGATCTATTGTAATTGTGTTTTGTTAGTGATATATGATATGTAAAATTAAAAATAAAATAAAAGCATATTAGTGTTTTCAATTTTTTTTTTTTCTTTTTTTTTTTTTTTTTTTTTTTTTTTGTAATATAAAATAATTATAAGATTATGCAAACCATGCTAACGTATATGTATACATAATTTGCACTACCGCACAAGAGCAAAAAAAAAAAATAAAATAAAATAAATAAAATAAAAAAAGAAAAGAAAAGAAAAGAAAAAAAAAAAAAAAGATGGAAATTAATCACTAGTCTATGAAATGTTAAATGTATATCCAAATTCACATGTTATATTTATATAAAATATATTCTGCTATATATTATATATTACGTATAATTTAGCTGTTATTACTTTTTTTTTTTTTTTTTTTTTTTTTTTTTTTTCCATTCTGTGTTAATTTCATTTAGGACAGGAAATTTTTTACAAAAAAATTATATTATTTTCACACAATATACATAAAGTTTCCGATTTAAAAAAGATTTAACATGTTGAAAGTTTAAATGGACATGATGCATCGCAATGAATGTCAACATCCCAAAAGAGACCAGTTTCAGTGTGTTTGTTTATATGTACCTTGTACATGTATATATGTATACATAGATTTATACTTACATATTCTATAAGCATCTATTGGCTACCATAGAAGAACCAAATGGTTATTTGAAGGCAAGTAGAATATCGCTTAAGTAAAAAAGACTTATTTGCATTTTCTTTATACCGACGCAAAAAAAAATGCCCCAAGAATATATACTTATATGATTTATCTGCTTATATGTATATATACTTTAGTTTCTCATTTTAAGAAAAAAATTTAAGTTCAAAATATAAAAATCAATTTTTCTATATTATTACAACATATATAATAATTCCCTTGTCTCTTTTTCTCTTTTATTGCCAATGTTCTTATGAAATATAAAACTCGTGAATAAAGCAAAGCACATTCCATGTGGGTATGACGCATAGAAATAAAAGCGTTGCACTTGTGTATATATACATATCACTTGACACGTATTTAAACTGTTTGAAGAAAAGTAGGTATTTATATATATGTTCGTATATTGGTACATATATATGTGCATATGTAGGTGCATGTGTATGACTAAAACTTCTTTATGCTAACCATAAAACACACACTTTAATGCAGTGTTTAATCTCCAAAAGCAGCATATATATCCAAATAGAAATGAAAAAGGAAACTTAAAAATATGTTTTTAAAATGTGTGCAACCAAAAAATTACATAAATAGAGAGAACATGGTTAAATATATTAAAAGTGTGAATAAAACTAAAAGGTTTTACAAAAAACGAAGTAGCTATATAGTAAAGAAAATGTGAAAAAACAATGGTTAATATGTTAAGTACAAAAAAAAAAAAAAAAAAAAAAAAAAGAATGATAATAATTATTAATAGATAAATAAATACACATATACCCTGTGAATTGCTACACAGTACGTATGTGTATATGCGTATTTATATAGATATATAACCATTTTAAAGGAATTTAATTTTTAATAACACTGAAAAAAAAAAAAAGGAGATACAGAAATGAGCAGAAAATAAAGCAGAAGTTGTGATTCAAATTGGGTTGACATTAGATTAAACGGCTGGGTGGGAAATTTAGAAAGCGATAAGGAGCCAAGTACGAAAATGAGAAGCATTAATGTAAGCTCCTAGATATCATCACAAATTACCGAAAATATTACAAGGCTATATACAAATAAATATCCTAAGTTTAAAATATGTGTAAATCCTTGTATGCTAAGCAAAAAGGTCTTCTAAATTTTTTTTCGTTTTATTTTTTTGTACTTTAATAGAGTTATAGTGGACTTCACTTTTTGTTGATAATTTGACCTGACCATTTTGGGTCAGATCTGTTGTATGATTCTTACTTGTGTTTACTGCGCTACTATTTACTCTTTTTATATTGGCCGTTTTGCTGTAATAATTTGGACGATTTTTTTCTGAAGAATCATCAAACTGGTATTCGTTGTTATATTTGTTTAAACATGTCATATTATTACTTTGATCACATGGGTTATATTTCTCTTTAGGGCCATTCGAGTCGTTCAAGCTGTAAAAAAAATTATACTGGTTATTCAATTCTTCAACAGTATTCATTCCGTTGTTTATTTTACGATTATGTACATCATTTTTGTAAAAATTGAAACATTTTTCTATTTCATTATTTTGATAAGTACGTTCTAATTTTACAAAATCCTTTTTATTGTTTTCCATAAATGGGAAGTTATTATTTGGGCCCACCTGTTCATTATTATTCATCATTTTTATGCTATTACTTTTTACAGTATAAGGGGATTCCTTCTCAGTTCCTTCTTCATCTGTTATGACAAAACCCTTTTTGCTATTAACATTTGGGTTATACGAATATATTGAGCAGTTAATTGAATTGTTTTCCCTGTCATTATAATTAGATAAATTTTTTGACCCACTGTTACGTTTGTACATGTGTAAATTATCTGCATTAGATACATTATAGTTGTTACTAACTACAGGGTTGTTATTATTTTCATAATTAAATGGATTTATTTGGGTTCTCCTACTACCATCGTAAGCATTTATTCCATTATGATTACACTTTTCCCCATCGATGAAATAGTTCGTAGTGGTGTTACTATTATTACCATCATTTCTATTGTTATTAAAATCATTTTTGTTACAGAAATTCTGTAAGCCATTATTCATTGTTTCATTACGTTCCTCGCGGTAAAATTCAATACCACCGTTACTCAAATTGTAGGCATTTGAATGGACCTTTTCAATGTTGTGATCTTTCGATGAATATATAAATTCCTGATAATGAGGATTCGGATTATTTGAGATCCCATTTAAATATTCATTTTGGGTCTTAAAATTTTCTAAATTGTTTACGTCATTGTTTAGAACGTCTATTTCTCCCTTTTCAATTTGCACATTATTCGATGATGTGTTCATGTTCATAATGTTATAGAATTTTTCCCCATTTGTATTATTTTTATTATTCTTTTCATTATTTTCATTATTCTCATTATTTTCATTTTTTGACCATAATTCTGTGTCATTACCAAAATTGTCACTTAGGTTTTTCTTTTTTGTTTTTTTACTTGAGAAAATACTTTTCCATTTACTTTTTTTTTTCCCATTTTCATTTTCTATATTATCTTTGTTTTCATTTATAACTTGTTCCGTATGTATAATTTCTTTGCCTTCCTCTTTTGACAATTCCTCCCTAGAATTCACTTGAACAGCATTATCCTTCGATACAAAATTAATAAATTTTTCTCTTTTGTCATGCACCTTCTCATTATTCACATTACCTTCCATAATACGTGCTACATTGTCACTAGTGATGTCTAAACTGTCTTGACTCTTTCTTTCTTCTACGATTGCATGATTCTTGTCACATTTTCCTACCCCCGCAGTGAACTGATTGACGTTGGTTCGATTCATCCCTTTGTCCATATTATTGTATGTCCCGTTAGATATACTGCTGTCCATGTTATTGTAAGGCCCGTTAGATACACCTCTGTCCATGTCAATGTTCTTACCATTAATCGTACGACTTCCGATAAGAACATGCCCATTGGTAGGCAAATGTGTATTCATGTTTTTATTTGATACCACACTTGAATATTCGTCCTCATTTCTGGTTAACTTTTCTTCATTGTGAACAATCCACTGTGATATATTGCCCATGACATCAATTTTGTCATCGGTTTTTCGATTCTCCATATGCATGTTACCTCTATTTGGATGATTTTCCAAGTTGTCATCTTGCTCTTTAAAATTGGGTATAGCACCATCATTATGAATTGTAATTGGATCATTATTATGATCTACGAATTTTTTCTTATTTTTACGAGAAATTTCCCCTTTATCATTAGTGATAATTATGGGTTCCCCCATCATTTCATTCTCATTGGAAGTATCGGTCGCAGCGACAGTATCAGCAGCATTGACAGTATCAACCGCATTGTCTAAATTATTGCAACTGGGCACCTCTTCCAGTTCGAAATAGTTATTAGCAGTAACGGGCTTTTCCAAAATATCCAATTCCTCGGGATAACTTTCTCCATCATCCGAAATATGGCTCCTTGCAATATTTGCACTCAAATTATAAATCATATCATCAATGTCGTTTATGTCTGTATTTATATTATTAAGTACATTAATAAGACTACTACTATCGATGTTTTTTTTTACATTTTCTTTTTTAATGTTTTTTTTCATTTTAATAACTTTTTCAAGCAAGCTCATACATTCATTAATTTTTTCATTGTAAGAAAGGGAAGAAAAGTTATTTACCCCGATGTCTGTTCTCTTATTAGTATTTCCTT